GAAATTCAACAAAATAAACCAAATAACACAATAATGTTCTAAAACATTATTATCATGCATCCAACACGCTATCACAGCTTCGCGGGCAAACATCCATCTCCTCTCAATTGCGTTTGTTGGCACGGGACATGCGCAAGCCACAGGCGTTGCAGAAGTTCTACAAATGTAATGAAGACATTGTATTAGAATAATCACAATCTTAATTTTATAGTTTTAAATTTAATTGATATAGAATATAGTAGATCATACTTCCCCGTCGGGGCCCCTACGCCACAAAGGAGTTGCACTTTTGCCGCAAATATCGCAAGCCTTAGTCTCTTCCTCCTCATGAACATCGGTGATAGGTCTCTTGCGGGACATGCTTCGATTAGGCACAAATTCTTGTTGGAATGGTAAAATGGTTGAGCCAATGGGATTGGTCCCAACTAGTGGGCTAAAAGTGGTTGCCCATATCGTAGATCCATTGGGAATCTCTACAGTCTCGTCTGAATTCTCTATGAGTTTTGAAATATCACCCTATGAATAAAAGCATTCGTTAGCTTGAGCATAACAACAACAACATTAACAACGATCTATAATCATTTGATTAAGACCCCCTAAAATGATCTTACTAAACTTAATTATTCCTTGTGCTTAAGAAATAAGATTAGATCTGTTTTTGTTTTGTAAAACTCTAAACATAATATTTTATCTATCGAAATTTAATAGAGAATATATCTCATGTGTAAGGACTGTAATCGAGATTACTTATTTGACTAAGTAGATCCACCCATCTAGGTTGCAGTCCTACCACGTGAAATATATTTTTCGATAAAATTTAACTGATTAATAAAGTTTATGCATAGAGTTTTACAAAATACAAATAGATCTCATGTAATTTTTTAATCACATGAGATAATAATCGTTTTGTTATCAAATCTTAATAAAATAATATTATTATGCTCTAATACAATGATTTATAAAGCATACCTTCCCAAAGGAAGATTGTGCACCTCCTAACTTGCCTACAAGGTTATGTGTTGTGCTCTTCAGTTCCTCAGACTTTTTTACTTCTCCATATGGACCTCCTAGTCGAAGTGTCAAATCCAGTTCCTCGGATTCATGCTCTTCTTCTGGAGGGCAATTCAAGTTGAATTTTTCGGCCATTACTTCTATATCTTTGCTTGAACAAATGAGGGAAATAGTGTATGAATCTGAACGCAATGCGCCCTTTGGAGAAACGAGACGGGTGGATTTTATAGGCGGACAGATAAATGTGGCATTAATGAAATGTTTCGGATTATTGACAGCATCATTACGCCGTTAATTTATGATAAAAAATGAATTAATTTCATTTTATCTTTTTCGTTTCAAATAATTAAAGCAATAAAAATTTATGGCAAGTCATGGCCGAAAAATCTTAGTAGATTAACTTATATTAAAAATAAGGTAAACTGTTTTTTTTTAGTCATGTATTTGACTCCCTTTATCATTTTAGGACTTTAAGTGAAGTCTATCTGAAAATAGTCCTGTAAGTTAAATTTTTCGCTAAAATGGTTCTCCCGTGCCGGACTCGCCACGTTGGCCCTTCGTTGCTGACGTGGCGCGGACGCGGCTGACATGTCATCGCCACGTAGATGCCACATTGGAGGACTATTTTAGCAAAAAAAAATTTACTTCCAGGACTATTTTCAGACATAGTTCATTTAAATGTCCTAAAAATTATAAAGGAGATCATATATATATACGAGACAAAAAATAGTTTACCAAGACATTTTGAAAAATAAAAAATAAAAAAAAAATTCCACGTGTCGCTGACATGGAATCTACGTGGCGATGACATGTCAGCCGTGTCAGCGAAAGATCTTTGCAAATGTCGGGACTCATTCCATCTGGATGCACCATATCGCGGTCCTATCGGAAACTGTCAGCAACGGCGGACTAGCGTGACGAGTCCAGCACCGGATGACCATTTTAGCGAAAAAATTTTACTTACAGGACTATTTTAAGACATGACCCACTTAAAATCCTAAAATAATAAAAAAAGTAAGATACAGAATTAAAAAACCAATTTACCCTTAAAAATATTACATATGATAGTGAGGATGATGAATGCTAAGTATGTTTACTTGTGCATATTTTTATTGAAAAAAAAAAATGTGCTTCTAACACTCATTTTCATTTCAAACATAGCATGCTGCAATTAAATTTATTTTTAAAATATCAACAAAAAGTCACACAACTTTTTTAAGCCAACCAACCCTAAGTTTAACATAATTTCATAAATATTAATATATTTATGAATATTTGTTTTCTATAGTGTGTAGTTTTGTTGAGCATTGCATTGTTAAACTTGCTCGTATAAAAAGAAGTTTAATTAAATTGTTTTAAGTTTTACAAACAAAGATTGTCACTATGTAATTTAACGAATATAACGTTCAATATCAAATTAAAAACATTGACAATGTTTATCGAAAATATATATATATATATAAATATATATTTTTATCGGATTATTGAGAAAATATTGTTGATTTTATAAGTGATGGAAATTGATCGATTAGCAGATGATCTTGAATATATTTTGAAGACATAAATTTTAAATTTAATCCAAATTTTATGATATGTGTGTGTGTTAGTAACTTTTACGTATGCATGCATGTCTGTGTATATATATATATTGATAATACTCATTTCTTCTTCTTTTTTTCTTTTTTTTTTCAACACAAAAATTTGTATATTTAATTAATACAAATTATATCGATCAGGTTCGAATAAGTCTACGTAAAACTATTGGCATTCCTAATCATGTATTGTAATTAAAAATGTCTTAGTCAAGTTTAACAACAGTCGGACGATATGATATACGATGAATGAAATAAAATTTAAGCATATGTTAACATTAAAAATGAAATAATTTATTGTTGTAGCCGAATGATTGCTCAAGAAATACATTATGGGTGAATAAGTATTTGATTCTTTTTACAAAAAATTTCTACATATTTTCTAAAAGAAAATAATATATTACACACACAAATGATACAAGGCTTGTTTATGTGAATATATTTAAATTTTGAATAATAAAATTTTAGATTGAATTATTTGTTTAAGTGATATATAAAATAAACTATTAATATAATAATTTGAAAGTAAAATTAAACTTTAAGTATAATATAAAAATATACGTTTGATTTGATATTTTTTTTTTTAGAAAAAATATGAATAGTAAAAAATTTTAGAATAGACATTTTGTTTTGGATTTTGTATTTTAGTTTTGGTATAAATATATTTTGTGAGAAAAAATAATATATTTTTATGAATAAGTGTGATAGTTGAATAATAATAATAATAATAATATATATAATCAATTGTGTTTGTTCAAGAGTTTCGATTTAAAATTTAAATTTTAGAATATTAAAATTTTTTAATTTGAATGTAAATATATTATAATATTTTGAATGTAAAATTAATTTTAAATATAATATATATATATATATAATAGAAGGTAGGTATTTGATTTAAATTTTTGTGATAAGATATAATTAATTGTAAAAAAAATCTTGAAAAATCGAAAAATAGCATAATAGTGATATTATGGATTTGGTGCATTTATATTTCAATTTTTTGTTAATATATAAGTACGTGTAATTATTACAATTTTTAGTAATAGTAACTAAGAGGAAGCAATTAATGTGTGGGTAGGTGAATTTTTAAATTTATTTCCACATTTATATTGTTTACAATAAAATTTATATGGTTAGTGAAATTATTAGACTTGCATAAAATATATATGGTTAGTGAAATTATTAGACTTGCATATTTATTATTACTATATAATCATTGCATTATATTTTTAAATATTGTATTATTATCTTTTACTGTTCAATTTACTAATATTCATTAAAATCAATTATTAACATTGATGACAGAAGGGGTTGGTGTGTAATTAAAATTAATTAATAACAATAATTAATTTTAGATTTATTTCCTAATAAGAATAATTATTATTATTAATATTCTTACTGAATTGATGTTAAATTATTAATCAATAATTTTTTTAACTAATAATGCTAATAAATTTACTTTTTTTGTCTGTTCAATTTTATTTTCAATTTCTTTTTTTGTCATTTTCGTTGAATTTATTTAATTACTCCATCCGTCCCTTATACCATGTCCATATTGCCGTTTCTGTCGGTCTCACATACCATATCACTTTCCTTTTTTGGAAAATAATTACACCCTTTAATCTCATTTTAAACTTTTTAATTTTATTTTTTTAAAATTTTAATTAAACTAATTAGTTATTTTAATCTTAATTTATAATTATTTATATTATCGGATAATTATTTTTACTAATATATTCTTAATTATCTACTAATTACATCCTTCCTAAAATACCGTGTCTACAGTGTCTGCTACGTACGTGGGACGGAGATAGTACTATATTTGAAACGGTAAAAAAATTTATAATTTAGCTATTACCCTATATTCAACACTTATTAATAATTAATATCAATAATTTTATATTCTTTTTAATAATTAATTAAAATTTTAAAAATACTTATAATTATCATTTTATTTTTTTACTTTTTAAATAAAATATTTATTTTCGGCTCCAACTTTAAATTGACTAATATTTTTGGCGGGAGGAAGTATAGTTTTTCAAAGGCCTATTTAATCCAAAATAAGCCCAATATTTAACATCTAGGTAGTTTCTTTTAGACCCAAAGATAAGCCCATTAAAATGGTGTATAAAAATATCAATCAAGGCCCAATTAAAATTTACGTGGTTCGAACTTTTAGTTTTTTTTTTAAAAGGTCGATCCAAAATCAAACTTTCAAATCGCGATTTTTATTTATATTTATTCAATTTTTTAAAATTATTTCCTAATTTTTAGATTAAAAGATGAACGGCCGGCATCTCACGATTTGTTCGATGGCGGTTCCGATTGTTAGAAGCCGGTGAACCGGAGAATTGGCGGTTCGAACCGCATTGGGCAATGCTACATAATAGAGCCCGATACCCGGAAATTTGAACCCGACCCGAATAGCGATAAACCCCTAACAATTCTAACTAGGTTTTTGCGGCGGAACAATTCTCTAGCACCAAGCTTCGTCTTCAATGGGTTCCAAGGACAAAGGTTTGATTTCTTTCTAACATTTGGGGTTTCCCCTGCAGCTTTGGAATTCATTATCTATTAATAGCTATATTTTTCAGATGTAGTGAATTATTTCCTCCAAATGTTTGAAATTGTTTTGCTCCGTTGCCCAACCGCGTTCGATTTATTGAATTTTTGTATAATCAGCCAAGAAATTGAAAGATGAACGAGGTGCAACTAAAAGCGGCGGATTGGAGAAGAAAGAAGCTAAAGAGCACATCGGGACGTTGAGAAAGCTTCAAGAGAAGGTCAATTTGTTGTTTCGCTTGTTTTACGTGTATATATATATATATAGTCATCTCCTTGGGCTGCTGCGGCGAAGGGTGTGTTTGTTTGGGGGGTTTGGATTTTGAATTGGGATTTGAACAGTAAAAATTTTGAATTTGAACAGTTGTACGACGTGACGTGATATAAATAAGCGTTCATGCGATGTAAAATTGATTTTTAGTATAATATAAAAAATGAAAAATAGGTGTTTGATTTGATATTTTTGGGGGGGAAAAAATGGAATGAATAGTGGATTGGAAATCCAATCCCCCAAACAAACACACCCGAATTCATTTATTTTGTAACTATTTTCCCTTTGTTTCACCCGTGTTAATGTGTAATTAGGTGTATTTAGTTCTTGTTTAGGTACTAATCCCCTCCAATCGTGCGTTAGCTGCTAAACTCTTGTGATTTCTTTCCCATATAATTTGTTATATATAGTCTTTTGATATCATTTTTTTCTTTTTTTTTTTTTTTGTGGATTCAAATTGAGTGTGGGAAGTATTTGTTTGCAGGATCCAGAATTCTATGAATTTTTGAAAGAACATGACAAGGAGCTCTTGGAATTTGATGAAGAGGACTTGGTTGTAAGCCTACAAATCTGTTCTTGTTTTCAGCTTGTATTGGATTTTATGATTCATCTAATTATAGGGTTCTGTTTCTATCATCTTTAGGATAATGATCAAACAGAGGCAGACGAGGAGGAGGAGGAAGAAGAAACTGAAGTCGATAATGTCGAACAAAGTGAGGATGAAGCTGAAAAGGAAGTGAAGCCTTCCAAAAATGTGATTACTAGTGATATGGTTGATACGTGGTGCAATGAGATCCGTGAGGGTGCAAAATTGGGGGCTATTCGATCTCTATTGAGGGCTTTTCGCAGCGCTTGTCATTACGGCGATGATGCTGGGGATGATCCGAGTGCGAAACTTAGCACTATGTCGAGCAGTGTTTTCAATAAAATAATGGTATTTGTTTTGAATGAAATGGATGGGATTTTTCGAGGATTGTTGAAGTTACCCCAGTCTGGGGGAAAGAAGGAGATGATTGTGGATCTAATGCCGACGAGACGGTGGAAGAATTATAATCATTTGGTGAAGTCATATCTTGGGAACTCACTCCATGTTCTGAATCAAATGACCGATAATGAAATGATAGCATTCGTGTTAAGGCGTTTGAAGTATTCGTCTTTGTTTCTAGCTGCCTTCCCGGCTCTCCAAAGAAAGTACATCAAGGTATGCCCTTATTCATGGAAATATGTGTCCGATCATCGTATAAGTTTAATCTTTAACTAAAGGAGACCCACTAGGATTCATATTTTGAAATTTTGGGTGATCGTGAACTGTGAGAGTTATGTTTCTGTTACTTTTTCCGATTCTTTAATTCTATATGCTTAATTACCTTGATATCTTCATGAATGAAATATTCGATAATTGGGCTAATCAGAGTTATAATACTACTGTCCATGAGCAATATAGTTGTTTCTTGTTATTGTTGATTGTCAATAATATTTAGTGAAGTAAAATTTGAATTTAGATATATAAGAGTGCATATGGACATGATGATGCTCGATCCGTCGCTTCCATTGCTTATGCTTCGTCCAATGTTAATTTTTACAGGTTGCTCTTCACTTCTGGGGTACAGGGAGCGGCGCACTGCCAGTTGTCTCCTTTTTATTCTTGAGAGACACGTGCATACGGCTGGGTTCCGACTGCCTTGATGATTGCATCAAAGGAATGTATAAAGCATTCATCATAAATTGCCACTTTGTCAATTCGACAAAATTGCAACACATCCAGTTCCTGAGTAATTGCTTCACCGAACTTCTTCACGTGGACCTTGCATCATCGTATCAACACGCCTTCGCATACATCCGACAATTAGCCATGATATTGAAAGATGCTCTCACATGTTCGCCCAGAAAGAAGAAAGGTAAAACCAAGGGGAAGGATGAACCGTCCGTTTCTAAGAAAGATAAGGCAAAGGAAGCACCTTCGGGTTCCAGCAAAAAGGTATTGTCTTGGATGATCTTTTTCTTTCAAAATTTTAAATTATTAATGCATTCTTAATTCCGTGACTTTTTGTTCGGTAACTTCTCACAGGAAACTCACAGAAAGGTTTATCAGTGGAAGTTCATAAATTGCCTTGAGCTCTGGACGAGCGTGGTTTGTGCTTACAGCTCGGATCCTGAATTGAGGCCACTTGCTTATCCGTTGACTCAAATTATTACCGGAGCTGCTCGTTTAGTCCCGTCTGCTTGTTATTTCCCCCTCAGATTGCGGTGTGTGAGAATGCTCAACCGAATCAGTGCTTCAACCGGTTCCTTCATACCCGTTTCTCTTCTTCTGGTGGATATGTTAGAGATAAAAGAATTGCATAGACCTCCCACCGGAGGAGTGGGTAAAGCTGTCGATTTGTTTTCCATTTTGAAGGTACTGTGAAAGAGGGTTTTCACTGGTTGTTTAGATCATTTACAATATCCCAAACATTCTAATTTGATTGTCTGCAACAGGTCGGGAAATCTACCTTGAAAACCCGAGCATTTCAAGAGTCTTGTGTTTTCTCTGTCGTTGAGGAGCTGGCGGAACATCTTGCTCAGTGGAGTTACTCTATTGGGTTCATGGAGCTTGCTTTTGTTCCTGGTGTTCGATTGAGAAACTTCTGTAAGTCCGTGAAGGTCGAGAGGTTTCTTCGCGAAATTAGGCATCTCCTCCGTCAGGTCTGTAATATTTTAGCTTCGACATGTTTGACTTGTGTATGCAATTTTTGCTGATCATCGTAGCGCTTATGCTCACTGCATTCCAGATCGAAGCAAATTCTGAGTTCATAAACAAGAAACGGGCAACAATCTCGTTCTTGCCGAATAGCCCTGCTTCCGAAACCTTCCTTGAGGTCCGAAAATCCACTTGTTCTGATATTATTATCGGCATATACAAATAATAGATAAAATGCTTGCTAAAATATGCGATTTATGAGTAACCTCAGATGTTTCGAGGAATATTTTTGCTTATTTGCCATTTTTGAGGTTGTGGGATATTGGAAATTGAATTTGTATTTGATATGTACTAGGATGAGAAGAAGTCAGGCAACAGCCCCCTGTCGAAATATGTCGCGACTCTACGCCAAAGAGCTAAAGAAAGAACCGATGCATTGATGGAATCCAGGTTTTATTCCGCCGTTCAATCTCTTCGTATTTCTTCAATTTTATTGTGTTCTTATACACTTTTAGAAGCTTTCTTTTGACTAATCTGTACAATCCAGTGTCCTGGTGGGAGATGGCTCTTCGAAATTTGGAAACAAGATAACCGATGACGATGATGATGAAGACAACGATGGCTCAGACGATGAAGAAAACAGCGACGATCAGCAGCAAGGGCGCTTTTCCAAGTACTCCTCACACCTTTTCTCAAGTTCTCCACGTAGAACAATCGAAACTTACACGTTCAGCTGCTTATGCGTTTGTAGGCCTAAGAACCAGAAGAACGACGCTAAGAAGAAAAGAAAACACTTGGAAGAGACGGCGACGGAGGAAGACATCGTAGAGGATTTCATTCTCAGCTCTGGTGAAGACAGCGACAATGAGGGAGAAGAACATAGTGATCCTGAACCGAAGAACACGCGAAAACAGCCTACGCCAACACCAAAAAACAAAAAGAAGTCGCGGCCTCGCAATCGCAAGCAGAAGAAGAGGAAGACAACTTAATTTCATTCGACTTAGGTAACCAAACTCAGCTTTTGTATCCCAGTTTTGGATTTGATAATGTGATGAGCCTATTCTTTCCCCATCGGCTTTTCATTTATAACCAACTCGATTTCTCTCTTTAACTTGTTCCATTATTTATATTGATTGTTAGCCATTGGGTTGAGGATTTTTTTATTTTTAGCAGTAGATTTTGGGTTTATACTTACACCAATTGTTGTATCTTTCGTTTTGTCGTTGATTTCTCTATATATAATTGGTGTTAAGTACATCATCTTTTTTTAAAAAGAGAAAAATATCAAAAGAGATTTGCAATTGAAAATACGAATGAAGTTTAAAAAGAAGATCAATTCTTGAATAAAAAAGAGGACCCCCATCGGACTTGAGAGAAGACAGAAATTGCACAAAAATGCTTTTAATATTTGTATGATTTCAAATTTCAATGTCGTATAATTTTCAGTCTAGTTGTGCATTTCAATACGAGAAGAAATAAAATGTAGGCTCTAAAACTAAATGCAAAGACTGACGAACATATGAAGATTGATAGTCTTTAAAATTTTCAAAGCAGCCAATACATAATTAAGCAACACACAGTAGTTATGATAATCAGAATAATCTCTTGTTACTGTAATCACAAACAAACACATAACAAGACATGATATATCTAAACCAGAAGATCGAAATCGATGAACTGACTGACCGTCTATAACTTACATCATCGCCGGTTGTTCACGCAGTTCTTCAGCTCCATGAGCAAAATGGCATCTGTCTCCGTAGGTGCAAGAGCCATTGGCGAACTTGTCGCAGAGCTTGGTTTTGTAGTAGATCCCGGGGTTATGGCCAGACGACAACGACATGGGGTTCTTACTGGGCAGTCCTCCTGTGCCCGCGTTGATATTCACTATGAGTTCCCGGACCATTTGGCTGGCCTGCTTGATCTGATCAAAAGTGCCCTCGAGTTCAATGTTCCGAAGATTGGGATCAGATTCGTGTTCTCTTATAGAAAGCTTGGATCCCGTCGTGCGGCATATTTGCTTGGAGTTTATGCCATTCTTGCCAATAATGGCACCTGCCATGGAAGCGTCGATGCTGATTTTAGCAGTGGCCGAGGCTCCAAATCCGGAGGCTGATCTGGGGTTAGCACCGCCGTATCTTCCGGGCATGGAATGAGGGTCTTCAAAAGACGGCGCGGATTGTCTGCCGAGCTCGCGTTGGCCGTGGGCAAAACGGCATTTGTCCCCAAACTTGCAACCCTCTGGAGTGTTGAATTTGCTGCACAGTCGAGTCTTGACGGCGGGTGGGGAAGATCCGTCCGGGAAAGATGGAGAGGCTATTGAATTTCTGGAAGTGGGTGGGAGAGCGGGGTTGGTGCCGAGCATTTGAGTGACGGCTTTGATGCCCCCGGGTATATAGTGCGAGAAGTGACATCCCTCCCCGAACGAGCATCCAGAAGGACTGCACATGTATGAAACAGGATTAGGAGGTTAAGTCAAACATGGTGCAACAAAAACACTAAATCTACGTTATCAAATATTCATATTCATCCTGAAGAACGAAAAAAATAATAATAATAATAACATTTTCTTTTCTCCTGTTCCGACTCAGATGTAATGAACATGATCATCATAAATTTGCATGATTCCAAATGATCATCATAAATTTGCATGATTCCAAACAACTGGAATCATGCAAATTTATCAAGAATCCGTCTTTACGTCAATAAAAAGGAAACTATAAGTAAAACCAACATAGTATCGGAGCATTAATTACTCCTACGTCATCGACATATATAAGAGAACAAGTGGCACCTATCCGTCGAAAACAGACCAAATATATATGCATATTTATATATATAGATGAATTTTATTACATCAGCTCAAAAGCTAATTCCTACAAGCCTGGAATTGCAATCGAGGTTGCTATCATATTTAAGATGATAATGTGAAGCTATTACCAAATTACGAAATCATAAACTCCCCTTTAAAAGCCATGGACTCACAAGAACGGAGCAAAATGAGCAATCGATTCCTCTAGTGCATTATTTAACACCGAACATACGCATTAAAGAACCTATCCAGCTTACACAATTAGATTTCTATATATACACCTATACCTACCCTCCATAAATGCTCGAACCCCAAACAAATTTTAAGACACAAAATTATAACCCATAAGACACATAAAATATATTTCAGTCAAATACAACATTTGCAAAATGTATCCTATCATAAATGAAGGTCCATATGCTAAAATACGCCACTTGGCAGGATCTCCCTTTCACGGTCATCAAACATGAGAAACTAGGATCTGAATGTATGCCACCGGGCATAAATCATAATTTAAACACCATCAAACAAACAAGATATCTCCGCATGAATGGAATAATCACAGAATTACTTCAACAATTGGCCCATGCAGCTAATTTAATCTTAACTTACTGCCCTATAGTCTATGTGATCACAAAACGACAATTATAAAATATTTTTCAACACAAAAGTACAAAACCAACATAACCAATTCAATTTAAGATAACTGCATCTGGTGGTTGATCTTTTGAATCACCCTTGTAAAAGCCACTGAAATCAACACTAAGAGCCATTTCCATTCAACAGATGCTTAGTTTCTCCGAGCAATTGTTAATTCGATAAGTTCATTCGTCCATTTCCAATCAAATCCTGTCATTACCAATTAATGAAGAGTACAGCCTGCTTCACAAACCTTAGATTTCAACACATTAGTTAAAAGTTGCCGTAACAGGAAAAAGAAAATCTGTAATTCCATTTTACAACCATTATATATCAGAGGATTGCTCTCCGTAACGTTTAATTTTAGATAGGTTAAGATTTGAACCTGAAAAACTTTGTGCATGGCTTCGATTTGCTTCCTATACCAGGTGTAAAGGACTCCGATTCTGTTGCAGAACATTTAAGGTCTTCCTCAGTTACAATTTCTGAGTGTTAAATCTTTAAGCTTCTATAATCATATTAACTCACGACTTAATTACCATTATCTAGAAGTTCATATAATAAATAAAGAAGCAAATAATCACCGCGCTGATGACCGATTTGCAAGTAAAATTGAGCTGAAATTGTTCTTATTCACAATAAAGAATCTGATGACAGAACCCTTGTTTCTTATATACAAGACATTCTTGAAAAACATATCCACCAACTCAAACTGTACAACAATGAAATAGTACACATATGTCCACAAATTCAAATTCCATAATTTTCCCTTCTTCCTTATCTTTAATATATATATATACGCGCGCGCGCACACACATATGAACACCAAAGAACTGATCTAAAAATATGAACTTGGTTATAAAGGATTTCGAAAGGTACCGATCCAATTAGCACAGTTAAAAGAAAATTCAACAAAAACCAGAAAAGAGACCGCAATTATCCACCACCATAAAACACCAATTATTCCTACAATCATCCCCCGGATCACAACCGTATATAGAGAGAATATACTCGGATAACAGAATGACCTTGCTTGGATTTCTTGAAGCCGCCATTGCCATAGAAGCCTCCGTCATCTCTGCCTCTCTTTCCAAATTCCATTTCCTACTTCCTCGGTAGCAAAAAATATATAAATAACCTTAAACTTTTCCAGCAAGAGATTGAAAAGAATTCGAACGTAGAGGAAGATCTAGAGCAATGAACAACAAAGAAGCTAGATGAATGACAAAACCCTAGACGGAGATGAAGATTCGCACATACACGGATTTCTACACAACGAGAATGACGACCGCGGATTTGGTTCGTGCTGTCTTCCAATTGTTACCTCACTATGCCTTTATTGGGCCTAAAAGGCCTCAGATTTAGTTGAGCCGTATGGGCCTGTTGTTGGGCCCATGGGCCTGAGATTTTTTAGCCCAGCAAGATGAGAGATTAGACGACGTCGTAACCGCGATCACGTTTCAAATACAGGCGTTAAGAATGTTACTACGCCTGAACAGCCACTGTCGTCTTCTTCGAGTTCATTCCGTACACTGGGTAGCTCCTCGGCGAGGAAATTCAAGTTCTTCTTCAGGTTTTTGAGATTCTTGGTTTTTTGGTTGTGTGTAAAGTTTGTAATTTTGGTTTTCTCTGTTGGAGTGGTGGTAGTCTTCTGGTGTAGGCGGAATGTGACGTTGTGTTTTGATATGTTGGTGGATGTAATTTAAGCATTATTTTGTATTGTATTTTTGTTCCCGGTAGTAAGGATAATTGCTTTGAGCTAGCATGAGTTTCGTGAATTGTTGGTATTCTCTTGCTAGCACAATGCCTGCTTTTGAAAAGGAAACATGATTTTGTTGTGAAATTGAAGCGGTTGTTTTTATTCTTCACTGCGCGATTATGTAAATGTGGTAGGATATGGAATGAAAGTTTGTTTGAAGCATTTCATTTTCACAAGCATTGCGTTTATCTGGCTGGTGGGAGTTGAATTGGCTGAAAGCGAGGGGAATTGCACTAAATTTTGGTCATTTGGTAGGTTAATAGGTTTGGAATACTGGTGAAAACAACAAATCAAATTCATCTCTATTTATTGTGCATTGGAGCATTTCGATCCTAGACCTTAAATCCCCATTCTAGTTTGTGTTAGTGTATTAAATTTGAAGATTATTTTTTGATAATTTTGAGGAAAGGAAAAGGAAATCGAAACTAATTTCTGACTTCTTCTTTTTTGGCTACAGAGATATCCCCTCTTTATTAGATCAAAGACATTGAAATGGCAGCTTCTGCAGCTTCGAGCTTCCAGATTGCAGCAGTAAAACCTTCTATGTTTTCGGCTAAAGGAATATTTAGAGGTGGTTTGGCAAAATTTGACATGAATTCTGTTGGACTATCATGGGGTAAATTGTCCAGTGCTTGCCCTGTGTCATCTGGACAATATTCCAGCCGTACCTTCACTTCATCTCCAGTAAAGTTTAGCAAAGTAGTGACAAAGGCAATGTCTGAGCCTAGTGAAAGCAAGCCTGCGCCGGGATTGTCTATCAATTTGAAAGGTTATATTTCCATTAACAACAGAACATTTTGTGTAATGAAATCATAAGATGAAGCTGGATGGAATGCGAGATTATTTTATATTTATTAGCTTAATTGTAAATTATTTATATAGGTAAGAGGGCATTTGTTGCTGGTGTAGCCGATGATAATGGATATGGCTGGGCTATTGCCAAATCTCTTGCTGCCGCGGGAGCTGAAATTCTTCTTGGCACGTGGGTGCCTGTAAGTATATCTGAAATTGCATGGTTGCAATTATCCGGTGATGTTATTGATTTTGTACTGATTATGATTTATTATACAGGCTTTGAACATCTTTGAAACTAGTCTACGCCGTGGGAAGTTTGATGAATCACGCGTGTATTGTTCTAGCTTGTGTTCGATTCCTTTTTTCTTGTTCCTGCATTACTTACTGACTTGGCCTAGTTGCTTCCACTGACAAAGATTATGACTTCAGGCTGCCTGATGGTTCGATGATGGAGATCACCAAAGTTTATCCATTAGATGCAGTTTTCGACAATCCAGATGATGTTCCAGAAGATGTAACTAACTGTGCTCATTGAAGCTTGATTTTTGTTTAAGATCATTGAGACCGTTCTGTAAGCTTGTTTTGTGCTCCCTCCTAATGTTGCAGATAAAAACAAACAAACGTTATGCCGGCTCCAGTAACTGGACTGTTAAGGTACGATATTTATCTCAAATCAGGCCTTGGATCCCTAAATATGGCTGATGCGTCTTGAAATATAAAAAATAGTTACGATCTCTTATTTTAAACAGAATTCAATAGAATTGTCTCACAACAAGGAATTGGCTAATTCAAATTGTTAGATGCTTCTGTAATTTGTCGCAGGAAGTGGCAGAGTGTGTAAAACAGGATTTTGGTAGCATTGACATTCTTGTGCACTCCCTAGCTAATGGGCCAGAGGTATGCTACCGTTGTAATTATTAAGCAATTATGAAACACGGATACATCTCTATTTGATTGAATGAGCTACAACTAGGTAACGAGACCTCTGCTCGAAACCTCAAGAAAAGGATATCTTGCGGCAATTTCAGCATCAAGTTATTCTTACGTGTCCTTATTAAAGCATTTCCTTCCAATTATAAACCCAGGCATGTCTTTTTCGAACGCATAAATTCTTCAGATTGGATAGTGTACACTTTGAATAACACGTTATTTGTTTATCTTTTTTCCTCCTGTTTTAGGTGGTTCCTCGGTCTCTCTTACGTACATTGCTTCAGAGAGGATCATCCCCGGGTATTTTTGCTTTATATCTCTGGTTTGAATTAAATACAAGTACTGCGACTACACGATCTTTAACTATGAATACATAACAGATACGGAGGTGGAATGAGCTCAGCAAAAGCAGCCCTCGAGAGTGACACAAGGGTAAATGCACATGATCTCCAAAGCATCGATCCATTTGTTCTGTCGAGTTCATCCAAGGATCTCTCATTTCTCCTTTAATCAGGTTCTTGCTTTCGAAGCGGGAAGGACACAGAAAATCCGGGTGAACACCATATCAGCTGGTATTTTCGATTTCATCATACTTTTCACCAATTCTATTCCGACGAAGCCAGCTGCACAAAACATTAACACAAGCTCAACTGTCGATTAACTGAAACTCAGGCCCGTTAAGAAGCCGTGCTGCAAAAGCCATCGGATTCATCGACATGATGATAGATTACTCCCTTGCAAATGCACCTCTCCAGAAAGAACTATCCGCAGGTAACTGTAAATCCTAAAGGAACTGTTACATAAAAAGCCTTGGGACTCATGAACTCTACCAATTCTGAGATAAAATTTCGCAGATGAAGTAGGGAACACGGCAGCCTTCCTGGCATCGCCGCTGGCTTCTGCCATCACGGGCGCAGTCATATACGTCGACAATGGTCTGAACGCGATGGGCGTGAGCGTCGACAGCCCGATATTCAAGGACCTTGACATCCCTAAAAGCAGTAGCTAAGGTTAAAAGTGCTTGCAGGCTTTGTAAGTTACATGTGGAAACTATAGAGCAAGTTTTGGGTCGTAGTGATAGAAATAGAGCAAGAAAGGGCAGGGCAGTGCATAAGTCCTTCAAATTTATTTTTGTACGGCTGGCTCTGGACTTTTCTCTTACTTGCATCAATTTTACTCAAAATAAATCGCATTCATTCACTAGAATTTCTACCCCCAAACTGATTGGATGTATATATATTTCTTTTACTTGCATCAATTTTACCCAAAAACATAAGTATTATTAGTTTACATTTTACACTAAGACTTAAAAATAATCAATTATTTCTTAGATATAAATGTATAATAAAAAGAGAATGAGATGGTAAATAGGAGTAAAAAATAATAATAATGCTACGGGATAAAATATAAGTATATATAATTGTCCATTTATGTATAAACAATTATTCTATTCTACCAAAGAAGAGCTAATTATCAATTGAATCTTATTGAGAAACACATTCTCAATAAATATTGGTATTTAGCTAACAGATTATCACATTAATAATTTCTTATAATTTTTAAAATTATAAAAAATTCCAAAACATATCTAGAGATTAATAGTATTTTTTTATCAATTTAAATAATGTATCTAGAAGTGATTAAAATAATATATATATATCATTTGAAAGGAAACCCCTTGATCCTCCAGAGTAACAATGGCCGTAGCGGGTTGCAGTGTAGAACGCAGCACAGTCGAAACGGGCGATGGAGTTAAGCTGCAGGCGACAATTTTCAGACCTGAAGGAGACGAGGAGAATACACAAGGTAATCCTGCAATTGTATTGGTGCATCCGTATTCGATATTGGGCGGATGCCAGGATCTTCTGAGGGGAATCGGCAGTGGATTAGCCAGCAGCGGGTTCACGGCAGTGACCTTCGACATGAGAGGCGTGGGCAGGTCGACAGGGAGGGCTTCCCTCACTGGATTTAGCGAGGTTGAAGATGTCGTCGCGGTTTGTGGGTGGGTGGTACGCAATATCGGCGTCGATAGAGTTTTGCTGGTCGGATCTTCAGCAGGTATTGTTAATTTCTGCGTTTCGGAGTTTTTGAAATTGGTACTGATTACTTTGCAGTCGTGATTTTTGGTGATGCATTGAATTGGATGATTTCGTGGGGATAATGATGATTTTTCGTGCTGGACTCCGTCTCCTATTTGAGATTACTTCTGTGTTCTTGAGATGTTGATTTTTGGAGCATGAAATTAACAATTGAGCAGATGAGAAATGGCTTAAGCTTAGAAACAATTCATTGTTGGATGTTTGCATTGACACATTATTGCTTCAGATTTGTAATCCCCAAATTATTGCAGAGATAATTTCCTCTTATTTATGGAAACTTCAGTTCTTTTTTTGGATCTACAGAAGAAGAAAAGGAAGAGGAAGAGGAAAGTACACATGACCAGAAGTCATATATTTCTTCTTCTTTCTTTCTCTCTCTCTTTGAATCTGCAATTTGATTGCTCTGCATCTTCGGCGCTCCTGATGATCGGACGAGACATGATCAAATGAATCTCTAATCATGATTGTGGAATTTTCTTTGTTTAGTTATGGTTTGGAGGTGTTTTGAAGTTTTTGGTTGTTTTGAAAATAGCAAAGAGTTAATATGAAATTGGCTTTTGATGTAATGTAAATAGCCATTGGATGTGATTTTTTGAATAAAAAATAAGTTTTTAATATAATATTTTAAATGAAAATTAAGTTTTGATTATAGTGGTTTTTAGTTAGAGAGTTTCGTTGAATAATGCGAAAACAAGTTTGAAAGCATAAGTAAATGGATTAGTACTTCAACAGACGCTTTTTTGGTGATGTTAGTTAGCAATTTCTAGGTCTCAAGAACTGGAATTCAACTAAAGTTTCCGCCATTTATAAGAAATGTGAAGATGCATATTATTGTCTTTCTGAATTTGTCGACACTTTTGATGTAAGTGATTGTCGCTGTTTCTGACATGTCTTGAACAGGTGCCCCGATTGCAGGTTCGGCAGTTGATAAAATTGAGCACATTGTGGGCTATGTAAGCCTAGGATACCCATTCGGCCTAATGGCTTCAGTCCTCTTTGGACGGCATCATAAAGCTATTCTAAATTCACCCAAACCTAAACTGTTTGTGATGGGAACGAAAGACGGATTCACCAGTGTGAAGCAGCTGAAAAACAAACTTAAATCAGCCAAAGGCCGTGTCGACACACATCTGCTTGAGGGTGTGAGCCATTTCGAGATGGAAGGTTCTGCTTACGACAGGGAAATGGTAAATTTAATTCTTGAATTCGTTAAATCATTGTAGATGTAAAAAAACGTAGTAGTTTATGATTAACAAAGCCGAAATCCATGACTCTCATCGCTGTGCCACCATGTTTTCATTCTGATCGATCACATGTTAGCCTTTTGTTGTTGTGAAATTAAATTAAATGTGCTGTTTAAGCCTTTGTACCATACATTTCTGAATATGAAAATTGTCGTTCCATCTCCATATTTCTTGCTTTTTTGTTTTTTCGTAGTTATAACCAATAATAAATCGCCATTATCATTTACTAGAAGAAAATTAAAATGCAGACATGATATCTGAACCTAGGTGTTCTTGTTCCTTATTGCAACAGTAAAGTCGAAGAATAATTTGTAATAATGTGTTGTTTAGTACTGATACGTCACATGGCACATGTTCTTCGACACTCACTTTATGATTTCCTCTGCACTTAGACATACTTAGAAATGCACAGCCAAATAAGCGTCACATGTCCGTGCTGTTTGGACCGCTGTTTTATTATATTAGTCTACAACACACAAGATTTGCATCTACGAAGAAAAGAACATTGAGAGGGCTGTTTTGAAAACTTAAGATCTGACTTCTGAGCCTACATTATCCCTCAATATAAAGTGTGTCGCATCCCACATTTTGACGCCGTGTTTTTGTCATTTATAATTAGGATCGATGCTAAACTTCTCGTATCCTTCCATCCCTACTAATCTTTCATTTGTTCGATATGACGAGCGATTATCACAAAGCTACTACTTTTGTGCTTCTTTGTGTTCTCTGCTTCCATTTGATTTGCATCTGTATCGAGAAATGGAGAATGTTGTTGCGTTTGGAGAGCCATACTTGCAGGCAAGATCAAGAAAGATGCTGATGACCGTGAATTCAATGCCGGCAAAGAAGCAGAAGTTCGATGGGGCTGGCGTGGTCGAAGCAGTCGAGAATGGGCTGAGGATAAGACCCCCAAGCTCTTCAAATCCTACTCAGAACAAATTTACATCTTGTAAGTTTGATGAAAGACACATCCCTTCTGCTCTCTTACCATAGCCATATCTCCCTCTCTCTCTCTCTCTCTCTCTGGTTTTTTAGTTCATTCTATTTAACTAATTTTAATTGTGTGTGTTTTTCTTGAATTTGTGATTTGGACGAAGTTTAATTTTGACTAGAATGGGGGAGGTTCTTGTTAAGCCTAACGACGATTTTCGTTCAAACTTACAAAAATAATAAAATAAAAGACTTGTATTCTGCATATATTCCCAAACCCTAATTAAGTTCAATCAAACAGACCTAGACCAAGACGAAGAAGACAACGAGTTGAGTTTAGGATCAGCGTTTAGAATTGAGATCTGAAGGTACGGACATGGCGGCACTCGGACATCAATCACCCCTTCCATCATCAGACACGCCGTCCTCATCGTCGGCCTCACCGACGCATCTTCCTGAACGCACCAAACCCCCGCCTTCACCAGCCTCTCCAGCGCCGCCCTGTCCGCCAGCGCCTCCTCGTCACCGCCGACGACGCTCTCCACCTTCCCGCCGGCGAAGCAATCCCAAACCCAATCCACCAGAATCGGATTCTCCTCCTCCGTAAATTCCAGATTCTGATCCACGCTCCTCCGACACGTGATAATCTCCAACAACAGCACTCCGAAGCTGTAAACATCGACCTTCGCCGTCACCTGCGAGCTCCGAAACCACTCCGGCGCCACGTACCCCTTCGTCCCCCTAATGTTCGTTAGGGTTTTGCTCTGGTTTTTCCTCAGGAGTTTGGCTAATCCGAAGTCGGAGATTCGGGCGTTGTATCGATCGTCGAGAAGAATGTTCTGAGGTTTTATGTCGCAATGAATTATCTGAGTTGCGCATTCTTCGTGCAGGTATAATAGCCCCCTGGCGACGCCGACCGCCATTTGTTTCCTCTGTTTCCAGCTCGGCTTCGCGCCGCCGAACAAGGCGGCGGCTAGGGTTCCGTTCGGCATGTACTCGTAAGCCAGGAGGCGGTGCTGCCCCTCGTTGCAGAATCCGATTAATCGGACTAAGTTCTTATGGTGAGTCCTTCCGATTATGTCCACCTCGGCTTTGAATTCCTTCTCGGAATCCTCGGCGACTCTGTCTAATTTCTTTACAGCTAGCACGCTTTCTGAATCGTTTATTACGACGATTCCTTTATAGACGATTCCGAATGCTCCCCTTCCGAGTTCTTCGGCGAATCCACTGGTGGCGAGGACGAGATCGTTGTAAGAAAAGTAGCATACATTTGGTAAAACGACGTTGTTCCGCGGCTGAATTGGAAGTTGAAGCCGCCGGAATTTGAAATTACCGCGGCTCCGGTGAGCAATGGCGAGGAATATGAGCGCAGCAAAGATGGAGGCGCCGAGAAGAACGGATAATACAGTGATGAGTGTTTTTTGGCCGTTGGTTTTGGTTGATGGACGGTTGAGATTTTCCGATGAAATATTGGTTGATCGGAGTTTCAGAAAGGCTTTCCCGCCGAGTGACCTGTCGACTTGGCCGTTGGAGAGCGGCAGCCGCTTTTTCCAGCATTGGTTGCTCCGGAAGATGGCGGCGCCGCAGAAACAATCGGTAAGGCAGAGGCGGCGACACCGCTCCTCGGTGCTCGGATTCTCTGTCGCATAATCGTTCAAAGGCCAGTCGGTGTCGGGGATCTCCGACAGCTGATATTCATCGCCGCTCTCGCCGGGAAGACACGTCTGCACGTAATCCGGCGTGCAATCGCCATAACTGTTGGTAGGATCGACCAATGAGAATTGCTCCGGGCACCGGCAGATTGGCCGGCCGTCGTTGACACTGCATATGCTGTTGTACCCGCAAGCGCCGGAGCCTATCGCTCCCCTGAATCCGGTGCATATGTTATCCGGCAAGGAATCCAAAACCGTCCATCCTGGATTGCCGCCAGCGAAGCTCCGGGGATGATAGTACTGCGTGAAAACGCCGTCGAAATCGAGAGTTGCTCGGTAATAATTTTCGGCGATCGGCGGGGCGTTGATCACGTCGGAGATCGGAGAAATCGCGCCGTTGCGCCGCACGACGGAGAGGACGGTGACGTTGCTGAAGACAAGGCGGACGCCGGAATTCGAAGCGTTCGCGTTGTCGAAGGTATTTGAGCTGTAATAATTGGCGTCGAAATCGGTGGTGCTAGGGAAGGTCTTCGTGCTCAGCAGGAAATTTCCGGCGGGGGTCATCCTGCCGTAGAATCTTCCGTCGGAGAAATTGGCGGCCGTCGATCGGGAAATCAGTTGGCCGTTGATCTCGATTGTCTGATCTGGCAGCATCGTGTCCGTCGGATTTCTGAAACTCTGCCACAGCCAGGTGGAATCGTTTCCCCGGAGAATAAAATTGCCTGTATCATTCAGGACTGCATCGGCGACGCGACCGGAGAGGTTGCCGGAGGTGTTGAGTGTCGTGCCCTGAGGATCCTGGAGAGAAATTCCGGCGATGGGATCGAGGCGTACGGTGGAGCCCCGGCGCACCGGAAAACTGTCCTTCTCGTACCAGACGATGGTCTGATTGGGAATCTTGTCGAACCAAATGGACAAGACGAAGAGATCGTCGTTTTGAGGGAGTGTCTGGAAGCCGAAGGCGAAGTCGCCGTTGGGCGAGCGCCATGGATTGGAGGTTCCGTTGGCTGTAATGGAGGCTCCGGCGGGTATGGTTCCGGTGAATTGGGCCGCGGAATGCAGCGGGAAGAGTAGAATTGTGAGGAAGAGAAGGAAAGCCGCCATTGCCAGCCCCAGCCGCAGGGAATTCAATTATACATATTCAGATAATTTGAGGTATAGATACATATATAGAAGTTTTGTAGGACGCGTGTCTGGTTTGAGAGTGAAGAAGACGAGACGAGTGAAGCTTCTTGGAATGATGGATGAAGTCCTGTCATTGTCAAGGACAACAAAATGAATTGTATTCCTCTATTCTTAATTACCATTTAGATACGGAGGAAGTTTCCAACTGTATTTGGTTCAATTCGTTATCAAACTAACATTGTAAATAAAAATAAAGCATCCAGTTAGGGTTTTGTGTTTTGGTCAAACACGTGGTTCCTTAATTTTCTAATCCCACGGGGTGTTTTTTGTCCCTTTTATATGTTAAGAGACGTGACGTTGATTTTTTATTATATATATTCTCCTTATTATAAATAAATAAATATTTTTAATTATTTAGTCATTAATATGTGTTTAACCAATCTGGAATTCACTTCCCACCATTAAGTTAATTAAATTATATATTGGTTAACTTAAATTTTCTTATATTGCAATTAATTAATTAATTTTATATGCAAATATTTGAAATTAATTCAATTCAATTGATTAAAAATAACCAATTTATTCAACTTATGTGAGGCGTTCCGTTCCCCGTGGGACACACCTTATTTTCCTGCTTATTTATTCGGTGTTAAATAGTAGTATTATTAATTTTCCAATAAGCATATATAAAATAATTCGATAGCAAATATAATAATGCACCACATAATACGTTAAATAAAAATATACTAATGGGTGTCGAGTAAACTTGTGACCGTAATATCATGAGTTCAAACTCGACGCCTCACGCATGGTTCGTCTAGTATGACTTGTCTCGTCGAATCTAGTTTGTAAAATATTAGATTCGGCCAGAGTTTACCCAGCATGTACTTTTTGATAGCGACTGCGAATTCCCACTTGTATATATATATATTTCTTTTTTGTTAAAATTAATTATATATTATGGGAGATTATATTTATTACTTTATTAGTATTTTTGTATTATATTAATATAATTTGTGTATTGTCTATTGTTATACAGTATTATTATTTTTTTTTTATAGTATGTATTGTGTGTGTGACTACATAATATATTAAGTTTATATTATGTTAATATAATTTTTATATATTATTTGTTTTTATATGATATGTGTTTATCCCTATGTACTACTATATGCTATTCTTTTATATGTTATCATCCATTATTTAATACTAAATTTAAATCAAATCTCAAGAAAAAAAAAAAATCAAATATTAAAATAAGTTTACAAACCCTAAAATAAGAATTCGGACAAAATCTATGGATTGCTTAGGAATTATGACATTATACAAAAAAAAAATAAATAAATAAAAGTCTTGTGTTGACTCTTCTCTATCCGTTGACTTGACTGACTCGACTTCATCCAATAATATCACCCCCTCCCTCTAATCACCAGTCTTTGGTCTGCAGCGCTCCAATTCTCCGGCCGGCGGCAATGGCGGAATTCCTACTCGCCCTAATACTCCTTTTCCCACTCTCCTCTTCAGCTCAGAACACTCCCGCCGGAACTGTACCCCTCGGAGCCTCTCTCACCGCCGACGGCACCTCCGATCCATGGCGGTCCCCCAACGGCGATTTTGCATTCGGCTTCCGGCAGCTCCCCGATAACGACGATCTCTTCATACTATCCATATGGTTCGATAAAATCCCCAATAAAACCCTAGCCTGGTACGAAAGGACCAGCTTTCCGGTGCCGCGCCGCTCCACCGTCGTTCTCGACGCCGCCAACGGAATTGTTCTCCGGAACCCTCAGGGGACGGTGCTCTTCCAATCCAACGCCGTCAACGGCGGCGTCGCCGGCGGATACATGAACGACACCGGAAACTTTGTTCTCAGAAGAAGCGACTCTGCGACGGTTTGGGAAAGCTTCGACAATCCGACGGACACCATTCTGCCAGGTCAGATCATCCCGATCGGCGGCGACCTGACCTCGCCTGCGACGGCGACCAATTTCTCGCAAGGACGATTCTACGCCAGAATGATTAGCGACGGGAACTTTGTCCTGAGCGTGAAATCCTTCCCTTCCGGCACTGAATTCGATGATGATTATTACAATACCCCAACTTCCGACACAAGTCGATCGAATTCCGGGGTGCAGGTCGTCTTCTCCGACGATGCTTCGCTTGCCGTCGTCGGACCGAACGGAACTTCGTTATTCAAACTTACCTCTAATTTGATTCCCTCAGCTGCAGACAATTACTACAGAGTAACTCTCGATTTCGACGGAATTCTGACGCAGTATTATCATCCCCGCAACTTCACCGGCGCTCCGGCGTGGGGAACCGCCGATTCCTGGCCGGGAAACATCTGCACCGGAATCAAGGCGGGAACCGGCAGCGGCGCGTGCGGCTACAACAGCATATGCAAAATGGAGAACCGCCGCCCTGTCTGCCAGTGTCCGCCGCAGTTCTCGTTGGCCGATCCGACCAACGCCTACGGCGATTGCTTGCCGAATTACGATCAGTTCTGCGTCGCCGGCGATCGTCAATCCTCGCCGGAAAACTACGAAATGTCAAACATTTCCGACGTTGATTGGCCATTCAACGATTACTTTAGCCTGAAGCCGAGCACCGCCGATCAGTGCTACAGCCTCTGCCTCAGCGACTGCTTCTGCGGCGCCGCGATTTTCCGAAGCAATCAATGCTGGAAGAAGCGGCTGCCGCTCTCCAACGGCGCCGTCGACACTTCCCTCGGTGCCACCGCCTTTCTCAAGGTAAAAAAAGGCGACAATCCTAACCGTCCATCTTCCGACCGGACGAAGACTAAAGACAGAGGAACCTTAATCCTCGTTGGATCAATCCTCCTCGGAAGCTCGGCTTTCATCAACGTCCTATTGATCGCCGCCGTCTTCCTCGGACTCTTCCTTATCTACAAAAGAAAGTCAAAAACCTCGGTTCGCGCCGCTCCCAGATCGAATCTCTATTGCTTCACTTACAAAGATCTCTTCGACGCCACAACGGGGTTCGCCAAAGAGGTCGGGAGGGGCGCATTCGGGATTGTGTACAAAGGAGAAATGATTGTCAACGATTCTAAAACGATGGTAGCAGTGAAGAAATTAAACCAAGCGTCGCACGACTCCGAGAAAGAGTTCAAAACCGAGGTCGACGTAATCGGCCTAACTCATCACAAGAATTTAGTCCAACTCATTGGATTTTGCAACGAGGGCCCGAACCGGCTCCTCGTCTACGAGTATATGAGCAACGGGGCATTATCGAGCTTCCTTTTCGGCGAATCGAAACCCGGGTGGATCCAAAGGTCGAACATCGCGCTAGGCGTTGCCCGGGGGCTAACATACTTACACGAAGAATGCGCGACTCAGATAATCCACTGCGACATAAAGCCGCAGAACATACTCCTTGACGACAACTACAACGCGCGTATTTCCGACTTCGGATTAGCGAAACTCCTGATGATGGACCAAAGCCGAACGACGACGAACATCCGGGGCACGAGAGGGTACGTCGCGCCGGAGTGGTATCGGAACATTCCGGTGACGGTGAAAGTCGACGTGTACAGCTTCGGGGTGCTGCTGCTCGAGATTGTGACGTGCCGAAAGAGCGTGTATCCGAACATGGAATTCAGCGACGCAGAGAATGTGATATTAATCGATTGGGTTGTCGATTGCTTCACGGAGAGAGCCATCGGAACTCTTGTCGGGGACGAGGAGGAGGCGATGAACGACGGCGGCGGAGAGCGGGTGGAGAGGTTTGTGATGGTGGCGATTTGGTGCGTGCAAGAAGATGCGTCGTTGAGACCGACGATGAAGGAAGCTTGTCTGATGCTGGAAGGTGCAATGGCCGTTGAGGTGCCGCCATGTCCTTACCCGATTTTCTCTGCGACTACGTCTGTTGTTTGAGGAAGATTTTGTTTAATTAAATCAATCAACGGTTGGGATCATCGTGGGGATTATTGCTAAAATAATTTTATATGTCGTATTGTGTTACTGTTAATACGCAGTATGTGTTTGTCAACGTTGTTGTCAAGTTCAATAGTAATAAAATATTAATGATGTCACATCTTAGCCGTCCATTAAGTGCTAATACGAAAGGTGGGGTTTGTGTTCAAATTTATGATACAAACTATTCATTTGTGGGCCCGGATATGGTGGCCCAGTTACTTGTTATTTGGGCTTCTTTTCTAAAAGAAAAAAAATAAATAAAAAAAATAAAAATAAATATTAGATGTGATATTTTGAATATAAAATTAATTTTAATATAATATAAAAAAATATAAACAATGTATAAAGGAGTTTGAAGCCTGAGTCTATCTTTATATAATCAGACTTTTTTTTAGATAGGTATTTATTTTTTAATAGGCATTTTGATTTTACCTTTTTTTGTCTATAAATTATTAGAATGAAATGTATTGGGTATGTTTTTTTGCTAAAGTTTTCTCAATTTTTATTATTTTGATTTTGTATTATTTAAAAGTATATACATTTTTTTATGCGATAAATCATTTTATTAAATATTATTTTCATTTCAAATTCAAACTAAATTTTTTTCAAATCATATAATTACTATAATATAATTCAATTGTTTTCATTGAATATAATTTTTTTTCATATCTTTTATATGATTTATAATTTTAAAAACTATAATAGTATATTTTTTCACATAAAATAACACATCAAATCATTATATAAGTACAAAATATAATATGTATAGTAGAGTATAGTGTAGGGTTGAATGTTGACTATTTCGCCCATAGCCCAATTCGACAGTGACAATATCGTCAATTTTAATCATTTTTCAACAATAGAGGGATATTATATTACATAAAATTCTTTCCTTTCTGTCATTTTATATGAAGTTAGTTATTTACTTTTATTTACTTACATAGAGTCTAGAAGAGAGCATTACCAAAATATTCAATATATATATTTATTAATTTTAAATCAAATATATATTTTGTAATTTGTGAAGGTCAAGCAGACCAAATGAAGTTTACTCCTAATTAATGGTAAATGCAACCTAAATTCTCTGCAGCAATATATGCAGTCCTGCTTTCCCTGCTCCTTCATCGGAATATACGAAACTCTTGGCGTTGACTTCTTAATTGCACCTCGTTCGGCAGAAATGGCCACGTTGACCTTCCTCCTCTGCTTGACACTCCTCTCCCCGCTCTGCACCTCTGCTCAGACCGCCGGAAACGTATCCATCGGAGCCACCATCACAGCCGCTGAAAACTCCGAACCATGGCGGTCGCCGTCGGGAGACTTCGCGTTCGGCTTCCAACACCTCCCCGGAAACAATGGCTTCTTCGTACTGTCCATATGGTTCGACAAAATCCCCGAAAAAACCATCGTCTGGTACGACAGGGCTTCCTTTCCGGTGCGCGGCGGCGCCACCGTGCAGCTCGACGCCGCCGGCGGGATAGTCCTCCGGGGCCCCCACGGCAGGGTGCTGCGACGCTCCGACGGCCTCGCCGATCAGGTGGCGTACGGATTCATGAACGACACCGGAAACTTCGTCCTCCGCGGCGGCGATTCGGCGGCGCTCTGGGAGAGCTTCAACAATCCAACGGACACCATCCTTCCGACTCAGAATATTCCGGCAGGCAGCCAACTGATTTCCCGGTCGACGGCCGCCAATTTCTCTCAGGGAAGATTCTACGCCGCCGTAAAAGACAACGGAAAATTCGCGCTAAGCACGAAAACCACGCCGGAAAATAATTTATTCGACGCAGAGTATTACAGCTTCGGAATTCCCGGCGCCGGCGGCCGGTTGGTCTTCGACGAACGAGGCATCATTTCGGTTCAGAGCCAAAACGGGACAGAGTCAGTTCTATCTTCCAGCTCAAATCCGTCGCCGGCGTCGGATTACTATTACAGAGCCACTCTCGATCCCGACGGAATCTTCGCGCAATATTATTACCCAAAGATTCCTCGTACTCCCGCCGCCGGACAGTGGATAACAGCTAGTTCTTGGCCGGACAACATATGTGTAAGCCTCGCTGGACTCCTCGGCAGCGGCGCGTGCGGTTATAACAGCGTTTGCACCTTGCAAAAAGGGCGGCCTAATTGCCAGTGTCCGCGCGGCTTCTCGCCGGCGGATCCAAACAATACTTCCGGCAATTGTGCGCCGAATTATACTCCGAGTTGCGCCCCGGGATCATCGCCGGAACCGGACATGTACGATGTGTTCGAGGTTTCAGACACCGACTGGCCTTTCAACGATTACGAACAAATATGGCCGTGTTCAATAGAACAGTGCCGCAGCCTCTGCCTCGCCGATTGTTTCTGCGCCATCGCCATTTTCCGAAACGACAGCTGCTGGAAGAAGCGGCTGCCGCTATCCAACGGCAAAGTCGACACTTCCATCGGCGCCACTGCCTTTCTCAAATTCAAGAAAGACGGCGGCGGCAGCAACAACAATCAATCAAACAAATTTGTAAAACAGAGCCGGACTAACCCGACACTCACTCACGTGGTGTCGGGGCTTTTAAGCTTCTCAGTATTAATCAACACGGTGTTGATTATTATTTACATAATTATTTATAAGAAAAAAAACTCAGGGCTTTTACATCCCTACCCGGCGCCGGAATCTCGGCCTGGCCCTAATCTCCGGCGGTTTACGCACAAAGAGCTTGACCGCGCGACGAACGGGTTCAAAGAAGAAGCCGGGAGAGGCTCGTTCGGAATTGTATACAAAGGAAAACTCGAGAACGCCGCGACGATAGCAGTGAAGAAGCTCGACGGAGTAATCGGTCGCGACAAGGCGGAAAGGGAATTCGTGACGGAAATGGAGGTGATCGGGCAGACACACCACAAGAATCTTGTCCGAATGATTGGATTCTGCGACGACGGGATTCATCGAATGCTTGTGTACGAGTTCATGTCCAATGGCACGCTGGCGGCGTTCCTCTTCGGGCAATCGAGGCCGAGCTGGAGGTCGAGGATGGAGATAGCAATGGCGGTTTCGAGGGGGTTAAGGTATCTGCACGAGGAGTGCGCGGCGCCGATAATCCACTGCGACATAAAGCCGCAGAACATACTTCTCGACGACCGTAACAATCCTCGGATTTCGGACTTCGGATTGTCGAAGATTCTGGGGATGAATCAGAGCAGAACGGTGACGAACATTCGGGGGACGAAGGGGTACGTGGCGCCGGAGTGGTTTCGGAATTCGCAGGTGACGGCGAAGGTCGATGTTTACAGCTTTGGGGTTTTGCTGTTGGAGATTGTCACGTGCAGGAAGAGCTTGGAGTTTGGTAATAATGGCGAGGGGGAGATGTTGATGGATTGGGTGTGGGATTGTTTTGTGGAAGGGATGGTGGAGGAGATGGTGGGGGAGGCGGTGGCGGCAGAGGAGAGGGCGGCGGTGGTGAGGGCGGTGAAGGTGGGGATATGGTGTGTGCAGGAGGATGCGGCGGTGAGGCCAAGGATGGGGGAGGTTTGTCGGATGCTGGAAGGTGTCGTGGAGGTGGAGGTGCCGCCATGTCCGTACCGGACTGGATCTACTTTTACTGCAGCTGCCTGATACTGATAATTAGGGTTTGTTTGAGTGCGGTGAAATAAGGAGAAAGGAAGAGGAAGAAGAAATACTTAGGAAAACATGGGACGTTGGAGACGTTAAATTCGGTTTTTTTTTTTTTTTTAAACAAAAAAAAATGTTAATTAAGAATAATCATCACATGAGAAATTACTTTTGAAAATGAAATTAAATCAGCATCCATTGAGAGGACCTGTGTGCTGCATTAAATACATTTTGTGACAAAATTATTGTGTTATTTATACTTTAGCAAGGTCGCTTGGGCCAAATTTGTTTTAATTAAAGAAGACAAAAGGATTCGTTCTTTTTTGAATTTTATCGTATATTTTTATTATTGAGATTTTTTTTTATTATATATTATACAGCAAATATATTTTATATTAAAAAATCACATCAAATAAATATCACATAAAACAATATTTAAATTTAATTTTTTATTATTTAAAAATTTAAATTCAAAAATTAAAATCCACAAACAAACGATAGTCCTGTAAAATATAAAACATAATGATGGACGGTAAAATCATAAGTTCAAAATGACAACATATTATGATATTATTGAAGTGATATATTATGATATTATTAAAGTGTGATATTTGTTTATATATTTTAAATTATATTAATATAAATTATATATTGTTGATATTGGACAAATATGTGATATATACAAAAATCAATTTAAATATGTATAGTATGAATTAGTGTCCTATAGTGTTTATATGAAAAAAAAAAAAAAAAAAAAAAGAGTATGATAAATAAATGTATTTCTGTGTATCTTTAGCCAAAAAAAAAACACCTGATATAACACGTTTTTAGATTTCAGGAGTAGGGTTAGTTGCGATTAGCGGGATAATAGAAGAAAAGGTATTAAAACGCGATTTTAGCCTTAGGGGAAAATTTTGAGAATCGAAAGCGAGAGGTGGCGCGGCTCGGCGGGAGAAAGGATTTTCCAGAAAGCATCGGGGCGAGGAACTGCGTTGTTGAATTGGGTGGGAATGGATATTGGAGCAAGTATCGAGAGCTCGGGGGAGGCGAAGAAATCTAAATCGAAAACACCCAGGAAGTCTAAAGATGCACAGCTTCTCAAGCAGAGTACTGATTTTATTTTATTTTTGTAATTTTAAATTTGTTGCTTAATTATGTGGCTTGTGATGCGCGACAGGTTTTCGTGTTGTTGATTCCTTTTATCTGTCATGTTTTTGTTTTTGGGCAGAATCTCCAGCCGAGTTCTTTGCTGATAACAAGAATATTGCTGGATTTGACAATGTGAGTTTCAAATTTGGGTTAAGTGATCTTGATATATGCTGAATTTCATTACATTTTTTCGCATAGGAAGTTGATTTGCTTTTTCGAATTGGACTAGAAAGTAGTGGAAAGAACTCTGTATGATGAACTAATTGTATCTCCTATGGATTGAAAGTCATCAGACTCAAGTAGTGTTGTTGCAATGGTGTAGATGGTGTTCGTCTGAAAACTTTTCAGCTTTGAGAACTAGTATCCGGGAATGAATTGTGGAACAATTGGGTTGACCTTGGGGTGTACTTGACAGTAGGCTCTTAGGATATTTGATGCGAGCATCCGAATGTTTGCAAAATTATGAATGTGAAAACAAATTCAATCGAACTGACAATTTACATAACATAGTTGAAAATTACACTAGAAAAATAATAGAGATTGGAAAGAATGAAAATATGGTGTGAACTTTAGTGTGTTCTTATCTTCTTTCTTCCACTATTCATTGGCTACGATATTTTTTCATCTTTAATGCCCGTTGATTATCTATTGACACCACTATTTGACTCCTTATTTCTTGTACATTGGGATTGGGCAATGCTTTTGGTTTCCTCTCCAAATGATTAGCTTCATCTACTATTTGGTAGTTGGATCTTGCTTGTATGCCCATTGCAGTCTGTCTGTTTACCCATTGAATTTTGAATTTTATTGTGAAAGTTTTAATGGCAACATATCGTAATGGAAATTCGGCGTTAAAAGTCTGTCTATTTGGACGAGATGGTATGCACTTTAAAAAGGATTGAGGTCTTTATTTCCCTGTGGCTAGCATATGATGCATTTTCTTGGGGGAATTGTCAGAAGGCAGGATTGCAATATACTTCCCTTTGTTAGAGGGTGAATTTGATGTTGGGTTTCCAATGTTTGTTGTCTGCCTGGCAGAAATGTTTGATAATTTAATTTATTCTCCCTGCTTAATGTTTTGTCAGCCAGGAAAATGTTTGTACACTACAGTGAGAGAGCTTGTAGAAAACGCACTTGATTCAGCTGAGTCAATCTCTGAACTTCCCTTCATAGAAATAACAATGTACTGTCATGATTTATATCTCTTTATGTGGTATATGGATTTATATGACAATTGTTGATGATGCTGTATTGACTGTGAGCAGTGAAGAAATTGGGAGAAGCAAGTTCAACTCCATGATTGGTCTAGCTCATCATGAACGTGTTGATGAAGCACTGTATGATGATTTTGAGACAGCTAAGGCTCGGGAGGTACCTTTAATTTATTTTGTTATTTGTTCTGCCTCTTTTTTGTTGAATCTTTAATTATAGTATTTTGGTTGATAGATGTTGTCTGGGATTGTAATTAAATTTCATCTTTTAGAAAAGACTTGCCAAGGAAGCTCGTCTTCAAGAGATTCAGGCAAAGAATGCTGCTCTTGGGAAGAAAGGCAAAGCACCGGCTGCAGCAAAGCCGGTAAAAAGTCGTGAAGCCTCTTATTACAGGGTCACTTGTAAGGTGCAAATCTCATTATTTCATCTACATTATCAGGATTAGTTTGACCATTGATGTAAAAGCATTCGGCTAAGTTTGAGTGAAAATGACATAGAATAACAGGCCACACATTTCTGATGTTTTACATAGGACAATGGAAGAGGAATGCCACATGATGATATCCCAAATATGTTTGGACGAGGTTTTGAATCTGATGCAAATAGCTTTCACTTATTATTGTCTGCTGTGGTTTTTATAATTTGCCATACCTGTTTCTAATACTTCTATAGAGTGGCATTCGACATTGTGAGTTCCTTGTAACATTTCTTTGTTCGCCTTGTGTTTTTTCACCTTCTAAGAATAAAATCTCTGCAGTTCTCTCCGGAACAAAGTATGGCTTGAAACAGACGCGTGGAAAATTTGGACTTGGTGCAAAGATGGTATGCTCCAAAAATTGGCAATTATTTCATATCATTTTTTTTTTCCGCAAGTTTATGATTTATTTTTTGGTACCAGCGATGGAGCATGTTTCAGCGATGTTAAGATGATATGTGTTTCCAATTTATTGTGTGGACATAAATGTCGTTTGGCCAGGTGTCGATTTCCCCCATGGATGAAAATTCATCCCACTTCCTTTTGTGCAGGCACTCATTTGGTCGAAAATGAGCACAGGGCTTCCCATTGAGATCCTTTCATCAATGAAGAGCCAGGGTTTTTCATCATTTTGCAGACTTGATATAGATATCAATAAGTATGATTGATGTATATATATATATATATATCTTTTGATTTGACACTGGGATCTGTTGGATCTTTCTTGGCGATGACACCTAGGAAAACTGATGATGTTCAAATGCAATGATTCCAGGAATATTCCTCACATTCATGTACATGAAAAAAGAGAGAACAAAGAAAAGTGGCACGGAGCTGAAATCCAGATAGTGATCGAGGGAAATTGGACAACATATCGTGTATGATCAGTAATTTTGGCTCTAACCAGGGGTTCTATTTGTTATGGACTTGTTTGTCCTTTTTGTTTATGAATCTTCTTTTCTTTTGCAGTCCAAAATACTGCACTACATGCGCCAAATGGCTGTGATTACACCATATGCACAATTTCTTTTCAAGTTTCTCTCGGAATCTCCTGAGTAATTGTTCTATCTCCCTTTTATCTCTCTCCTGAAGCCTCTAATTTCATTTATTGATATTGTATAGTGATATGTTCTGTTTGTTTTTGCAGTAAAAATGTCACTGTAAGATTTGCAAGGAGAACAGATATTATGCCTCCAGCTCCTCTTGAGACCAAATACCATCCGTCAGCAGTGGATTTGCTTCTGATAAAAAGACTTATTTCAGAAACATCAAAACAAAATTTGTTGCAGTTTCTTCAACATGAATTTGTGAATGTTGGTAAAGCCCATGCCGAGCGTTTAATTGGTAAGTTGTGCTACTTATTGTTATAATCTGATCTTTTTATCGACTCCTTTTGATCTAGAGGTATGTGGTTTACATAATAGGGGAAATGGGTACAGATTTTAGTCCAAAAATGCCGGTTAAATCTCTAACCGCTCAGCAAATTGTCCGCATACATCAGCTGTTTCGTCAAGCGAAATTTGATGACCCCAGCGGAGAGGCAAGTTGTTCCATTCACTCTTTTGTTCACCGTGTTCTTCACACCACACATCAATTTTATTGATGTTCTTGTACTTATCCTTATCCTTGTCGTAATTGCAACTGACTACATTGATGCAACGGAGCAGTGTCTTAGTCCTGCCGGAGAATACAATCTACGATTAGGGATTATAAAAGAGCTGCATCCAGATATGGTTGCCACCTACTCGGGAAGGTAATTGTGGCATACATTTATTACACTTATTCGTTATCACTGAAACATTAAAACTTACAACTGTTAGTCGTCTTCTCATTCAGCGCACAAGTTTTTGAAGGCCATCCTTTCATGGTCGAAGCAGGGCTTAGTTTGGGCGGAAAAGATGTGAAACAAGTGAGTTCTTGCTTGCATTTTGCTGGGAAAGCGGATAGTTCTCCATAATTTCCTTTTCTTTAAATTGCAATATGTTGCATACTTTTACTCAGCATCAAACTTTCTATGTGATCAAATGTAGGGCCTAAATATCTTTCGATTCGCTAACCGTATTCCACTTCTTTTCGAGCAAGGAGCTGATGTTGTCACCAGAACTGCTGTAAAGAGAATAAAGTAAGTGATGCATCCCATTTCATGTATCACATCGCCTTACGGCTTACGCTTACACCTATTAATCCCATGCCATTTTCAGCTGGAACAATTACAAAATCAACCAGACACAAGACAAGATCGGCGTCTTTGTGAGCATAGTAAGCACCAAAATTCCTTTCAAAGGAACCGGGAAGGAGTACATTGGCGACGACATCACAGAAATAGCTTCTGCTGTCAAGGTAAGAACAGTTGATTATTACTTACTCCCAGACACACAAAAGATTCCAGTTAGTTTAAGAGAGTTATTCACATGCAGACTGCGATTCAACAATGTTGCAACCAGCTAAAGATGAAAATAGTGAAACGAATACAGGCCCGTGAGCAGCAAGAGAGAAAACGAAGCTTAAACAGGTAGGTATACATTGTGCTACATATTGCTCACGTCGCAAGCATGAATTAACCTTAAATCTTCCGATCTGCAGGTACATCCCGAGCGCCACAGGTGCTATATATGGGGTACTAAAAGAAATGTCACGATCTCACGCCTCCAAGAAAAGACGGATTGAAGACAAGGATGAAGACTTGTTGAGACAAGTTTCGGCTAAGTTAGTGACAGAAGAAACTTTGCGGGAAAAGCTTGCCGAGCATGTTGAACAGGTAGAGCTTCTGCCTATGGCCATGCCCATGCACGCACAACTCAGGCAATTCTTCTTTTCCCTCATATTTATCGAACTTTTCATGTACAATGCTGCTTGCAGGTCGACTATGAGATGGCACTGGAATACGCGACCCACGCCGGCGTTAATGAAGAACCCAGGGAAGATATATACATCCCAGCACTGGAAGGTGAGTATAAATTTACAGATTTTTACAGCCCTGTGTTTGTGTTCAGATTGGTACATTAATACATACATATATTCATCATCCCTTCCTTTCTTGCCGTTTCTGTACTGCATTCATGGTTGTAAAAGACGATCAATATGATTATGATTGTGATTATGATCAACAGCACTGTATTATTATTTATCTGGTTACAAGCTGATTTTTTTTTTATTTTTTATTATGTGGAACCTTATTATGATTATCCTGTGCTGTATACCGATGTTAATATTCATAGAGAATGTTGTATAGATATATTTTGTGGGAAGTGAATAAATATGCTTTCTTAGAATTTAAGAGTTGCTATCAACATTTACAGGAAATGCTTACACTATTCTAAGAATATAATTTTAAAAAATCAAAATGTTGAAGGCAATATATTTTACATTTGGCTGAGGAAAAAGAGATCATACACCACATTTGCCCTGTAAGGCATGTATCGAGGTTCGACTTGTGACCGTGACGCCATAAGTTTAAATTTCGATGTCTTAGGTCACCTGTCACTACAGCTGTTAACGATCCGAGTCGAGCCGAATCAAATTTTAAGTGTTCGTTAGCGTTTGCGAACAAGACTCGTGTTCGTTCGTTAAGTTTTCGAGCTCGTTCGTAGTATTCGAAGAATTTTTGTTGTTTGAGCTCGTGTTCGGCTCGATTAAACTCGTTTGAATTGGTTCGTCTTATTTTTTAAAATTTATATATAAATTATAAAAAAAAAATTAAAATTATTTTATTTATATATTTTAAATTAATATTTTATTTATTTATAAATTATAATTATATATATATATAATATTTATAATAAATATATTATTTAAACGAACATTCGTTAATCAAATGAGTCTATTTATATTGTTTAGTTCGGCTCGTTAACGTTCGCGAATGAGTTTTAACCGAGCCGAGTTCACGAACGGCTCGGTTTGTTTACCGGCTTGGTTCTGTGGGGGTTTACAATGAAAAAAATATACAATTTGTTTACCAAAATCATGTGATAATCAATTAAATATGTATTATGCATTTTATAATTATAGAAAATGGCATAACTAAAAATATAAACTTACTGGCGTTGGAAAACCATATGCAAAAGCAAAAGCATTTTGATCAACTACACCGGAAAGATGGGATTGAGTATTTTCCAATATATTGTTCTTCTTATTCACAGAATTATGTGTAAAAGTATTTTTCAAAAGAAATCGGATCTTATAAAGCTCCAAAAATGAAAATGGTTTAAGTTTCTCTATAGAAATTAATGCTATGAAATTATTTCTAAATATAGTACTCACATGATTATAATTATGGAATTCACCTAAAAAATTCAAAAAAATCGTTAGCCAATCGAACGAATATTTCCATCACTAGCAAGGAAATTGATACTAGAAGAATAGATACATGTTAAAACTCCGCGAAATTCTGTTAGAACTTTGAGATCTGAAGAAAGAATCCGGCTGCGTACAAACATTGCACTGCTGGATCAAATGGCGCAGCAGCAGCCACCGCACGTTGCCATTTTGGGGGCTGGAATCTTCGTGAGAAACACTTACATACCCAGATTAGCCGAACTCGCCAACCTCTTAGTTCTCAGAGCAATTTGGAGCCGTAGTGAGGTAAATCATCGCCATTCTTATTCTTTATGTTAGGTTTTCTCGCATGAATCGCTTTCGCGCATTGCTTATTGTTAATATCCCTATATCGAAGCTCGAATAATTAGCCACTCGATTACCAGTGATATTTAATCTTATTATTAGTTTTCATGCGTTTGTGATCCGAGAATGAGGTAATTCATTCGTATGAAAGTTGGAGCACTTGGATTAGCCTTGCCTCTTGCTTATTTATGGGAAATTGATGGCAGTGTTAGATGCAATTGTTGGTATCAATTAATCTTAATATGCTTATCTAAGGTTTTTATGAAAAGTCTTCTTCACAGGAAGCAGATTTTTATTGGTTATATTATATTATATACTTTATTATATGATGACAAAAATCTGCTTTATTTTAGAGATAGTTTCGATTTTATGTTGAGTAATGTACAAAAGCATGCTATTAGATGAAATTGATAGCTGTATAAGCTACACCTGATAAACATTTTCCTATGTGCATTTGAGAACATAATTGCTGGAGTATTATATTATATAAGCTAATTGGCATTTTCTTTCCCATTTTTAAAGATGTGACCTAGAAGATGAGAAAAACAAAACAACAAATATATATATGGCTATGTTTTTCATATTGTGAACGTGAACAGAAACTCAAATTGAATTGGAAAGTGTGTCTTGTACTTGGCAGGAATCAGCCAGAGGTGCTGCTGAGATTGCTAAAAAGGATTTTCCAGATGTTCAATGTAAGTGGGGGGAAGAAGGACTCAATGAGATCATTCAAGATCCTTCCATTATCGGCGTGGCAGTGGTTCTTGCTGGACAGACTCAGGTAATTCTCCTCTCTATTTGTGTGCTGTGTTTCTTGGTCATGCTGTCATGCCTGCAAGTGAGCATGCTTAACCCTTCAATTTCATTTTAACTTGATTGTCGACAACTAATGTTTATTTGATAAATATCATGGCCTTTAGGTGAGCTTAAGTGCTGTGATTTTCTTGCCATTATTGATTTTTTTCTGTCTCGTTTTTTTCTTAAAATTAATAGCTCCTGGAGTTTTTGATGCTATAGACACAATAATACATTTCTTTTATTTATTTACTTATTTATGTTTCTGTATAATAATTACTTACGTAGCAGGATACTATGAAGCGCATCACAATAATTCTTCCTTAACTTTCTGTGTTGTGTGGCATTTTTCACAAAATAACAATTTTATTCAGGTGGATATGTCACTAAGGTTGCTGAAGGCTGGGAAACATGTTTTGCAAGGTGATTACCTGTTAGCTCCAGCAGATGATTGAGTGTTCAAGAAACCTTATTATGTTAATATTCACCTACATGACTTTACAGCTTCACATATGCTTTCTGTTGCTCATACAAGGTAAACTGACATTCCTTTTTATGCATGTGCTGGGTGATTTCTGCAATTTCTGGTTCTGTAGAGAAACCCGCCGCAGTTTGTAAGTAAAACATTCTCTTCTTATCTTCTTGTGCTTTTAAGCTACATTCAGAGCACTGGTACCTAGTTATCTTGAGACCAATTTCTTACTAGTTTAATTGATATGTATGCAAATATGTGACTAAAAGAAAACAACAAACTAGCTATTGCAGCATGGCTTAAAACAAACTTCATGACGTCGTTGGCTTTTAGTAAGTGAAAAGGATGACAAGAGAAGTGTTTTTTCTTAAGTGCGGACTGTTTCTTTTAGCTAGTTATCTCATTCAACTTTTATAAAATGTTTAGCTGTTCTCTATTTTTTTCCCTCCGTTGAATGAGATATTCTTTAGTTTATACTCCTTCTGTCACTAAAAATGAGCTCAAACTTTTGGGCATGTGGGTGTGTATTTTATTTTTTGTCTTTTATATTTGTATAATGTTTTTACTAAAAATAAGGAATCGATAACATTTGAATGAAAGATAAAAAAGAAATGTGAGCATATTTTTTTTATGTGACAGAGGGAGTATCAATCTTCAAATCCAATTTTTTGTACTGTTCTGTTTATTGCTTGAATCATGTGGCTGCATTACCTAGTTGCATGTTGTAATACCCTTGCCATCTCAGTGACATATCTTGGTACTGCGTATTAGAAACTGAAGATTATTTTTTATAGAACAAAAAGATATTGATTAGTGGTTTCCCAATACAGCTGTTGCTGAGCTTGAAACAGCAATATCAAAGTATAACTCTATCAACCCTGCCCCGATCTGGGCACTAGCTGAAAACTACCGTTTTGAACCTGCCTTTGTTGAGGTACCCCCTTCACTTGTGGATGCTAAACATGATATTGATCTGTACACAATGGTGAGATTACTGTGGATTTTACAGGGGAAAAAACTAATAACTGAGATTGGAGACATTCTTAATATTCAAGTCATTATTGAAGGGTCGATGAATAGCTCAAATCCTTACTTTTCAAGTTCTTGGAGACGAGATTTTCCTGTGAGTATGACAATATAAAGTGTCATTAATCTCTTTATTATCGCTTTCCTGAATTTAATCTTCCGTTGCTTTGCCCTAAAAACAGTTCCTGCATTGACAGGGAGGTTTTATTCTAGATATGGGTGTCCATTACATTTCTGGTTTAAGAATGGTGAGTTATCCCTCTTTTGTCTAATCATATAGTTCGAGGTAAGAGCTCGTAATGCAGTCTTACCATGAAAATGTGTGTATGCTTTGATTTGTGTATGTAGTTCTTGGAACAAGACATGATATCCAGATATCAAAGCTAGCTGTTATATCGATTAACTTCATGCCTAATGTGTATACATTTTGTCAATAACCTTTATTTATATGTGTAGTTGGCAGGTTCTGAGATAACTTCAGTGTCTGCCCTTACTACCCATGTCAACTCGTCTTTGCCTCCCCCAGATCATATCTCCTCGACATTGTAAGATTTTCGGTACATTAAGTAAAGCTGATTGAAGTTTACACTTCAAACTTCAGCATATTCATTTTGTTTACCTGCACTTTGATTATATGTATAGTCAGCTGGAGAATGGAACTTCTGGTGTTTTTGTTATGGTGGTATCATCAAGATCTCCAAAGGTAAGAAGTGGTTTACTCACTGTTTGTTTTTGGAGGTATAATCGAGGCTAGAATGCACTGGTAACACAATTGCACCATGATTGCTCGTAGATCCTATGGCGTATTGTTGGGTTGAAAGGAACATTACAAGTCGAGCGAGGAGTGAAAGATGGAAAGCACGGATACACTGTAAATATTTCTTTTTGGGCTCTCCAGTAATCAGTTCCCATAGTCACACTTACATTTCCCGAATCTTGATCTTCCGGTAGGTTGTGCACTTCAACTCTGATGGCCAAATCAAAAACTGGTTCTACCCATTCACAGGCGTGACCGAAGAGCTCAAGACCTTTCTATCAGACATTTCACAGGCAGCACTAAAGGTAATGCACCAAATGATGTATATGTCTACAAGTTTAAACTTTTAAGTGAGATAGTTATTTTTAACAATTATATTGCCTTCTCCAATCCACTTCTTTCGGACTTATCTGTTTTCAGAAAGATGGAAGTCACCAGGTCGAGCCCCGCCTCTCCTTTGTTGAAGGCGCTCGGGATGTTGCTGTTTTGGACGCAATGCTGGAATCGGGGAAGAAGCAATGCGCTGTCCAAGTAAAGAAGTTTTAGCTTCCACAGTCAGCATACTTTCAAGGTAACCAGCCGTCGTTGCATCTAAACACCATCATATGAAAACAACAACACTTACATACTTTGTTCAGATTTCTGGAAATCAGGCAAACAACAGCATGGGGAGCGAACCATCTTCGGTAGTTCCTCGCCCAATCAGTTCCAACTTACACAGCCATAAGCTCATTCATACATACATACACACCGACAAACTGGTTTGTTCTTCCTATGCATTAGTTGTCTTGATTCCTGATTTAACTTATCAAGAAACAGTGCCTTTACTTATTTGCCAAATTTGAATACACAATAATGCCTAGCAAACTTGTTGAGCTTTAGTTACAACTAATGCAACACCTTTTCTGTTTGGTGCAATAAAAACTATTCTTTTAGATTTCTCAACCATCCTAACCTAACACTTACTCCAATTGTTATACTGTGACAGTTACAAAAGAACATTTCTTATGGAATATCGATATATATATATATATGTGTGTGTGTATAGATATTTCTTGACATTGTTAAAACAGGCACGCCATTGATTGAGTCAAGTAGTTGGCTTTGGTCCCACCTAGCAAGACTCATATAGCACTGTACCTTAGTTAAGTACTACATGATTTACACAATGCCCTTTTCTTTCCATATTCTTCTGTAACATTATTAGCTATAAAACTATAAATCTGGTAAAATCACATTTAAGTTAAGTGAGTGAAGAATGCAGTGGGAGAAGAAGAAGAAGAAGAAGCAGTCAATGGAAAAAGCAGCGCTCATTGCATGTGAGATTCATTCAATCCATTTGCTACATCAACCAAAATCTGGTGTAGTACTAAAGATGAAACAGCAGAATCATTAGGTTTTATTCTCTGCATATTTCTTCCCTAAAAACTCATACACCAAATCCATATGTGTGATGTTTCCCAGTGATGCAAGTTTTGATTGTCTTTCCAGTATTGTTGCATCAGTTCTAAACTACTCTCATGATTCATGAAGTCCCTTCAGTTTTTTTTTTTTATATCTCTATGTTTATTTAGTTTTCATGCAGAAATGAAGCTACACTTTTAACTTAGAATCTGCAGATAGAAAGAAAAGAAAAAAAAAGGTAAAAAGATGCAGAAAGTAGCACCTGTTCCTGAGGAGTTTGCCCTGAAGCAAACGGCTCCGAAGATCGCCGGCTCGGGAGTGATCACCGGAGGAGACAAGGTCATCTCTGCCTATGACCTTGTCGAGCAGATGGAGTATTACTACGTCCGGATTGTAAAAGCAAAGGACTTGCCGGGGAAGGATGTTTCAGGCACCTGCGATCCGTACGTGGAAGTCAAGCTCGGAAACTACAAGGGAGTCACCAAGCATTTCGAGAAGAAGTCCAATCCCGAGTGGAACCTCGTCTTCGCATTCGCGCAGGAACAGCTCCAGGCGTCGCACATCGAAGTGGTGGTGAAGGATAAGGATGTTGTCCGCGATGATTTCATAGGCAGGCTTTCGTTCGAACTTGTCGAGTGCCCGAGACGTGTTCCCCCCGACAGCCCCCTGGCGCCGCAATGGTACAAGCTGGAAGACAAGAAAGGCGAGAAGCTGAAGAAGGGGGAGCTCATGCTCGCCGTCTGGAGAGGGACTCAGGCGGACGAGGCCTTTTCCGATGCCTGGCATTCCGACGCAGCGGCGGTTGGCAGTGAGGCAGTGTCGAAAATCCGAGGGAAGGTCTACCTTTCTCCAAAGCTTTGGTATCTTAGAGTGAATGTCATTCAGTGCCAAGATTTGGTTCCTAGTGATAAAACCAGAGCACCTGAGGTTTGTGTTAAGGTCATCCATGGAGGTCAGGCGAGGAAGACGAAAACATCCGCGACGAAGACTGTGCACCCCTCGTGGAACGAGGATTTACTTTTCGTTGTCGCCGAGCCTTTTGAAGAGCCTTTGATCCTAACTGTGGAGGACAGAATTGCGCCAAACAAAGATGAAGTCTTGGGGAGATGTGTCATGCTGTTGAGCTCGATTCCTAGGCGCCTCGACAACAAGCCAGTCCCGGCGAAGTGGCATAATCTCGAGAAGCATTTGCTCGTCGAAGGAGAAAAGAAAGAGGCTAAGTTCTCGAGCAAGATTCATCTGAGGATCAGCCTCGACGGCGGGTACCATGTCCTCGACGAGTCTACTTACTACAGCAGCGACTACAGGCCGAGCTCCCGACTTCTGTGGAAATCGAGCATCGGACTTCTCGAACTCGGGATCATAAGCGCGACGGGGCTGTCGCTGATGAAAACGAAAGACGGTCGGGGGACTACAGATGCCTACTGCATAGCCAAGTACGGTCCAAAATGGGTCCGGACGAGGACCATCATTGACACCGGTTCGCCAAAATGGAATGAGCAGTACACTTGGGAAGTGTTCGATCCTTGCACCGTGATCACGATCGGAGTGTTTGACAACGGTCATCTGCAAGGCGGGAAAGACTCGAGCATCGGCAAGGTTCGGATTAGGCTATCCACCCTCGAAACTGAGCGCGTCTACACTCACTCGTATCCGCTCATCGTGTTGAAGACTTCGGGTGTGAAGAAGACGGGGGAGATCCAGCTCGCCGTGCGATTTTCTTGCACGTCGTATCTGAACATGCTGCATAAGTACACGCACCCGTTGTTGCCGAAGATGCACTACGTCCATCCGTTATCCGTAGCCGAGCTCGATGTCCTGAGGCACCATGCGATTCAAATAGTCTCGACAAGGCTGGGTCGATCGGAGCCACCGGTGAAAAAAGAAGTCGTCGAGTACATGCTCGACGTAGGGTCGCACATCTGGAGCGTCCGGAAGGCGAAAGCCAACTTCGTGAGGATAATGACTGTGATGAATGGCGTCGTCGCTGTCGCGAGATGGTTCGATCAGATATGTCGCTGGAAGAACCCGCTGACGACGATTCTGATCCACATCCTCTTCGTGATTCTCGTGATATACCCGGAGCTGATCTTCCCGACGCTGTTTCTGTACCTTTTCATGATCGGCGTTTGGAACTACCGGTGGAAGCCGAAGCACCCGGCACACATGGATGTTCGGGTTTCGCATGCAGATGCAGTGAGCGCGGACGAGCTGGATGAGGAGTTTGACAGTTTCCCGACGTCGAAGGCGACAGACATTGTGAGGATGAGGTACGACCGGCTGAGGAGCATCGGCGGGAGGATACAGACGGTGATCGGAGACCTGGCCATGCAGGGGGAGCGGGTTCATGCAGTTCTGAGCTGGAGGGATCCGAGGGCGTCGGTGCTGTTCACAGCGTTCTGCTTGGTGGCGGCGGTGGTGCTGTACATTACGCCGTTCCAGATGGCGTTGCTCCTGCTCGGGTTCTATGTGCTGCGCCATCCGAAGCTCCGGAGTAAGACCCCGCACGTTTCGACGAATTTCTTCAAGAGATTGCCCGCGAGATCGGATCTCATGCTGTAATACGTAATCAACCCAACGTACTATTACAATTTTAATTTTTTTTTTCCTTTATTCTTTTCTCTTTTCCTCTCATTTGAACTTAAGAGCTATAAAAGGCAATCCTTCTTAATACGGTACAGCTTTGAGCCAAAAAGATCCTTAGGATGCGTAGATCCTTAGAGTGTGTTTTTTTCTTTTTACTGTCCAATTTTAGTAGTTTTCTTTATAAAATAAGTTGTACTCTATAATAAAAGGTTAATATCACGTGCTATTTAAATTAATATTGAAATGAAAACTTAAAAGAAAGTTTCAAAGATAAATTCCATGGATTGCTTGATCATTTTAGAATGAAAGGGAAGCTTGTACTATTTGAATATCACTTAACCTCGTGGATCAAAAACTATCCTATTCTTACATAGTTCTCTGATGTGTTCTAGGCCACAATTCTTTAAAATATATTAATATATATATTGGTCCATATTTTTTAAAGTTTGATTTGATTTCATGGACACTATGTATTAAAAAAACATAAAAATTCATTCAAAATTATTAAATTAAATACTTGTTTTTTTATCTAAGTATATTATACCATTAATCTTTTATTTAAAATATTACATCAAATATATATTAAAATAAATAAATAAAATTATTTAATTATATTATATAAATTTTTATTCTCATACTATATATTTTTTATTAAAATAATATTTTAAATTTCTTTTAATTATATATTACTTTCTATTTTAAAAATATCACTACCACTATTTACATAAAAGACAGTAAAATAATATCATATTAATATACTTCAAAATTCCAAAAATATATTATTTTCACAACTTCTTTATTTCAATTTTACTATAAATTTTTTATTCTCTGTTAATAAATTACATCCAATATCTATTTACATCAATTTAAATGCATATCTTCTATTCAAAATATTTATTTATTTATTTATTACTATTAATTAATTTATTTTTAATGATTTCCAAATCAATCTAAAACCCATCGTAGCATATCTAAACACGTGCTTTCTTCTTAGCATATTCCATAATTAAAAAGAGTACAGGAAAAGGAATATGCACTTGAAACTCAAAGGTTGAAATAGTCGCACCAAAATCAGACTATAATAAGAGACCGGCAAAAGGATTCCTCCTCTGTGAATTACAGACAACAAGGTAATGGAACAAACACTTAAGTCTACACTAGTCTATGATTAACTCCATACCAAAATTTCACCGTATATTGTATAAAAAAAATTGCTATGTTAAAATGTACACGATATTAAACAAAAAAATAGTAGATATTATATAGAAAAAACCCGATTTTCAAGTTAAAATCAATTGATATTAGATGGAGAAATTTCTACATTTTCAACAAAATTCAACGAATTATAATAATTAATGTACAAAAACTTACAAGGTAAAAACTGTGGGTTTTATATTAAATTAGAGAAATTATGTTACTAATATTAAAATAATATCTTATGTTAATTTTTGCAAAAAGATAAAATATATAGTGTATTTTTTAATATTAATATTTTTATGCAGAAGTATATCACTAAAAAATACTAAGGGCACAAACGTAGAGCATTTGAAATGTACTTAAAGTTCCGTATTTGTACGTGTGTATGATAAGGTGGTATACCAGTATTTATTTTTTTGATGATTCGGCAGATAATCGACGATAACTATATAGCTGTCTTCGGGATTCCAAAAACAAAAGAAAACTGAACTATCCATCATCCAAATCAGAAATAACTAAGCTTTTTCATATCGATCGTAACGCGGGAGTGAAGCACAACTTGATCGAATAACTTGGATAATTTACTGTTTGATTGAGACTAGCCTATCCAACAAGAAGCACAAATGTGGAATCATTCCAGTGAATAAGGTAAAAGCTATGGATTAACCGATGATTTACGAACTTGTCTCATGATAAAGATCGTATTTTTGTCATCTACTGCTTGGACTATAAAAAGCATCTAACTTGTCAAAATTCCATATTCAGATCGATCACTTGTGGAGCTTCGGTCGACTTTTGTTACTTTCTTGCCATATGGCACCTCTTCTAAGTCTTCCCTGATTCTACGAGTGTTGTAGATTGTGGACTATGTCTGAACAACCTATGACTACGAGTATTGTAATGACAGAGTTCCATCCTAACTGCTGAGGTGTTTAACTGTTCCAGTGTTACTATCTGTTCTATAGAGAGGTATGTTTCCACATTTTTCTGTTATTACTCCAATGAAATGTACCCAAGAAAGAAACGAGCAAGAAAATATACTAACCGGTAACCATTTCTTCGATGCAGCGTGGAAATGGAGCGTAGGAAATCCAGTGAAGACGAGTTCTCCAAGCTGCATCCGTGCTGGCCTGTCAACACAAGAATAGCGATATTAGGAGGCGGGCCGAGTGGCCTATCGGCTGCCTATGCGCTATGCAAACTCGGCTACAACAACATTGTCGTGCTCGAGAAGTATCACACAGTTAGTGGAATGTGCGAATCTGTAGAGATCGAAGGTGAATCGAACGGCGAACCTGTTGTCGATTAAACTTCTTTCTTTCGATCTATTTCTGCAGCAGCAGCATCGGATGATTCATCAATGCTTCTTATTTGGCAGGTAGGTTCTATGATCTTGGAGGGCAGGTTCTTGCTGCCAGTAGCTCCCCGACGATTTTTGATCTAGCGAACGAGATGGGATGCGAGCTCGAAGAGATGGAGACGCATAAACTGGCGATGATCGATAGCCGGACAGGGAAGTATCAGGACATCCAGGTAGCAGATGACTATGTATCGATGATCTCACTGACTTTAGAGCTTCAGGCAAGTCCTCAATTTGATGCTTTCGACAGTTTTCATCGACTGTATCGAATTTCTGAGATGATCCTTCTGATTCGCAGGAGAAAGCGAAGAACTCCGGCCGGATGGGAGTTCATGCAGTGAGTGATTTAGCTTCTGATCCAACACCAGAATTTCTCGACAGCCATGGAATGAAATCTGTCCCGAAATCTGTCGCATACGGATACACTGCTTCCGGATACGGATTCATTCAAGACATGCCTTACGCTTACATCCACGAATTCACCCGAACATCCATGGCCGGAAAGATCAGGCGCTTTAGAGGCGGATACATGAGTTTCTGGCAGAAAGTTAGCGAATCTCTGCCGGTACGAGTCCTCTGCAGCACCAAAGTGGTGGCAGTTCGTCGCCATTCATCCAGAGTCCATGTCGACGTTGTCAAACAAAATGGAGAGCTCGATAATCTGGAATTCGATCATATTATCATATCCGGCGCTTTCCCTTTCAACTCCCGGAAGACGTATAGATCGTCAGCAGTTACCCCTGCAGTTCCTGGAGTTGAGGTTATGGATTTCTCCGAGCTCGAAAGGGAACTGTTCGGTAAAGTGAAGACAGTCGATTATTACACGACGGTGATGGAGATCAAAGGGTTCGAACATATGCCTGTCGGATTCTATTACTTTGGGGAGTTCATGGACGACCCTGAAACCATTGGGAATCCGGTAGCAATGCAGAGATTTTATCCGAACACAGATATCTTCCTGTTCTGGTCATATGGAAACTCGGCTGGAATCGGAAGAGCTGAAGTGGCTCAGCTAGCCATTGATGCAGTCGAACGAATGGGGGGTTCGGTTGAAAGAACAGTCCTGCAAAGACGGTTTAAGTATTTCCCTCACGTAGGAAGCGAAGGTATGATCGATAACTCGAAAGAATCATCCTCCATTGACAAGATCATAAGCTCTAACAACTTCATCTAACTCGAAAACAGATATGAAAGACGGATTCTACGATAAAGCAGAGACAGAGCTTCAGGGTAAGAACAACACTTACTATGTAGGCGGGCTCATGGCATTCGAGCTCACCGAGAGAAACTCAACCTACGCCATGGCTATGGTTCGAAAACACTTCGGATGCGCTGATGCGTCGCCAAGATTTCCCTACATAAAGGTAACTAATCAGATACACATGATTTGTCTGTTGACATATCGAATTCATGTTTAACTTACGCGCCTAATGTTGTCACAGCGATTGTTTCCAGTGAAGTCGAAGTCTTGGGGCAAGATGCCAGATGAGTTGCCCGCCGGAATGGACTTTCCCGATCTGCCAAGCCTCAATTGCTACCTAAGGCATTGGGGAACCCATAGTATCACTCGAAACAAGATCCTTTACACGTGGTTGAACGAAGAGGGAGTCGCAGCAAGCCAGAGGACGTACGGGGAGCTTCATGCGAATGCTGAATGTATAGCCGAGAAGCTTCTGTCGAGCAATAAGCCAGTGATTAAACCAGGGGACAGAGTCCTTCTTGTTCATCTTCCTGGCCTAGACTTTGTCGATGCCTTCTTCGGGTGTCTAAGAGCTGGAGTGTTGCCTGTGCCAGTTCTCCCACCGGATCCATTACAAAGGGGCGGTCAAGCTCTCTTGAAGGTAGAGAATGTGGCTAAGTCCTGCAATGCCGTGGCGATTCTTTCAACAGTAGGTTATCACTCAGCTGTCCGAGCAGGTTTTGTGAAGAATCTGATATCGTTGTCGAATAAAAATGGGAAGTCCTCTGCGCGATGGCCTGATCTTCCATGGATACACACAGATTCTTGGATCAGAAAATCGACAGGCTTTGAAGAAGCAAATTTGGCATCCGATGTTCCAAAACCGGATGACACATGCTTTCTTCAGTTCACATCAGGATCAACCGGCGATGCGAAAGGTGTTATGATAACTCACGGCGGGCTAATGCACAACGTGAAGCTTATGCGGAGAAGATACAGAAGCACATCGAACACAGTACTCGTCAGCTGGCTCCCGCAGTATCATGATATGGGATTGATCGGAGGGCTATTCACATCTTTGGTGAGCGGTGGAACGGCTGTCCTGCTTTCTCCGATGACATTCATCAAGAATCCTCTTCTATGGCTCGACGCCATCACCAACTATCGGGGGACTCACAGCGCAGGCCCCAACTTCGCCTTTGAGCTTGTGATTCGAAGGCTGGAGCTAGAGAAGAACAAAGCTCTGAAATATGATCTTTCTTCCATGGTGTTTCTAATGGTTGCTGCGGAGCCGGTGAGGCAGACGACACTGAAAAGATTCATCGAACTCACCTCTCCTTATGGCCTTTCCCAATACATGATGGCACCGGGCTATGGATTGGCAGAGAATTGTGTGTTTGTCAGCTGTGCTTACGGCGAAGGAAAGCCTGTAGCCGTCGACTGGCAGGGGAGAGTGAGCTGTGGCTATGTCAATCCAGATGATCCAGATGTTGATATTCGAATCGTTGATCCACAATCCGGTGAAGAGACTAGCGATCACGGCAAGGAAGGCGAGATATGGATCAGTAGTCCAAGTGCAGGAATCGGATACTGGGGCAGGGATGAAGCCAGTGAAAAGACTTTCAGAAACAAACTCCATAACCATCCTGGTAGACGATACCTGCGAACAGGCGACCTGGGACGAATCATCGACAGAAACCTTTTCATTACAGGAAGGATTAAGGACCTGATCATAGTTGCTGGAAGAAACATATACTCAGCTGATGTAGAGAAGACAGTTGAGAGCTCCTCTGATGTTCTTCGCCCCGGTTGCTGTGCTGTCATCGGTGTTCCTGAGGAGGTTTTGCTGTCGAAGGGGATATCAGTGCCAGATGGATCTGATCAGGTTGGTCTGGTTGCCATAGCAGAGACGAGGGACGGTAAACCATTGAATAAAGATCTAGTCGAGCAGATCAAGGCCAAGGTTGTCGAAGAGCACGGTGTAACTTTAGCTGCTGTCAAGCTGATCAAGCCGAGAACGATCAGCAAAACAACGTCCGGGAAGATCAAGAGATTCGAATGCCTCAAGCAGTTCACTGATGAGACACTGAACTTGGCACCACAGCCATTGATTCTTAAACGAGGCCTTACGCGATCTAACACGACTGCAACGTGCAGGGAGGGGTACACACCGCGACCACAGCTGAAGACGAGCATTTCATCATCGAACACGAAGCTGAATTATGTCAATATTGTGGAGTTCCTCAAGAAGCTAGTCTCTGAGCAAACTGGCATTCCTGGCAACAAGATTTCCATTACAGCAAACCTCAATTCTTACGGAATAGATTCGATTGGAGTTGTGCGAGCAGCTCAGAAACTCTCGGACTTCCTCAGCGTGCCAGTTGGCGCAGTCGATATTTTCACAGCATCAACCATTGAAGACCTGGCTACTTTCTCAGAGAACCTCGTGATGAAGTCTCAACCTCAAGATATGAGACATCCGGCACCCGAAACAGAAGCTGACGACATAACTGAAATTCCTTTACCTCAAGAAGTCTCCCTGTCTCATCAGCTGGGAATCGCGGCATTACAGTTTCTTGCTCTCGCCTACGTCGCAGCTTTGCTCCTCATTCCTGCACATTTTGCTACTTCCATTTATCTGAAGTTGGTATCCTCCAGCCTTCGCCTGACGGTGCTAACTCATCAATGGATGCCTTACATTGTTTCCGTAACATTGGCACCTCTTGCTTGGATGTTATGCATATGTTCCACATGCATCTGCATTGCTCTATTTGGAAGTTCATTTCTCCAACCAAACTACGCCATGACTCCCAATGTTTCGATCTGGTCGATAGATTTCATAAAGTGGTGGGCACTGTACAAGGCTCAAGAGGTTTCATCAAAAGTATTGGCTGTCCATTTGAGAGGCACAGTTTGGCTCAACTACTGGTTCCAAATGTTTGGAGCCAAGATAGGATCTTCGGTTCTCCTTGACACAGTCGACATCACAGATCCTGCCTTGGTTTCCATCGGAGACGAAGCTGTAATAGCAGAGGGTGTGTTAGTACAAAGCCATGAAGTGAAAAATGGAATCTTGAGCTTCTATCCAATAAGGATTCGAAAAGGCTCTACGATTGGCCCTTACGCCGTGATCCAAAAAGGAAGCGTTCTGCAAGAGGGCTCTGAGGTAAGTCCCTTGCAAGTCACCGAGGAGGGAAGACCTGTTTCCAAATCCCACAAGACAAAGAAGGTTCAGAAGGTAAGAACTTCAAGCATCTGATCAATCGATCATTGATCTTCATGCTCGAAAGGGATCACATAGTTCTTCGATCCTGTTTTCAGGTTGCGGAGCTGGGGAAAGATGAATTCGATGCTCGTCAAGCCGTCTACCATCTGATGGGCTTGTACAGAGTCGGATTTGTTAGCTCTCTCTCAGCAGCCATGGCCTACGGCATGTATATCCTGCTAAGCAGGAGGAGTCCCAGCGTAGAGCACTTCATGTTCCTATGCATCGCCGGAGCTTTCCACTGGTTTCCTATGGCCATTGTCGCATACGCTGTCATCATCAGCAGCACATCTCTATCCCCGTTAACCTTCTCCATTTCTGTGGGCGCAGCCTACTCAGTTCATGGCGCGATCCTCGCCTTGCTGACAAGCTTAACAAACCATTCCTTATCCGCAGGTGAGGAAAGGACTGATGCTGATGCACGCCTGAAAACATGGCTACGTCACAGATTCATCGTCGCCTGTCATCTTAGATTCGCGAAGCTTCTATCGGGAACAGAAGCCTTTTGCATTTACCTGAGACTAATGGGTGCAAAAGTAGGGAAACATTGTTCTGTTAGAGCCATTAACCCTGTTTTAGAACCCAAACTGCTGTCGATAGGATCGGGTGCCCATCTTGGTGACTTCTGCCGCATCATCTGTGGTTTCTATTCCTCCGATGGCTTCACTATCGGAAAAGTCGACATCCAGGAGAATTCCGTCATTGGAAGCCAGAGCGTCGTCCTCCCCGGAGCAACCATACAGAAAGATGTGATTCTTGGGGCACTTTCAGCTGCACCGATCAACTCAGTTCTTCAAAGGGGCGGTGTATACATCGGATCAGAAACTCCCATCATGATAAAAAATACAAAGCACGAGCTTGATGAGAGGATCGAAGAAATGGATGCAAGATACAAGAAGATTGTTGGAAACCTTTCGGCGAATTTAGCTGCAACGACGCTCAAGGTTAGGACAAGATACTTTCATAGAATCGGAGTAAGCGGAAAAGGAACACTTAAAATATACGACAATATTAAAGGATTACCAAACCACAGCGTTTTCCAGCAAGGGAAGACGTATCCTATCATAGTCCGGCATAGCAACAGTTTGAGCGCTGACGATGATGCAAGGATTGATGCTCGCGGAGCAGCTGTCCGAATATTGTCTGATGATCAAACCCCTCTGTTGGACTTGACACTAAAGACAGGCAAGGCGTTTTATGCACGGACGATTGCTGACTTCGCAACATGGCTTGTATGCGGACTGCCGGCGAGAGAAGAGCACGTCAAGTCTGCGCCGCACATCAGAGATGCAGTTTGGATGTCTCTACGAAACGCAGAAACTTTCACTGAACTGCATTACTACTCCAACATCTGCAGGCTATTCAGGTTCGAAGATGGACAGGAGATGTATGTCAAATTCAAGTTAAGGCCTTTTGACAAGAAGATCAATGAAGATTCAGGCAAAGTCGAGCCAACAGGGATTCTCCCTCCAGAAACAGGTGCAATCCCGCGGGACATCAACGACAACCGTCCCCTGCTTTTTCTTGCAGAAGATTTCCAGCGACGGGTGAGCCTCTCTGGCGGGGTTCGCTATATTTTCCAGCTACAAATCCGGCCTGTACCTAACGATGCAACCGCACAAGATGCCGCCCTGGATTGCACAAGGCCGTGGGATGAGTCCGAGTTCCCCTACACAGACATTGGAGAAGTGATCATCAATCAAAACCTCACAAAACAACAATCAGAGGACCTCGAATTCAACCCGTTCCTGAGATGCCACGAGGTTGATGTCATACAAGCAACATCCGCCTCCCAGAGCGCTTCCATCGACCATGGACGCTCCCTGATCTACGAAATCTGCCAATGCTTGAGAAACAATGAGCCCCTTCCAGAGGCGTGGCGAGCATTCATCGAGCAATCGGATGTTAAAGTGGACCTCTCAGGCTGCCCTGTTGCAGCAACAATGTTAGAAAAAGGGGATTCGAATCTAAGCCAAGTAACACTTGCAAGAACCTGGTATCAAACATCATGGTCCACATTCGCCCAGCCGCTGCTCCAGACATTCCTGCCATACTTCCTCTTGGCATACGTGATCTCCACTCCATTAAAATGGCTGCTATACGCCAAGGCCTCGAGCTATCCCCTCCATTTGCTGATGCCTCTGTTCTGGACAGTTTCAGGCATATGGGCAGCCGTAGCCTGCGCCATGGCGAAATGGATTCTGGTCGGGAAGAAGAAGGAAGGAGGCGAAGCATACATATGGAGCAGATCAATCCTGATGGACACAGTCTGGCAAGCATTCAAAACAGTGGTGGGTGAGTTCTTCATGGAGATGACGAGTGGGTCGATCTTCTTCGCTGTGTGGATGAAGCTGATGGGGTCGGAAATAGAGCTGAAGGGTGGGGTTTATCTGGACACAATGGGGGCTGTTCTGAACCCGGAAATGGTGGAAATAGAGAGCGGCGGGAGCGTGGGAAGAGAGGCTCTGCTGCTAGGGCACGTTTACGAAGGAGAAGGTGGGAAGGTGAAGTTTGGGAAGATAAGCATCGGAGAAGGGGGGTTTATTGGGAGCAGAGGAATCGCCATGCCCGGAGTTGTGGTCGAAGATGGAGGTTGCCTCGGACCAGTCACACTCGCCATGAAAGAAGAGATTATAAGGATGAAAACACACAGCTGAGGCCTCGTCCCCGTAAATCAAATCGAAACCCTAATTAAGCTGACGATCAGAACAGAGCTTCGGGAGTCTGTTGGATTTAGGGTTTAAACAATTTGCAGAAGAAAAAACCCTAGGAATAATGCGGGAATGTAATCAGTAAATCAGTAATGAGGTAATGCAAGGAAATAAAGGTTAGAGAAGAGAAACTTGCCTGAAATTGTAGTGGAGAAAACTTGGAATTGTTTTCGGAGTCTCACGTAAATTGGCAAAATATATCGAAAATGATGAAGTGAAAAATCATGTCGTGAAACCCTAATTGTAGATTGGAGTGGTTTCAGCAAGTTAACGTCGTCGATCAAATGGCTACCGTAGTGCTCCTGAGCCTGACGTGATCGTCGTCGTCTTAAACATGGCAGACTGAGTTGACTGGTTTTACCCTCTCGTGGTAGGGACGACGCCATAATGGGTGGATTTCTCTTCTTGTGTTCAAATAATTTCGGCAGTTCAACGATGATAGTATAATAATAATAATAATAATAATAATAATTACTCAGCACATGCACGATATAGTAGTTCCCTTCATCATGCATTGATCATACGTAGTTGTAGTTGATAGTATGATGATTACGATTAATTATTCAAATTAAAAAATATTACTACATCAACAATATTCTTCCACGTCTGAATTCAAAGTCATAAATGTCACGTCACATGCATTTCCATTAACCAATACTTCCTTTACCTGCGGATGAATGCAAGGGCTATTATTTTTATTTACTTTTTCTTAAAACTTCCAAATGAAGCGGAGAGTATTATATTTGCATTTAAATGGAGCGGAGCAGCCATCCCATCGTGAATCCCCAAACTTTCACCCAAGGGATCGGATCATCACAGCTGAACTGAACGAATGAAGTGTAAGTTGTAATACTATAAAGTTAAGAAGATGATCATCAGCTAATCTATTTTCCATCAGGAGGAGGATTCAGACAGTTATAATATATAAGTAATAATAAGCACATACAGACATGACAATACAATACTGACTGATTGGAATAATAATAACAATAATATAGGAGGAGGAGGAGGAGGAGGTGGGGTGCAGAGGGCACCTCCCTCCCACACTACAAGAATGCTGTTCATAATATCTAAAAATGTCTAACAGGCAGCTCCCAAAGCCTGCCTACTCAAAATATAACAAATATATATAGAGAGCTGGGGATTAGGAGGGGTGAGATGAGTTAGCTTGGTCACTCTCACTCCACCAAAAGCTAACCGAAAAACTGGGAGTAAGAGACCTCACATAGTGCCACCATTTGGGAGGGATGTAAAGCATTTCTCCTTCCTCAAGTATGCAGTCCACAAATTCCAAGTCCATTATTTTAGGGAACTGTTCCTCATCTATGTTGTCCAGATCAACCTTGCAATTACAAAATCAAATCAAATACTCTCATATGGCTGAAATCGTTTGCTTAGACCCTAAAGATTTATAGAAAGAAATCAAGTCCTACATGAAGGGTTTAGGGATTGAAATAGCAAAGAAAAATGAACCAGTTAGGGATGAAAGTAACTTGGAATGTATTTGTTTGTTTGTGCTTTCAATCTTGATTCCAATTTATAGTAGAAAAACTAAAAGCCATCGTATCAAGCAACTAATTTCAACTCAAAGGATCGATCCAAAACTTATTTTCTATTCAAAGAAGATTTAAAAAGTTGCCCAATTCAAGTAATTACTGATGCAGGGAATAAGCAAGCCACCTGACTGGAATTGGAAAGCATTGATTCAGAATGAGGATACAGCTCTTCAGACAATGAGGCAGGGTAGAGCCGAATGTATTTTTTCCCAACAACCTGAAAACAGAGATGCAGGAATCCAAGTGAGGAAGAGATGGAGCTATATTAGTAAAAAAATAAGCACATCCGTCAGTTGTGTAAACAATTTCATCCGTGTGGTCGAATTACACTACACTAGACGCCAGGATACCATCAATCTCAGCTCTTTATATCACAAATCTGAAATCATTTACAACATGATTACCAAAATAAATGACCATAGTTTCATATGTTAGTTGAAATCCTTGCAACAGGAGTGGTCCTCATTATCTCACCCGGGACCTGATACTATCTGCACAAGCAGACGGATATAAAGCCTCAATAGTGTATATGGGGCATAGAACTACATTTACGATACCTGCGCGAGTATGTTATGGTGCGGGTCATGATGCAATGGCGTCACTGTCCCCGGTGGACCGAACCAAGCATTCAATGATTGGATCTCCCCACCACCAGCATAACAGTAGTCAGGGATAACAATATCCTGCTTAAGTTCTTGTATCTGGAATTAAATGTGATAGCTGTTAACAGGTGGTAAAATATTCTCACATCTACATAACAAACACCATTGAAGCAAGATCTGCAGAAGAACAAAAATATGAGGCATGCCTGATCAAACAATTGGTGTTGCGCTAGATATGTCAGGCTGGTAGAATAACAGTTACCAAATTTCATCCTCTCTAGGAACTCGGAAAATGTGAGTAGCTCTTGCTTCCAATCAGAAGATAGATAGTTTTTACCAATCTGCAGTGTTTTTTCACATTGAATTTGAACAAAAACAGATCGAATTTTTACACTAGAAAGAAAGTAAATGGGGAAACGCTGTTCTCACAGGAAAGTGCCAAAGTTGGGCAATCATTTTTAAAGTATTTTTAGAAGATCTAAGACTCAGCAAAGCAGAAGTATCCATCAGAATGGTATATGTTGGTTCATCTGAAAACCAATCAAACAAACACTAAATATACCTCAACTGGAACCGTGCGAAAGCCGGCTACTCTTTCAAGGTAATTCATATCATTCCATCTATCCTTAGCAGGCCAATGGTTCATACAATCACTAATTATAACCGGTGAGCCAGAAACAAAATGTTCGGTCAAGAATGCTTCCAAGGAAAGGCCACTTTTTTTTTCAACTGTATTGCAAGAAAGTGACTTGAGAGGCAATGACTTAATCACCTGCGAGTATAAATCAAGAAGGAAATTTCTTGTTGTGAATCCACAGTGTGAGCATGTCAAGTGAAAGCATATTGGATTTCCATCACGAAATCATGTCTCCAAACGTGGACAACGTTCAAAGCTTAGATCAGATTACTTAGACCCTTACATTTATGGAGGTGTTAAAAGCACAGAAGAACAGATTATTAAAATTAGATTACAAGGAAAGGCATGTAAACACAAAATTCTCACAAATTAATGTAAAGGATTTCAATTACCCAAAGATTACAACCACGAAGCTTCTCCTAAATGCGTTAATCCTAAACAGTGGCAAATTAATGGAGCTGGAATCATTAAAAGAAACTTTCAAATTGAAACCCCAAAAAACTTTTCGATTTCATTACGAAAATTGTGAAGAACGCATATGTTTGTTAGTTAGTGCAATTCGACGACTGCTGAAGTACCAATAATCGTTTCGTAGGGACAGAGTACAGAGAGCACAGAGAACGAGAAACGAACCTCACCTCCGCCAAGTTGAAATCTCTATAAAAGTCGCACTTCTGCAACCCTCCGCCATTATCACTGACCTCCTTCCCCCTCAAAGCAGCACTAGCTTTCCCAATGCACAAATTCAAGTCCTCCCTCAGAGTCAATCCACCCATAATAAGCCCCATGTCCAGCGCCCTGAGAGCAAGCTTAAACTCTCCCGACGCGTAATGGTACTTCGCCACCTGAAGACACGCCACTGCATACGCATCTCTCCAAATCGGAACCACCGAGTTCCACGGCCCAGAGTGCAGCTGCTCCCACGCCATCTCCCTCGCCGCCTCCGCCGCGCGATGGTCTCCTCCCCCGGCCCGAGCAGCCATCGCGGCGAAGGCGTAACCGCCTTCCTCCGTAATCCGCTGCAGCAGCGATTCGAACTCAGAATCAAGTATCGGAGTTTCAAGGGAAGCGTCGGAGGAGCTGGACATCGGCGGTGGCGGTGGCGGTTGCGTCTGAAAAGTCCGGCGGAAAAAGGTCACTTGTGGGAGATGCTCCGGTGCTTCGCACGACGGTTTTATAAGGCACGCCGAAATATCTTAGCTGGAATGATCTAAGGCCTCAGATATTTTGGATATTTATGATCGGACGGCCCTAATTAACCCATCTTCAAACAACGGACGGTGATTAGCTAGGACACGACGCCCGTAAACCTATGTGTTTTTTTTCTCCGGAATATTCTGGAAACGTATATATATATATATGTATGTAAACATAAAATATTAAATTATAAATTAAAATTCCATTGTACGAATTGTGCAATTACATACAATAATAAGCAATCATGCAATATGATTGAGGATGTGACATATAGCCGTTAGCTAGTCTATTATTAATGTGAAATCACAACAATGTCCCTAAAGATATTTTCCCCCTTGTTTTTTCAATAAATTAAAAGATCTGAGAAAAAGATATTTTTTTGTTCCCTTTTAGGATTTGAAGAGAAGTGTAATTCCATATTTGGTATGAAAATTTGTTGGTCAAAATATTACGAGAACGATAAAATAGTTCAAATTGGGTGTAAGATATTTTACCTCGGATCTTTTAGATATTTTAGCTTGCTTGATGGTAAAAAAATTGAATATGTCATGTAATTCTTTTCTTCTTAAAAAAAAGATTACATTAAACAATTTATCTAAACTAAAAATTAAACATTAAACTTCAAAAAATCCAAATTAAGCAAACCCTTTGAGTTTGCTCGCAATTATGAACTTCCAATTTGGTATGAAAAACGGTTGGTCAAAATATTTTAAACTCAAGAAAATATCTCAATCTTAGATCTTTTTGTTTTATTTTCCTCTAATTATACTCATTTGTTATTTTCTCCATGCATATCAAAAATAAATAATATATACACAAATAAAGTAAAATTCGATCAAAATTAATCAAATATATTACAAATAATATAAATATTTAATGCATGTGATTTTTAATTATTAAGAACCAACCTTACAGCCAATACAAAAGCGAAGATCTTTCATTCTTCTAGAGCACAACGAAGGTGGGACGAGGTAAAAACAACGAATGCACCAATTTAAGGGTGTGTTTGTTTGGGGATTTTCCTCAAATACACTATACATTCCATTTTTTTCCTTAAAAAACATCAAATCAAACACCTATTTTTATTTTCTATATTATATTAAAAATTAATTTTACATTTAAAATATCACATCATCACTTATTTATATCACATTATACAACTATTTAAATTCAAAATTTTTACTATTCAAATTTCAACTCAAAATCCAAACCCGAACAAAGCCTGAATCTCTAGCCACACTATTTCTACCATTTGAATAGCAAGTAAGAATTATTTATGTAGTTGTGATACTGTTTAGTTTATTTTTAAAAAAAATAAAGTGTGCTCTAAACATGTTAATAATGTCAAATTTGACCCCTTCAAATTTGAGAAAAAAAAAAAAAAAAAAAAAAAAAAAAACAACAAAAAAAAAAAAAAACCAACATATAGAATAATAGAAAAGAAAATGAATGAGTGCACATTTAGCACATAGGTTAATGATAGATATGTAAGGTCATATAATACTGCTATACATTCCGAGTTAAATTTACATATGTATATTGAAATTTTGTTTGATTGCACTAAGCCACAATAAATAAATAAATAATAATATTTAAGTTAATGGATCATGTCGTGTACTGACAGGGGTGGCTATGGGAAGACCACTGCTCAGCCCCTAATTAAGAGATTGGCATTTTTTTTTTTAAATATTAATCTATTATAATTATTAAATTTTATATTTTTTATTATTATTCAATTCAATTTTAATTTTAAAGATTAAATTTAAAATTTAAATTTTTTTTTTTTTTTTTTTTTAACTACACTGTATTACATTTTTCGAAATTCCATCGTCACCTACACTTCTCCCATTTCACTTTCACATCTTTACCGCGCTGCGCCCGCCCACCCACCCACCCATACCAAAACCAACTTCTCTCTCTCTCTACTTTCTGGATCATCTTCTCTCAATTTTTCTTACTATTCGAACTTTTAGACGAAGCGCTGTCACTTCGATTTCTATCTTTTTCTCTTGAGTCAACACCGTCGTTAGACCACTGCATTCAACTTCTTGTCTAGCCGACGCCAATGTTAGTTATATCATTTTAAAATATATTTAGTCATTCTTTCAGAGCTTAAAATCTATTTTTCATTCAGGATCCCGAAAAAGTCCGAGACGGCCATGCGTGCGCATAAATGAAAATTTGTATTATATTATGAGAGTGATAAAAATTATCTCACATTTAAAGAATCCGACCCTTATAAATTTTGCAAGAATAAGAAATTCATCGCTAAATTCAAGTTTTGAACATGGTGTTTTTAACGTGGAGATTGTCAAGTATAATGGTTATACTTAACATGGTGTTTTCACACATATGAACAAATAATTTGTGATTTGTGAATATACACTTTCTAAGGATTTGTTGTTTTTTTTTTTTATATATAAGTTTGGTATTAAAATAATATACTATGATATATTGTGAGAAAATATATATATATATTTTTTTAAAGCAGAATTCAAATAGTAAAAACTTATGAGTTTTTTTATGTAAATGAACTAACCCTAAATTCCTAGTGGTGAGTGAACAATGTGTGAGAGATAAGTTCAATTTTCTAAAGTAGACCAAAAATACAAACAGGTACATGTATTAGGTGTAACTCAATTGATAAATGACATGACTTACGTTGAATTAAATGTATATAAATTACTTATATTGTCAAAAATGTTGTGTAGTTGAACATTTTGAGTTAAACCACGAAGTTAGTGTATTCAATTATGATTCTTTTTTTTTATTATTTTGAGTTTACATTTCGGGTAGCGGTTAAAAAAACTCGTACGAAAAATTTTGGCACAAATTTGAAAGATGGGTGGAATATTGTTATAATTGTGTAAAATAATATTGACATCAAAATTTTATTATTATTATTTTATTTTATTTTTGTATATTACAAAATGTAAAATATAAAATAAATAATATTAATCTAATTTAAAATTATAAAAGAACAATCCTAAATACCTACCGAACCGTATCCGATCCCTACTCTGCATGCATTCCTAAACCCTAATTAATTTCAGTCAAAGAGACGAAGATGAATAAGACGAGGAGTTGAGTTTAGGATTAGGATTAGGGTTGAGATTTAATTGAGATCTGATTGTACGGACATGGCGGCACTGGGACATCAATCACTCCTTCCATCATCAGACACGCCGTCCTCATCATCGGCCTCACCGACACATCTTCCTGAACACACCAAAGCCCCACCTTCACCAGCCTCTCCAGCGCCGCCCTATCCGCCAGCGCCTCCGCCTCGTTCCCGACGATGATCTCCACCTTCCCGCCGGCTAAGCAATCCCAAACCCAATCCACCAGAATCGGACTCTCCTCCTCTGTAAACTCCATATTCTGATCCACACTTCTCCGACACGTAATAATCTCCAACAACAGCACTCCGAAGCTGTAAACATCGACCTTCGCCGTCACCTGCGAGCTCCGAAACCACTCCGGCGCCACGTACCCCTTCGTCCCCCTAATGTTCGTTAGGGTTTTGCTCTGGTTTTTCCTTAGGAGTTTGGCTAATCCGAAGTCGGAGATTCGGGCGTTGTAACGGTCGTCGAGGAGAATGTTCTGAGGTTTTATGTCGCAATGGATTATCTGAGTTGTGCATTCTTCGTGCAGGTATAATAGGCCCTTGGCAACGCCGGTCGCCATTTGTGTCCTCTGCTTCCAGCTTGGTTTTGCGCCGACGAACAAGGCGGCGGCTAGGGTTCCGTTCGGCATGTACTCGTAGGCCAGGAGGCGGTGCTGCCCCTCGTTGCAGAATCCAATTAGACGGATTAAGTTCTTATGGTGAGTCCTTCCGATTATGTCGACCTCGGCTTTGAATTCGTTCTCGGAATCTTCGGTGACTCTGTCTAATTTCTTTACAGCAAGTATGTTTTCTGAATCGTTTATCACGATCGTTCCTTTATAGACAATTCCAAATGATCCCCTTCCGAGTTCTTCGGCTAATCCATTAGTCTCCTGGACGAGCTCGTTGTAAGAAAAGTAGCATACATTTGGCAGGGCGGCGTTTTTGCGAGGTTGAATCGGAATTCGAAATTTGAAAGCTCGGCGACAGCCGAGGAGTATGAGCGCGGCGGCGAAGACGGTGGCGCCGAGAAGAATGGATAATACTAGGACGAGTGTTTTTTGGCCGTTGGTTTTGGTTGATCGACGGTTGGGATTCTCCGTTGTTACATTGCCTGATCGGTATTTGAGAAACGCTTTGCCGCCCTCGACTCTGCCATTGGAGAGGGGAAGCCGCTTTCTCCAGCATATGTTGCCCTAGAAAACGGCGGCGCCGCAGAAGCAATCGTCCAGGCAGCGGCGGCGACACTCCTCCTCAGTGTTCAGATTCTCTCTTGCATAATCGTTCTCAGGCCAATTGGCGTCCAGAACCTCCGACAGCTGATATTCATCGCCGATGTGGTCGAGAGGACATGTTTGCACGTAATTTGCTGTACAACCGCCATAAACGTTGCTGGGATCGGCCAAAGAGAAGTGCGCCGGACAGCGGCAGTTCGGCCGGCTGTTCTCGACTCTGCATATGCTGTTGTACCCGCAAGCTCCGGCGCCGGTGCCGGTGCTTCGGGTGAGGGCCGTGCATATGTTATCCGGCCAGGAATACTGAATCGTCCATCCTGGATTGCCGCCGGTGAGGTTCCGGGGATGATAGTACTGTGTGAAAACGCCATAGAAATCGAGAGTTGCTCGGTAATAATTGTTGGCTATGGCCGGAGGGCTTTTGGAATCGGATTTCAGATCAGTCGTCTGGCCGTTGCGCCGCACGATGGAGAGCACGGCTGTGTTGCTGAAGGCGAGACGAATGCCGGAATTTGAGTCGTTATTGTCGGAAGTCTGAGTGTTGAAATAATTGGCGTCGAATCCGGTGTTGGAAGGGAAGGTCTTCGTGCTCAGGTAGAAATTTCCGTCGGCGGTCATCCTGCCGTAGAATGTTCCCTCGGAGAAATTGGCGGCCGTCGATCGCGAAATCAGTTGGCCCGCGATTTCGATTGTCTGACCTGGCAGCATCGTGTCCGTCGGATTCTTGAAACTCTCCCACAACAAGGTCGAATCGTTTCCCCGGAGAACGAAATTGCCTGTATTATTCATGACTCCGTCGACCACTGGACCGGGGAGGTCGCCGGAGGTGTAGAGCGTCCTGCCCTGAGTGTCCTGGAGAGAAATTCCGGCGATGGGATCAAGGCGTACGGTGGAGCCCTGGCGCACCGGAAAGCTGTCCTTCTCGTACCAGACGATGGTCTTATCGGGAATCTTGTCGAACCAAATGGACAAGACGAAGAGATCCTCGTTGTCAGGAAGTGTCTGGAAGCCGAAGGCAAAATCGCCGTTGGGCGATCGCCATGGATTTGAGGTTCCGTTGGCTGTAATAGAGGCTCCGGCGGGTATGGTTCCGTCGAATTGAGCCGCGGAATGCAGCGGGAAGAGTAGAATTATGAGGAAGAGAAGGAAAGCCGCCATTGCCATTGCCAGGGAATTCAATTACAATTTACAGGTAGCTTGTTTCAGATAATTTGATATAAATATATACAGAGAGGAAGAAGAGTCAATTCCATTTCATAAATCAGAACGTAAAAGAATTGTATTTTAGGACGCAGTTTTAAGGTAAAGGGCAGTCCTTTCACTGAAGTTAGTCCAGTCAAGATCAAAAAATATTAATTGTACCCACTAATCTTACGCGGAAGTTTACAGAATTTTCAAAAGTATAAAAGAAAGATAAATTTCCTTCTTTCGAATTTAACGATTAGTCAATACTCTGTTTAAGATAAATATAATTAATAAATGATTAAAAATATATTAATATAAATAATTACAAATTAAAATTAAAATAACTAATTAATTTAATTAAAATTTAATAAATAATAATAATAAAGTTTAAAATAAAATTATATAATCATTTTTAAAAAAAATATATATATAAAATATAAGACAGAAAAAAACAACAACATTATATGCGGAATATTTTATTTGCGCTAAATTCTTAAAATTTTAATTATATTTTAGGTTTTTGTTTGTACAGAGATGACTTCGGACCGTTTCATATCGCAAAATCTCGAGTTTTCTTTTATCATCATATACATTCGTTCATCCTTGTATTGTTTTCAGGCTCAACAAGACCTTCAACGATTACGTTCATGGCCGTCGCAACATTATTTTTGTAATTACGGAAGGAAAATTTCAACAGAGAACGTAGGAGCAATGTGCAGAAGAGCAGAGACAGAATTGTCCATCAATGGAGACAAATTTGCAAAGACAGATATTCCATTAAGGTAAAATCCAAAAAAGCATGGAAACATTTCTACAGCGATGCTAGGGATTCATGGAAAATCCACAAAAGCTTAAAGACAAAAGGATGAGAAGCAAATCCAGAACCCTAGACCATACCTAAGCCCTTTCACCCCTAATTCTTCTCGCCAGTTGCATATCCTTCGGCATAATAGTCACTCTCTTAGCATGAATAGCGCACAAATTCGTGTCCTCGAACAGACCTACCAGATACGCCTCCGCCGCCTCCTGCAGAGCGGAAACCGCCGAGCTCTGGAAACGTAGATCTGTTTTGAAATCCTGCGCGATTTCTCTCACGAGCCTCTGGAATGGAAGTTTCCGGATCAGCAGCTCGGTGCTCTTCTGGTACTTACGGATCTCCCTCAGCGCAACCGTCCCTGGGCGGAAGCGGTGGGGCTTCTTCACGCCGCCGGTGGCGGGGGCGGATTTCCTCGCGGCTTTTGTCGCCAGTTGCTTCCTCGGAGCCTTTCCTCCAGTGGATTTCCTCGCCGTCTGCTTTGTCCGCGCCATTGATCAGAGCTGGAAACTGGAGATTGCTTCGATCGAAGGGAATTAGAAGCAATTTGGGATGGGAATGAAGGATTGCGGGAATGGAGATTTATAGGGTTTCAAATTAGTGCTGGCGGTGGAAGTTTTGTAGAGCGGGAGAATCTGAAATTTTGGGATTTGGGGGATAAGCAAATCTGAGTTCAGCGCCGAGGATGTACACCGTTGGATTAGATATGAATCAAGGGTGTAGATTAAGTAACGGTGTAAATCCGAGTGATGCTGGATAAGCCAATGGAAACGCAAAGCATACCCCTGCCTTCGAGAAGACCCTAAACGACCGTCGATAGAAGACCCAATTGACGGTCGAGATTGTAGCATCTAAATTCAACCACCTAACACAGTAACCCTACTGTTGTAAACTCTCTTTTCCCTACGCCACATTATTACTCTCAACGTCCAGTTTGAAATTGCTCAATTTAATTTAAATACGCTAATTAAAGTAATGTAGTTTAATTAAATAATATTTTATTATATTTTTATATAAGTAATTGTTAATAATTTTAAATAGGAATTGATATATAATTAAAATATGTCTTTAAATAATTTAAATGTTAGATCTTGATAAAATATGTGTAATATGAATATTATTTTATAAAAAATAAAATTTTAAACAATACAAATAAATAAATTTATTTATTTATAATTAAGATAAATTAATTTTATAAAATAACGGAGTTTAAATGTAAATAAAAACATTTATTTACTAATAAGTCATAGAAATAAAAGAGTTTTGAATAGATTCTATGTAATGTTATATATTATAAAGTTATTAAATTTATTTATATTTGTTATGTATATTTAAATTTAGTAACTTTACCAAAAAAATAGAAACGGTATCAATTGAAATAGATAAATAAAAAAAAAATTGAGATAATTGAAATAAGACTTAGAAAGTATAATATAAATTAATCTTTGAAAATCGGACTAAGTGGTATCAATAGTTTGGGTGTGCTGGTGTTTGTTTTGTATTTTAATTTGAAGCTATATTTTTTTATATATATGAGAAAAATTGCGTAAATAATATATCTAATAATCTTTTTGGAAAAAATTGTATTGAAATCATTTATGTAATCGAACACATCTTTAATAAAAATTAAATATTTATGTAATTCTTTTTGGAAAAAATTGTATTGAAACAATTTATGTAAAAGAACACATATTTAATAAAAATTAAATATTTATGTTTTTAGAAGATAAGATATAATTAAAGGAGTTTTGAGTTATCATATATGATACTCCTCTCGTCCCATAATTAGGTATTCATTTGTTTTTTTTACGTAGTTTTAAAAATTAGTATTAAATTAGAATATAGTAGGAATAAAGTAGAAACGACTAAAATAACTTTATTAGTACTATGTGATACAAAGGTAATGACATATAAATTGTAAATTGTAAAGGTATTTGTAATATTAGGTAAACGGAATAAAATAAAAAAATAGATATTTTGTTATAATATTATATGTTATGTAATTAATTAAATTTATTTATATCTATTTAAATATATTTAAATTTTATATAAAATAAAGATATATCAATTATTTTAAAAATAGAAAAATATCAAGCGTTGTAAAACGGACATTGTAATCAAACCCAACTATCCGCAACAGCAAATCTGTGTACCGTGAAGGAGAAATCTCCGGCGGCGTCTCGTTCCAGTGTAATATCGTCGCCGCCATCCATATTGATCACATAGTCGTCATCGTCGCTATCCTCGTCGTCGTCGGAGCCGTCATCATTGCCGTCTTCCACAGATAAAGGCACCACCTGATTCAGCTGCCGCGGCAGCTTAGGCGGCGACGGCGGCAGGGCAGTCGACATAGCCGGAGCCCTAATCCTGCCGGCATTCGGCCAATCCACACTCCTGTCCCAAAGAAACACGTGCAGAACAATCGGCACCCCGACGTGGCGGTGCATGGAGAGCCTCCGGCTGAGGGCCGCCGTGTCAAAACACCGGATTGCTCCCGCCGGCGAGACCATCGACGGCAGCACCTTCACGCCGGATATCCGCGACACCACCAGAAGTCTCGACGTTAGGGAGGTCTGTTTGTACAAACTGCTCAGAGCCGCCAATGGAGACGACGGCGGCGCTCCACCACCGCCACCTCCACCGTCAGATTCCGATTCTTCGACGGAGGATATGTATACGAATCCCTGTCGAACGAAAATTTTTATCGAATATGTTGAATCATGGAATCGATGATCATTCGACACCTACATTGTACCTCTTCGGTTTGGCCAATGGCAAACCCGAGCTTTGTATCGGTTTCTTTAATTGCAATCTCGACGGGGATTTCCCCGGCTAGAGGGGAGAACCATAGCCGGATGGCTCGTACCACGCCAATGTCGACTCCATGGTAGTCCTCGAAACCATATAAGCTTGCATTCCCGAGCATCGAGAGCGATCCTGATTGATCATTCACCCTAGAAGAAGCGCCATCTCCCGATATCTAATCATAGTAAGAATGTTGTTATTCAAACGTAATGTCAGCTTATTTAAAACACCATATCTAACATCTATTTCATCCGAAAAACATCAAAACAGAAAACAAATGAACAGATCTAGGTAGGTTCAAATCAAATTTTTAGTTCATATTCTTAACAACATAAGTCGAGCTCAAACATGAAAAATTACTCATCAACCATTTTATCAATATAGTTTGTATTATTTAGAAATATATATTATATGTCAGTCTTTCATTTCTCGACCATTAACAAATTAGTATAGCGCTAATTTGTTCCTTAGCTAATCTCTTATCAATATAGACCAAAATCAAATAATGTGTAAGATATGAAGGACCTTAGCGAGGAGGGACTCGGTTTGCAAGTTGATGAGGACAATGGGAGCACCCGACGCCTGCGAAGCATTTAACCAAGAGTGGGCGCGGGCGAGGGTGTCGTCGAGGTCGTTGTAATGGGCTGAACTCGAACCAGAGGCCTTCGGGAGGAAAAGCATGGAGTAGAAGGTGCTAGATTTGAACATCCGCTTCGTCTTCATCGTCCTCTCCCATGGATATGACACGTAACCATCGTCTACTAAATTCTCTTCCAATGCACTCATCATTCTTGAAATTTTCGAACCTGTTTTTGTATTCCAAATATTAGAGATATTTTTGAAAATTATATACTAATATTTACCAATAGTAATTTTCTTTATTACATCAAAAATATTTTTGCTATTCTATCACATAGTTAATATTTTATTATTTCCAAAATCGAAATATTTTATATTTAATTCTCCTCTTTTATTCTTATCAATACATTTTATAAACCTATTACACACAAAAACTCACGGCAAAATAATTATATAAAAAAGGTTACTACTATCAAGATTATACCATTTAAAAGGATATAATTAAATTAAACTAATAAATAAATTAGAACAAAAGTGGCATTTGATTAATACTTTTGTCACTATAATTTTTTTTTAACAAAATAAAACAAGCTAAGACAATCAAAGCCTTATATATAATTAAAAACTAAAATACAAAAAAAAAAAAGTTAAATAAACAAATTCGACTGATAGTATTAAGAGTATTTTTTGGAACAAAATACTTGACTATTAATTGACCAAAATACTTATAAAAATAGAACCAGACACAACTTCTAAATGATCAATTGCCCATTCCTCACGGTATTGTGAATTAATAGAACAAAAAATCAACATTATAAAATTTAAATAAATGAACAAATTTGAAAAAAGCGATAAAAATTTGTCAAATCCGAAATCATTGTACAAGGAAAAACATACTTCATGCGTCCGCAAAAAAATTTTGAACATTTTGATGCGCATTAAAAAATATATATATATCTTTTATTGATGAATGGATAGTTTGGGTATTTTTTAAAAGTAAATTAAAAATTTTAAAATATGATGAGATAAAGTAATAAAGATAGCGACACATTGTAAGTATCAATTTAATAGGATAAATTTAAGGGAAATTAAAAAGAAAAATAGAAATAAATTTGAAGTACTAGAAAATTAATTTTATTTTATTATTATTTTAAATTTTTAAGAATCACATGTGTTTTTAAAAAAATTAATAAATTATACATATTTTTATTTTTTTATTACTTATACCATTCATCGTATCTCAAATAAAATAAAAATTAAAATTAAAATTAAATGACAAACAAACACACTTATACTATAAATAGGTTTTATCAATTTCGGAGTAATTAAATTGAAGTCTATTGAAACATATTATTATTATTATTATTATTATAATGTTTATTTTATTAATAATTATATTCTCGGTCACATTCGTTCTAAAAAGTCTGCGAAAACAATAAATGCACCTTGCAAATTCAGGCAATCGCTCTCCGTCCGATCAACGAATCCGACGGCGTAATTTGGGTCATCAATCGCCCGGAGAACATACTTCCTCCGCCCGCCGCCGGCAGGCACGATGCACGCCTGCAGCTCCGCGAATGATTCGGAGCCCCGCCTGACCCGTACCCGAATCGAAGTCTCCTTCTGCTTGAAGCAGGTGTGGAGAACCTTCTGAACGCCGGATTTGCCTTGCTTGAACGGCGGCCGGAGAATTACGCCGCCGATCCTCAGCTCGTCCACTATGTCGCCGGTCTGGAGCATGTCTCCTGTCCACTCGCCGGCTCTGCAGCTCCCGTTTAGGCATTCGATTGAGAGGACGATCGGCGAATTCGGAGATCGGTCCATGCGTGTATTTCGTGAGTACGATTTCAGGTTTGAAACGGCCCTGCCCTTCTTATTTATTTATATATTCACGTAAAGTCGTTTCTTTGAACATTGACGTTTTCAAAAGTCGCAATGTTGATATCGACTTTCAAATTCGATTTTTTGTATTTTCGATTTGACAATAATAATTTGCTTAGTATTATTCAAAAATGAGAATAAAAATACATATATTATTGTAATTAGACAAACAAATCTAAAAATTTTATGATAATATTCACTAGTAAAAAAATATTAAAATATTATTTGCATTCAAACTTATGTTAGATGTAAATCTATTTCTAATCATTCAATATTATCTTAAATATCTTTTTTCTCAAGACAATAAATAAATAAATATTTGATAACCTTCATTTCAAAAGCTCTACTTGGTTTGTTTAGTGGATTTTATAAAATTTTTACTATTCATTAATTTTTTTAAAAAGAAAGTATTCAATTAAATACTTATTTTTTTATTTTATATTATATTAAAAATTAATTTTATATTTAAAATATTACATTTTATTTATATCATATTATATTACTATTCTAATTTAAAATTTGTATTATTCAAATTACAACTCAAAATCAAAAACACCCTACAAATCCATAAGAGACCATAAAACAAACAAAAAATAGAATATTGAAGTCTCAAAATTATTTATTAAAATCATATTTGAATTTGAATTATTATGTTGATAAAGAGAAGTGTCAATCCTCCTTATGGTTCATTAAAAAAATAATATTAATAAAATTTTGAAAATATTATAAATAGAATCTAAAATTCACACATAGTTTTACCATTCTTTTATCTGATTTATATATATGCAACAAACAATGCATTTCTTTCGTCACCAAAAAAGAGACATATTACGCACGAATATATTATTATTTTTTTCATATATATTATTTATATATTAGGTCCGAATCCGGGTAGAATTCAACGTTAGACTTAAGTCTTGACCCGACCCGATCAAGTATATAATACACAACTCATATTCATATTGGACACGATATTTGACCCTATTCCATTTATTAGAGTCTATTATAATTTCTAAATTGACCATCTCTTACTATAAATATATATATAGTTCAGCCCAGATCAAAAGCTGACCGACCAAACATAATTTTGTTAATAGAAAAAGCCGAACCAACTTATATATTTTGGCCCGGCCCAATACTGGATCATGCGAGGCTGAAATGGGCCGAGCCCATTGAGACCCATATTTCATGAATTTTTTCATAGGTCGTATATTAAAACATTATTATTTATTCCTATACAATATATTTTATTATATCCGACTATTATTTATCACTTAAGAGAGTTTAATTTAACATAATTAAAATATTAAAAACCATCCCAAAAGGACACGTATGCAAATGTGTGTATATTATATTATGGGTGTAAAGTTGGCCCAGAATTAGTGGTGAAAGAGGACCAGTTTGTAAGAAAAGCAAAGACAATCACATGGGAATTGTCAAGTGTAGTCAGTAGTGTGTGTCATATACTCTTACAAAACATATTATATACATATAATAATAATAATAACAGTATTATTATACTATTGTCCAGGAAAATTGCAATAATTTGGGGCTTAAGTCCTTCCGACACAAATAAAAAATGGAAATGCAGAGGTGAATTTAATAATTATGACATACCATATGTCTTCTCACATGCATTTTCAATATACCATGTAAATTTCTTGATTTTGCAAAATCAACCAAACAAAATCAATTTAAACTTATGCTTTTCTTTTATTCCATCTAACATCCCTTATGGGAAACTATGTTTATATATATAACTTTGATATTATTTACAATAGTATTTTCTTCAAAAAATATTAAACTAAATATTTAATTTATTTTCTAAATATTACTACTTATCAAATAAAAATTTTGTTACTTATAAAAACATTTAAAACTCTAAGACTGTTTTCTTTAATAAATTTCTCATTACGATTTGTATAATTTACTTTATTTTTTCTTTCTAAAAATATTTAATCAAATAGTCTATTTTTTATTTTTTATATCATATTAAAAATTAATTTCTGTCCAATTTTAATTGTCTCTATTTTTTTTTTTTCTATTCCACTTCAATTAACATGTTTCTATTTTTGGTAAAATTTATTAAATCTAAACATATTTAACAATAATAAATTAATTTAATTAACTGCATCTGTATATAACATCACTCATCGTAGGAGACTCCTTTATTTCTATATATCTTATCAATAAATAAATATTTTTATCTATATTTAAAACTTATCCCTTTTTATAAAAGTCAATTTATCTTAATTTTAAATACATAAATTTATTTATTTATATTATTTAAAATTTTATTCGCTATAAGATGATATTCATATTTTAGTATTGAGATATAATACTTAAAAATATAAATGCATATTTCAAAATTCTTTAAATTATATATATTAATTCTTATTTTAAAATGATTTTATTTTTGGCTATTTTTAGCTTGAAAGTTGACATATTTATACTTTTCTTTTCTATTTTTAATTATTTATTTCCTCGAATATATGGAAGAGAATCATATGATGAAGTTGATTTTTAATTCGGCAGCGGTGATTTGTTATAAAATTATATATTTATCTTTATATTAAATCTTTATTTTTAGATATTAAATGAGATTAAAGGGTGTTATTAATTCTGACATGCTTATTTTCGCATTTCAGCATGCTATTACTGTAAGTTTATACTCTCCGTCCCGGCCAAGATGACTTATTTGCTTAAGGACACGGTATTTTAGTTAGTATAGATTGGTAAGTTATTAATAATAAGTTATTATATTATTTTATTATTTTATATGAGTAGGGTTGTTGACATTTTAAATACTTTTAGCATTGTATATCAATAAAATATATACAGATATCATTTTGTAGAGAATAAACTTTTATAATACAAATAAATAAAAAAATTATTTATTTATTTATAATTAAATTAAAACTAATTTTATTAAAAATAATAAGTTTTAAATATAGATAAAAATATTTATTTTATTGAGGAGAGAGATAAAAATAAAAAAGTTTTGAGTGGATCCTACGTGTAAGATTAAAAATTTAATTAAATTGATTTATATTTGTTAAATATGTTTAAGATAAATAAATTTACTAAAAATAGAAAGGTGTCATTTAAAAAAAAAAAATGTCATCTATCCCGGGACGGAGCGAGTATAAAAATAATTTTGTTTGAATTTCCATGAACGTGTTTAGTTGGCAATTTCTTTTTATTTTTTCAATCCTACTATTTAATAATTTTTATAGAAATAGATTAGTTTGTATCATAAAAATATAGTATTTAAATTACTATTTTAAAAAAATCACTAAAAGAACAAACCATGTCAGTATAACTAATTAACAAAATGAAATAGATGGTTAAATATCCATAAGGTAATTTGCATATTTACTATTTGTATTTTAATATAGATACATACTCTCTTCGTCCATCCCATAACAAAGTATTCATTTTTCTATTTTAGTCCATCTCGTAACAAAGTATTTATTTTTTTTTAGTAACTATATTATCTACCTAATATTAAAAATACTCTTACAACTTATAATATATTACAGAAATGTCATTACCTTTATATCACATTTATTAATAAGATTATTTTAGTCATTTTTACTTTATTCCTACTATATCTCAATATAATATATATTAATATTTATAAAACTACGTACGAAAAGCAAATGAATACTTACTTTTGAGACAGAGGAAGTATAATATATGAATTAATACAGTAGATGTTGTGTCAATTGAAAATATGTAATAACAATTTATATTTACAATGTGTATTATATAAATATATTTTTGTATTGAGATCAATGATAATATGTATTGTGTGAAACAATTGATATATGTTATCAGTTCATATTTGAATTTATATATATTAATTTAAATCATATATTATTAAAACATAACACAGGTGTTGTATATATTGATGTGTTATTTTAGAGTTTAATTATTTTTTGGGTCTTTCATAAGAACATTAGTTTGAATAGGATATTTTATAAAATAAAAAAAATTGTATAATTTTATAAAATATCATTATAATTAAAATAATTAACTTATTTTTACCAAGGAATAAGATTAAGATGAGAGTTTGGTAATTTTATATATACATATATGGAGTTGGAGTCGAGTCCCACCCAATGAAAAGTCATTTATTAGGGGAGTATGAAGATGTCCGATTGGGACAAGATTTGGTCTTTAAGATTTCCACATGTGTTGTTAACTCCAATCATTATCGTCTCCCATTTATTTAAATACTTAAATTATACTCCCTACTCCCTACTCCCTACTGCCTACTACTTACATTTCCTTTTATCAAATTAATGTACTTGTTTTTATTTTGTATATTTTAATAAGATATGATAATTTATTAGCTAAAGTATTTTCAAAAGTATAATTAACATAAAAGTTGTATGCTTGTATTTATATATGAATGTAATAATTTTTATTTTATTTTTTTAAATGTGGGTTTTATATTAATTAAATAAGCACAAAAATTTCCATTATAGATTAAAAAAGAAAAAAGAAAGTAAAACATCGAATGAAAATAGTATAATTTAAATAATCATATTTAAATTAAAGTAGATTTATTTTAATATGTTCTTTTAAATTTTGATATTATTATTATTAGTATTATTTTGGTTTGAATCGGGTAGTTTAATATAAAATAGAAAATATTGTATAGTAAAATAATTGAAATCAATCTATAAAAAAAAGGCTTCGGTGACTTTTTTAGTTTTTATTTAAATAATGTAATTTTTGTGGGACCATTTTTATACTTTTATATGAATGATAAGAATTGTATAATAAACAATTTATTTATTTTTTTAAGCAGACAAACATACAATTATTATTTTTTGAAATATTTTATAAATTAATAAACCTTGTTATAAAATAGGGAAAAAAATCAACGAAAAATTAAGGACATCTCAAATAATAATAATAAAATTACGAAATATTGTAAGTGGTATTTTATTCATTTATTATTTATTTGTACATAAAATTTTGTATTGAAAATAGTAAAAATTCAAACTAAACAATCTAATATTGGTTACTTCTGACTTCCATCCATGTCTATTTTTATCAGCATAGTAGGGTCCTATTCATTTCCTAATATTTAAGGCGATATTGACCTATTGATCCTTAATTTCAACTGATAAAAAAAATAAAATTTTGTATTTTTATACTAATTGTTTATATTTTGTGAAAAAAGTAGTGCCATGTTATTGAAAATTGTGTATAATAAATAACATTGATTTTATTTCAAATGCTAAAAGAACACATAATTGTTGGTGCATTCCTATTTCAAAATATTGTTTTGAAAATAGTTTGAATTTGACTACAAAAATATGATAATTTTAATTAAGATAGATGTATATATATATATATATATGATCTTTTGAATAAAAAATATATATTTATATTTTATATTTTATATTTTTTAAATAAAAATGAGTGTTAGGCATGATATCCTTTAATGTGTTTGTTTGGGGGTTTGGATTTTGGATTGGGATTTGAATAGTAAAAATTTTGAATTTGAATAGTTGTATGATGTGATATAAATAGGTATTGATGTGATGTTTTGAATGTAAAATTGATTTTTAGTATAATATAAAAAATTAAAAATAGGTGTTTGATTTGATGTTTTTGGGAGGAAAAAATAAGATGAATAGTGAAAATCGAAATAAATCCCTCAAACAAACACACCCTAAGAGAAAAAATTACTCAGTATGTACATAAATAATTTAGGAAACAGTATTCATAAATAATTTTGTCTTGGTAGGGCAGATGTTACTGTTACATTTAATTCAAATTTAATTATTGGATGTTGTGGGACTTAGACACACACAGTCGGTACTGTAATAAAACGTACGTACTTATATGTCGGTATTTTAAATTAAAGCAGTATATTAAGGTTGTGCTACGGTTCTACAAAATTATCGTTATTCATTTTACAGAATTCTAAATAAAAATATATTATTATTTTTATAAAACATTTAATTAAAATATTATTTAAATAAAAAAATATTTAACACTGTTAAATATTGTCTTACGTTGCTAAATGTGTGAAAATTTCCGTGTAGATTGGATATCCAGATCTTGTCCCACATTGCTAAATGTGTGTGAACTCCCCTAATACATAAGAGCAAAGGGCCACATCCCATAAATTGAGGAGGGTCTGATCAGATTTGTAGGCAAACCTCAAACCATACACAATTTTTTGTTTACTCATGTTTTTCGATTTATTTTTTTTACTATTCAATATTCCTATATTTTATTTAAAGACTATTTTTTTTAATCAAATATTTACATTTTCAAATCTAAAATCAAACTATTATTTTATAATCCCTCTGTCCAAGTTAAAAGTATACAATTACTTTTGGCGCGGAGATTAAGGAATAATAGTATTTTAATTATAGTGGGTAGGTAAAAGTAGTAAAATGACATTTTTGCCCTTACTTTTTTGATATAAAAGTAATGATTAGATGTAAAGTAGGAGTATTTATGGAAAAAATTGGGTATTTAATAAAATGGTTACTTTATAATTGGACGTCCCAAAATAGAAATATGTATACTTTCTAACTGGACGGAGGGAGTATAAAATTACCAGAGTAAACAAATCGTAAAAGAGTGTACATTTTATAAAAAATAAAATTATTTCTACTATTAATATTTATAATTTCCTATAAAAATAAAGTATTTTACTTTACAAAATATTTATATTAAAAATTATTTTTCTTTAAAAAAAAAACCACGTAAACACACCATAAAATTTTAAAATACAAAATAAGCCATGTTAGCAGGGGAATGCAACTTCGCGGAAGATTGGGTACAAATTTTGTTGTCGTTTGAAAATATTAATTATGGTGAATTAATAATTAATTAACAGTGCTGGTCATGTAGATGCAGAGTACACGTGGCCCAATAAAAATACAACCGCTGACATGTCATGAGGGAGGGGTCATATATTATTCAATTCTTATCGTTTTGGTCTCCATTTCTCTCTCATCCAAGCTCCTGGGAGCTCAACTCCACCGGAACGGCAACGTAGGATAATTTAGAACACAATAAATTATTACAATATCTACAAACTTAAAAATTAAAATTATAAATTAAATAATAAAAATATTACAGTAACATGAAAGTAAATAAAAATCACAAGTGCACGACCAATCTTACTGTTTGTTAGTTTTTTACTTTAATTAAAAAATATTATTCCAAAGTTCCAAAAAGTGTTTAATTTTTTTTTTTTTAATTTTTGTTAATTCCAAAATAAAATACTTTAATTTTCACTTATTTTTCTTTTTGAATTGTCATTAAAAATATATATATTTTAAATAAAAAAATTATTATATTCTTATACTCTTTTATTATAAAAGAAAAAATAACTATTATTGTTCACTTTTATTAAAATTCGTCCATTAATGAGAACACATTTGCATGACGGATGAAGTATTATTTACCTAATATTAAAAATATTATCAGTCACGTCTACCTTGTTGGATCTAGTTTGTATTTATATGAGTTGGTATACTTTTATTTTTATTAAATAATTTACAAAATAATAATATTTTAATTAAAATGAGTAGTTAAAGTAATATAAAAATAATTTTATATTTATTTTTGATAAAAATAATACAAATATAATAAATAGAGATATAAAATAAAAAAATTATATATATATTGTATTAATAATTTATTTATATTAGACTCCCTTCGTTCCACATGCCGTGTCTGCTACACTGTAGACACAGTATTTTAAGAGGGGTGTAATTAAGTCATCTTCAATCCTTCACTCTATTTTTGCAGCAGCTACCGTAAAAATGCAATTGATCTACAGTGATTTTACTCAAACTATAAACTTCAATTTTTACTCTAAAAAGTATACTCTCCGTATATTCTTCTTTATATAATTTTTCATATTTATATATTACACTCAAATTTTAATTTATTTTATATATTGTAATCCACTACTATATAATTTATATTTTTTTTAAATTTAAATATATAAAAATTAACATTTATAATTAATAATTATTACAAATAAAATAATTTAAAAAAATAAAATTATACATCACTTTTAAAAAAATAAAATTATATATCATTTTTTTTAAAAAAATAAAATTATATATCACTTTTCAAATAATAAAATTATATACTGTATTATTTTTCAAAAAATAAATAAAATTACATATAACTTTTTAAAATATAAAATTATATATCATCATTCTTAAAAAATAAAAATTACACAATACACAAAAAAATAACAAAAATACACTAAACACCACAAAATATTACAAAAGCTCCTATCTATTTTTGGAATGGAGCTGTACAAAACTGCATAAATAGGGGGGATTTGGGGGTGGGTTGGAGCCCCTTCCCCCATTTTTGGCACAACGAAGAAGGCCTAGTAGATAATTAAGAAAATATTAGTGAAAATAATTATTCTATAATATAAATAATTATAAATTAAGATTAAGAGTGTGTTTGTTTGGGGGATTGGATTGGATTTACACTATTCATCCAATTTTTTCCCCCAAAAAACATCAAATCAAACACCTATTTTTTATTTTTTATATTATACTAAAAATTAATTTTACATTCAAAACATCACATCAACACCTATTTATATCACATCATACAACTATTCAAATTTAAAATTTTTACTATTCAAATCCTAACTCAAAATCCAAACTCCCAAACAAACACACCCTAAGATAATTAATTAATTAAATTAAAATTTTTAAAAAAATAAAATTAAAAAGTTTAAAATGAAATTAAAGTGTATAATCACTTTCCAAAAAAAAGTAACATAGTATATGAAACTGATAGAAATGGCAACGTGACATGGTGTATGGGAAGGAGGGAGTATTATTTAATAGTACTATTTTGGAAGATTATTCTATTCAAAGATAACAAACTCAAAATGGTAAAATAAATAAAAACATTAGCAGATGCTTTAGTCCCGGGAGCGGGCAGGAAGTTTGGGGCTCCAATTTCACTGTCGTCGTCTTCAACCTTATCTCGGAATCCACGCTGACTTGCATGCCCACGCTCTTACTCTTACAGCACATCACTCATGTGCTGGAGGGCACAACCGTCATTTCACTTCCCCGGACTGTATATAACAAACACAGCCCAACTCCCTCCTCCGCCCATCATATACACTCACCAATGGCGGCACTCATAGCTCTGCCTCTGCTAGCACTTCTCTCTCTATCCTCAACCTTCTCCGACGCCTGCCCGCCGTCCGATCGGGCAGCGCTGCTCGCCGTCCGGCAGGCCCTCAAAGAGCCCTACCTCGGAATCTTCAACACGTGGCGGGGCTCCAACTGCTGCCAGAACTGGTACGGCGTCAGCTGCGACCCGGAGAGCCGCCGCGTCGCCGACATCAACCTCCGCGGCGAGTCGGAGGATCCCATCTTCCAGAAGCACCGCCGCACCGGATACATGACCGGAACCATCTCGCCCGCGATCTGCCGCCTCACGCGCCTCTCCAGCCTCATAATCGCCGATTGGAAGGGAATCTCCGGCCCCATCCCCGCCTGCATCGCCAATCTCCCCTTCCTCCGCATCCTCGACCTCGTCGGAAACCGCCTCTCCGGCGAGATCCCAGCCGGCATCGGGCGGCTTAGCCGCCTCACCGTCCTCAACGTCGCCGACAACCAAATCGCCGGCACCATCCCCCGGTCCCTCACCAGTCTCTCCTCCCTGATGCACCTCGACATCCGCGGCAACCAAATCGCCGGCACCATCCCCAGCGATTTCGGCCGCCTGAAAATGCTCAGCCGCGCCTTGCTCAGCCGGAACCGTCTGGAAGGTTCGATTCCGCAGTCTCTCTGCACCATCTACCGCCTCTCCGATTTGGACCTCTCCCTCAACCGTCTCTCCGGCCCGATTCCGGCGTCCCTCGGCAAAATGGCGGTCCTGGCGACGCTCAATCTCGACGGGAATTTAATCTCCGGTCCGATTCCGGAAACTCTGATCGGATCTACGATCAGCATTCTGAACCTTAGCCGGAATGCGTTCGACGGCTACATTCCGAACGCGTTCGGATCGAGGTCGTATTTCATGGTGCTGGACTTGTCGTACAACCGTCTGAGAGGGACTATTCCGGCGTCGATCTCGGCGGCGACGTTCATCGGACATCTGGACGTCAGCCATAACCATCTCTGCGGTCCGATCCCGCAAGGGTCGCCGACCGAGCATCTCGAAGCGACGTCGTTTAGCTACAATGATTGCCTCTGCGGGAAACCCCTTAAACCCTGCTAATTGATATATTAATTTCTAAATTAAATACTCCTATAAAATGTTTTTTTTTTTAAAAAAAAAATTATTATAATTTATATAAATGTAGAGAAATTCTAGTTTATATTAGATTTGGCCACCACAATAAAATATAGCGTATGTGAGTTTATGAGTGTGGTTGAATAAAATTTAAACTAGAATTTCTCGCATATGTAATAGAGGAAATATTTGTCTGTACGTATTGTGGAAATTAATTTATATCAATCAAATATGTTTTGTTTTTTTGGTGGCTGCAGCTATAAGCCTATAACGTTACTGTTTGTAGGTTTGATATACGTAATTTTATATATTCAATAATTGATTTCCGCCGAGCCATTTATTAGTATTATTTTGCATGCAATAATTGAATAATCTCCTAAGTAATGTATTAATTTATTGCGTGAGGTCATGTGAATCTGGGGCAAGTCACGTGGGTGGTGCAATGAATAAAAGGAATTGAATTCGGCCGTGAGTAACACCTCCCCCTAATATCTCTATCCCATTCCCATCCCCCACACGATCATCAAAATCCAACGGTGTGGATTCAATTTGTCAGCTCCCAAGGAAGATTCCAAATTAATAGATGAATTGCTAACACATCCAGCTCCATATGTTTGATACATATATATATATATATATATTCTTTTTTATTTGGTGACAAATATGCCAATTATGTATATGATACATTAAAAATAGTAAAATAGTTTTTTCTTTTTTAATAGTGTTGCTCTCAAGTTTAATTACCCTAAGTAGTATTGAAATAAACAGTATAAGACTCATCTCTGAGGCTATACAACGGAACCATCACAAAATTCCTCTTCACGCCTTTCCCCACAAAGCTCATCGGATCATACTTCATCATCCCTTCCTGCACCACAAAGCGCGCTCCGGCGCCGGCGCCGGAGCAGTTAAGCATCACACCGGAACCACTACCGGCATCGCCGTACACATAACAGCCCTTCATAGTTGCAGACTCGAGGGATACCGTTCCATTGTCGCCGTCCATCCCGTCGATCATACGGAAAACAGAGGATTGCTCCGACGGATCCGAGATTTCAAGAGGTTCTCCGTTTCCATAATGCACCATGACCTTCCCGGGATAATCGAACGGTTCGAGCATGACCAATTTTCCAGCAGCATTGTTTTCGGATTGCGAGTTATTTACGATGATGATTCTGAATGTTGCTCTAACGGCTGCATCGGTTCCCGGCTGCGGCGATGCTTGCGCTTTTATCACATGTTCGGAGTTCGTCAGGACGTACGAGGAGCCGTTGAATTCTTGCGAGAGAGTGATCAAATGAGAGTTGTAGTGAGACGGAACCGGAGTGATGCAATCCGTCCCAACTTTCATGTCCCAATCGCCGTTGGAAAGACCCGCGAGAACGTAGGGGCCGTAGAGAACTGCATGAACCGAAGCAAACTCCGGCCGGTCGTCTGCAAGACGTTAATTTATCGATTACCTTCAAATACGCGCAATAGCGACGACATGACAAAATATTAAGCTTTGAAAGCGGATATACCTTTAATCGCCTCGGTTCTTAGGCTCATTCGCAGCTCAAGATTGATTCGATCTCCCGGGATCCAACTCCTAGTGATCGACAAGAAAGTGCCTGCGTAAAACACACAAAGAATGAATTACTCCCCAATGCAAAATGTAGCAAAGATCTTATGGACGGGAGATTCTGAACATCGCACCAGGTTGTGGCAATGACAAATCTCGACCGTTCAAAGACGCCTTGGAAGCATTTCGATACGTCCATTGTGGAATCCTCATTTTCAAGGTTGATTGTTTAGCTTCCGCTGGCTGCAAGAGGTCGAAATTCAGACAAAGCACACAACGGTTTATGTATACGCTAATTTTTCTCTCCGTACCCTCTTCGATGAAACTGTCAATGTAACACGAAGTGTTTGATCCCATGAAACAACTGGCTCGACTCTTTGATTCAATGAAATCCGTCCCGATCTCCAGTCGAGGGAGCTAGAAATATACTGTGTGACATAAAGCCTCGGGACGTTTCCCTCTTCTTCAAAGTATATTGAATCGCCTAGTTTCGCGAACGTCTCGATTCCTGAAGTTGCAATTAGTAGCAAGACCATAATAATCAAACAGATACATATATATATATATACAGGGTTTCGAGATAAAATCGATGCTCTTACCTGTACCGTAACAGCACCAAAAAGAATCAAACTTTGTTCCCCATCCATGGTAAGTTCGGGCCTTGGAGCCGCCGGGTTGCAAAGGTAACATATAGATCATAACTCCGGGATCCCTTCCTCGTTGGATGCCCAAAATGCCGTTCGTCAAAGCTCTTTCGTAGTAATCTGCATACGCCATTTCTTGGGTCCATCTGAAGAGATGCCGAGAAACCTACAGAACACAAGCGGGCAGTAACCTGTCATCGTGATCGATTACAGAAAATCGAAAAAAATTCAAACTTGGCGGTGTATACCTTCAACATGTTGTAAGTCGTACACGACTCTTGATTCTCCGTCTCCAGAGTACTCGCTAATCGTTTCGGATCAGTCCTACATACAAAGAAAGCTCGATTGAGTGAACATCGGGTCGAACTAAACAAAATTCGAAGCAAAGATTCAACAGAGGCCTCTACCAGAATTCGCTAACCGATGTTCCTCCCGTTGCGTAGCTGTGCGACGAGTTCACTATCTCCATGAAGAATGTTCCGATATCCTGTCAACTCACAGAAGATCGTAAATTTTTGAGCACAGATAAGAAGCCGGAAACATTAATAAAACTACGAGCGATGCATCTTTACCCTATAAAGTGGCTCGCCGGTAACTTCATACCTCCGTTGCGCGCCAATCACAATCGGGATATGTGTATTGGCATGAAATCCCGATATATCATCAGCCTACATTAATCAACACCCAATTACGACACCTCATACATTCATCCGAAAATAACCAAAAGTTCGATCAAGTCGAACTCAAGACACCTTACTTTCATCGCCAGCAATCCCAAAAAACAGGGCTTGTCGAACAAATGAGCCAGCAATAAATGCATTCTTTCGCCCTGAAAATCCAAATTCATACGACAGCATCAATCATTGCAATAAGAAGACACACATTATATTACATTCCTACATAAGGATGAATAAAAATCGACGTAAGAACAAGCGGGGATTCGCGAATGCTCACCGTTATTGCATACAACCTATAGAGGACATCGTTCATGCCACCGGTTTCTTCGTTCAGTGACTGCCAGTGGCGTTCGACAGTGTGCTTCGATATCACATTACGCACGCGGCTGTCGAAGTAATCGACCATCCATTTTGCCATTTTCAAAGCTCCAACACTTCCGGCGAGACTGTACTGATCCAAAAGTCCAGCCAATATCTGCAAATTGCTCCAATTGAATCGACAAATTCAACAACAAGATCGAAACATGATCATATGAATTCAATCCCAACATGAACTAACTACAAACTTCTTACAACCTTGTGAATTGTATAATAAGGAGCCCAGACAGACTGCAACGCCTCGAAACGGTCAAATAATTCGGACGGAAACGCCGAGAGGTAGCCGGAGCCGATCTTCTGCTGGCACTCCGACAGCGCAGAAACGACCGACGACATCCTCTGTCTCAACCCGACATCGTGTGTGCTCGCCCACATTTGCGCAGATGCGCTCAAATAATGCCCTAATTTAGACCAAATCCGCCATTGAAATAACTGAAGAGTTGTCAACAAAAACAAAGAACAGAAACAACTGACCTACAAAATGACCGCGAAGCTCGACGTCGGGCGCCTCCCAGCCGCCGTAGGGCTCGCCGGGAGTTTCGAGTCCGGCGGTCTTCCGGAAACTCCAAACCAATCGATCGACATCCAGAAGTAATAGATAGTCCAAATTGGTTTGCTGAGCGACGCCGTGTATCGAATTTGGGGATAATCTTACATCGTGCAGCGAGATTTCTTTCAGAAACCCTAATTCGCTGTCCCGACGAGGGCGGGTGTCGGTTTTGAGGCTGAGTAGGCTGTCCCAATGAGCGCCGCCGTCCTCCGCCGTCAGAAATCGCCGGGAGGATTGACGATCGGTCGCCGGAATCAATTTGAAATCGATTGACGAATTGTTGGAGGAGAATAATTGGTAGCGGTAAGTGTGCGACGGCGACGGCAAGCCCAGGCCGGTGTTGGTGCAGACCTTGCCGGCGGAGACGATGGCGAAGAAGAGAGGGAAGACGATAGCCATAGCCATAGCGGAGATTGGTTTCGTAGTTGACTAGTGACTACTGAAAGTGGTTATGTGGAAATGGAAATGGAGGTTTGGATGGATTGAAGAAGTCGACGGGAAATTGGAAATTGACAGCGGTGGTAAGTGGTAACTGATGGGCGAGGAGAGAGTGACGTTCAGCATCCACATTAAATACTCATCTGGCAATCGAAAGGCGGTATATTGCTTATTTTTAATAGGAAATAATATTATTTTATTAATAAGATAAAATAAGTAAGAAGATTTTTACAAATACGCACCTGTGAATATGGACTACTTATAAATTCTTTTATTTTTTTAAATTAAAGGTTGACTATATATTTGTAATATTTTACTCCATTTGAAATGAGTAAAATAATTAATTTTAATATAATTGTATTTTTCAAAAATTTGAATTTCAAAGAGAAAATTTGTGGAGAGACTGAATTAATTTTTTTTTTGTTCTTGTTTGATTTAATATTTTATTAGAAAAAATTATATGTATAAACTAAGAAATTCAAAAAGCAAATGTGTTTCTTTGGAATTTTCTTTTTATTTAAAATTTATTCTTTTAAAAAATAAAATAATTTTTTTCATAAAGTACTATTTAAATATAAAAATTAAAAAGTAAAACTTTCAATCTAAACATAAAGTAGACATATCTTATAGGTTTGTTTTTTATTTTGATTTGAAATTAAAATTATTACTAACGTTAAGTATCCCACATTAATTTAATGTTGAGATTCTTCTACTGCTTATAAAGGGTGAAAGGTTACTCTATTTACAATCAATTGAATTTAAGTTGTAACTTCGGATCTCCATCTTAATATGGTATCGAAAAGGCTACTCTATTAACAACTCTATTTTTTACAATTTTTTAAGTAAAACAAATATTTTTTTTTATAGAATTATTTAAATATTAAAAGACGCGCAAAAATAATAAATAATAATAATAAATACAATAAAGAATTCGGGCATCTAAATATTTTTAATCAAAATAAAAACAATTGTTATTATTATTTATTTTAAATTTAAAACAATTGTTACGTGTAAAAATAATAATACTAATAAATACAATAAAGAATTCGGGCATCTAAATATTTTTAATCAAAATCAAAACAATTATTATTATTATTTATTTTAAATTTAAAACAATTGTTACGTGCAAAAATAATATAACAAAATATATTTTGAACATATAAATAATATTTTTTCAGTCATCTAAATATTTTAAATCAAAATCAAATAAATTTAACTATGGCATACAATATTTATTTTATATCCATTGAGTTTGATGTAATATTCAGAAGAAAATATATAAATGTATATGTTTTTTTGAATAAAAGATAACTTCTAAATATTTTTGAAAATTAATTTAACGAATAATAATAAAAACAAATTGTGTTAGAACATAAGAAAACAGAGACATTTTTTATTTTTAAAAATTCTAAATACCTTTAACTCAATTTTTTGTTTTAAATGTTCAAATGACAATTGAAACATACAAAATGTGTCAGTTTTTAGCTAGATTCGGGCTATACTCTTAGAAATTTTATTTTGATTATTTATTATTCAATTATTATGATTCTATGCAAACATGTATTATTCTATGTGCCAGTTTTTGTTATTGACTTTACGAATAAATTAGTTGTACTTTTATTGATATATTTGAAATTTAAATAAAAGTTAAATGTATTTTATTATTGATATATGATTACTTTTTTAAAATAAAGAATTAGATATTTTTTAGTGGGACAAACCAAGCTGTTAAAAAAATATACTCCCTATGTCCCGCAACAAGGGTGGCGTTTAAGTAGATTTTTTAATATTACTATTATATTGGATTGTAGTAAAAATGACAAAAATATCCCTAGTAGTATAGTGTAATATAAAAGTAATGACATTTGTGTAATATATTGTAAGTTGAAAGGGTATTTATTATGTGAAGTAGATAGTACAATTACTAAATTAGAAAATAGTAACCTTGTTTTGAGACGAACGAAAATGGAAAATGGTAACATTTCCATGGGACGAAGAAAGTATATATTTTGAGTTGGAAAGAAATGGAGTATTATTAAGATATTATTTTTTAAATTTGATATTTTTGAGATAGTATAAAATATTTATTGAATGTTATGTTTATGTGATTATTAGATAAATTTAAAAAATGCATAAGCAAACTTTAAATTTTTTTTTTTAAAAAAATCCCTATTTTTTGTTATTTTAAAAACTATTTTTTATTAAATATATTATTGATACAATATACTAATTATATAAACATTATATTGGTATTTAGTTGGTGCAATGTATAAATTGCTAATAATTTGTATAGTATAATATTATTACTATATAAAAGTTCGATACATGATGCTTGTAATTGTTGGTATAACGAATAATTGGAAAGTATATATTGAATATTAATAATTTTAAATATTTTTTTCCATTTTCTTTAAATAGAGTAAACATTTTGCCTAACTTGTAAGCTTGTATATAGGATAGTAGGAAAAGAAGAGGTGTTTTTAGATAGTATAATTTTCGATAATATATATATATATATATTATTTTGTAAAGTATTATATTTAATTTTATTTAAATCAAAATTTAAATTTAAAATTCAATTACAAATCAATCCAAGCAAACCCTATTTATTTTATTACCTTTATATTTTTAATTTAATACGAAGTACTAAATTTAACAATTTTTTTACAATAAAAGTATTAAAAAATAAGAGTTTGGTTACTTATCTTAAAAAAAAAAAAAAAAGTATATCCAATGTGATAAATTTGTTGAAAAAAATATTTGTTTTATATTTTTAGATGAATGTATATATATATATATATATTATATTTGGTATGTAAATGAGTAAATCATCTCATTAATATAAAAAAATAAATATTGGAAAGAATAGAATATATTGTCTATACATTTTATTTTGTAATAATATTTATTAGTAAAAAATAATTGATGAGCACATCATAGAATTGCATTTATATTTTTTGTTTTATCAATTTATAGTCTATAATATATAATATTTTTTAAATTTACAAAGGAATTTGTTCTCGCAACAATTTTCGAGTGTGACACATTTTTTATAAAAATTATTAATAAAATATAAAATATATTATTAAAATATAATCTCTCCACATATATAATATATAGTATATATTTTATTCGCATACACAAGTTTAACAATTCAATAAAAAATAAAATACAATTGTTTACAACTAACCTAAAAAAACACTTTAATACAAATATATATATATATATATATACATACATACATGTATATAAAGTGACACACAAGTTTTCTTATTTTACATAAGAATAGTAATTTACTATTATAATTGTCAAACAATTTCCAAACCTACCTTCAATCACTCTATCATGACTCATCGTCAAATTTCTATTTTATTTAAATATTAAATACTCCATCCGTCTCATATACCGTGTCTCTGCTACACTGTAGATACGATATTTTAGGATGGTGTAATTAGTAGATAATTAAAAATGTATTAGTAAAAATAATTATCCGATAATATAAATAATTATAAATTAAGATTAAGATAACTAATTAGTTTAATTAAAATTTTAAAAAAATAAAATTAAAAAGTTTAAAATGAGATTAAAGTGTGTAATTATTTTCCAAAAAAGGAAAGTGACATGGTATATGGGACGGACAGAAACGGCAACGTGAACATGGTATGTGGGATGTAGGTAGTATATTTTTAAAAAATTATTTTCAAAACAATAAAATTACACATTTGTTTTTAAAACCATAAAAGTTCACATAAAAAAAAAATAATAATAATAAAAGAAAAGAACAGAAAAATACAAAAGAATTCAACTCCAGAAATATAATTGGACTACGATATTACTCTATTTTTATACTAATTCCACAGATAACATTGAAAATGAAGTTGAATTGGAATCCAACTTCTACATATTCAAACCACCCTAATTCATGGTTGAAGTTAATTTAACTAAATAAATATAATATTTTGAATATAATAAATTTTAATATAATATAAAAAATAAAAATTAAATATTGTATTTAATATTTATGAAAAGAAATATATGAATAATATGAATCTCAAAAATCTTTCAAAAAAGTCCTTGCTTTATATTATATATATATATATACATTTTTAATTGAAATAACCGTTGAATATTCTAGAAAAATAAATTGATTATTATATTATTTTAATAAATTATATATAACAAAATAATAATTTTTGATACAGTACTGATAGCACATAGAATAGAAGTATATATTTTGTCTTTAATTTATACTCATATAAAACTATTCTTATAGTATTAATTATATTAAAGGCTAGAGTTCATTTAATTGTAGTTTAAATTTAATTTAAAATAAAATATTAATTTTTTTTATATATAAATAATATTTTAATATGATTTTTTGTAAAAAAAAAAAATATATTTTTATTAAAAATTATACAAAATGAATGGTATTAATTTGAATTTAAATTTGTAAAAAAATAAAGCCTAAATAATATTTTAATATAAGATAATTTAATATTAATACATTTTTCTTTAACTATTATACTTATGAATTTGGAGTAATTATATATTTTAATCACTCAAATTAATTATCCAACTTAATTAGCTAAAGCAAAAATATAAGGAAACAATACTCTTTCATTTCAATTAACAATTAAAATTAAACAAATTAAATGGGCCTGAGCCCATTTTCAGATGTCCAGCCCAATATTGCTTCATTAGGCAGAAAAATTAAAGTAAACAGTATAAGCTTCATCCTTCAAACTCATCAATGGCGTCAGCAGGAAGTTCCTCCCCACCCCTTTCGCCACGAAGCTCATCGGATTATACTCACTCAGTCCTCTCCCCATATCAAAGCTCGCCGCCGATCTGCCCCCCGAATCCGCCGTCGCGTTGCACCCAACCACCACGGCACCACCGCCGCCGCCGCCGGAAATATAACATCCCTTCCTCCCCGCTGCCTCCAACGAAACCGACCCATTCCGCCCATCCAGTCCGGCGACCATATTGAAAACGCCGGCGCCGGCGGCAGACGAATTCAGAACAACCCCGAAACCGTCGCCGGCGACGACGACGACGGACCCGGGGAAATCGAAAGGCTCGAGCATGACCTCCTTCCCAATAGCCTTCCCCGGACCCGACCCGCCGCCACCGCCACCGCCAACGACGACAAGGCGGAACGTCGCGTTGACGGTGGCGTTGGTCCCCGACGCCGGCGCCGGGGACATCGCCAGAGTGCCGTTGGTGTGGATTAGCGACATTTCCCCGTTCCGTTGCGACAGCGAAATCAAATCGGAATTGTAGTTCGACGGGACGGGACTTATCCACTCCTCAAACGCCGCCGTCGCCTTCGCCCCAATTTCCCAATCGCCGTTCGACAGCGCCGCCAGAAGGTACGGTCCGTACAGAATCGCCTGAATCGTCGCATATTCCGGCCGATCATCTGCCCCGCCATTAAAGCCCAAATTTTTATTCACCAAATTAATCAACACACATAAAACAATATATATATATATATATATATGTATACAGACCTTTGATTGGCTCAGTTCTGATGCCGATAGGAAATTCCAGGGTGAGATTATCGCCATGTCTCCAGGCCCTGGAAACAGACAGGAAATTCCCTGGAGTAGACACTCGAAGATTCTTGCCATTTAACAGGGCCCTGGAAGAATCCAATCTTGTCCAAACAGGGATCCTAAAATTCAGGGCAGCCCCCGATGTTCCTTCTCCCCACTCGATCTCGAAAACTACCCGAACCCGGTGTCTCCACGACACCACCCGTTCGACATTCTGCCTCAGCCGAAACTTTCCCGACACCCAATCGAAAGAGCTGCGGATGTATTGCACAATGTAGAGAGTCGGGACTTTGGCTTTTTCCTCAAAGTATATCGAGTCTCCTAGTTTCGAAAATGACTCGATCCCTATATCAGAAAGGAATCGAGTTAATGTCACGAGTACGACAATAGTTTAGAAGGTCCGATTTCGATTTTACCAGTCCCGTAGCAACACCAGAAACTGTCGTTGGGCGTTCCCCATCCGTGGAAGCTTTGAGCTTTAGAGCTGCCGCGGCCTAATGGAAGCATGTAGATCATTACGCCGGGGTCCCTTCCTCGTTGGATGCTCAATACGCCGTTTGTTAGCGCTCGTTCGTAGTAATCGATGTATGAAGTCTCCTTAGTCCATCGGAAAAGAATGCGCGAAATCTGCAAGATAACATTGCGGTGCGAAAAATAAATCAGTTTCGCCGTCTACTTCATTAGTCCTTTCGTAGTGTCCAAAAGAGACAGACAAAAGCACCTTCAACATGTTGTATGTTGCGCAAGATTCTTCGTTCTCGGTTGTCAGTGTGTCCGCGAGCCTCTTTGGATCGGACCTTTGTAGAATCATCCGAAACAGAGCAATTAGGACATACAAATACATTGGGATGTAGAAACAAACAAAGCATACCAATATGGCGTACCAGAACTCGTGGACCGATGTTCCTCCGGTGGCGTAGGTGTGAGAAGAGTTAATGACATCCATGAAGAACGTCGCTGTATCCTGATAACATATAACATCTCAGATCGATCTTTTGATCTAATCATAGAAACCGGCGAAAAACATTAGAAACATATTCATATACCTTGTAGCGCGCATCGCCGGTGACTTCATACCGTGTTTGCGACCCAATCACCACCGGAATGTGAGTATTGGCATGAAAGTCGGCAATATCATCGATCTACAAGCGAAGCCAATAAAGGAAAAGGAGATCGAGACATTAGTAGATGAACGAAAACGCCGGCCATTACCACGATATGTAAGAACACGAACCTTAAGAGACAACAATCCTTGAAAACACGGCTTGTCGAAGAAATAGCCTAACTTCAAGTGCTTCGGGTTGCCCTACACGAAAGAAACATCGGTTCATCTCAGACCTCTAAAAACTACTCATGTTAACAAGTGCGATCACACATATATATATATATATATATATTCATTCTCACCGTTATGGAGTACAATCTATAAAGCACGTCGTTCATCCCACCGGTCTCTTCGTTCATGTAGAGCCAATGCCTTTTCATCGTGTACTTCGACACCACATTGTGCACGCGCTCGTCGAAGTACTCGACCATCCACAATGTCATATTCAGCGCCTCGTTGTTGCCAGCGAATTTATATTGATCTAAAAGCCCCGCCAAGATCTGCAAAAGCCCCCACTCGCCCTGTTTACTTATATTTTCAACTTATTATTTAAATTTAGATCTATATATGAAAAGATACCTTATGGATCGTATAATACGGCGCCCACACCGGCGTAAGAGCTTCGAGACGATCAAAGAATTCCGCCGGAAAAGCCGACAGGTAGCCGTTTCCGATCGTCTTCTGGCAAGACGACAGCACCGATACGACGTCCGTCATCTTCTGCTTCAGAGTTGCATTCCCCGTCGCCGCCCACATCGCCGCCGTGGCGCTCAGGTAGTGCCCTGAAAACACACATTCCACCGTCTCATATAATTTTGAAATATATATTATCATTTTGTTCTTATTTTTATTTAGATCGAAAATTATTTTGAGAAAAACATACCGACGAAGTGGCCGCGGAGCTCGCTGTCGGCGGCCTCCCAGCCGCCGTAGGGCTGGCCGGGAGCGGCGGCGCCGGCGGTCTTCCGGAAGCTCCAAACCAACCGGTCGACGTCGAGCATCAGCAAATACTCCAAATTCGTCTGCTGCGCCATTCCGTACAAGGAGTCGGAATCCAGCCGGACGGCGTTGAGCGGCACATCGGAGAGCAGGCCTTTGACGGCGGCTCCGGCGCCGGATTTAATTTTCCGGTAGGCCATTCCCCATGCGGGGCGGTCCGCCGCCTGATTCAGAATCCGGCGGGGGAACAAGTGGGCCCAGACGGCGTCGTCGGTGGGAGAGAGGTGGTAATCGTAATTAAGAGAAAGCATCTCTGCCCGCCACGTGGCGTTCGGAGAAGTCTGGAGGGCGGCGCGTAGAGTGTGGGACGCCATTTGCGGCAGCTTGTTGGTGCACTGCTTGGCGACGGCGGCGGAAAAGAGATGAGAGAGGAGGACGGCCAGCAGCAGAAGGACGACGGAATCAATCGTATTCGCCATTGAAGCTTGCTTCGAGAACAGCAGAAGCCAGATATATATAGGCTCAGCGGTCTCCCAACTCAATTAATGCAATGATTGGTGTATGTATCTATTCTGAATTTTGAATTTTTATTTAATAGATTTTTCTTTTTTGGTTATTGAATATCCACTTTTATTATATACTTCCTCTTCTGTCATGTAGGGTTGATACAATGGCATTTTGTATTACTAAATTAGATATAAACGTATAATTTATTTAAACTATGAGTCCAACATGGCAGTTTTGGTATTTTTATATGGAATAATAAGATATTTTATTAATATTATTAATGAATAATATTTTTTTCGGTCATTTAAAATATGCATAATTTTTTTAATATGAGTTTTAATGTAAATATGTATTTTTTGTTCTTTATAGTAAAAAAATAATATATTTTTTTTTGTTAGAAAATGAAAAAAATGGGGCGTTTTTTTTTCTTGAAATTATTTGAAAAAATATTTTTTATGTAAAATATATAAAATTATATAATTAATATAAAATAATAAATATGTAATATATTATTTTTTTCGAAGAATATTGTGTGTATTTTTCTTTGGAAAAAAAAATGCAACAAACTATATATATTTATATATATAAATGTAAATTTAAGTTAAGGGAGAAATAATATTCTTTAGTTACTAAATTATATATAACTATATAAAAATTAGAATATATATTAGCTGGGTATTTGGTATTTTTATATGAAATAATAGAAAACTTATTAATATCATTAGATAGGTCTACCAGATAACGAAAATGTGTTTATTGTTTGTGGATATATTAAGGGTGTATTTATTTATTTTTATCTTTTTATGAAATCATTTTATAAAAGATATTTAAAATTAAAATAATATATAAAAAAATAACTTATAAAAATTTGAGAAATTTTAAATGCTAGATATTAAATAGCAAAATATTTACACAGATGTTAATGAAGTTTTGAAGTATAAAACAATTTGTATATTGTTTTTAGATGCAAACGAAACAAATAGATAAATGTTGGGTAAATATTTTTGAGAAAGTAAAACACACGAGTCTATTTACTTTATTATTTGTTTAATAGTGAATTAAAATAATATTTTTTCAATAAAATTGTGATAACTAAATAATAAAAAAATAAAAGAAATTTCGGAATAAATAGAGTCTATATGAAAAAATAAAACAAAATAGCAATTTTATTTTAAAAAATGTTAAAATTAAAATACGATTCATTTATAGTATAAATTTATTACACTAGACATCCAAATCCAAATATATTCAAATAATTAATATATATTACTATGAAAATTTAAAATCAACACCAAAAAAGGTATACAATTCATTATATTTCATACAAGTGCATATTTAAATTTGTGGTAATTACTTTTACCACTAAAATGATTTGATTACACAAATAAATTTCAATTTAAACTTTTTCCCCAACTCAATATATATGGAGCTTAAATAGAATAATAATAATAAAAAAAAAAAATGTGATAATAAATATTTCAAATAAAATTTACTTTTTATCAGGTCAGTAAATTTCTTATAAAGAGAGGATTCATTGTGACTAAAGAAATATTGTGCAGAAAATGGTTCCAATAATATGATTTGAATCAGATTATTTAAATACAGGGATTTTATTATGGAAAAAAAATGAAATTTATTGGATAGAATTACTTATATACTATTTTGGTAGCCCTTTTAAATATTTTTCTGTGGCCAACCATCAAATTAATATTTTTCTGAAATGATTTCGGAGTAATATTAACTAAGTTGGTATATTAGATGGTGGTTTACTTTACTGTTATATTTATTTGTTTGGTTTAGGTTTTGTTTTATTGGTGTAAAACAATTTAATTTTTTATTACGTATTTAATCAAAATTATCTAACATTGTTAGAATCACGGGGTTGAAATAATCAAATGGATGCTAATATTGTAAATTCAATTAACATACAACGATATTAATTTAGATATAATACTCTATGAAATTAAGTTTGGTTACCGTTAATTTTAAAATTGATTTGAAATAAGATCAAAAACTTGATGTGCCAGTGAACAGTGGTAATTTGGATTTTTCAAAATATTTATCGTAGCCGGTAGTTATTTGATTTCAAGATTTAAATATAATTTACCATTAAATTCTGATTAATTTCCATGCACAATATATATATATATATCTATAGATAATTAGGCTCCATTTTCTCTCTTCATTATCAAATTAATCGTATTCATAAACCGATTAAACGCATGCACTAAATGGGCTGAGGCCCGATGGGCTGGATCGGGTCAAGCCCATTAACGAAACAAGCTCATATGAATTTTATTAATATGCATTGTTTGTTTGTATTATACGAGTAATTTATATTATATGCTGATTATAACTAATTATTACAATATTAATTAGTTGTCTAACGACATCAAAATAAAATAGAAATTAGCTTATGCTAAGATCTCGTATACAAAGCAACGATGCTTTCAAATCCTTCCAATCGCTTATTGCATCATCATAACAATTAAGTATCCCCTAAATCAAATCATCGTCAATTACTAAAATTGAAATACACACTGTAGCTTTCATCTCTAAGGTTCATCAATGGCGACACAAGGAAGTTCCTCCTCACCCCTCTCGCCACAAAGCTTATCGGATCATACTCACTGACACCTTTCCTCAACCTGAAGCTCGATCCCTGCCGGAACCCATCGTCCGGCGATCCGCCGCCGCAGCTGAGCGTCACGCTCGCGCCGTCATTGTAGAAGTAGCACCCTTTCTTCTCCTCGGACTCGAACGACACCGACCCCTTCGTTCCGTCCAGGCCAGGAACCATGCGGAAGCCGGCTGCCGGGGAGGTGCTTGACGATGACGACGACGATATGCCGAGGTTCTTGCCGTCTCCATAGTGCACGACAGTCGCACCGGGGAAGTTAATCGGTTCGAGCACGACTGTCTTGCCAAGGGCGTCCCCTGCCCCCGAGAAGTTCCCCTGTTCTTTCGGGACGAGCCTGAAAGTCGCTGCGAGGGCGGCGTTGGTGCCCGGTTGGGGCATGGAATCCATTGCTAGCGAGGAGTTGGAGCTCGTCAAAACGACCGTCGACTGCTTCGATGATTCTTGGGATAGGGTGATCACGAAGGAGTTGAATTCGCGAGGGACCGGGGTGATCCATTCGGACTTCGACTTGGCGTCGATATCCCAATCGCCGGAAGTATATCCAGCTAGAAGGTAGGGGCCGTAGAGGATTGCCTTAATTGATCCGAACTCTGGCCGATCATCTGATGATCGATCCGAGAAAACTTGTCAACAACCACAACACTAAAACAAGCCAGTATAGCATCCGGCATTACCTTTGATTGCCTCGGTTCTTAGACTTATAGGCAGCTCCAGCATGAGCTTATCACCGGGGCTCCATGCTCGAGTGACCGTTAAAAACTTCCCTGGATTAAGAAATTTAACACCATGACAATCATCGAATGTAATAATCGATAGATAGTAGGTAGGAAAGATCGAGCTTTACCTGGATCTGCGACGAGTATATTCTGGCCATTCAGTGTCGCCTTCGCACCATCTGACGATGTCCAAACCGGCATCCTTAAATTCAGCGTCGCCTCGCCTGCACTCGCTTCTTGCTGCGTAATGAAAACAACTTAAAAGGCACACGTAATCGTACATAGAATCGAAACTGTACGCTTGCTTCCGAGACAAACCTCATTCGCACTGAACTTGAAGGTGACTCGAGTGCGTGGATCGGACGACGAGACTTGCTCGACTTCCTGGTTTAATGAAATCTTCGCCAATCTCCAATTGAACGAGCTGCTGATGTATTGTATAATGTAAAGAGAGGGAACCTTTCCTCCATCTTCAAAGTATATCGAGTCTCCGAGCTTCGAAAACGATTCGATTCCTACAGGCGACACAATGGAAAAGGGCGAATATGAGCTTAGCAACAACAATGGAGGATGAAGAATCCTTTGAATCGTTCACCTGTTCCGTAGCAACACCAAAATGAATCGTACGGCGTTCCCCATTTATGATACGTAAAGGCTTTCGACGTGCCATGGCCTAACGGGAGCATATAGATCATCACGCCGGGCTCCCTCCCTCTTTGGATGCTCAGCACGCCGTTAGTCAGAGCCCGTTCATAGTAGTCTGCATACACTGTCTCCTTAGTCCATCTGAACAGGTTCCGCGAAACCTTCAAATCAAGACATCGAAAGATGGTTTTCAAAAGAGTCGAGGGAGAGATTCGTCGTATAGTTTGCTAAAAACAAAGCAGACAAGTGTTAACTCGGAAGGAACACCTTGAGCATGTTATACGTCGTGCACGATTCCTCATTCTCTGTATGCAGAGTACTAGCTAGTCGCTTGGGATCATACCTGTCCAGAATCGAAGAGAGTAAACAAGACATGATATGATACGAGATATCCCGAAAGATCGAGTGATGGTTTTTGACTATGTACCAAAATTCGCTGACGGATGTTCCTCCTGTCGCGTAGCTATGTGAAGAGTTGACGATGTCCATGAAGAACGTCGCGATTTCCTGACATTAATGTTTAAGACAACATACATCAGTGTATTGCATCAATTCGATTGATGTCTTGAATTGAAAAGCGAAACGGTGTTGGATTTGGACAGAGTAGGCGAACCTTGTAAAGGGGATCGCCGGTAACTTCATAGCGCATCTGCGATCCAACCACCACGGGGATGTGAGTATTCGCATGAAAGTCGGCGATGTCGTCAGCCTGTGAGAATCAAGACAACAGATAACAACACAACAAACAGCTTCGCGACAAGATCGTTGTACAGACGACGTAAGAACAAATCCCTCGTGATACCTTAACCGCTAGAAGCCCAAGAAAGCACGGCTTATCGAAGAGATGAGCTAACATCAGGTGATTCTTGTCACCCTGTTAGGAACAACATGATCTCAATCACAACATCACCACACTTGACAAACTAAGACATCCAATCTGACGACACAACTCACCGTTACGGCGTACAAATTGTAGAGCACGTCATTCATCCCTCCCGTCTCTTCGTTCAACGATTGCCAATGCCTCTTGACCGTGTACTTGGCGATCACATTCTGCACGCGCTTGTTGAAGTAATCCGCCATCCCTATCGCCATCTTCAGCGCCTGCCCGTCACCGGCGAAAGTATACTGATCCAAAAGACCTGCCAATATCTTTCACCAACACCAAACAATCAATCGAACCATTATACACAAAGCCAATCCAAATCCAAATCCAAATCCATCACAAACGACAATATTAAATAACCATATTACCTAAAAGATTACCCTTTAAAGAAACACCTATTATTTATTTATTTCGTATTCACTTAAGCTTTTAAATAAGAGGATCATTTCATAGAGGCCATACATACTTTATGGATTGTATAATACGGCGCCCAAACCGGCTTGATCGCTTCAAAGCGATCAAAAAACTCCGTGGGAAAAGCAGACAGATATCCGGTCCCAAGCTTCTCCTGACAAGCCGAGAGCGCAGACACTACCGCTGCCATATTCTTCTTGAGCGTGTCGTTGTGAGTGCTTGCCCACATTCGTGCTGCGGCGCTCATGTAATGCCCTGCAAATGCAATACATGGTCGACATGAATAACGAAAGCATAAAGCAATATGGACAATGCTACGGACATGGTCTAAAACAAAAACAGAGTATGTAAACAGGGGATTTCGACGAAAAGGTGCGGCAACTGACCAACAAAATGCCCGCGGAGCTCGACATTCGGAGCCTCCCAACCGCCGTAGGGCCTGCCGGGAGTCTCCAAGCCGGCGTTCTTGCGAAAACTCCACACTAAACTATCGACATCCAGCATCAGTAAGTACTCTAAATTGGTCTGCTGAGCCTCGCCATGTCGGGAATTCGGATCGAGCCGGACATCGTGCAACGAAACCTCATTCAGCAGACCTCCGGAGCCGCCGCCGCCGCCGGAATTCTTCAATTTCCGATACATCAATGCCCAATTACGCTCTTCCTCCTCCCTTAACATCCTCCGGGGAAACAATCCCGACCACGCCGAATCATCGGACGGCGTCAAATGGTAATGATTGAACATCTCCGCCTGCCACGTCTTGTTGCCCGACGCCAGCAGTTCGTATCGGAAAGTATGCGACGACAATTGCGTCGGAGTGTTGGTACACTCCTTGCAGAAGCCATACCCAAACAACTCACTCAAAACCACCAACAGCAACAACGATAACGGCGAGCTCATTTTCAAGAATACCAAGCACAATTACTGCTCGAATATTACAGCATATATTTATAGTATCGAAAAATCATTGCAGGTAAAGCCTGGGAAGCCTAATTTGCACAACTATGCCTATCCTAATCAATCGAGAATAAGACAATGGTTCCAAAAATCGCCATTCAGTCTCGTGAAAGCAAAGAATGGTTTCTTGCGGCGGCACAAAGCTCTTTCCACCAAGAAAAAGCGATAACGTTAGTGCCAAGTGAAAATTCGAAAAAAAATTAGAAAAACACAAACAAACAGGACGCACAGACAGTTTCACTCCGATCGAAACCCTTTTTTGGGATTCTACGAAAGCGACAGGACAAAATCGCCGACGGAGTAAATTATCCGTCCGTTGGCAGAAAATTAGGCGAAATCGGTGAATGCGGATGCATGATGTTTGGATTTGGGTGCAATTCCGATTCGTGAAGAAATAATGGCGTCGGCAACGGATCGGAGGATACGATGATGGTTATATGTAGGAATAATAAGGACAAGGAAGAATCACGGATGAGGAGATAGATGATGATGATGATGATTATTGCTATCATCAAATTGGTGGATCAAACACTACCCACCAACCTGTCTCTTCCCACTGCAGTCTGCCATTTATCAGCAGCCTTGATTTTTACTGTAAATGTGCCTCTACAGCTGATTTCTGTCTGGTTTTTGGGTTTTGCTGAGGTTTGCAGCGGAAGCTGTTGTTGAAGGTCCCGGACTCCGACGCCGGATGGATCCACACCGATGTTACTAAAATAATTAAGAATAAATAAATGTGTATATATAATATTTTGAATTTAATTTAATTTCAAATTTTGTAGCTATATGCTTTTATCAATATTTAGACAGTAGAGAGGCAGAGATTGATGTGGAAGAGCACATGTATATATTATTATGCTTAATGGGATCCACACACTCATGTATATGTAATGATAATATTATTATTTGTGTTGAAGCTATGAGAGAGATGTGTGTAATCATATTTGTAGTAGAAGTTAGAGAGATGTATTGGACTGTACAACTTCGTTTGGACATGAGTTTTCAATTTGATACTCAATTATATTTTATAAGACAAAAGGATATCAGATATAATTTCGATCTAGAATAATTAATATTATAACTATTTATGTAAACAAAACTTTTGTTTGTTTGTCTGTCGGGTTTCAATTTTTATATTTGAGTTGTGAATAGAAAATTGGTAAAAATTGAAATAAACCTTTAATATTATCTTGAATAAATATTATATGATGTTTAGAATAAAAACATATTTGTCATATAATAGAAAAAAATTATAAATAAATATTTAATTTTATTTTTTTTATATAAATATTAAAAGTCTGATGGAAACAATACAAACAAACATGTATTTTGTTGGTTTTGATACGGTTGATAACAAGAATCATAATCATCATCATGTGATGTATGATTCTTGCAATCTGCCCGCCCCGTGACTCAATTTCTTTCTTCTATTTCTTGTTTAAATATTTTATTATTTTTTTTATAACGTGGGAATATGTTGTAACCATAGTTAAGTGCCTTTTAGATAAATTTTTGATATAATCTGCAAATTAAGTCTGATAAATCAAGTCACGTTAAATGAAATATGTTAAAATTGAAAGAAGGGCGTGTTGAACGTAGTCATAAATATGGAGGGGGACAAGTTGGTGGGCAATGGTCAGTATCTCCAGCTCACAATTCAGATTTTAGGGCAAACTTGTTCAACCCAATCAAACTTATAATTATTAAATAAAATCATTAATAACCAACATTCATGGTCCCAAATTTTTACTATTTTATTTACAAGGTTAGTGTGTTTGATTAGTGATTTTTCCTTTATTATATTTTGTTTAAATTTTAATTTGATATGTTTTCTATTAACAAGGAAAATATGACACCGAGGACGGATAAGGAGGAAGCAGCTCATGGGTTTATTTTTATTATGTTTCGGAACTTTGTTGGACTGTTTTTGTCAATAAAAATTAAACAATCCATACTTATGTTTTGAATGTTTGTTGGACTTTTATGTAAATAAAAATTAAACAATTCATACTTACTTATGTTTTGAATGTTCGTTGGACTTTTTTTGTAAATAAAAACTACAGTTTATAAAGCATAATTTTATACATGGTATATGATTTTTCAAATTTATAATCAATAATATATGTATATATATATATATATACACATGCGTAAACAGAGTTATGTGAACTTTCTTGAAATTAATTCTAATACAATATATATATATATATATTTACATAAACAAACAGAGTTTTGTGAAATTTCTTGAAATTAATTTTTAGTTCGAAATAATTTGGAATTTTCAACAAACAACTCTTTTGATTATGCATTTTCATTTCGTGTTTAAATAAAAGTTATATAGTTTTTTTTTATTATTATTAGGTGAATTTGTGTTTATTACTACCTCCGTCTCACATTGGGTGTCAACAACTTGAATATAGTAAGGCCATCCACAACGGGAGACGCTTGTTGAGAAGCGCCTCCCACATCATCATTTATTAAATAAAAAAAAAATTAAAACACCAATTAACATAAGAAACGGTACATTGCGAGTGTACCGTTTCTTCCAATTTTTGTGGGCCATGGTCCATTTTCTTATTCAATAAATATTAAAAATAATATTTATAATATATACTTTTTTATTTATATTTATAATAATTTATTTTATTTAAAATATTATATTCTAATTTTGTTATATAAAATTTTATTTAATATTTATAATTTGAAATATATTTTTCAAGAAATAAAAAAATTAAATATTTAACTTTAATTATTATGCAAAGTGTGAAATTATTATTTTTATTTATTTTATTTATTTATGCTAAATAATTGTTTTATTTTTATTAAATATTATAAGAATAAAATATAATGAAAAAATATAAGTTTATTTTATAAATAGATAAAATATTTAATGAGGTGGAAAAAGTAAAGATTTTAAAGGGTTCTTTGATGTGAATGTAAAATATAGTTGGAGTTCTTCGTGACGAGAAACTGACGTGGCACAGGAGAGAGAATGGGAAGAAACCCTGGATGGGTTTGTGTGTTGTGGATGGCCTAAGTGGAATGGAGAGAATATTATTTTTTTATTAGCTTATCATTTAAAAATATTTCTATTTTAGTTTTTAATACAAATTTATAAAAGTTTTGATATATTTTTCTTTTATCGTAGAAAAGTAACCCAAAGTACATTTAAGTACATTTTTAGGTGGTGGAGAGAATATATTATAAGTAAAATTTTTGTGTTTTATAGAAAGTTGTACTGTGTGCTTGTTTGAAGGGTTGAAATTGAATTTAAATAATAAAATTTTAAATTGAAATGAGTATGAATTTTAAATAATAAAATTTTAAATTGAAATGATTATTTAATGTAATATACATAAATATTGATTAAATATTTTGTATATATATAATTATTTTTAATATAATAAAAATAAAAATAAAAATAAAAATATAATTTGATTTTATAAAAAATACTTTATCAATAATAAAAATCATATAAAAAATCCCAAACAAATACAACCTTAAAAAAAAAAAAAAAAAAAGTGACGGGTGTGTTTGTTTGGAGGTTTGGATTTGAATTGAGATTTGAATAGTAAAAAATTTGAATTGAAACAGTAGTATGATGTGATCTAAATAAGTATTGACGTGATAATTTGAATCTAAAATTGAATTTTAGTAGAATATAAAAAATAAAAAATAAATTTTTAATTTGATATTTTTGAAAAATTATTTTTTTATTTTTTATTTTTTAAGAATATAGTAAATCCTTCCAAACCTCCAAATAAACACACTAGAAATGTTTTGTTGTAAATTTATATTTAATACTTTAAAAAAAAAATCCTATAATATATTTTGTAAATATATATGTATGTTTTAAATAAAAATAATGAGAATTTTAGAAACATAAAAAGAAAGAAACTAATTTTTATATTAGGACAATTTAATCTTATTATTGGATTGAATCAAACATTGGAAAATCAATTATTGGAGGCAACATTGTATTGTACATTCGTAACCGTCGGAAGACACGCACGCTACAAATCTACAACAACAATGACAATAAAGACTTACTTAATAAATAAGTGGAAGGTTTTTGATTTAATCAAAATTTGTACTAGTATTAGGACAATCTAATTTCAATTATTCTAAAGAGACAGTATATTTATTTATTTATTTATTGTGTGGTGTGTCAACTTCATAGTCATAGTCAATTTTAATTGTTTGTGAAGGTTGGGTGGTTCAAATCAAATTCCGCTCGCTTACAATTATTTGCTTGGTTTTAATACCAGTATTATCTAGATATTTTTAATATTTGATTTGTTTATTATTAAATAAAAAAGGTATTATATTTATTATCATTTTCATTAAGTATATATATAATAAATAATATATCACACACAATTTGACACCTACACTCCACTCCAAGACATATTAATTGAGTAATAAGCTGCTGGTGCACAAATGCAACAATCACGGATCAAGTGTGAGTGTGTTGCGTGTCAAATATATATGGGTCAAGCCCAAAAGTGAGAAAGAGCCCAACACTTGTTCGGCCCAAAAGAGATCCGCTTGTAAACATTATCTGAGGAGAAGAAGGGGTGCTACTTCTACAACGAAGGCGCGAGCGTGACGCTCGGCTGCGGCGGCGGATTGGCGGACGACGGGTTCCGGCGGGGATCGAGCTTCAGGTTGAGGAAAGGTATCAGTGAGTATGATCTGATGAGCTTTGTGGCGAGAGGGGTGAGGAGGAACTTCCTTCTGTCGCCATTGATGAAAACTACACTGTGTATTTCAATTTTAGGGATTGAATTGATATTGATGGTGATTTGATTTAGGGAATAATGAATTATTATTATTACGATGATGATGATGCAATAAGCGATTTTCAAATAAATTATCTGTGGGGAACGATAGTAGAGTGTTAATAAATCACATGTATGCTTCTTTATAAAATTTGAAAAAAAATTGATTTAAGCTCGGTAATAAAATAATTAATGATAGAATATTTTGTGAGATGAAAAAAATTGTCGATGAAACACAGTATGCTAATAAAAGCATGGGATTTTAGACAAAAGAAACATACATAATATAAAAATATAAAATACACAAATATTAGTATTTAAAATTCGATCCAATCTGATTCAAAAATAAATGAAGCGACAAATATAAAAATTTAATATTCGATAATAAAAAATATTTACATTGTATAAAAATATAAAATACACAAATATTTCCAAAACAAAATTTATTAATAATAATATTTTTAAAATTTTATATAAATAACTATATTCAAGACCGAATATAATACAAATATTAATTTCAGATTCGAAACGAAACAAATATTTAATCGAATAATTAAATATTATTCGGTTACAATTCTAATTGCTTTGTATACAGATCTTTAATTCATTAGAGCTATTTTGAGAATTGGGCTTGGCCCAAAATGCTCAAGGCCCATTTTATTTACTCATGTGCGTCATTATAAGTCTATAAATTAGATCGAAGTGGCTCGAGCTGATCCAAACCAATGTGTCCATCGGATAAGTTGGCAGTTTAGACACGAAATTTTTGAGGAAATCTCTGGGGAGGTTTAGGATTTTAGAAATATAAAAATAATAAAGTCATTACTAGTATTATTATTTAAAAACAAATTACTCACCCTAAACCTGGCTTACCTACAGCCAACGCCGTCCCTCGCACCATTGCTTTTCCTTTCTTCTTCTTCCTCACCTCACCTGCTGTTCACCAGAGTTGCCATTGTTTCCCCAGTCACAGCCGGTCCGCCGTTCACGCCTTCACGCCAAGGTTTGAAAAATAAAAAAAAAAATCGGATGTAAGCGCGCGAGCTTCTCTTCTCTGTAAGTATTGTGGCCGATAATTTTTTTTTTAGAACAACTTGTGCGTTTTCTGTGTTTGTTTTAGTGGGGTTCTTTAAATTTTGTGATTTCATTCCCGAAAACCTATTTTATTAGTTTTAGGGTTGCGATGTAGATTTTCGATGATAGCACTCTCTACTTAGCCTATTGAAATAGAATGATTCTGTTAGATGTTTTTAGACATTGCGATTTGAGATTGAAACTGATGCTTTGCTTAATCGTCTTAGTTTCAATTGCCTAGACATGTAAGTTATTTTGGGGAATTAAAGAATTTTTGAACTTTTAAGAAATACTTTAGCTGTTCAATAAATGCTTTAATTCCCCAAATTCAGTACGTTAATTCGTTTCAATAGTATACAGACATCTTGGTGTATAATAAACTGATAATCAAAGTTAATCAGATTCAAGTTTTAGCTTTTCCTCATTTTCACCTTCCTACTTGAACAATTATCCTAGACGAGGTAGTTCATCTTTATTTTAATTCATTTCTTCTGTTGTCTATTCGTCACCTCTGTACAATGTCTTTTGCCGGGTTTACAAGGATTCTAGTTTGATGTATTGCGATGGTAGGGTTGATGAGTGTATTAGGTGGTCCAGTACTGGATTCTTGCAATTATGATTTGGTAAAGCACGAAAATTCACAGCCCGTTTCTTCCCTTGATCTTGTAATAGTATCGAATTTGGAATTCACATGTTGATTCTCTTAAATACACGTCGTCATAACCCATTGCTCTGTTTTTCTACATGCGATTTCTTTCATTTGGATTATAAATTTTAGTTACTAAACAAATCACTATACGGCTCTTACAGGAGTGTCACGCCCTCTTGCAAAATGGCCTCCAAAATCGCTAGGATTAACCTCGTGAGCTCGCATCCTGAAGTTTATGAACCATGCGATGATTCATTTGTGCTGGTCGACTCGCTACTAGCCGACAGAGCCAACTTATTAGAACACCATCCTTCAATTTGCATGGAAATCGGCTGTGGTAGTGGCTATATCATCACATCACTAATTCTTCTGCTCGGAAAAGGCGACTCTGGTGCCTACTATATCGCGACAGACATAAACCCCCATGCCGTGAAAGTAACTCGTGAAACACTACGAGCGCACGGGTGTGACGCCGAGGTGATAAACACTGACATCGCCTCAGGACTAGAGAGTCGACTATCTAAGTCTGTGGATGTTTTGGTAGTGAACCCACCTTATGTCCCGACGCCAGAGGAGGAGGTGGGTCGCGGTGGCATTGCTGCTGCTTGGGCCGGCGGGGAGAATGGCAGGACCGTCATTGACAAGATATTGCCTGTTGCTGACGAGCTTCTTTCAGAGAAGGGATGGTTATACTTGGTCACACTCACTTATAATAATCCCTTAGAAATCTGCCTCGAGATGAGGAAGAAAGGATACGCATCGCGCATAGCGTTGCAGAGGACAACGGATGAGGAGAGCCTCCATGTGATAAAATTCTGGCGAGATCCGAGTATTTTGTTGGAGGCTAACGAGCAAATGGCATCGGACAATACAGAAAATTCGCAAGCTGAAGATTCTCCTACCTTTTCGCCGTTCAAATTCTGGAGACGTGGGACTTGGAATGGCAACAACGCGAAATAGGCTTCTCGGTAATTCTTTATGTTGCTTACTGAATCTGAATCTGTTGTCTATCCGCGAATCTCACGTTTGTTGTGTGTTATATTCAGCCATTTTTTAGTTCAACACAAAAAGAACAAGTGAGCTGTAATTTTAGTGTAGCCATGCTGATGAAGACATGACTCAGATCGATGGATAAACACGAGCAAGCAGATGACGCAGACGCAGACGCAGCCCAGCAGGAGATCGGCTCGTTGGAGAAAGTCTAAGCTTTCAACTCAACTTGGAACCAAAATTTTGATTTTCTAGAGTTTTTGTTATTTTTTAATCTAATTTTTTATTGGTTTAAAAGTTACTGATTTTAATGTTATTATATATTTAATGATTGTGTAGATTTTATACAATGCATCTGTTTTTATTTACTCTACCTGTATGCAAAATTATGTTAGTTTTTCTTTTAAAAAAATTAATATATTTAATGTTTTCACGTATTTTTGGTACTTTTAAAAAGAGGTGAAAATTTATATATATTTGTCTCAAAGTATATCACATTAAATGTTATCTAATTCAACAATCAAAACTGTTTGGGACATGAAGCCTGATTTTATTCTAAAAGATTTTAGAAATATGATTTAGGTATTATATTCTAAATTTTAGGGATATGATTTAGATATTATTGACATGTTTAACATGTGTTGCGTATTTACAGTGAAATTCCTGGCTTGAAAGCGCACTGAATTACCAAATTGTTGCGTCTTTGATCGTCTTATCTTGATTTCCTAGAATTTCCTTAACAAAAACTTTTGAACCCAAAGGAAACACAACATTCAGACACGAGGTGCTCCTCGATCCAATGTTTAATTTGTAGAAGCTAATAAAGAAAGAAAGAAAGAAAATGAAGAAATTGGGAAAGGCAGGCAGGCAGCAGGTGACAACAAATTAAGTCATATGGCCAACAGATGGATCAAACTAAAGTCCATTCCATGGTCTTCCCTTCGAAGGACCCCAACAAAGCAAACCTATATTATATATATATATATATATATAGAGAGAGAGAGAGAGAGAGGGGGTAAAAACCCCACCTTGTCTTTTTGGCCCCTAATCATAAATCATAATCATTTGGGACAGTGTGAAGTGTTTGGTGCTACATGAGAGCCAAGCTGAGGTTGTTCATATTATACTTACTTCAATTCCATTTTTCCTTATTAATGGGGTTTCTTTCTTTTATTTTAACCCTTTTATAGTATAGGTGGCGGGAATCTTGAAACTTGAGAAAGCTTCTAGTATTCCAACAACAACGTTTGTTGATCGAATCAACTTTAAGAACAAACACACACACACACACTAGTGTATTAGCATTAATTATCCGCAAGTATTGTTGAAATTAATTAATACAGTAAAGGTTTTAGGATGAGGCTTTTCTGTAGGTGCATAGCATAGCAATTATTATGGTCATAGCCACCATGCATTCTTGTATTCAATTAAATAGACTACTAAAGGATAGCCGAATTAGTATATTCAAAATCTCTCCTGCCGACGCACAGACACTTCGGCTAAGTAATCATAGATGAAGAAGAAAGACTACTTTTTCAACAAAACATTTCAAACCAAACAAACCATATACTATATATATATATATATATATATGTCTGTATGTGCTTATTTATACTCTAAAACATTTACACGTTGTAAAATATTATTTGGGACTTTTGGGTCTCTAATGATTTTTATTTCTTCAAACATTTAGATCGTCATCTTTTTAGTATTTAAATTTACTTTTTTAAAAAAATTATTTATTATTTAAAACTGTAAAAATATTTTTTTTATTATTTTATCTGTGATTATATACTATATTTTTTTTATAAAATCATGTGTATATTGAGAATCATAAATATTAAAAATAATAATAATAAACAAACTAGTATTAGCTTACAATTTATCAATGAGTATTTGAAGTTCAAATGAAAATTATTGAAATTGATCTGATCAATGGATCGGTTCGTACTATTATTGTTAGAATTTTACATTATTCAATAAAATATTTTTAATTTTAGGCTCCGTTGCTTTTTATTTTTTATTATTTAATATATATGATTCTAAATAAAATATATTCTATTCTATAAAATATTATAACAAAATTTTAATAAATATACATATACCCTTGGTGTTATTTATTTATTTAAGCTTCAATATGAATAATTTTAAGGTGGTATTTAAAATAAAAAAAATACTTTTAAAAATTATAATATTTCTATTAGTACAATGTAATAGAGGTCATTACCACAGTAATTACATCACATGAGATATAAATCAATAACACGAAAATAAATTATAGGCAAATGATCTGAAGCATCGGGGGTTTACACCCATGACGTCACCTTACGGGCACCACCGAGTCATTCTTCACGGGACTACTAAAATAGAGACCGATATATACAAGAAGTGCTATATCAATTCAAACTAAATGGGAATATAGATGATTCCATTCAATCACAGCTAACTAACTGCCTGCATCAAATACAAAAATTAAATAACTGAAATTATGTGAAACTACATAAACAACCCAAAAATTGTGGCCCTTCTTCTTATTGTATTCCCACACCCACACAATGGCCACTGTACATCACGCGCCGCCGCAGCTAATTCATTATGATGATCAGATTAGGTTAAAATTACAACGCATCAACTTTCTAATTTGCGCCCCTAACCACTGACACTCTCTCTTAATTTACGCCGGACTTTCCAATTAATTCCATTATTATAGTAGTATATTCACAGAGACACCTCTAATAATTACAAAAAAAAAAATCCCCCCCACCCCCACGGACTTTACACGTGCGTCAGAAGTCCGTTAGCGACACGTCATCCAGTGACGGCGACCATAACGGCGCTGGCGGGAGCTTCATCTGCCGGAAGAACTCCTTCATCCCCGTCCCATCTGCCGTCACTTCCGTCTCGTCTTTTGAAGGCAGAAACGGCGGCCGTAACACCTCCGTTAGCAAATCCCAGCTCAATCCCTGGAAGAACTCGTGCTCCTTGATCTCCCCCGCACCGCGCCGGTACCCCAGGCGGCGCGTGGGGTCCTTCTCCAGCAGCTTCCCGATCAGGTCTGTCAATGCGTTCGGCTTCCCCATGAATTCCGGCTCCGCCACCAGTATTCGCTGGAAAGTCTCCCTCCGCGTTTTCCCCTTGAACGGCGTGCTTCCGTACAGCATCTCGTAGCTGAGAACTCCGACCGCCCACCAATCGATGGCGAATTCGTGTCCGTCGCCGCGTATGACCTCCGGCGAGACGTACTCCTCCGTGCCGACGAACGAATTCGACCGCTCGTTGGTGGCGACGTTGTCGTCGTCGTCGCTAGGGTTCCGGCGGCTCACGGGCGACACACGTGCGCTTTTGGCCTTCTTCAACAAACCTTTGCTGTAAAAGTCGCGTTTCCCACTTTTGCGACTTATGAAGCGGGTGAGTTTTTGATCCAACGGCTGACGCTTCACCGCCTTTCCTTCCGGTATGAAACTTGGACCGTCGGATCTCCTCCGCGCTAGGTCACGTGACAGGTCGAAGTCCGTGAGCGTCACGTGCCCGGACTGCTGCACTAGAATGTTCTCCGGCTTGAGGTCTCTGTACACGATGCCTTGGCCATGGAGGTTTTCCAGAGCGCAGACGATCTCGGCGAGGTAGAATCGGATCACGGCGGGGGAGAACACGTGGTCGTTTTGCCGGTAACGGAGGACGTTCAGGTCGCCGCCGGGGCAGTACGGAATTCCCCAGCAGATGAATTCCTGATCCTCCGACGATCCTATTAGGTGCGGCAGAAAAGGATGGGCCACGGCAGCACCGGAAATTCGCCGGAGGACGGAGATTTCGTGGCGAGCGCGGCGATCGGCGTTGCGGTGGACGGACGATTTCTCCACCACCTTGAGAGCGAATGGCTGCCCGCCGGAGTCGTCGTGGACCAGGAGCACCGTGCCGGTGGCGCCTTTTCCGAGTAATTTTATGACTCGGAGACCGTCCGGTCGGATCTCCGGCGAGGCGGTTCTATGGTTAGCCATACTGTATTTTCTCAAGCGAGGAGAGAATAATACTGCGTGGAATTGTCAAAGACAAAACCGCCCAAATATATATATATAAATGTACGTACGTGTACACGCGCGCGCATACGTGCAAAAATACTGATACGACAGAAGCGTACATCGTATAAGCACGTATATATATACGTATATCTGAGGATAGTGATCGTTACCTGTGATGATACATATATGCCTACATCAGTAGTTTTTTGTTTTTGTTTCTTTTTCAAAAAAATATGATTATTAATTGTAAAGTGAATCTTAATCCCAACTCATACTAAATTTGATTAATATATGTCAATACTTCTATAATCAACATAAAATTTGAACAATGATAAGAAAATATGCATCAATTGAAAAAGAAAAAAAAAATTATATATAAATGATTATGTAAAGAATATTTAGTAATTGAAAAATAATTTGTATATATTGTATGCTTTGGATTGGGTTCGTATGAATTTCTTTTAAAAATTCCTCCAAACTGGTTCATACTAATGAAATTTATTTAGGATTTATAAGATGTAATTTTTTTTTTTCAAATTTTTCAGTATGAGATTTATAAAGTATAGATTTTTTTTCAAATCTTCAAATATAAAGTTTGAGTTTGTATTCCAAGTAAACATGGTCTTATCCAATATAAATACTTATTTGCTTTAGATAATTAAAGTATGAAATTAAGAAAATTAACAAATAATTTTACAATAAAAATTAATGAATCTCTCATATGAAAGTGAGATTAATTTATCTTAAATAATATTTTCTTCATCCCATTAAAGTAGATATAAAAATTTAGATAATATATAGTTATTAACTAATTAAAAAGTGTATTAATAAAATAATTATTTTAAAGTCAAAACCACTCGAAAACACAAAATCTACATAATACACATAAAAAAATGTGACAGACACAAGTAAATCGTCCGAAAATCCAACACAAAGAAAGACACAAGGTGAAACAAAAATAAAACAAACACTTGTAGCGTTGAACAAGCCCTATGTAGCTCGAAACAACCGAAACTAGGGAGAAATTGTAAGTCGTGCCAGTCTAGTATTGCTTTCATATTACAGTAAAATTAATCGGTTGCAGGTTCCGTGCTGATCCGGCTAAGCTTGATTCGACCAGGTTAACATATATCATATGGGTGATGGACATATGTTTATATATATCTCAGCATATGTTGAGTTATAATATAATAATATATGTTGTATTATAAATACACTAAAATATGTATAAATATATATTGGTCACTCATATAGTATATATTGATCATGTTAAATCAGTAAGACGCTGACTTGACCGGATCATCAATTGATCTATATTTATACTAATATCAATATATCTTTTAACTCTTATATAAATTATAAACATATAATACACATACCATATATTAATATATAAAGTTAAAGAGCAAAACTATCCAAAATTTGTTACTCACTACCACTAACTAATAAAATGCATTATTTTCTAATATACTATATAATAATAATAATAATAATAATAATAATAATAATATTTGAGTGAAATTAATATAATGCATTTTTATTGAGCACCATGTAAAATGAATAGTGAGATTTTGATTTTAATGATTTTAAAATCAAAATCAAACAAATTTATTTTATTTGTCCATCAAATTTATTTTCATTCTATTTTTTATTTCGTAAAATTTATTTCATTAATAATTTTGACAACGTCAACAACTCAATATTTATATTACACTCAATTCAACACTATTTATAATAAATATCACTACTTTTATTACATTTTTTTTTCATTTACTTTAATTTCTATAAATTTTCAAAAGTATTTAGGATTATTTTATTATTATTATTATTATTTTAATGAAATCTTTATTTTTTTAAAATTCTATATCGGATTCAAATTAAGTTATAATGATAGGATAAAATATAATATTTCATAAAAAATATATTTTTTTCATAAAGAATTAAAGTTATTAGATAGTAAATAAACTTTTCTTTTTTAAAAAAAAAAACACCACACCCTTGAGTATAAGTAGAATAAATCAAATATCTATATAAATAAATAAAAGTAAATTGACAGGTGTAGGTGTATAATGTTAGGTGGGCAGTGAAGTGGTACTGAGTGGAATGAGTTGGCCTCATAAATGTGGCGCATGTTTCATAAATAGTAAAAAGATTAGGGGCGCACGTGCAAGATGTTCTGTGATCCCCCGCTCCGCTACCAGACAAAAGGTGCCAATTTGCAAACCAGTCCCACTAATTTAATCAATATCCAATTTTGATTTTTTTTTTTCCCCTTTTTTCAATATAATTTTTCTATTTAAATTGAATTATTATTATTATTAGAATTAGTAAAAAAATTGAATGAAAAACAAATACTCCAATTTAATATAATGTATTGTATGGAAGTTATATCTTTTTAATATGATATTTTATATAAAAAAAAATAAGTATGTAATCCTTAATTTCTATTCTTTTGGACTTTGAGTTCTTCGGGGGAAAAAAAAATTATTTTTACAAAATATTCTATTATACATTATTTTAATATCAAATTTAAATTATAATTTTCAAATCAAATCAAAAGAAAAACACGCATATCCCTTTTTTAAAAAAAAAAATCTATAATATTAATAATTAATAATACCAGAACTTTCTAAAATACGCATGTAAATAGTTATTTGGGCTTAAATTTTGGTATTGTTTCGTAAATTGTGTCTATGTCAGCTAGTTTTATCATAACTAAATAAATCTATTATATAATTCACCATCATTATATAATTGTGTGTCTATGTAAGTACTCAATGCCTAATTTTTCTCCAAAAATGATAATTTATACATTTATTTTTAGTGCAAAATTTAAAAAAATAATAGTATTTTAATTGTAATAAATAATTGAAAGTAGTATAAAAATAATTTTACTTACTTTTAAGGTAAAAATAATGATGCGATGATAAAATAAAAGTATTTGCGAAAAAATAAAATATTTAATAAAATAATTATTTTTTAATTGGACCATTCAAAATAAAAATATATATATTTTTCTTATTAAACGGAAAAAGTATGGAACATCATATTTAATTACTATCTAACCTAAAAAAAGACAAAAAATACAGTAATGTGTTTATTACCTATAGTAAATTGCTAATATAGTTTGGAACTAATACTCATTCCCTCCCTTCAAGAATTGTCGTCTTAATTGGGTTGGCACGAGATTTAAGAAATATTGATATTATATTGATAGATGGTAAAAAATATGGATAAAAAAAAATTTGTCCTTGTCAATGTATTAGTGTAAAAAGTAGTAGCAATTGTGTAATAAAAATGAAAAAGTAGATGTAATTTTATGGTGATATTGTTATTTATGATTATTATTTTGAAACAGACAAAAATGATAAACAAGACTATTGTATTAGAACAGATGAAGTATGTTTTTATAATAAATAATTTATATATATAAAAATCTGCATATAAAAAATTTGATGCAAAAAAAAAGAAAGAAAACAACATGTAAACACACAAATAAAGAAACTCTAATAAATTTCTCTATATATAATGCCTACAAATTTTGACAAGAATTAAATATATATAATACATTTTGAATGCATTTAAAGGCTGCATGTGGGATTCATAAATAGTTTATCATAGGAGAGTGACAAATCTATTGGTCACGTAATTAATCGTAGGGTCAATTGTATTTGTGATAATTACATCAAAAATATTTTTATATATTATTATTATTATTATATTAGATGTGTTGCATGATTACTAGGTTGGGATTCTAATTTTTTTTTTTTTAAGATTGAAGATTGTTGTGACATTGAATTTTATGATGGCAATTTGATTGATTACCTTAGAGGCTACTCATATACATATATTTCAAAAAAAAAAAAAAAAAAAAGTTGCTTCACAAATAGGAAGAGTAAAATTTATGCTCAAATAATTACCATACCATACGTATTTCTCTTTTAATTATATATATATGTCATTTTGTCTATCAAATTATTATGTTTACTTTTGATTTGAATATGTCCGTAACGTATATTTATACTATAAATTAAAGAGCAATTTTTTATTTTTCATCAAATTAAAATATTATATATGTTATTATTTAAGTAATAATTTTGTCACTACTATGAATCTATCCAAGATGTGCTTAATAATATAAGAATGAAAGAGCAATTTATATCTCTCTAAATATTGAAATTGCTTAATAAAAGGAGTCTTTGTGAAATAAGGCTATTTTTTCTATGAGATTTTTTTGATAAGTTTATTAACTATACAATTTATATATATATATATATATATAGGGTTTGTTCATTTTTGTATTTTTTTTATGAATGTATTTTTTATATTAGGTGTGAAAAATTGTGTAGTAATATAAAAAATAATATTTTGATTGATTTATTATTTTTTGTGAGTGAGGAAAGTATATATGTAGTATTATATATTTTTGGTTAATGTAGGTGTGTTTGTTATTATTTTTAATGATATTTATAAAAATAAAATTGTTAAACCTAAAATGACTGAGTGAATAAATACAAATAACACAAATTAAAATATGAATTGATTAATATATCTGTATATATTGATTGGAAAAGAAGTAAGAACCCCCTCCCCCTCCCCCTCCCCATTGCACTTCATAAAAGATCCCATAATTTCATAACTTTAAACCTTTACAACTAATTTTAAGGGATATGTTTACGCACAAAGTTTGTTTCTTCTTTTAATTTGGATTTTATTTTAGGTTTTCGTTGGACAATGGTTTTAATATAGGGAAAAAAAAATGTCAATATTTGCATAATAAAAAAAATTAATTTTCATAATTTGTTCTTTTACTATTTCATAATTCTCAATAAAAATCTGTTGTCATAATTCTTAATAAACATATACTCCTTTCGTCCCAAATAAAATATTCACTTTTTTCATTTCCGTAAGTGCAATATATATAATTATTCATTTTATTTTTTTGTAAAATAATTAGACTTTAGTACTATATTTTAAATTTTATAATTTTATAATTATTCATATTATATATAATAATTAATTTTACTAATATATTTTTTAATTATTCACTAGCTATATTTTTTCTAAAATCTCATATTTACAATAATGTTATCAATTTTAAAAAATAGTAAAACCTAAACATCATCCCAATTCTAAAGAAGTTTCAATAACTAATATATATATATATATATATATATAAACCATAAAGTTTCAAACCTTATAAGAACACTATCCCATCCCTGTATTTCCTCAAAGTAATATATATATATATATATATATATATATATATATACCCACAAAGTGAGGGAAACTTTTTAAAGCTCTGGAAAAAAAAAATAAAAATAAAAAGTGCGTGTGATGATTATGGTGGAGAAAATTGTAACCTTCCAACTGAGTTAAAAGTGAAAGGCAAAAAAGAATTAAGTCTAAAATAGTATTATTATTATTATTATAAATTAATATATTATTAGTTTGTGTATCTAAAAGTTTTGGACAATTGAATCATGGCTGTCGGCCATTTGATTCATTAGTTCTAATATTTTCAAGTCTCCATTATCCCATTCCCTTTAATTATGTATTTGTACATTTATTTAATTTCACGTGAATAATAATAATAATAAGAATAACAATAGTTGATGACTAAATTTAAAGCTCATAAAAATAAAATATACTAATAAATAGTGTATTAAATTGGTATCAAATTATTGTTACAATATAAAAGTCCTCTAAATCTAATGCTCCAATAATAAAGTTATTATATAGATAACCCTTCATTGGTGCCACTCTGAAAAACTTTGATAGTGTGGACATGGTTTTCAAAATTTATAATATAAGTTTTATTCAAATAAAATATTTATCAGTTTTCATAGAGAAAATATATATTTAATTTGATATTTTTTTGAAAAAAAAAAAAAAAAAACTTATTAATGAATAATATAAAAAAAAATAAACTCGGGTCTAGCTCTCTCTCATTTTTTTTTAATTTCAAAAATGGTAAGATTGCAATTATTACAAATGAAATGATGGCAGCATTCGTGTGTTAGTTGTTGCATTCATTCCTCCATTCTTGGCTGCTTTTTGCAACAATTATACGTTTGGACTTGGTTGGTTACTAATAGTAATATATACTCCATTAGGTTGTCAAGTCTACATAACTAAATCTTCGAATTTAGATAATAATTATAATAATAAGGTATTGTTTATGATATAATATATATTTTTATCATTTTATAAATTATATTTTAATAGAGTATATAGGATATACATTCATAATAAAATTTAATATACTAAAGTAAACTATAAATATATTTATATATAACTATCATAAAATAATATACTATTAAATATGCATTAATAATAAATTTTAATGTAATAAAATTAAAAAATACTTATATATAATTATTATAAAAGAATATATAAAATATAGAGAATTTTGAATATATATTTAGTAGAGGTAGAAATAAGAAATTATAAGTATGTCACATTTTGAAAATAATTGTGATGAAAAAAGATTATTACAAGATATAACAATTGCAATTCAAAAATTTTATTCTCACTTATAACTAGAACTAGATGGATAACACATTATTCTATAATTATCTTGTTAATTTAATATATTGATTTCTTTTCCCAAACCTCATTAGAGAATTTCAATATAATAATAATAAAAAAAAAGTATATTTATATAATACCATAATTGAAAATTATGACCAAATGTAAACTAAAACATACGAATCATTATTTTAAAGGCGTCAATAATATAAATAAATAAAATATTGGCCTACTAAATTAAACATTGTTGCAGATTTATTGGGCCAAAAAATAATGGCCGACGTGTTTAACAGACCGGCTTGTGCCCTATAGGCCCATTTATTATTGTCCCGTACTCAATAGGCCCAATAGGATCGCCGCACATAATACTCAATAGGCCCAAATACTGTGGACAACCCATTTAATTGAAGAAGTATTTAAATATATGGATATGAGTTGGGTTCGAAGACGACCCGACTCGAACCTGGATTAGTATAATAACAACAATAATAATATATCCATAATATTTAAGAAAAAATAGTAACTTTTTGTTAAGTTTGATTGTAACTATTATATTTAAAAAATAAATAACATAAAGTTTCACGTAGTCTCGATTGGATTCAAATTAGGGTGAAATTTTCAAGAATTGTATTCCTAATACAATTTAAATCTTCAGTTGAATAATAATATATAAAATTTTCATGAATTGTATTCCGAATACAATTTATATCTTTAGTTGAATAATAATAATATATATACAGATGGGCCTATTAATTCATACCTACTTGATCAATTGTCATTCCTCCATAATCCATGCTTCCGCACTGGGTAAATCTCCTGTCGGATCTAATACCCTGCAAATCAGACCAGACCGAAAAGTCACACTAGGCGAACCATGTGTGACAAGTGACTTGAGACATCGAAGTTTAAACCCATGACCTCACGGTCACTAGTTTCCTCGACATTGTTTTAATACAATGCACTGTTTAATTTTGTGCATCTTCTTATTATAATGGCCAATTTATTCCCACAAATCAAACATATTTGTATTTAATTTTCTCTAAAAGGACTTTGGTTGCCATATTTTATTTAATTTTCTTACAAGTAATTATTCCGGCCAAGATAATTGACAGTATTTAAAAAAATAATATTTAATTAATTAATAATAATAATTATGATATTTTTTTATATAATTAATGACATGATTTAAAATAAATTTAGTATATATAATGAAAAAATTGAATATGTATTTAAATATTGTAAAAAAATATATCACAATAAAAAAATATACACAATATTTATATTATTTTGTATAGATTAGAATTTTCTATAATACAAGCAACTAAAAAAAAATATTTATTTTAAATTAATATAAACTAATTTTATAAAATATATGAAATTTTAAATGAGATAAAAATACTTTTTTAAGGAGAAAGATAAAATAAATGGGCTTTGAGTGGATTTTATCGTAATTTATGATGTTATATGTTACTTAGTTAATTAAGTTTGATTTATATTTTTTAAATATATTTTAATTTAATAAATTATTCAAAATAAAAATGTATTAACAGTTACGAAACAAACAAAAATAAAAAAATTTATGGATTGTTGTAAAATGAATAGAATATATATCTATAATATCAACAATATTCATATTAAGAATTTATTTATAAAATTTTAAGATGAGGGAAAGTATAGCATATACTCGCCCAGTCCTCTGTTTCAATCCAAATGGGCTATACAATAACAACAATATTTTACATTATTTATATGTAAAACTCATCAATGTGATGACAGCAACAAAGATAGAAGATAAAGTTTGGATGAATAAATAATAAAAAATGAAAATAATTTGATAAAAGTTGTATAATTTATCGGTCTCGCCACAAATGATTTATTTCAATTTTTTTGTTAGTCATACAAAAGATAACTCATTTATGTTTTTAGTAAATTTATTCATCTTAAACACACTTAATAAATATAACATCTTACAAGACACACTCAAAATCATTTTTCTCAATTAACAAATATTTTTATTTACCTTTAAAATTGTTCGTTTATTTGTAAAATTAATTTATGATAATGATAAATAAATAAATATATTGTTTGATATATAATATATATATTTTATTGAAATATAATATTAAAAATATTTAAATATATATACATATATATTTTTAATTTCTTTTAGTTATTAAATAACTAATTATACTATCTGAATTTTCGTGTTCAAATAAAAAGTTTCATATTTGATGGACGAAGAGAGTAATATTTTTGTTCACAGTTCATCATTTTCGATTCTTCCAAATTTTTTACATGTAAGATGGAATTCAAAGTAAAAAATTTCAAAAATAATAATAAAATATTATTATTATTATTATTATTTTTCAATTTTAAATGACAAACAAATAAAAGAAAATACATTTGATTTTATTTTTCTACCACCAATTATGTACTCGTAAGATTCGACCTTAATTTATAGCAAGGCAGCAGCTACCAGCCTACCACGTCATGCCACGTAATCACCATCCGATAAGATAGATTCCATCAACTTCATCATTTTAAATTGTTTACCAACATTTTCCTTTGGGTATTAGTTGGCTTTGCTTATTAACGCTACTTATTACTTTGTAAATAAACCCTTACTTTTATGCATTAAAAACATAAGTAAACTGATATATACAAAGTACTATGTAAATTCAACATGTTATGAAATATCCTTCGGTCGTACTTGCCATATCCATGTTGTTTCTTCTGTTCCACATCTCAGGTCATTCTTTTTTTTTTTGAAAAAATAAATAAATAAAATATTATATATGATTATGAAAGTTATTTATTTATTTCTTTTTATTTAAGAACGGAGGCAATATTATTTCATTATTGTAGAATGTAGGCCACTGCCCAAATAATTCCTGCCTAATTAATTAATTATTATATTCTCTCTTTTTTTATTTTTTAATTTATTTTTACCTGCCACCACAAATATGGACATGTAAATACTAGGCAAATGACAACAATACCCCTACTTCCCATCAAATTTACAACCGAATCACCGCACGTCCGCCGCCGGCGGCGCCGCGACCGTCATACAAATCACCAACTCCAACCACCCGAAAAACAAAGCACACCAACAAATCGGAATTCAGGCCGCCGTCGGTTTCGCCGGTCAAACCTTTAGAAGCTTCGCAGCTCTGACCACGGGGTTTTCCCTCGCAATCGCCTCCCGGCCGGCCGCCTTGTAGTCGTAGCTGCAGTCGTGCCGGTCTGAGTACCGGTGCTCGGCGCAGAACACGTCGCCGCACCTGCAACGGAAACCCATCAACCCGACCCGCTTCCTGCAACCCGGACCCGAACACCGCGTAACCGTCCTTGGTCTCTTCAACGTCCGGCGCTCTCCGGCCGGGTCGGGTTGCTCCAGATGGGTCGACGAGCCGGGTCCGGAGCCCCGCGCGTTCGCCGCCTTCGGATCTGAGGCATCCGGCGACCTGGAGGGCGGCAGCTGCACCGGCGGCGAGGGGATCGGCGGCGGAGGAGTGCAGATGTGCAGATTCTCCGGCACCTTGAGCTCAGTTTCGTCCTTGTCCCTCTTCTGCGCCATGAAATCGGAAACGAACGGCCGGCAATTGGAGGGGAAGTGGAAAAGAGGATGATGATCTGAAGCAGAAGAAGAAGAAGAAGAAGAAGAAGATGCAGAAGCAGAAATGTGGACGGGAATTTGGGTGGGCGCCGGTTTTGTGGATTGAATGTAATCTACGATTTGGGGATAAAATAAATACGACGTCGTCTTTGCATTGCGTGCGACTTGCTGGAATCAAAGATGGGCATCAGGATTCAGGGGTTCGTCCCATGTGTAATGACGAATATGCCCTTGTCTCCGCCATCCTTCGCTTCCTGAGTCGCAACAAGATTTGGAATACAATGGGTGGGTACTGTTTTTATTATTATTTAAATATTATTTTGAAATAATATTTTATAATATATAATAATTTTTTATTAAAAGATTTGGTAAGGGAATAATAATAATTTGAAACTAAAATAACAACTAAATAAATCTTAAATTGTTTAATGAAATATATTGGATATTACATTATTAGTTTTATAAAATATAAAAAATGTTCTAGACATATTTATATGAACGATATATTTATTTATTTATATAATTTCTTTTTTATCGTATTTCTTGAATAATATTGATAATTTTTTAGCTTTTTATATAATTTTTTGAGTTTTTCAAAGATTGTAATATTAAAATTTTATTTTATTTTATTGAATAGATGTCCAATATTAATACGAATAGTGGGGTGTATTTGTTTAGTGAAAATTGAAAATTATTTAAAAGAATATTCTTTCATTTGAAATATATAAAATTAGGTAAATAATATAAATAATAAATATATGTAAAAATACACCTCTTTAATATTTTATTACTTAGGAAGAAGAATTATTATGTGGCCTCACCATATTTTTAAATTTACAATCTGTTTTATTATATCTTAATTTACATCTGATATATTCATCCAAATATTATATTGCTATTTATATTGAACATCTATTTCAGAAAATAAAATAAAATACAGCATTAATATTACATTAATAAAAGAATATATAAAATTATTTATAAAAAATTATATTAAAATTATCAATATTATTAAAAAAAACCATGATAAATAAACAAACAAATAAATAAAACACAATAGATAATAAATACATCACACAATTTAGATTTGTTCACATTGTGTTTTTCACTAATATGATTTTTCATAATATTATAAACAATTATACATATATACATACTAACACAAAATAAATAATATATACATTTTATCTTCTCATAAAAAAAGTAACAATTTATACAAAATATTATTTTTTATAGTATTGAAATTATTTTTCATACATAACATAACAAAAAGAAAAAAGAAAAAAAAAATCATTAAAAATACAAAGTGAAAAAAATTGTCTTAAATATAATGCGTATGAAAATCTTTTTAATATTTTATTTCGATTCATCTTAATTTGAAGTAGCATTTTAGATTTTTTGTAATAGATTTAAAAATATAATACTTTATATTTTTATCTTGAAAATTTAATCTCAATTTATTTTTTGTAAAACTAAGGCTCAATTCACTGGATGGATGTAGTATTATTTCATTATGGGTTATTTGGTTCATGGATTATTTATTTATTTATTTATTTATTGGGATTGAGATTTCACAGTAGGATTTATATTTAATGGGATTTATTATATTTAGGATTTGGAATTCGTTTGGTTGGTAAAATATGGTGTGATTTATATTTCGTGAATTTGAATTTTTTATATTCTAAATGACATAATTGTCCTCGTATGAATTTTATTTATTTTGACAAATTAAATATCTAATTCATTATTAATATAAATTGAAAATATATCAATAATTTTATAGGATGACAATAGATTCGCGTAAACTCGAGACTCGATCGAGCCCGACATATTTATTTGAAGTTAAGTCTAATTATTTGAGTATTAGGCCTGGATCCGGGTCATAATCAGAGTAATATAATAATAATATATCAACCATACATATAAAAAAATAATTTCGAATAATATAATTATATTAAAAATATTTTTTTAGTTTAACATATTCATTATTTTATTGTAATATTTTTCTAATAAAATACATAATTTTTAATATACATTGGATCCGGTACATATGTAATTTTAAATTAAAATTTAAGAATTGTAAAAAAAGTGGATTTTTCGGATCCATCAAGTTTTACCGGGTATAGTATCGGTCGGATCTAGTGTAATTGGATCCAATTTAAATCTCGGATTTAACAATATATATTTGGAATGAATATCAGTTCCGACTGAACCCGACTTATAATTCAAATAAAATTTATAATAAATAATAATTTAAACAATAAATTTATTAATTTATTTAAAAAATATTGTACAATAAAAAATAATATAAATTTAATTAAATATATAATTTAAATAATAATTAATTTTAAAATTATTTAATTTTTTATATAAATATAATACTATTATTTTTTTTATAAGAGGATATAAATGTAAAAATTAAAATTTCAAGAATGAGATTTAAAAGTAACATGGGGTATCCCATTACAAAAAATCATTTATTTATTTGTAGAATTTTAGACCCACTTTTCAAATCCCATCATTTTAAATTCCACTTTTTGTTTTAACCAAACTTGGATTTTTCATGGGATTTTAAAATCCAAATCCCATGGAATCCCATTAAATCCTTAAACCAAACAGCCCATATTAGTGAAAAATATATAAAATTGTTTTGATATTTATATATGTATAAATCAATTGGTTATATAATGATATATTTGTAATTTATATAAAATTACATAATATTTTATATTAATATGTGATTATTTTTATTATAGTAGAAAATACTTTTTCAACCGGCCAAATTTATTATCACTTTTATTTTTAATCCGCTATATTTATGTCATTCTAATTTTGATAAAGTCAATCAAATAATATTTAATTATTACATTTCATTCGACAGTTATTTACAATATTTATTGTTACCTTTGTTACATTCTTTTTTCGTTTACTTTAATTTTTAACTAAATTTTTAAAATATATCAATTATATTATTTACTTTTTATCACTTTTTAAATAAAATATTATTATTTTTTTAATTTTTGTGCCAAACTTAAATGAATTAATTTTAATAGATTGAATGAATATATTTTTTTTTAGTTTGACGAACGAAAAATAATAAAAATAATATTTTCAATTGCGAAAAAATATAAAACTATCCTTAAAATATCCAACAAATGTAAAATTATATTTTAAATATAAATATAAAAAACAAGAGAAAAATATTATCTTAAATTAAAGAAGGCAGAAAAATAAGGAACAAACGACAAAATGTACTATAAATAAGTAAAAGAAAAGAATTTGAGATAAATATTATTACGGGCCAATAAACAGGCCACTCCATAAGAAGTTTTGAGAAAAAAAATTAAGTTGTTTTCAAAATTATTTTAATGTTTAGTTTTTTTTTTTTTTAATCTGACTTAATAAAAATAAAAGAAATTAATATACATAATTAAAAGAAATTTAGAATATGTATTTAATTTTATAAATATTATATTTTAATAAATATATAAATATAAATATTATTTTGTAAAAAATAAAATTTTATAAATATAATTAAATAAAATATTTATTTATTTATAAAAAATATAAATATATATATTTATCTATTGAAAAGAAATTAAAATAAATATTTAAATAGATTCTACATATAAAATATTAAAAATTTAATTAAATTAATTTATATTTATTAAAATATATTTTAAAATTAATAAATTTATTAAAAATATAAACACATAAAAAAATATATATATTTTTCTAACCTTACAAAACCGAGGTAGTATAATACAGGATCAATAAAAAATGAATTAATAAATCGATACCAACAGCACGTCTAAATTTTATATTATTATTATTATTATTATTATTATTATTATTGATATATTTGTTGATAAAGTCAACAATAAATCAATGTAATGTATGTGTGTATGGTATGTCGATCCAAATCCGACGGTGAAAGATTTATACCCCAAATCATCATTGTCGTCCTGACGTCTTTTCTCTTCTCTTCAAACCCTAGCTGCCGGACTGCCGCCTCCCCTCATTCCGTAACCTCCGACGCCTGCTTGCTCTCTCAGGTAATAAAATTACTGATGAAAATTTCGATTCTTCCATTTTACGTCTAGTGTCGGAGCGCTCAATTCTAGGCAACGAGGTGATGGATCCTTGAAAAGGTAAAAGGAACCCAATCTGTTGATTCGTATCAAATCTACAACCGGAGGTAGCGCTGTGGAGAGCGGCGTATTACTTTCTCACTGAATATCAATTTTCGGATGGATCTCTTTAGATGTTTGAATAAAGATAAACCGCGGTTTGTTATGATTTGGGTGGTGCTTAGTTTGATGGTTAGAGAATGGAAAACTGCAATAATCTCTGGAATATTGTTTGAAATTTTGAAAATTGAACATTTTTTTGAATCCTGCAATGATTAGAATTGGGCAACCTGCTTTGATCTGTATAGATGTATGATCCAAATTCAAATCTGTTTTGTTAGTGTGGACCAATTATATTGTGGATATGAATCTGTGAATCCGGATTGTAGACCAGTTATTGAATCAGGATTGTTCTTTCAGAAACTGAGAATTCCTATGGATGATCGATAGCTTATTGTAACATTGAATGCTAATTTGTGATTGGAGTGTTAATTTTTTGGCATATTTAAACAAAATGCAGAGTAATCTTTAATTTGGAGTTGTAGATTTCCTTTTCCCGGCCAAGATGTTTATGATTAAACCCAGAGGATTCTGCAAATTTTTTTGTCCCCTGTTGCTGTTGCTCTTGGTTAAGTAATTCATAGGTACTCACATTCCACCATGGACTCCTTGGGGATTGTTTTCGTGCAGCCATTGATTGAATGATTGTTGTTGGGCAACTTGCATTTTGAAATGGGATATTTGTTCAGATGTTGATTTGAGTTTTAGTGAATGGCGAATCTCGGAAGAAGTGTCAAATGTTTTTTTTATGACATTTGTATTTTGATATTTTGTTTTGTTTAGCATAAGACTTTACTTGTAGTTTGGAATGATAATTGTCATACTTTAAGATTCTTCATATCCATTTTGATTGTAATTTTACATATACAATAATTTTTATTTGTATGTTTTGTATGATTTCAAATAGTGGTTATTTCACTATCCCTTATCCTGCCATAGTGTTTTAGGGTTCGGCTGATAGTTACCACTATTTGACATTGACAACTATGTTCGATTTCAGTACTCGCCACCAAGTTTAAATGAACAAGTATCCCATGAATTGTTTTGTGCGTAATAACCGGCTATCGTTTCTTTTGTTCAGAAGAACAAGTCGTCAAAGAACACTATGGTTCGGGCATATTCTCAAGAACACACTTACAAGCATCCATGGGAGCGGGTGACTTCTGCGTCGTGGCGGAAATTCGCTGATCCAGAGAACAAGCATACTCTATCGCACATTCTTGAGGTCGACACTCTAAGCCACAAACTCGAACCGAGTGGGAAACTACACACAACTCGTGCAATAACCATTCATGCCCCCGGCCCGTGGTTTGTCCGAAAGATCATTGGCCAAGACATATGCCATTGCGTCGAATCAACTCTTGTGGATGCGAAGTCGCGGTCGATGCAGCTAGCCACGCGGAACATCAGCCTCCAAAAGTTCATCGAGGTTGAAGAAAAAATCAGGTATGACCCCCACCCAGAAAATCCGGACGGATGGACACTTTGCAGGCAGGAAACAACGATAAGGATAAAGCCTCTGTCGGCATTGGCATCGATGGCGGAGAGGATAGAGCAGAAATGCGTCGACAAGTTTCAACATAACAGCGCAAAGGGGAGAGAGGTGATGGAAAGGATGTGTAAGTATCTCGAAGCTGAATCCCGAGGAATATATCGCTAGCTAGCTGAATCACGGTAAACCTGTTTTTTGGCACTGGTCTTACAGGTTTTGGATCTTATATAAATACGATATATAGTACCATCCCCCGAAAAACTGTCTTAACCACCGATGTCCCGGTTAGTTCCTTTGTTGCGGCGTAAAGTAGTGAGTTTAACATGTAATGTAATAGCCTCTTCTCTTCTCTTGTGCTGTGTTGTGTTGTGTTGTGTTGCGACAGACAGACAGCTATGGTCATTGGATGTCGATGATGTTGTTGATGGAATGGAAGGAGGAATAAATTTGTCCTTTCCTTACAGAATCCCATATATATCTTCTATTTCTATTTCTAATTCTAGTTCTTGTCTTGTGTGTTCCTTCCCTCCCATAGGCATAGCATCAATGAATATTTTTGGTGTTTCCTTGAGCCTTGTGCTTTTTCACACCTCAAACTCAACCAAAAGAAACACATCTAGGGTGTTTGTCAAAAAAAAAATACTATTCCATCTGTCGTCAAATTTATACTCTCTCCGTCCCATTGTAAGATTGTCATTTTCCATTTTTGTTCCTTCCAAAAGAAGGTTATTATTTTATAATTTAGTAATTGTACTACTTACCTAATATAATAAATATTATTTTAACTTACAATATATTACACAAATGTCATTATTTTTATATTATAATATACTAATAGGGATATTTTTATCTTTTTTACTATAATTTAATATAATACTAATATTAAAAAATCTACTATTCTGGACGGAGGAACATCAATACCAAATACAAACTAGAATTATTTAAACCCTATCAAAAGAAATACACTCATGACATATAATGGCCTGTGATTTTTTATTATTATTATTATTATTATTTCACTAAGATAGTATCTATTTATTCATTTATTTTTAAAATATCAAATTAAATAATATTTTTTATTTTTTATATTATATTAAAAATTAAATTTTCATTTAAAATACCATCTATTAATAAAAAATTATTCAAATTTAATTTTTGACCGTTCAAAAACCCGAAAATCAGATTGACAAACAAACACTTGTTGGTCGATTTTGCTATCTTATGAGAGGAAGGCGCGGGATACTATCAACTTGTTGGTTTACACAACACAGCTATTTTATGGTATCATATTCTTCATATAGCCCTGCATTTTATTAGAATAATATCTTCTACTACCAAGACGACAACAGAAATGATTCACATAATAATAATAATAATAATAGAGTAATTCTGCAAGGAGAGAGAGAGAGAGAGGAGAGAGGTGGTTTTGGAAATAGATATAATTACAAGGTGTCTGTCTCTTGATGAAATGGTGTTTCCAAGACACAATAAAATCTCTCACACTATTCTATTCAATTCAGACATGATGAAACACAGCAGCAGCAGCAGAAGAAAGACATGCAATAACACCACAACAGAACATATAAGACGAGTTTCATGGAGGTCGTCGAATGGATGGGTACCTGCACTGCACAAGGCGAGGAGGCGACCCCAATGATGATGATGATGATTTAACAGTAACTGAGCTCAATGCAACAGCCAGGTGAATCCAATCGAAACCATTTCATAACCAAGTAAGTGTGTGATCCATGTTTCTTCCCTAGATTTTATCGAGCTTTTCTGCCTTCACCACAGGGTTGGCTTTCGCTATTGCATCCTGCGCTGCACTACGGTAATCGAACTGGCATCCGTGTTTGTCAGAGTAGCGATGTGCTCCGCAGAAGAGGTTGCCGCAACGGCACGTAAATCCAGTTAGGCCTACGCGCTTCTTGCAAGTGCTGCATCGACTCGGCCCTGCCTTAGCCTTAGCCTTAGCCTTGGGTTCGCCGGCCTCGTCAGAGCTCGACGCTTGTTTTGATGGCAGTGATACCGGCTTGACTTGTGCCAAATCAGTCTGCGCATTCCCAGCATCTGCAGCAGGAGACCCCTGCTCGGTGCTGCTAGACGATCCATTAACAATGTTTTCAATAGACGAGGCGGCGAGCTTCGCTTGTTCTTGTTTCAGTATCAGGTCCTTGTAACACTTGGAGCACATGTTCAGGTTCGCGGCACTACCAAAGAAACCACAGTTGTTGATGCACAGAATCGGGCCTTCCGGAGGAGGTTGGCACCCTGTCTCATCATGCTCCATCTTACAATCTCTGTTGCACTGAATTCGTCGCGAAAACAAATAAAAAAATGATTTCATTAAACCTTTCTACACAAGAAAAAACAAACAACGAAACTAAAGCACAAAGAATACTTTCTTAATTCGCGTATGCCAAATGAACCACAGATGAAGGGCATCAAAATATTTATATAGGTTCAGTAATTCAACAAAAACATTCCATGAATGGTACAAAACGATCATGGGGGCAATGTATATCACCTAAGGCAGGACAGATCAAAAGGTTGCAATTAAAGAAAGCTACCATGAAACAATACTTATAAACTATGGTTATAAAACAGTAATTCTTTGGTGCTGGAAATAATACACTTCAAAAGTATGTCTAATTTGACACAAACACGATCGACAAGACAAAGCGCAACCCGAAGACATCTTCGTTGCAACAATTGTCATTTGATCTGATGCTGAACACATAAAGATTGTTGAGAACTACACTGAAGATATTAATAGAATTGTGTTCCTACAAAATACCTCTGAAGGCAAGTAAGTCTATACACATAAACAGATCAGTCCTGATTCAAGTCAACAAACACAGAATAGATCCCCCAGTTTCACATTTAAATAAAGAATAATTAATACAAAGTGATATGTCTGTTGTGTTAGTATGAATTGTTTGCCCTAAAACAAAAATTTCAGGATGAAACAAATAATCAAGACAGACATGAATCGTCGCCAAAACACAAACACTCTGCAGATATAACAAAAATCTCCATGAGGCATCGCAATTTCCAAAACCGATTCGAACAAATAAAACAGACACAAAATCCTGCATAGGCAACGCATCCATCGAAATTAACGCGTAAAATTCAACTAAGTAGCGGCGGAATTGCAAGGTTCATGCCGCGTCGATTCGAAACCCTACCGAATTGAATCAACCAGGAGAGAACCAAAAGAAAAAAATAAATAAAAATCCTCCCAAGTCCTCCGAATCAACCCGTTCACTTCACGGTATTTAACAACAACAAAGATAATCATGGATCTGATCTGAGACAGACAGGGAGGAGATAAAAGAAGATACCTTTCCCTGTCACGTCACGAACTTTCCCCAACGAACAATCTTTCCCGATTAGCTCGCCCGAGTCGTGGATGATTGATTCCTCTTTCTCAGGGCTTTCCCCTTCCCCTTCGCCTTTCCCTATTTCGCCTTTCCTCTTTTGCCCCTCCATAGAGATTTAATGGCAATTTGACCGTTGCACCTGAATTTTGTGGACACCAATTATTTTATTGTTTTCTTTAGTGGGTGGCTTTAATTTAAAACTATTGAATTATATAATTATACAACCAATTATTGAATAAATTACTAAAGAACTTTGTTAAATTATATTATTGATCTGTCGAACTACTAATTTGCTGCAGTAAATTTGGCTTCAATATTTGAAATTATGGAAATATGTACTCTCTTAATATATATATTTGAAATTATTGAATAAATTACTAAAGAACTTTATTTATCTCAAATTCAATGTAATATTTTTAAATTTAAAAACAATTAATTATATTTATAAACTTCATTCATCATTTCAAAATTAATAAATATGTATTTACCTCTTCAATTGTATCATAAAATTTCAAAATTATCTTAAACTTTTTACTTAATATTTTCCCTCTAAATTTGCCGTGCCGATCTCAAATGTTGCGCAGTGTTTAGAGTACCAGTTTTTTAATTGGAGCCAAATTATTACGGATGCATTTTATTACGAATTAAATTGGAAGATGTAGTTGATGTTGAAATGTTTAATTACAATTTACAAGTTTATAATTTAATATAGTAGGTTCTACTTTTACATAATTTGAAAATTAGTTGAGTTGGATTTGTAACTGACGTCTCAGATCACCTACACATGGTTCGCTCGGAATGACTTGCCTTGTTACAAAATTTGCAGAGTATCATAGAGTTTATTCATAGGGCATTCGACGAATAGCGGCATAAGAAAAACATGTTAATTTTTTTTTATTGGAATAACAAATCCAATCATTTATGTGAAAAATATAACCATTGTTCTTTTTACCATGTTTTTTAATTTTTTTTTTTTACCTATTTATTCCACACAATTTTTCCAGAAAAATATATACTATTTTACAAATTTATAAAATAAAAAGAATAATTGATTATGCATAGAGAGAATAAAACTACAGTTAACTCATCTGTAGGTCCTTTTAATATACAAAAATATTTCAGATTCCATAGGTGTAGTAGTTGCTTTTAATATAACACGATTCTAATATGCATCACCTTTTTTCTAACAAAAAATAACTAAAAAAATATACCTTTGTTATCTATAAGGGGTTGTTTGGTTCAAAACTTTTTTTAATGGGATTAAAATTTTGCAATAGAATTTATATGTGATAGAATTTATTGTATTTAGGATTTGGAATCCTATCATGTGTTTGGTTAGAGCTGTTTGGAATCCTATATAATGTATTTAGGATTTATAATTATCCTTCACGAGTTTTTATTTATTGTAATAAATTAAATTTTACATCCATTTTTTTCTGTATATTTTATTTTTTACTATATTTAGTGTATTATAATAAAAAAATTTAATATGATTTTCGATTAATAATAAAAAAATATAATATATATATTCATACAAAATATATACTGTACTATATAATCATACAACAATTTAATTATTTTTATACTGTCTGACATTCTTTTTCATATTTAATATAAAGAAAACACTTTAAACTAAAAATACAAAATTAAAACACTAGTAAAATAAATTAAAATTATTAATTTATTTAAATTATCATTAGTAAAATAATTAAATATAAATAACATTAATAATTTTAAATAAATATATGATTTGTAGTAGTATGCTTAAATATAATATTATATTTTATAAAACCAATAAAATATAATTTAAATGTAAATATATATAGATTTAATATTAGAAAAAAAAAGAGAAATATGATTTTATTTTTATGGAATGGTATAATAGTAAAATATAAAATGCAATGATATGAGATTTTAAAGTAACAGGGATACACTCATACTGAAAAATCCTGCATTTGCAGGATTTTAAAATCTCATGCTAAAATCCCATCATCAATTTTATAACAAAATATGGATTCATTAGGATTTTAAAATTCAAATTCCATGGGATTCCAGTAAATCCACGAACAAAATAGCCCCTAAGAGTCTCATTTTATATTAAAACATAATACAAATTTTTAAAAATTGTAAAAATACTTCGATTAGTATCTTATAATACTATATTTGTACAAAAAAAAAAATTATACAAATATAATATATTATTAATGTTAAGTACGCAAAATGTAAATGTGACCACTTCTGACGGAGGAAGTATATAATTTAATCGTATTTTTTACTATTTTCAATAACCAACAATAAATTTTAAAATTTTTATAAATATTTAAACAACAAAAAAACAAAAAACCTAATATTGTTGCCAATATCCACATCTTTTAGTAGGTTTGTGTTCTTTTTATTAAAAAAAGAAAAATTAAATACATTTATTTATATAAAAATAATCAAATAATAAAAATCATAAAAGAACACAACTTTTGTTTCAAGATGATCATTATGCAGCTAAGAGGTTAAAAACAAAGGGATGATTTTATTATGCAAGGGCAAAATAGACATTGAACAGATGCAACTAATAATTAGGATCTATATATATTTTATACAACAAATCATTCAACAATGCACCAAATAGGATTTGGTTGATATTAGAATATAAGAGTGGTCGAGTTTTTAGTGTGATGCGGACGAACCCTACCAACGCCATCTTAATTTGAATCTCTCTTTCAGTCCAAAATTTTATTCAATACACATTTGGTGTTTAAAACAAAAAATGAATTAAAAAAAAAAAAAAGAAACATTTCATTCAACATTTAAGACAAGAAGCAACAGTCCCAAATACAACACTACAAATTAAAGAACTACTAAACTTGCAAGATATTGTTCCAAAGAATTATTAAATATGGTACTGCTCAACAAAATTACACATAATCAAGACAATAAAATATATGCATATATTTTGCCGAGCAGCCGTGCAATTCATTTTATTAATTATCATTATATCTACCGTCGCATCAAATACATTCATTTTTATTCAAACTTTTTACTATACATTCATTTTTATTCAAATTTTTTACTATCCGCAAATGAATTCAAAACTTCAAAATACTTTCAAAACATATCTCAACACAATCTAAATAATTTTGACAATTTCACAGGGACAATGACCGAGCAACCTCCAAGTTTGTTAGAATGTCCTAAAGGAATATGAAAATGCAAGCAAAGTCTTAGCCTTTTTGTCATTACAATTCTCATCCAAACACACCCTACCTTTCTTCTCTCTTTTCTTTTCCTCTCACCACTTTGCTTTTCCCTCAAACCTTCCCTCCCTTTTCAATTAAAAATTTTGGGCACCATTCTTTCATTCCATTTATTATATTCTTGACTTTAATGCCCCACCTAGTTTAGTGTTTCTTGATTTCTTTCTTCATCTCCCAACATTTCCTACAACTTATGTCATTATTACAACAACCTAGTGCCAACAAGTGTCAAGCCCCACTCTCTAACACTTCTTGAATTTCATTCATGCCCCCTTCAATGGAGGAAACAGCAAGCAACAGAATCAAATCAAAGATGCAAGACTATGAAGTTGCAGAGCAGATAGGAAGAGGGGCTTTCGGGGAAGCTTTTATTGTCATTCACAAGGCTGAGAAGAAGAGGTAAAAACCCACACACACACACAAAAAAAAAAGATTTCACATTTTTCATTACATGATCATGATCCTGTTGTAATAATCACATCACCCCTTCATGTTTTCTACTTAATCATCTGTAGGTATGTTATGAAGAAGATTCATCTAGCTAAGCAAACTGAAAGTTTTAAGCAAACGGCGCATCGGGAGGTGACTCACTATTCTGTAAATTGTGCAAAATTATTACTGCTATAATTTTTATTTTTCATTTTCTTCCTACTTGTATCTGTAGATCAAGATGATTACTACTCCATTAAAGAAAGAGAATTATTCTGGTTAGGCAGACCTAAGATGCAACTTTAATCATAGTTTAATAAGGCAAAGAGAAATAGGGACCATAGGTATAGAAGAATCATTCATAATAATGGCAAAGAATTAAGGTTATGGTGTTCTCACCAACCTCTCCTTGCCTCTTTCAATGAGAATTCACCTACCACCTGTCACAAAAGAGAACAGCAATCGAATAAATTGCAAGAGCAGAAAGTAGAAAATAATTGCAACCTAACTAGACTTTCACATTTAAATTTGTGCAGGGAATGATAGGCTTCAATAAGTAAGTGTGGCTAAATAAATAATGATGTTCTTCAAATACTATTAATACCTATATAGGAATTGAATTCAACTAATTCTACTAAACAGAAATTTGATATGTTCCATTTTTTAGTATTGAAGCATGTAAAATAAGAATATCGAGCGAATCTTGCAGATGGCTTTGATGGAGAAGCTGAACAATCCGTACATCGTCAAGTACAAAGATGGATGGGTAGAGAGGGTAAATGAAAGTCTGTTTCTACTATAGGCCTTACTTGATTTGTTCACATATGATACTCATGGGTGCATCCTACTGAATCAGGACTCATATATGTGTCTCGTGACAAGTTTCTGTGAAGGAGGAGATATGTGAGTGTTAGTGAGCTTATTCGAATGAGTTTCAATAGTCAATCCGCCATTAAATTTTGACAAAGTGACTTCTAACAATTTCACAACCTGTTAGGGCTGAGATGATAAAAAGAGCTAGACATGTATACTTCCCAGAATCGGTAAGGAACGATATATATTGAGAATTCTTAAGCGTTTTACGACGACTATAGAATACCTGAGCCTTTTGTTTCTACAGAAGATTTGCAGATGGCTGACTCAGCTGCTTTTAGCATTAGATTACCTGCATTCAAACCGCATCCTTCACAGAGATCTGAAGGTACATTAATTTCTTCGGCGAATGTAAACCAATGAGCTATATAGATTCCTTGCACTGATTCCTTCCTTATATTGGATCCAGTGCTCTAACATTTTCCTTACGAAAGACAACAACATCAGACTTGGTAAGATGCTAGCCAGTTTTATATAACATAAGCTAAATATAGATGTTTCATCAGTATAGATACCTGTGCCTGATACGAGACATTTTCAGGTGATTTTGGACTAGCAAAACCGCTCCATCAAGATGATCTTGCTTCATCGGTATCCATCTTTCTTCTCATTCCTTGACAAGTGTCACTGAGGAAACTACGCACTCACGGTGTTCAAATCGTGTGTTATATTTAGGTTGTGGGAACTCCTAATTACATGTGCCCGGAAATTCTAGCAGACATACCCTATGGCTATAAATCGGACATATGGTCTTTAGGTAGGTGCCCACCCCAACTTTCCAAAAGATCACCTGGCTGGATTTAGACGTTCTTAGAAAAAGCTTGAGTTCTGATATTTCCTCAGGTTGCTGTATCTTTGAAATAGCAGCACATCAACCACCATTCCGGGCTTCAGTAAGTTAGAGAACAAGTAGTTATCTCGTTGATCTTCGAACATATTAACTCCATTTTCAGTTTTAATAAGTACAGTGTTTTACTAAACAGGACATGGCTGGACTTGTTAACAAAATAAACAGATCCTCCATTTCTCCCCTTCCAACCATATATTCATCTTCGCTGTGAGTGGAAGGACACTCCAACTGCTCATTCAGAAATGCTTTCCATTTCCTATACTGATGATATGTTTTTTCACAATCTTGACATTGTAGGAAGCAGCTGATCAAAAGCATGCTTAGGAAAAGCCCACAGCATAGACCGACCGTTAGTTGCATTTATAATTTATTCTTCTATGAGTATTGATGGAAGAAATATAATGATTTAATCGAATTTACTTGTGTAGGCTGCAGAACTCCTGAGGCATCCACATTTACAACTGTATCTAGCTCAGAACGGAAACTTAGCTCCAGCTTTTCTTCCGGTAAAATCTGAAACAGAGTGGAAGAGCAAATCAGATAGAAAACGGCTTTCAGAAAAACACATGCATAATGAGTGCAAGGCAAACAAGAAAGGGCAGATAAAAGACTCCCATGATCTCGGGGAACTGGATAGAAAGGCTCGTTCTAAAGTTCCTAATTCGTTCAAAATCACTGGATTTAGTACTAAAAGTAATCCAAAGAAAGGTAAAGGATTCGACACAAACGGTCGTCATTGCAAAAGTATCAGTTCCAGATCCTCATCAGGGTCAAGTACACTGACGGATCAAGATACAGAGCAAAATGGTTATTATCAGCAAGAGCAACATCCAAGTAAAATAGGCACTGAGGATACACCAATGCCCGAAAGGTGCCGTGGGATGGAACATCAAACTGTATACATCAATTGGCTCCATGAAGATTGGGTGCCAGAAGCACAAATAGAAATCCCTTCATCTAAAACAGATGATCAAGATTCTTCCAAGCAAACAGAAGAGGAACGAGCACAGAAGTCACACTTTATTGACCCACAAAATTTAAGACAATGTAATAGCTGTCTACTGGAAGCCAAAGTTTTAAATGAACAGAAAGCACAGGCTATGGAGTCACTGCTAGAACTTTGCGCACAACTATTCAAGCGGAAAAGGTTTGAGGAACTTGCAGGAATTCTCAAGCCATTTGGCGAAGAAGCTGCCTCATCAAGAGAAACTGCAATTTGGTTGACAAAAGGACTGATGAATATGCAACAAAATGACAGAGAACCCAATAGCTAATGCTGCTGTTTCTTGTATATTTTAGCAATGTTATATGTACGACAACATTGAGTTTAAAAAAAAGGTTCTTGTTGATTATATGGACTAGGAATCAGTACTTAGCTAAAAATTGTCTTCTATCCACATTGGCGGAGAAACCAATATCCCATCAAATACCTATTATTCCTCACAAAATATCACACCAAATTATTATTAACAAAATACAGAAGTCCTGCTTACACAACAATGATTTTGAATTTTGGTATTATTCTCTTTTAAAAAATATAACATAAAATATATTTTCTCACAAATTATTCATTAATTACTAAATTTTTACTATTCTCAAAATTTCAAAACTCCAAAACCCTCAAAAATTCTTTGCCTAAACAAAACATTTTTCATCTCGAGCATAATATTATGTGATCGCTTCACATTTATTTTCAGAAAATAAGAGTTTAGCAAGGTAATTTTTGCGAGAGACAATTCACAGTTTTAGTTCCAGGTCCATATTCAATGTTGAAAGCCTGTTTTAACCAATGGCTAATTCAGCCATGAAAACACAGTATCACCGGAATTCCCTTCTCCAACAAAGATTTCTAGGCATTTATCTAAAGCTTCCATTATTGTTCCGATTAAGTTCAATTGTCAAATTCATTGTAAGGAAATTGAATTCAATCTAGCCTCGAAAGCCATCATTTCTTTCCACCCTTTCTTCACTATCGCTCATGAGATTCATCTAGTTTTCAATACTCAATAATCCCAAATCAAGGGAGGCCATGACCGCTTTCTCTACAATTAATGAAGAACTTGAACCACAGCTACACCGACACAGTTCCCACAAAGAAAAGTAAAGTTAGAGAATCAAGAACAGTTCCCAAAATCCTATGGGGCCTAACAAACAAGTTCCCTTTCCTCCCAAACCAAGAAAAAGAAGTAGTCTACATAAAAAATGCCTTAAAAGCTGTCCCTCTACAAACCCAAAAGGCAGAAACAGAGACAGAGAGAGATACCTGCCAATTCGAACGTTACACAGTCTCTTTCACAGTGGGACCCTCACCAACGTTATACTCGACCGTTAACACCGAAATTAAATTAAACCAATTAACAAAATCTACCACATACATACATAATTCAACAGTACCACTCCAACACAACGGCTATAAATACGAACCCTAATCGCCTCCTTCCTTCATCGCATCCAATTCATTCATTCCAATATTCAACAAACACCACACACTCACAAAAGCAACGCTTAATTTTTCCGCAAGTAGCAGTAATGGAGCGATTCGGAACTTACCAGTTGGCAATCCTCGCAGCTTTCGCGATCATCATCTCCGCCGCGTCTGTCTCCGCACAGGAAGCTGGCTTCTCGCCTGCTCCGGCGCCTGGACCGGACGCCGGAGCTGGATTCGCCGTCAGCGAACCTAGCGCCTTGATCTGCTTCTCCGTGATCCTGTCTCTGATCGCCGCCTTCCTCCATTGAACTGCGATCTGCGCTAGAGATCTTGGAGGATGAGCGATACATACATACACACACATATATATACATATATATATATATACACGCATATTTCTACATTTCGTATTTCCTCCGACGCCATTGCTGAGACTTGAGAGTGGATTTTATTTATTTTGAATTTTTAATTTTGAATTTTTTGGAGCCCTAATTATTGGTTAGGGCCTGGTGAGGATGTTGTTATGTATTCTTATTTATGCATAAATAAATAAAATTTCATTTATATTATTTTGAATGTGGGGCCGGGTGATATAAAATAGTAGTACAGTGTCGTTGATGTTTCGATCGGCCCTCCAATTTGAAACAACAGGCTGGGGTTCCGGCTATGGATGAACATTCGAAAAAATTGATTTTTTTCGGTTTGATCTGTTCTATTAATTATTTTGATTTTTTAATTGAATTTATAAATTTGAGTTTTCGGTTATGATTTTTAATTTTCAAATCGAATTTATATTTTTTATTTGATTCATCATCCTTGAGTTACTTGCAACGTGTAAATGAAAAATAAATTAAATGAATGAGTTTGAGACCAACTCTAACCCACTGGGCAAATAATGGGAGAAGGGGCTTCAATTTACTCCCAGATCCCCCCATTTTCTAAGTAATGTAAAATGTACCTCCGTTCTAAAATGGATCAAAATTTTATGATATTTTGTGATGTTTTTTATATTTTTGTTATTTCTTTTTGGGATGTATTGTTTAATTTTATTTTTTAGAATATGATATATAATTTTATATATTAAAAGATTATGTATAATTTTATTTTTTAAAAAGATAATGTATAATTTTATTTTTAAAATTAATATATGAATGATTTTACTTTTCGACATTTAATATAATTTTATTTTTTAAAGTTATTTGTACTTTTATTTTATAAAAATTTATGTATAATTTTTTATTTTAAATAATTATTTGTCTTGATAGCATTTAATTATTTATTTAAAATTATTTTATTTGTAATAGTTATTAATTATAAACGTTAATTTTAATATACGTAATTTTTAAATAAAATAGTATAAATTAATTATATGTGTATGGATTATAATGTAAAAATAATTAAAGTTGGGGTGTAATTTATAAATATAAAAAGTTATAGTAAAAATGTCATTTTATTACTTTTAACTGCATATTATAATTAAAATATTATTATTTCTTAAATACCGTGCCAAAAAGTAATGATGTGATGTAAAGTAAAGTATTTGTAGAAAAAAGTGAAGTGTTTAATGAAATGTCTACTTTGTAATTTATACTTTGTAGCTGGACGGAGAAATATAAAAGAAGAATATATATGAAATATATTTTTTGGAGTAAAAATTGAAATTTATGATTGAAATAAAATGACGTAAATCATTGTACGATAGGAAGATGGAACGAACGGTTGAAAATGGCGTGAGTATCATTGTAATAATTCCATAAATTTTAGTTTGTTCAGTGTTAAACCGAATCTAACCTAATTAGTTTTGTTCAATTTAATTTGATTTTGCAAATTTTGGTTGTCAGGCCGGCTGGCTGACGCTGCTGCAGACAGACAGACAGATAGATAGATAGATAGATAGATGGATGGATGGATAGATTGGCAGAGATACCTCTCTCCTTTTGACGTTTCTTGGACTCACTCACTCACTCACCCATTCACTGCCCCAATCATCAATCCATCCTTTTCTTCAGCCCTACTTTTTCCTTCTTCGTCCCTTGCCCAACACTCTTTTCTTTCTCTCTCTCTCTCTCATAAAACCGCCATTTCCATGCCAAATCCCCCCGACTCCGCGTGTATTATTCTTGTTATTACAGAGGGAAGGGAAGAAAACGAACGCCGCCGCCCCCGCATCATTTTCTCTGGGAATTTCCCGACCCTCTACTAGGAATTTCGAACAAGGGGTGGACTGGGGGTTAAGATGGGGTTTATGGATTCCCAGGTTCTGGTGGCTCTCGCCCTCTCACTTGTCGGTGGCTTCAGCACCTCCATTGGTCAGTTCTTCTTCATTCTTTTACAAAAATATAAAATAAAATAAATCTCATTAGGGTTTGGAGGTCCGATTCCTGCTCTTTCACTGTCAATCGAAAATTTTAGAATCGGTGGTTTACCAATGAATTCTCGAGCGGTAATCAACTTTCACCAATTATATGATTCTGATCAGGGGCACTTCTTGTCGTCGTCAATCGATCCCCCAATCTGAGGATGCTCGGGCTTTTACAGGTACTCGAAACAAACAATCAATCAATCAATCAATCAAGCAGCAATTTTCATCCATTTTTTTGCATCGAAAAGAAAGGCTGTGTTTCTTGTTGAAATAGTGTGATTTGCTTTTTTTTTTTTTTTTATTGAAATGAGTATTGAAACCGATGCTTATAGAGGGAAAATAAAGAGAACGGAAAATTAAATCGAAAGATGAAAACACAACAAGAGAATTGGAAGTTATTGTAGGTCTGATTTCATTTCGGCGTCTTCTTGTTGAAGGGTTTTGCCGCCGGGCTAATGCTGAGCATATCGTTCTTAGATTTGGCCCATAATGCCATAAACTCCATCGGCTTCTTGAAGGGGAATCTCTGGGTAATTAAGATTAAGACTCCTCGATAAGTTAATTACACTGGGTTCGATCATCTCTTTTGTGATTTTATTCTTAATTGCTAACTCGTCAGTCGTCTTAGTTCTTTGCAGGCGTAGTTTTCTTCGCTGTTGTTGCTAATTTTATTCCCGAACCAACTCTCGCCCCTGTCCCTGATTCGAAGAGCAAGAAGGTTTGTAAGTTGGTGTTTTAATTTCATTCTACGGGTGGATTGTAATTGTTATTCGTTGGATGGAGAAAATGCTGATGAGAATAATGTGGCAACAGAGAAACGGGGACGAAGGAGGTAAGGATATTATGAAGAAGCGTCGTCGCCAAGTCTTGTTCAGCGGAATCGTCACTGCTATAGGTCAGATCATTTCGACATTTTGGTTTACCGTTCTGTAGAGCTGTAGAGTTGGTAGTTCTCATTCTTCTCGACAGGTATAAGTCTGCATAATTTCCCGGAAGGAATGGCTGTGTTCCTCGGGTCGATCAAGGTAAGCGCTCTCGTGCTTTTGACACTTAGCCTCAATGTGAAGCTTCTTTCTGGAATTGCTGTTCGTATGTCTCAAGGGCATTCGCGTTGGGCTGAACTTGGCGTTGGCTATTGCTTTGCACAACATTCCTGAGGTACATTCTTGCTGGACATAGAATTTAAGAGTTTGAACATAAATTGTGAACATCATCAAGACACAGCTACTTGTTCTTAGGTTACTAACCAAGAAGTTCCCCACCTGCTATTTTTCCTGTCTCACTTGAGATCATTTCCTTTTGACTTCTCAACAGGGGGTCGCTGTTGCACTTCCAGTTTATTTCGCCACGCAGAGGTACGTGTGGATCCCCTGTGTTACCATTCGATGATTGATAAGGCATTTGATGAATTTATGTTCAATCCCAGCAAATGGCAAGCATTCAAGCTGGCAACCCTTTCGGGATTTGCAGAGCCGCTAGGCGTAATTATTGTAGGTCTGAATTCTATTATTCCATCCTCTTGACGTACTTTAGAGAGATGTTGTCGAATAAAAACTAGCTTCACGATGACTCTCTCTCTCTCTCTCTCTCTTGTTGGTGATCTGCTGCAGCGTACATATTTCCCAGCAGCCTAAGCCCCGAAATCCTTGAGGGCCTATTAGGATCAGGTTGGTTTATTATCCCCTTTCCACGGAAAATGAGTTCTCTCCCTCTCTCTCTCTCACTTGTTTCCGTTGGGTGTGATGATCATTGCATTCAGTTGGCGGGGTCATGGCCTTTCTAACTCTGCACGAGATGCTGCCGTTGGCGTTCGACTACGCAGGGCAAAAGCAGGCCGTAAAAGCCGTCTTCTTCGGCATGGCTTTCATGTCAGCCAGGTAACTTGCTTTCCCCAAACCATTGTAGGCTTCTTCCTGTCTGTCTTATTGGATCTTCTCTTCTGTTTTGCAGCCTGTATTTTCTAGAGATCAGCTTACCCGCAGAAATGAGCTTGTAGGCAACCGGGCAGTTAGTTACTTATTCGGAAACCTTTTTATTATCCTTTCTCCTTCGTATTGTAAATGTCATCTGTGGACCAACATGTGACCAATTCTTGGATAAAAACAAAAGAAACAACTCTCTCTCTCTCTCTCTCTCTCTCTCTCGCCGAAATATTAAGCTTATTTATTTTGCACATCCAAGGGAGCCAGCCAATAGAACAAGAAACACTTGAACTAACCATGTTCCTTCGGACTTTTTTTCTGTTGATTTTATATTATTTGATACTACCTGTAGCAACATTTTGAATTTGATACGAAAATTTAAATAATTTGAAATAATTTAAGTGAAAATTATATTATGTAATTGAATAGATAAATATATTTCTAGTTGAATGATGCGATAAAATAAAATATATATTTATATATATATAATTAATTATTTTTAAATTTAAAAATATTACTATGAGTTTAAACCAAAATAAAAAATAAAAATTTAACTTTAAATTTATATTTCATTAAATAAACTATTTAAATTCAAAATTTTATTATTCATAAAACCCCAAACAAAGATCAAATCCACAAACCAACAAACACACCCAACATGATTCTAATTGTAGGAACGGATGCAAAACTTCGCAAGAAAAGCAATGAGAAAAATATCTTGACTGGGGAAGGAACTCTACTCTATCTGTCAAAAGAACACTATAAACGCAAGGTCTCTTAATTACGGAGGCCGATCCCGAAGTGAAATCTACCAGTTCGTTGATCATTGAAGGCGTATTCGAGTCTAAGTGGCCCCAGAGGAGAGTCGAGGCGGATGCCAACCCCATATCCATACCCGCTGCCGGGCTTATTTCTTGCCCCGGCGGGATCACCTGAGGATGATAATAAAGATAAGATGCAGCAGGATGATGATGTAAACAATAACAACAAGAATATGGATCAATATTTCAGTATGATATGAGCGTTGGGTAGCCCAGCCAAACCTGGAACAGCTGATCCTGAACCGATATCAGTTCCATAGTCGGCGAAGACAGCCCCTTCTAGCGGCCCAATCTAAAATATAGCCAAATTGCCGTGAGACTGTTGGAAGTAGCGAGCTAGTGCATAACTTTTAAAGTAGGATGTGTAGTGTATATATATATATATATCACCACAACTTACCACCGGAAATGATATTTCTCCACTTCCAACCAAATAGGATCCACCAGAGCCAACTGCGCCTTCCTCGTAGCCCCTTACACTGTTGGTTCCGCCGATTGGAAATGCTTCATGGGGCGGAAACTTACCATGTACATGACCACCAGACAAACTTGGTAGAAAAAACAGAATATGGGCAGTCAGAAAAGAGATGCTGAAATCTGGATATCAGAAGTTATAGCAGCCCAAATATGTAGCAACTGTTGGTTGAAACTATGTTCTCATTGGATATTATTCACGGGCTTACCATACAAGGAATCGTGCAGGTCCAAGCGCTACGATCTGTCTAGCACGGGCATTAACTCTATTGAAAACCAACCACTCTGGAGAGACGGGGATCCCCTGATCCATATTGAACACAAACTGCAATGTCGCAGATTTCATGTCAAACAAATGGTATGCAGATTGCCAAGTATGGAATAGTATGAAATGCTAATTGAAGAGCTAACCATCGAAGAACCAGGGTCACCGGAGCTGCTGTAGACACTCTCAAGTTTAGCCAGTAACATATCATCGTGGGTGTTGCCACTGTATGTAATGTCTGAAGTGAATTAGTTGAATCGATTTCGCTTCAATACATTTCATTTTGAGAGTTGTGCGACGTTAACCTTATGAGGCTTACCTTGCAGTGAGAGGACTGCCAAAGAAGTCTCTTATAACGGGATTGCCCTTTTCGTCATGAGCACCCGCCCGCTGGAATGAAGATTCAGTCAAACTGAACGAAATGTCACTGATGATGAAAATAAAGTAAGAATCCTGAGACATACTTGAAATATAAGTCCAGCTGTTCCGTTCCACTTTGGCCTAAGTGGCCTACTGTACTCGATCCCGGCTGTAATGCATCCAATTGTAAGATGATTGTTATCTGGCTGGTTGCCATGAACAAGTGTCCCTGGTGTTCTGGAATTCTGATCATTGTCGGAAGATAAAAATTAGTAATATTTTATGGAGCATTGGAAGGCAGTCGGGGTAGACATTGAGTACCTGTATCATGATTGATCTAGATGTCCTTTTATCATCTCCTTCAATCCAAGGATCCGTGTAGTTCAGCTTAAATATGGAATCAATTTGCCCCCTCTCCAATGATAGATTAAGTTTCTGGTTTCGTCCGAAGAGGTTTTTATGATATATAGCAATGCTGTGAAAAAGATATACATGTAAAATACATACGGAATATTTTAGGACAAGCGGTGGTGTTAGCTCAGTGAATTTCAGTGGTAAAATTTTTGTGAAACAGTTAGCAAGGTAGCATTATCAAAACACATAAGAACTAACATTGCCAGAATAATGAAGAAATCACAGATAATAGATGCATTGGAACATAATAACACCAGATAAAATGCATCATTCTTTATGAAACTCCTGAATTGAAGTCAATTACCTCCCAATTAGTCCTGCTAAAGGTCCACTGGTTATTCTGCATAGATGATACAGGGAGGTAAAAAAATACTGCATAGACCAACTAAAAAATAGCATACCATAATTGACACCAAACAAATGTAGCATTTTGCGTACCCACTAGATATCCCACCACCTCCGGAAATTCCCCCGCCGCTCTTACGTTCAACAACATTCATAGTCAAATCCACCTTGCCAGTGTCTGAAGCATTGTCGAAATTAAAAGAATAAATAACTGATCCTCACAAACTTTTAGTTTTTAGTTTAGCATAATTCACCAATTATTTGATAAAAGGATCAATAAGCATTTACCACTAGCAGGCTGAGGAATAATACTAACATCGTCCATGACACCCATTGCTAGTACAGTATCAGCATCTCTTTTCCCCTGAATCATACTGTATACCTACACAAGGAAAAATGCAGAAAATCATTTATAAGGTCCAGCAATCAGAATAGGAACAAGCTCACATCAAATTATGAAATTGCCAAGGGTTGCGGATCGAAAGCCTGGAAAACTTTAACTCTAGCCCAAGAGGTGAGAGCTCAAACAGGTTGGCACAACGACAAGATACAATAGTTATAAAAGACAATGGATGTACATAAATACCTGTCCCTTCTTGGTCGTAAGTTGCCTGAGAATAGTTTGTGGCCTTGTTTTTCCAACTGTTGGCTCACCGCTGAAGATAACATGGACAACAAGCATCATAAGTACTTTATGGTACCAAAAGCCTTCATAGGATTCGTAAATATCCAAACCAGTAACCCACGTCTTATCAAGGAAACGTATGGTTATATTATTAACCTCTGCTTCTGAAACTTGTAATTTAACAATACCCCCAGAAAGAATATCCACACCAGAAACCTGACACAAACATTGAAAAGAACAATCTATATAGTAAAGCAAAGACCATAACACTCGGAAAGCATATGAAAACAAGAAATCCAGAAAGAGAAATTCTTATACAAATGGTCATGTGTGCTAACAACTAACCATGCCAAAAAGGCCCCGTTCCATGTACCAACCATCGATTGATTTTATTATTTCATCCAGATGCCTGATGTTAACCACCTTGCCTGCATGACTTAGCACAAGAATGAGGGAAGGACTAACATCATGAGACCTTTAAACATGACCATCCAATAATTTAACCGGACTTCCTAGAAAATATTTCAGTGGAAATAAAAGGAAAGTGTGATACACACCATATCCATCCCGAAAAGCATCCTCCACAAACTTTGCTGGAAGAACATTAGCACCTTCACACACCAATCCCCGAAACTCTTGGTTTGGTTCTACCTTGTACCAGAATATGTTGCAACAAGTAAATAACTCTTCCACAAGCCCAGGTAGTATGAATTATATATAAACTCACATGTAAAAGGATCAAACTGTAACTGAACTAAAACCAACTGAATAGGCAGCATAAATCACTTTTTCACTGATTAGTTTGAAACCAATCAAGTTTATCACATACATTAAGGGTTCATTCTTAACAGGCATATCGAACTGTAGAGGGATCTTTAATATTCAAATCAAGAGATCCATAGATACGCAGTTTTCCAATTCCAATAATTGAAATCAACAGAAGGAGTTCATCAAAAGCCTACTCCCTTACAAGATGCCAAAAAAATACTGAAAGCTTTGCATCCACAATGGTAAACAAGCTGCTTAAGATATCAACAAGCACGCCTGTCTGACGGATTGAATACCTGAAATATCAAGCGGATGCCATCGCGGGTGTCCACCGCAACTGGCATACAAGACATGAAATACCCACTGGCAATAATCCTGTGCACATCTTCCTTCACCTCGCGCACCGTCAGTGCAGAATTCGCACGAGAAGCTTTCAACGCAGTCAATGCCTCGGCTTCCAAGTCCTTCCTCTCCAATTCCTCTCCATCCTTATTCCTAACCAACACTTCGCTTATCAGAACCCTCTCTTCCTCCGCCACACGGCTGCTACTCACAGTCTTCGACTGAGCAACACTCCCCGAGTCATCACCTTTGTACTCAACCAACGCGTCCGATTCCTCACCTCCTTTCGACTGCTTCGACTCACTCCTAGGCTCCCCATCCGACAGAGCTAGAGCTAACGTAGCGGAGCAAAAGAGCGGGGCCTTCATTAACAATCTGTTATGCAATCGACTCTTGATATTGTGACGGAAAAACGGCGGGTTTCTGACGAATTCGGAAATGAAATTGGCCGGCAGGGGATTGAACCTCAAGTTGAAATTGATGTTAAACGGCAGGATGGCGAATCTACAACGCGATTTGAGCTGAATCGAAGAGAGCAGGGAATGGGAGCCAGCGTGGGACTGGGATTCGAACAATGGCGAGAAAGGCGGGACTTTGATGGAGGAAGAGACGAACCGAACGTCGTCCGCCATTCTCCGCCGGCGGAATCGGAACGCTAGGGCTTTTGAGGGGTTCTGAGAATAATAACAGGCCGTACAGCCGCCGCTTCTCCGCCACGGAGCCTCGCCACCATTTTCGGGGCCTAATGGGCCGATCAACAACGGTCCAAAAAAATGTTGGCACAAAAAACTTGTAGCCTGTGAAAAGCCTCATTTTAACCTTCCAAAACTTTAATGAAAAGCCCTGTTTTAGTTTCGCTTCGGCCTTAGTGATTATATTTTTTGTGTGTTATTTTTTAAAATTTTGTAACATATATTTAATAATTTTATAGTATCTACATAACTATTTATATTTTATATTAAAAAATACATATATATATATATATACCTTCAAATAACTTCAAACAAAGATAAACACTTATGACATACAAACCAAATACACTCTCAAGTATCAAATAAATTCATTGTAAATATTTATTTGTTTAGTATTTTAGGTTTTTTTTTTATTTTTTTTTATGTGGACATGATACTGATAATATAAAAAATAATATTTATTTATGAGATTATAATATTATATAATTTAAAAATTGTTAAGCCTTTTTTATATATTAGATAAAAAATTATAATTATATTCATATACTATAATATAAAATTATATTAAAGAAATAAATATTTTCTCTTTTCTCCACATAAAATAGGGAACAGAAAATTATGGATGTGGAGGAGAGAAAACATGAACTATTCTTTTGCCATTCGAATAGAAAAATGGTTCAAAACATTTACAAAAAAGAAAGAGATAAAAGTATTAGTATTTGTTAATTTATGTGAGGATTTGGCATGATTTTCGGGTTGGTATGATTGTTGGGTCATGTTTCCCCTATTTTTCCTCTCTTTAAATTTGGCATGTGTTTTCTTATATTAGCCCTTGCTTCTTTCTTCTTCTACTGCTACCTGCATATCATATCATATAGACCTGGAAATTCATTCTTGTATAGATCGAGACGAGTTAAAAGAAACAAAGAGGGAGGTCAGTGCCTGCCGGCCGTGGATGTCATTTAATTAATTAAGCAATGCCCTTGTGGTTGATTGTGTCTGTTTTTTTGGATGATTTGTTTGGCCATTTTGTGTGCACTGGAGGATTATACATACGTCATGTTACGATTTCTTATCAGTTTAGCATCTCTTCTGTTCTGTTGTGACTTTTACTTTAGTATTTGATGTGATGGTTATGTTTAGTGAAAGAAAATATGCGAACGAATGCTTGATTGATGTGCAGGAACACGAGTTCCATCGAGTGAAAGATGGGCGATCATCAGCATGGGCAGTACTCAACATCTTCATTTTCCCAGAAGATGATGATGGCTAGCCAGCTGCACCTCAGCTCCTCCACCAGGCCCTCCCATCTGATGAGGCAGTTTGTGTATGGAAACTGCACGACGACAACAAATGCAAATGCTGCTGCTGGCCCGCAATGCCATCCCTTCACCTTCGCCTGCACGCTGAATCAGGATCGTTACGTGTCGCCGGTGTTCGCCGCCGCCCCCAACGAGAAGGGGTTCGCCGGGTTCGCGATCGACTTCCTGATGGGGGGAGTGTCGGCGGCGGTGTCCAAGACGGCGGCGGCGCCCATCGAGCGTGTGAAGCTCCTGATCCAGAACCAGGACGAGATGATCAAGGCCGGCCGCCTCTCCCAGCCCTACTCGGGGATCGCCGACTGCTTCAAGAGGACGGTCCAGGACGAGGGGATGGCCTCGCTCTGGCGGGGCAACACCGCCAACGTCATCCGCTACTTCCCCACCCAGGTCCAATATCCATCCATCCATATCTCCCTCCTTCCTAACTCAAATGATAATTTGTTGAGAGATACATAATTGGTCATTTAATTGATCAATTCGATTCAGGCCCTCAACTTCGCCTTCAAGGACTACTTCAAGCGCCTCTTCAACTTCAAGAAGGACCGCGACGGCTACTGGAAGTGGTTCGCCGGCAACCTGGCGTCGGGCGGGGCGGCGGGGGCGTCGTCGCTGCTCTTCGTCTACTCGCTGGACTACGCCCGGACGCGGCTGGCCAACGACGCCAAGGCCGCCAAGAAGGGCGGGGGCGGGCGGCAGTTCGACGGCCTGGTGGACGTGTACAAGAAGACCCTGCGGTCGGACGGCGTGGCGGGGCTCTACCGGGGGTTCAACATCTCCTGCGTGGGCATCATCGTCTACCGCGGCCTCTACTTCGGCATGTACGACTCCCTCAAGCCCGTCCTCCTCACGGGGTCGCTGCAGGACAGCTTCTTCGCCAGCTTCGCCCTCGGCTGGCTCATCACCAACGGCGCCGGCCTCGCCTCCTACCCCATCGACACCGTCCGCCGCCGGATGATGATGACCTCCGGCGAGGCCGTCAAGTACAAGAGCTCCATGGACGCCTTCACCCAGATCCTCAAGAACGAGGGCGCCAAGTCCCTCTTCAAGGGCGCCGGGGCCAACATCCTCCGCGCCATCGCCGGCGCCGGCGTCCTTGCCGGCTACGACAAGCTCCAGATGATCGTGTTCGGCAAGAAGTATGGCTCCGGGGGGGCCTGATCAATGGAATGGAATGGAAAGCGCACACCTCCTCCATTTTTTGAATAAGTTAGTTAGTTAGTTAGTTTGAAGAGACTAAAACCATACCCTTCCTTTTCTTGGTTCTTTTATCGTTTCGAATGGCCTATTTCAGTTTTCACCTGAAAAAATGAGATTTGATTTTGACAAGTATTCATATTTTCAGTTTTGTCATTGAATAGCAGTCGTCAGTTTCTGATGGGTCGGCCCATCCGCGAGTGTTCTTTTCATTTTCCCGCAATTTCTGAATTCTTCCCCTTCCCCTCTTTAAAATTTTTGGTTTGTTCTTTTGATTATTATATAGATAATTGTTCCTATCTATGTTCATTGAGTACAGCAGGCATGATCACGATCACGATCACGATCATGATGGAGTGCGAATAATAAAAGAAAGAAATTATAGATATAGATATAGATATAGATCGGGAAGCGGAGCAGAGAGAAATAGGGAAGAACATGTTATGTTATAGGGTACTGTACAATAAAGAATTGATTTGATCATGAGGCTTAATCTGATGTTGTTGTTGATGATGATGAATCTCCTTGCACTCGCACTTGCACGCCACCTTCTATCCCATTATATCTTTAATCGATCTCTCTCTCTCGTCGTATTGTTATGAATAGCCAAATTTGCTCTTAATTATAAGGTAGAAATTAAAATTAATAAATAAATAAAATATTAAAATATAAAATTTGTATTTAAAAAAAAAATAGCACAATAGTTGTTAGATGTCCAAATAAAAAAATAATAATTTATGACCGTGAGATCGTAAGTTCATCAAAATAGTCATGACTTGTCTTATTATATTAAAATAATACCAAATAGAAAACATATATTGTACTACATAGTATTACATAATGTGTCATGCTATATATTGTATTAATTTTATTGTGTAAATTATATATTGTATTATATAATATATAATTATGCTAAAATTAGTAATATATAATTATATAACGTGTTATTAAAATATCTCATATATATTTTATATTAGTATGTGCGATCGAATATATGCTAATTTTTTATTATAAATATATGTTGAAGAGCCATATCAACATAGTAATTAAAACAATATGTAAAAATTAGAAATATAAGATTACGTGTATATAATTATATAAAGTATATTTTTATTAATCAATAAAATATTATTTTATCCAATTGGAATATTAGTATTATATTGAATTGTAGTGAAAAAGACAAAAATACCCTATTAGTATGATGTAATATAAAAACAATGACATTTATGTAATATATTGTAAGTTGAAAGGGTATGTAGTACAGTTACTAAATTAGAAAACTGTAACTTTTTTTGGAACGAACGAAAATAAAAAATAATAACCTTTTAATGGGATGGAAGAAGTATTATTTTTAATATTAATATCATAATATAGAACTAAAAAATATGTCTATTACTTCATTACTTGTAAATATTAAAAAACAAATGGTGTATTTATTTTTAGATACATGTGTTTTTTTATACTTCTATTGAAAATTTTGTTGTTTTTTAATGAATATATAAAATATATATTATAAGTGTATTTCTTTAGCCATCAAACTTCAAAATTCTATTATTTTTTTTAAGAAATACTATATTTTTTATTTTTACAAAATATATTATTATACATTATTTTAATATCAAATTCAAACATAACAAAATAAAACACATCCTATATTTTTATAATATTTATCTAACATATATATAAGTTAACAAATGTAAAGATAATTTGTTTTGTAAAAATAGTTTAATTTTCTTTTTATGAAAATATAAAAATTATATAAAAATAATATATATAGTATAATATATTAATTTTTTAAAAAAATATATGTAATTTTTAAAAAAAAATTATTAGGGTGTGTTTGTCTGGGGATTGGACTTTTTTTGCCACTATTTATCTAATTTTTTTCCCAAAAAAAAACATCAAATCAAATACTTATTCTTCATTTTTTATATTATACTAAAAATTAATTTTACATTCAAAAAATTACATCAACATCTATTTATATCACATTATACAACTATTCAAATTCAAAATTTTTACTAATCAAATTATAATTCAAAATCTAAACCTCCAAACAAACGTACCAATACAACACCCCAAATATATCAGTACTATTATTAGCGAGTACATCGTACAAATGAGAAAGATTTAAACACGACTTCGCAAACACGATTTTAACCTTAGCCTCGTTAGTCGCGCCACGCAAAAGCGTGGTTTCAATTTTATGGTAGAATTAAAGTACAAGAAACCGGGGCAGCCGCATGTTTCCTCACGGGAGTTCGATTACGAAAGTTGGGTTTGAGTTTGATTTTTATTTTAATTTTAGGATGAGTTTGAATTTTGTTGTTTTTTTTTATTTGAATTTTATTGAAGTTTGAAGATTTTGATGTGTATTGATTTGATGAATAATGAATAAAATAATATAATTATGTATTAAATTTAATTGATAAAATTTATATTGTATAATTTAATTATAAATTTATATTGTACCCAACTTATATATATTTAAATTTTTATTTATTTATATTATAAAATTTTTTATTATTCTAACTAATAATATATCTTATATATATATTTTATTTAATTATAATAAATATTAAATAAATTTTAACTTTTTTTTTTTAAAAAAACAAGGAACATACCCAAATTCTACCCGCAATCTTACGAGGCAGGCCCCACAGGTCCCTCTCCCCGGTTCTTTACCCACTGAACCGACCGCTCCGGTTCCCGGTCAATATCAAAATTTTCCATGCACCCCGCCTCACTGAATCATTCCCAGCTACTCTCTATCTCACGCGCCGCACGTGAGAACATTTACTACTGTAACTGTTCCCCTTCTTTAGCCTTTTGTCCAAAAATTATACAGTACTTGTTCCGTCTCAAATACGTTGGAATATTTGTTTTCTTGGCACAGATTTTTAATATTTTTAGATAGATAGTATTAAATAGAATAATTTAAAAATAAAATGACGTGACGAAGAAAAAAATATATATTTTATTTTTTTATTTAAATAATATAAAAGGATAAAATGTGAATAAAAATTAAATATAATTAATTATTTTATATTTTAAAGATATTGCAGATGTTTGAAATATATTAAAAATAAAATGTACGCTGAATGCTTGGGCAGACTGAATATTATTTTTAAATATGGTAAAAATTGGAAATATTGACGAGACAGCAACAGCGGAGGTTTTATTAATTAATTTACAATTCAATTAATAAATTTTAGAGATTCCTAAATGTGACTTCAATTTCGTACAATTTATCTAATTTAATAAAAAGGTCATAGGTTAGCTAATATAAACATGTCTACAACTCTACATTAATTCGCGGTTGCTATTTCCAGGCGCGGTTTGCTATTGCCAGAGCAAAGGCTCTTGCGAGTGTTTGTACTCTGCGAAGTGGGAGTTGTACTGTGTGAGTATTTATATTCGAGTTGCAGTAGAGAGAAGGAGACAAAAGGTGGAAGACAATTGCTGTGCGTCGTCTTCATGCCCTCTCTTCGGAGAGAGAGAGAGAGAGGTTTGGCTTTGATCATCGGAAGATATTTGCATTCGGAAAAGCGATCAATGCCGGTTTTTTAACTCTCTTTCTTTTCTGCCGAGAATCAATTCCTGTATTGGTTATTTGCTTGAAGTTCGTTTGCTTGCTTGATTTGTTTAGAATCACTCTAGTTTTTGCCTTCATTTGGAGCGGCGAGATATTTATGTGTCTGTTTGTTATATTGCTGTATTAAATAAATATGGTTTTTGTTAGCTTTAGATTTTTCTGGCGATCCGTTTGGTTATGGAGAAATTGCATGTTGTTTTGTAACTTGGATTTATGTATCGGTTTGCTTCAATTGTTTATGTGTGTGCATTTCATGTAGTCTGTGCTGTATCTTCCTGTGGCTTGAGTAGATGTCTCCTTTCTGGAGTGGTTTCGATGTTTGACCCCGACTTGTTCTCAATTTCGTTTGGATTGTTCCATTGTGTGGTTGATTAATTCGCAGTCAGAGCTACAAGCTCTCGGCTTGACCTAATATTTCTTTTCGATTGTATCATTGAAACACCTTGTTTTATTGATGCCGGTAATTTCTGTTCATTTTTCAACTCACTTTTTGGCACTCATCGTCTAAAACATGGTTGATCTTTGTTGCAGATGAACGGTTCTCTGGGATTTAAGAGCTTATAAGTTCTTAGTTTTGATGTAATTTATGCCCTAGCTCAAATTTTGCGAAAGTATTAGTGGTGAGTAGTGTTCGAGGTTTTACACAAAGTTAGTATGCCTTTATATATTACCATTGTTTTTCCATAATGTGCAGAAAAATTGTAAAGACATGAGCTGGAATCCACCTATGGAAGTTCATTACCAAAACCACCCCACACCCTATAACTCAATTGGAAGCTTTGTGGATTTTTTTGGAGGTCTTACTTATGACCATGTAAATTACATATTTGCAGATGCTAATTACATTCAGGTACGGAGTCATGATATAAACTGGATTGCTTTCTGAAATATCTAAATATGCTCTATGATCTTTCTTTGAGTATACTATGGTTTTTCTTGATTTGATCCAGTAGCCTATGATGCTTCCAACACATCAGTTTTCATAAAATCTTGCAATATGTACAATCTTAAAAACAGTTCTAGATTTATTAATAATATATGAGATTGGTGGCCTGGTTGTTTTAAAACCGGTAATCAGGTAATTGTAAAGGATATGATGATGCTCTCATTGTGAGCCCCTTAGCCTTTACTTGAGTAAATGTGTTAATACTTTAACTGTCCCATCTAATCTTTTAGCGATTTGGTACCCAGAAACCAAACTTTTAGTATAAAAAGTTTCTATTTCAAAGTCCAAGAAGGATGTATTTTGTGACTTGTTTGAATTATTTACAGGAGAATGGTTATAATGCCTACCCAGCAACAAATACAAGTTTGTACAAATTTGCTGTATCTGAACCTGGAAGCTTCTCATACTATGAATATGGAAATGGCTATGTAGTTGATAATCATATCCCAGGTAGAGAAGAATACAGCGAGCATCCACAGAATACCTCTGTGGTGGCGGATGATCAGGCTGCTGTTTCAAATGTACACCAGGAAGGAAATTCTGTCTCCACCTCGCATGCACATCTTGTAGAATGTAAGTGATATATCTTTCTGCTTTGTCACTTCTTGCAGTTTCTTCTTCTTTTGTTTTTTGTTTATTAATTTAATAAACTTTGTTTGTGAACACTCTATGAATTACCTTGTTTCTGGGAGTGATCTCAAATTACATGTGGTGCCTATACGATGTAGTTATTATACCATACAGAAGTGAAACATATCTCCATTGTAAGTAATAGGGACTTGATCAAATCTTGTTGGCCTTATCACAAAATTGTACTTTTGGTTGGTTCAAGCGCGCCTCCTTTCATGCATTTAATAGCTGCTCTCAAATACATACTTCTAATTTGTTTATCTTTTTATTTATTTATTTATTTATTTTTTTAAGTTTCTGCTTCTACTCTGTTTATTTTGTTATGCTGTGCTGCTAAAATTACGTTTAGACACACTTGTTGGCTTTAAAATACTCACTGTTTTTTCAAATATAGGTCCTAGGAATCATCAAGATGCTCGTGATACTGAGGTATTATACTTTTTCCTTCTTAGTTATTGATTCCTTAAGTTTTCCACGTCCATAAACCTGTACAAATATTGAAATATATATACATATGATGAAAGGCAAGGTTTATTGTTGCTCATCACCTTTATGGCTTTGTGCTAATGCAGGTTGTTTGGCAAGATAGTATTGATCCTGATAACATGACATATGAGGTTTGATATATGAGTTTTTGTCATCTTCAAGCATGCTTTGTCCATTGTTTAGATAGCCAATTTTTAACAAGACTGCAAGCCAGATTTTACACAAATATAAAATGTTCAACAAATATGTATACTGCATGCGATTCATGCTCAGAGCATGGTCTGACTGTAATTAATGTCCTTTGTTGTTGGACATAAGTTCGCAAATACTGAGTTAATTTTACTGTATCATGATGGGGTTCTTGGGCACTCTGCCTAGTGCCTACTTTACTGATGATTTCATTTCAATGATGTTATTGATTTGAATAAATTAAATCCACAAGGCTTCTTTATGTCTTGACTCCTGGTAGTTAGTCTGTATTGCTACTACAAAACCACTTCATATCTTTAATAAAGGAGAAGATCATTTTACTCCCTGGAGATGGTATCACACTGCTGACTTCTGTCTTGCTTCATTTTCTCTCTGAAACTCTACTAAGTTTTGGGCAACAGATCACTCTTGTTTATGAAGTGGATGGGATGAGTAAAAAACATGTTTGAATTACCACGATTTTTCTCTTTTATTGCTTCAAGTGATTGTCATAAATTTAAATATGCATTTGGTTTAGAAATATAAATTGCAGATTTCATGAAAATGCAGTTTTACATGCCATCACTAACTCCAGATGGTCACTTGTTAGAAGTGATCTGTTTATATGAACTTATACACCCCTTCTGCAGGAGTTACTCGAGCTAGGAGAGGCTGTTGGGACTCAAAGCAGGGGTCTCTCCCAAGATCAAATTGATTTGCTTCCAATATCAAAGTTCAAGTGTGGCTTTTTCTTCAAAAGGAAATCAAAATGTGAAAGGTATGGTTAACATTTCTCTTTTCTAACATACGATCATGCCCAATGTTCGAGTCTATGATGCAGGCTAATCGTGTTTAATATGTCAAAACTTTATATAGGTATATAGTTATGTAGTTGTTTTCATCTCCCCCCCTAAATTTACACTGGTGTTCAGAATCCCCCTTATTGATTTGATTAACTCTTCTGCATTACAAAGGTGCGTGATTTGCCAGATGGAGTATAAGCGAGGCGACAAGAGAATCACTCTTCCTTGCAACCATATTTACCATTCTGTTTGCGGCTGCAAATGGCTTAGCATCAATAAGGTCTGTCCCACCTACGCTTCCTGTCTTTCGTATATAGTGTCCGGCCAATATGGTTGCTTACAATCCTTAGCATACCATACCAGGCTTGCCCAATTTGTTATAAGGAGGTGGTCATCCATGTTCCCCGGCACTGATACCTGATTTCTCACAATACAATACTGCATGGCTTACTCTATCTCCTTTGCTTCCTTGCAAATTCCCTTGGATTGATTTCTCCAAAGATAAGTGTCCCTGTTTTTTTGTTCCTTGTTAGGTTCTTAGATGAGATTGGGTGATATGTCGCTTGGGTGATATGTCGCTTGGGTGGGAGTATTGTTATGCTTCATAATTATGCCTTCTATGTTCGAAAGAATTACATGGCCTCTGCTCCCGTCCGTCTTTCGATTACTCGTAATATCCATGTTGAAGAAGTTGCTGATTTATAGAAGAATTAAACTTGGTTCTCTCCTTTCCTGAAGGACTGAATTCAGACAGGGTAAGAAAACGAATTCGGTTATAGCATTGTGTTGCTCTGTGGGGTTTTTTTAGTTGCTTTGGGTATTTTGGATATGCATATTTTAAAATAAAAATAAGTATAGGTATTGATTCGATATTTTGAATTTACATAGAAAATTGTTGGGAGAATACCGGAAGAAGACCAAAATGCAAACCAAAATAAGATTTGATGTACTCCTTAAAAGTAAGGTGTTCAAACTGCTCTACTAAAACCTTTCCCTTCAATCAATGTTCCTTTGTGTCAAAGTAAATGATGACCACTAATAAACAACGAAAATAATAATGAGACACCAAAATTTTTAACGTAGAAAACTTCTTCAAAGTGAAGATAAAAATCAGGAGGTCTATGACTCGACCGAAGGCAAAATTCATTATATCAAAGGGTTCGTGCCATTAAAGATAACTATAACTAAAAAGTTATCAAACTTCATACCCAATTACAATGGAACTACAATCACAAGAGATCTCCTGACTACTAATAATTCATTTCAATTTTCAACCAATAAGATTCAAAATTGAATCCAAACAAATTGTGAGAAATCAACGATACCAAAAAAGGAATATCCGAAGATGATAAGACTGTTGATAATAATTTATTTTGCGCATTCGTTGTGCGTGTTTGGATGAGTCCAAGCGGAATAGGCATTAGTAATATAAAAAGATAATAATATTTTATATTAAATTATTTATTTTATATAAGTAAATAATAAATATATATATTATGCTAATATATATATTATTATATATATATATTCTAAGAAATTATTTGTAAAACATTGTGCCACAAAAAATATAAAATTTTAACACATCCTCAGCACAACGTGCATGTCAATATTATACATATTGTGAACATATAATATAAGGTCAATTGACCTGTGCATACATATTTATATAGTATACTGCATGAACTAACAACAAATTATAAAAATCGATCTAATCAATATATGTTAATTTTATTCCAGTCATGTGGCGAGAATAAGTTACTAATGCGCTGATTAAGGCTAATCCAATACCGAACATTTATTAGTTCTAATTAGCATCCCAATTTGACATTTTGTGATTTATTTTGATGTTGAGGCAGTTGGGCACCCAATCTAAACACAATTACATATCATTTTGTATTAAGTCTTTTCTTTTCTAAATAACAATTGCAAATTTCTTTTATCTTAGTTTTCTAAATAACATGATTAATCAACAATAATAAAATATTCTTAAATTGTACACTTAAGTTTTAAAGATTGTATTTATCCGACATGTAAAAATAGTATAATTATTTTTTAACTGAACTTTAAAACTCAAAAGCACCAAAGCAAAATAAGAACTCAGGTAAATAGCCCTACAAATCTGTACATTTTTCTTCACATCCTAAGAACCATCTTAATCTAAAAAAGTCCCTGAAAAGTTTTGTAATAAATAAATAAATATATTTTGCATTCTTATAATCCCAACAAAACCACTCTTTCCTATTAAAAAAAATGAAAAGAAAAGGAAAGAAACTTAGGATAGATAGATACACGTACAGGTACAGGTAAACAAGAAGATATCATCATACAGTGGCCTTGCTTTGGAGGAGCCCTTCCGTGAGCTGATCCGACTGCTCCACCGCCGGACGGGGCGGCGGTGGCGTGGAGCGTTCCGACTGAGTTGACGTGATGAGTATCTGCATAATGGCTATAACTACGGCCAAGAACACGAGGCACAACACAAGTTCCATCTTCGAGAATGGGAAGCATCGGAAGAACTCGACGATAGCCAGAGTTAGGAGCAATGACCAGAATAGAACAACCTGCCCCAGGAAGGAAACTCTGGTTAGGGCGGAAAAGAAATGTGTCGTTCTCTTACCACGGAGCTGATCAGATTGTCAAACGGCAGTAGTTAGTGTTTACCAGCAGTGACTTTCTTGGCCTGCCAATGTCGCGGCAAATATCATCTCCAAACGTGTCTGTGTCGAGATGGCGCTCCAACAGTGCATCCTGATCGGGTGGTTGGATTGGAGGAAAATACATTTTTTTAGTAAGCTTCACAACCTATGAGCATGAAAATTTGCATGGAATGTGTTGTTGAGCGGATTACCTTCGCCACAAACATGTCTTTGCACCACTGCGCGATCCCACTGCCAGTTTCGGGCAGTTCTCGCATTAGGTGGCGCTGGATGTGTACATGTACCTGCAACAAGAGAGATATTTGAGTCACCGTAGTAGCTTCAACGGATTTCTAGTGAACTCAGATGGTGTACCCTGGAAGGGCGTGCCCTGAAGATCCTCAGCAGTGTTGGCTGAGGTTCATCTTTCGGGATCGCAACTGTAATGTTATAAATCACAGGGACAAATGGTCGTAGATGAGTGACTGCTGCAACAAAGCCCTGGATATGCCCCGAAAAAGTAACAGTATTATAAACATTGTTATTGTCGAAAGATAATATAAGGATTCCTGAGGATTCATACCTTAGTTCGAGGGATCAGGACGTTTCTTGGAATAGGCAATCCGGCCGAAGCAGCATACTCTTGTGCGGCCTCAAGCTTCTCCTTCGTAAAGCGAGTACCTTCGACGAAGAGAGCCAACCAGAAAGGCATGGGAAAATCATGAAGCCCCTCAAGTCCTGTCTGCAGAGAAATCGAGAACAAGATGGAAATTAGATTAACCTTAGGTATAGTATAGTTCTAAGTTTTTTCTTTTTTTTCTCGGTACAAAGTATCGAACTATGTGTGTGATTAACAGGTGAACACCTTCAGTGTGTTTTCATCTTTAGCCCAACTTCTTTTCAAAAATATATAACCAGAAAACCACATGGACCAGCCTATAACCTGTATGAATAAAAAGATTGATATGATCAGATAATCTGTTTGTACATAGGACTTGGATCTTTCTAAAAATGAGTTAGTTATATTGTAGCATTGAGGTGGTTTCTAGTTTAGTGGATTTTTGTTTCATGGAGTAGATAACCTTAAGAACTCACAGGAAGGAATAACACCGATCTTTTTATTAATGCTAGCGAGCTTCCGAGACAACCTGAACGCTGCAAAAAATGGGATTGACATTCAGTTGTTGCTAACAGAAACATCATCTGTGAAATCCTTTGCAACCACAGGTCTTAATAAGAGATTCGAATAGAAACCTGAGCTAAAACCCATCCTACAAGCCAGTCAATATCGCTTCTGTGGTTACATATTAGAAGTGCATGCTCTTTACCTGAATTTACGTACAGATAAATAAATCAACACATCGAGAAAACATCGACATTTGGAAATATCTCAATGTTGACAAGGCATTTGAGACTTGGTACCCAACATTTCAAAAGTTTCTTGATTCACAAATAGCTCAACCTGTTAACAAGAACGGGTCAGTCACCGATATGATCAAATAATACCACAGAAGTTATGCGACAAAGAGTAGTTCTTTGATTATGTGTTACTACTTGAGAAATTCATCAAGTCCGGTTAGTTATTGCTATATAGTTTATAAGAAATGTCAGACGAAACCAGAAAAATCAAAGGAAATGTGATGTAGATTGATGGATCTAATATATAGTAATTCACATAATTTGTGAACACCTTAATGTTTGCCCACCAGTCGACAAGCCAGACGAGCTCAAGCCACAGTAGTTCTATAATTCGTTTGTTGATCCTTCTGTAAGCATTTTTCGATAATGGCCGAACAAGCACATAGAATATTGCCTGAAATTTAGAGGAAGTGCAACGACCCTCTGAATATACTAAGCTATTGGAAAAAACAAACATGTAATCGAACAAATTGAGTTGAAGAGCTAAACTATGATACTCAATGGCCAGATCATGTACAGTGTGTGTCTCTATTAAGTATTAACATCCTCGTGGTCTTAGAAATCTATAAACCAAATCCGCCATTAATATTCTTTATAACTAATAAGTAAGCAACAATTCAAATAGCAGAGATTGCAAAATCCAAAATACGACAGCGAACAACATTTAGGTTTTTCTTCCATACCGAACACAACGAAATCGCACTATCTCACTACGTAGCAGCAATACGAAATCCACAGGCACTACGCATTCCTAGGTCATTTCAGGATTCACAAAGTAGACCAAAAAAATTAAGATCGGAAAGTAAACGTAATTAACCTGAATGAGGTTCACGACGATGCCTGACAGAAGGAATAGGAGGCCTATAGGGAGAACCACCACTGCGGCGATCGCCATTGCCGAGCGAAAACAAACAATTTTCCTCCTGACGAAAACGAGTCAGAAAAAAGTAAAAAGTGACGCAGCTGGTTCAGATGTAAAATCAAATCGTGTTCTTCCAGAGAAGAGAAGGCTCTGTTTCTTCATGAAGATGAACAAATCCAATCTGGCGCGCGGGTGGGGTGCAGAGATGGAAGGATGGGCTGGAAGCTGACCATGGCATTTGTGCGAATATGGAGGAACGTCCGTTACCTGAAAATGCTAACATGCGCCGCTGGCATTATGGCTTTTCTCATTTTTATATATATACCTTTGGATCTAAACGATCCTTCATATAGTATTATTATATATTACCAGTATATTGTAGTATTTTTACCCGCCGAGTTAAAAAAAAGTTTGGACTGCGGGCCGGGTTAAGAGACAAATTTCAATATATATTTTCACCGAAATTAATATTTAATATAATTATTATTTTTTATATTATCACTTACTTAAAAAAATAATAAAAAGAAACTTAAAACAAACAAACCAAACCAAAACGCTCTTAAACAGTAGTACGCAGTAATTTCCCGGCTCTTCTCACGCGGAATTTACTCCCGCGCTCACAAACAATCGCCGCCTCTCTCTCCATGGCAAGATCTCGACAGCAGTGGGGTGGCCCGCCCACACACCCAGAAGGAAGAAATCGAAGCCGTCGCCTAGCGATTTCTTCCCCGAACGAACGACCACATTGTGCCTCAGACTCCACAAATCTCGACACCCTCCGCCTCGGATCGGCCACACCTAAACCACCGCATCGCCCATTTTCGGCACCGCGGGAATCCGATGGAGGAGGAGGAGGAGGAGGAATGGCGATTGTGCTTCAAGCCTGCTGCTGGGAAGCGGAGGATTATGATTGAATGCGGCGCGGCGGTTGTTTGAACGGGTTTCATTGGAATTGTTTGAAGCCAAGCCTCCCTCCATTGAGGGATTGATTGGGTATGCGGCTACTGCGAGCGAGCTAGGGGAGAAAATCAGGCAAAACTGTTGAATTTCCGGAGCCTCCTATTCCTTACGTACGTACGTACATACATACATACAAGTAGCTAGCTGATAGGTAGTAGTAGTAGTATTAGAGTATTTCTGAAACAGTTAACCACCACCATAACTACTCCTCCTTAAAATATACACTAGTAGTAATTGGTCAGATGAACTGGACTCGGACACATGGTGGTGGTTCTGTTCTGTTCGCTTTTTGGTGTAAAGTTTATTCAGAATCAGTGGCACGCACCCAAACCCAAAGTAAGTAAATATCACCTCTCTCTCTCTCTCGCTCTCAGTGGCTCGCCAGTCACCACCTCCTTCCTTGTAAAAATAGGAGTGGAGTATTATTAACTTGTCATTCATTAACTCCATATTTCATCAACCAGTCAATCAAATCCATCCATCCAAATGGCGTCCACCACCACGCCCCCGACCTTTCCCTTCTCCTCCTCCTCCACCTTCACCTGCTCCTCCTCTAAATATTTCAATTTCGACTCGCGGAGGCCATTAACCAATCATCGAAAACTCAGACTCAGACTCAAGCACCATCATCCAGCTCCAGCTCCGGCTGCTGCTGCTGGTTTGTACTCGGCCGAGGAATTCGAGCTCACCCCAGACAACGTAGACAAGGTTCTCGACACCGTACGCCCTTACCTAATCGCCGATGGCGGAAATGTGGGTGTGGTTTCTGTCGAAAACGGTGTCGTCTCGCTCAAGCTCCAAGGTTAGTGCGGTCTTATACCCCTGCCCTCGGACGGATTGGGGGATTGGGTTCGCTCCAATTCATTGATTTGGATTTAGGGTTAGGGTTAGGGTTTAGGTCAAACGAGCGCACATACACTTTGTAACCCACCCGACTCTGCTGTATTGAAATCGATCTAACCTCTCAACATCGTGGTTGTAGGAGCGTGTGGCAGCTGCCCTAGTTCAACCACCACCATGAAAATGGGAATCGAGAGAGTTCTCAAGGAGAAATTTGGGGACGCTGTAAAGGAGATATGCCAGGTGGAGGAGGAGGACCAAGCCCCAGAGACGGCGACCACTACTGTTGAGGTGTGTCATGTGTGTGTAGTAGTAGCAGCGGCAGTAGTGTTATGTGTATTCGTTCGCTCATTCATTCATTCCTAGGATTCTCTGTCTATCTATGTCTGTGTGTCTGTCTGTCGGTGTGTATGTATGATGAAATGAAATGATGAACGATGGGTGGTGGCTGCAATGCAGGCGGTGAATGGGCATCTGGACATGCTGCGACCCGCCATCAGCAACTATGGGGGCAGCGTGCAAGTATTATCCGTGGGCGGAGGAGACTGCATCGTCGATTATGTCGGCCCCGAATCCATCGGCTCCGGAATTAAGGCCGCCATCAAAGAGAGATTCCCGGATATCCTCAATGTAAGCTTCACCCACCCCGACACCAACTAACTTGCACCCTCCTTCCTTCCTTCTTGTTATGGTGCTGGTAGTGACTAAATACTGCCCTTACTGTCCTGTTGTCTACTGATTGACGACGATGATAATAATGTTCGTACATGTACACGCATATAGTTTGTTTCTTATGTTCTTGTAATTATTTGGATACAAAAAAGATCCTATCATTTTGCTGCTATCCAAAAGGCAGAGTCACAGACAGCAATTGAACACATGCATGCGCTATGTTAATGTATGGTATGAGAACTCACTCACTCGGCGGCCATGTTTGTCGTTCCACTCCCACCAGCTGCATGACACTCTCATGGACACACACAGCTCGCTCAAAAAGCATATTTCACCCTCATACACATAGACAGATAGATTTATGTATAGATTGGAGCAACGGCCAAAGGAAAAAGGAATAGGGATGAAGAGCACCCACAAACGGTTGTGTTACAGAGCAGAGAGCGATGCAGGTTGGTAAAAGATGCCATGCCAGTCAGCAGTCAGTTGATTCTCTCTCTCTCTCTCTCTCAGAGTATACATATACACATACACAGAGCGCAAAAGCAATTTATTAGTAGAGCAGGCTGCTAACGCATTGCATTCCTTCTCTTCCACAAGATTCAGCTTCTTGGTATCAAGTACACCATGATGACACTGGCTTGGTTTTGGCTTTGGCTTTGGCTTTGGCTTGGCTGGCAAAATTCAGGTCACTCTTCCTGCTGGGCTGGTTCACATTACATACATGCATGCACAAAAATCTCCATCAGAGGAAGCGCTACTTCTGATGTATGTATAATATGCGTCAGTAAAGGACAGGCAGACACATAATAGGAATGCATTCCTTACCACAGCTAATCCGAAGCCTTGAATTTCCGGGGTCTTTTGGATTGAGCAGGTGACGACGGAGCCTCAGATAATCTTCCTGGCCCCTTTAAAATCAAACCACACCCACCCCTCTTTAGCCAGCCAATATATTTTACTCAATAAGGTGCTGATATCAAGATATTCTAACAAAACTCTCTCTTACCTTGCGCTTTTGCTCTCTTTTGCCCAATCTATCCCCTGAATTATGATTGCAAAAATATTCATTTAGTTGTTTGCAGAGCATAAACTTTAGCATCATCATGGGCCAATAATAATAATATTAATAAACCAATACATAATAGCTCAGATATTGGTTGCTATAAGTTCACCTCCTATGCTTGATGAATCAGGAGTAAATGTTCGGTCAAGATCAGCAGCTCGTAGTGCCTGCTGCTCAGCAAAACAACACATTTGATGCGCGAGTAGTTAAAACACCATAGGGAATGAAAGATTTACATTAATAAGCCACACTACCTACCTTAGGGGGTGTTCCAGGTGTTTCCGCAAATGAAGCATCACGAATGGATGAACCCTCTGCCTCCTTATATTGCAACTAAGTATGCAAACAATAGAATGTATATAAAACACTATTAATGGATAAGAAAATTATAGCAGAACTACAGTTCTTGGTTTGAAAGATGTCCTGAATTTCTTTCAAAGATGACAGGAGAAATTTGCCATTTTGACCACTTTATTGCCATAGCTACGAAAGTGTAGAAACAAAAAGTTGAGATATTATCTGATGTTCTAATGTCTCTAAACCATACAAGTGAAACACTTGAAGTGGCTGGAGTCAAACCATCTATACAAATTAAAACGATCATCAAACAAATGACTGTTTCTGACATTCTCAGTGCCTAAAGTGCTGCAAGTTTGAAAAAAAAGAAAAACCGCAGGTCCTTTCCCAGACCAACAAGGTATTGCAAATGGCACTCCAGCAAAACAAACTTTCCAAGTCATCTTAAGTTTCGCAAAATATAATCAACCCACTTCATAGAGGAGATATTATAACTACTTTTATAACTACTGTGATGCCCCCAAGATAACCAGTATTTTTAACATCAAATAGTCACTTGAGTCTCACCCCAAGAACTACTGCAGGATAAAATAACCCAAGGTCATCACTGATGACACCTGCCATACCCATATGTTCCAACCTCCCACCATAACAAGCATTCCTACTTCATAACTATCAGGATTAAGCATTTTACACAAATTGCTAACTGTCTACTGAAACCACTATTGAACAATTCAAATGTCGGTCATATCATAGGACATCATACAGAGACTCTGATCTGAACAGAAAGCAAAAAACAATCCCACCAAAAGAAAGTTACATTGGTTGCTACTACATGGAAAAATGGGGCAAAGAACATAATTTTCTAAGAAAAGATCAGATTACTAGATTCGAGATAGCACACCTGTTTCTGAAGACTCAGCAGAGTCAGAATCTCTTTTCTTAATTCAAGATGCTCTGCACAGACAGCCTTCGTGGGAACCTTTGGTTTTAAGTTCACCTGTGGAACATCAAGATTTTGCTTCATCCATCCACTGTTATAAAGAGAATAGCTGACAACTTCCTCACTTTCTGAATCTAGAATTCAAGATATCAAAGGGGGAAAAATCTAAAAGTTACATTGGTCCTATAATAACTATTTGAAACAAAATTATTATCCCATCATTACCAATTCATGACAAGAAGGGTATTTTATTAAAAAGACTTTTAATGTTTTTGTTACTTAAAATCATCTTTTGGCACTTGGACATTTGTGGAATAGCTTTCCCATAACTTGCAGAGCTCTAACATCAAAAACTTTCTTGATACCAACATGTTGCAAATGTCCCAGCTGTACACATTTTTTCTTATTTATATTATGTTACTCAACCCAAGAGGACTGCCTTCCCCAACAAAGTATGCTGTTAAAGTGCAATAAAAATAAACGTACAACTCCATGAATGTGCTTTAAAAATGGTCCCTCTCATCATGAAGAAACTATGAATATTATCTATTGGAATTTCACTAATATATTGAGACTGGCATGCAGGGACAGTTGAAAACATATTAGTCTTAAGGGGAGAAAACAGACCCCAAGATCCTGTAATGTCTGCTCAACCCGTTTGATAGTCCGGAGTCCAGCTGAAGAACTTGCCGCTTGCACCATTTGCTCGAGTGCATACGTTCGTAGGTACACACCTAGCTGCACAATTTCTTGATTAGTGATAATGATGCAAAAGACCAATAAGCATGACATCAAAGAAATTGAAGTGAAAGCATAAGCACCAAAATAATTAAGGTAATTTCTGTTACAAGTCCATAGGGACTGGAAAGCAAAAGGTGCGTGCACTTAATTTGTGGTACAATGGTGCATAGATAGTTCCATGCCACTACCTATCTTATCAAATATGAATGGATGTATACCAATATTGATGCTTAATTTATCCGGGTGAGCAGGAAACAAAGGATTAGCTTGATATTTAGTAGGAACCAGTACCATGGCAGAACCTAAGCACCCCAAAATGAGGAAGGGCAATCAAAATACAAAACAATCAGAATGACATGAGTTGAAATTCCAGCCTTTCTTCTTCTAAAGCCTGTCCAAAAAAGAATCCTAGCGGTTTTGGGTCCATACCATGGACTCTCAACAGACTTCTAGAATTTTAGGTGAGATGAGAATTCTATGTGCTCAGAAGAAGAAAACAATTAATTAGTTCAATGTCATTAAGGCATACCATGCGTAAAGATGACAAGACTGAAGCAATTTCTGATGCTGGGTTAGTGATGGCAGAAGAGGGAACATCTGGATTAATAGGAGTGACAGTATCATCAGTGACAACTTTATCAGGACCAAGTGAAACAGCATCTGATACAGCTGGTCTCTCCACCACTGCAGAACCCTGAAAAAATGAAAATAGTAATAATAATAATAATAATCAGAAGAGATTAACACCCCATAGATTACAGAATCATCTGCGAATGGATTTTAAAATTTAATACATTGCATAAGATAATTATATGGAAGCAATCTCCTGAAGCATCATTTAAGTCACTATCTATATGCATGCAATGCAAAAGAAGCTAGGGAGATGAGGGTTGGTTGACCTTTATAGATTTCCGGGCCTCAGATATTCTCTTGGCTTGAGCAAGAACCTGGCAATGGTAAGTTTTAAAACAATACCAACAATAGAATACAAGGGAATAAAAATGTAGATATCTTGGCTAATGCAAGAAGATTTGAACCTCAATATCTCTCCGCTCTTGCTGCTTGGTTTGGGAGAGAAGTAGGTTCAATGCCCGCTTCCTTTCCATTTCTTGGGAGGCATTGTATGGATCCTACATCACCATAAGAAACATAACAAATGCATGCAAAATTGGCAAATAAAACTCCAACCTAACGCTGATCTAGACTATTTTAAAAACTATCTCACACAGCAATATCAACCTTAACAAGTGGATTGCTAGCAACATCCGCATGAGATGGAGCTCGAGCAATCAAGATACTTCGGCATACTGAAATGTAAAAAATCAAAAGATTGGATTATTCAAATTGCATAACCGAATAAGTCATAGCTCTGTATTTCAGTTAAAACAGCTAAACGTACTAACAAAGGACTCATCAAATGATAAAGAAGGATGTACCACTATAATAACGATCCTTAATCTCCTCAACAGTTCTTGAAGATGGAAACCTATCAGCTATGATAATAAACCGGAGATCAAACTGGTGACACAAATCAAACAACTGATCTGTCTCTTGCTTGGTCCATGCCTAATGGAAGATCAGAAAGTACAAACCCTAAGTGCAATGCAACAGCAGAAAAAACTAAAATAAGCTGGAAATCAAGTTGCATATAACTTCGGCAAAATATTGGTTTTAGCAGTTCCATTACCAAACAAATGGCATTTTAAATCATAAATATAATTTTCATCGGAAAACTATAAGAATAAAGTCATGCATTGTTCTGTTCACAAGCTGCTTTAATTTTTCAAGGAGTGAAACTGTGAGTTTATAAAAAATTGCTTTAAACTTGCAAAATGTGGAGCAACACATGAAATGCAAGAAATCATTATTTTTGCAAGAAACATAAGCCACAAGGAGAAGGTAATGGAAACACAATAAGTGATAACTCATTAAAAAATTAGTTCACATCCATATGCTATCCTTCTAGAGTACAACTTGTTTAAGATTTACATAGAAAATTGAAAATCTAAATAAAAACGTATGTCCAACAAAACATCCATGTACCCTGTAAAATCAAAATGCAATTCGCCCAACACCTTATTTAAGAAAATTCTATCTAGCAACATCATTAATCTCAAAGTTGCAAGGAAGCAAAACAAAATTATGCTACCTTATGCAAGTAAGAATATAAAGGTATATTACTAAAGAAGACATACAGGATCTGTTAAGTACTTTTCGTACTCTTCATCCGTGTACTTAATCACGTCCACAGACTGCATTGCGACAAAAACATTAACAATTCAAAGTATCACCAAGCATGGGACAGTATCCAAACATACGTACATACACTCCTCATATATATACAGAGGGTTGACTTGGCTTACTTTGTTGTATTTAGCAAATGAATAATCACCAGTGGGTGGAACCCCGTTCACAACCCGAACCTACAGCCGCATAAGTTATGAGTCTGAGTATCAAGCTTGAAGGGGTAATAATCAAGAGTGAGTAGCTAAAATACCAAGAAGCATACCCAATGGTAAAGCTGCAGGTTATCTTTCCTCGCAGAATTTGTAAAGGGAAGCCATTGCCAGGTAATCTGCGGCAGCAATGAATAAGTTATCCAAAGCCGCAGAAGAGTAGATAGGTAGATGCAATAAGAGAGAACCACCTTCTCGTTCTCCGATTGCGATTGCGCTTTTCGTTGTTTCAAATGATTGGATTCGATGGCCGGTATCAAAGGTGCCAACCCCCCAGTGAGGGCGTAAACCTGCAGGTCCACGTTATTAATAATAATAATGATAATAGGTAGGGTACTTGTTGTTGTTACAAGAGGGAGAGATAAAGTGGTGTTTGGATTGGAGCTTCACCACCTCGCGAGAAATGCCATCGGGTTTCCTCTGAGATTCTTTGGGAGGCTTGGAGCGGGGCAAGGGCAGGGCATTCTTGGGCAATCCCAATATGTCCTTGGCGTCCATCAGAAAGATATTTCAGGTCGCGGCGTACAAGTTTGCTATGAATAAAAAGTTCTCCGCCGTGAAGAAGAAGAAGAAGAAGAAGAAGAAGAAGAAGAAGAGAAGAGGTCCTGCCTACCGGACGGAACTTGGGAATGTATCGTATTGTTGTAATTGTATGGTATTGTATACACGCAGGCGCGGATTAGGGTTTAGAAGGGAGGTGAGATTCGTCGGGAGGAGGAGGAGGAGGAGGAGGAAACGCGACGGCCGACGGGCACATAATAAGTGAACCGGACCGTCAAAATAAAAACCGAAATCGAAAGTGAGGAATACAAACCAAAACCGTAATAAATAAAGGAGCCCGCTTAATTTAATTTTACTAGTGTAATTATTTTATGAGTGTATCCACGTCCACATGGGGCCCGGTCGCACAGAATTTGGGCCAACCTCCTCACATTGGGTTTGCGGGTGGGTCTGGACTGGACTGGACTGCCATTCATAGAGCCAGCCAGCCAGGAACTGCAGTGTATAATTTCTTCAATTCCAACTCCCATATGACTGACTGACTCTATCTCTATCTTTATCTCTCCCCCCCTTGTCGGTTGTTGGTAATTCAGTCGGGTTGTATTATTATGGCATAGATTGAGAGAAAGAGAGATGTTGAACCCAATCCAATCCAATCGTTGTACTAATAACTTTCCACCAACTGATTGCCACTTGGTACTGCCGCTGCTGCTGCTACGACGACGACAGACAGTGGATATTATAGTGGATATTGAATTTGCACCCAGGACACACAAGCCCCGAATAATAACCTCCTCTACATACCTACCCTACAACCCAACCCAACCCAACCCATCAAAGTGAACATCGGCCTGAACTGAACCAACTATGCTGCAACCTCACATCGTATCATGGAGTATCAATCATATATTCATATATAAACACTAGTATTGCTGCTTACATCCCTTCCCAATAAAGATGAGGCTTTGCTGCTATCTATTCCACTCATCCATTTCATGCCATGCCATGCCCCGCACAAATTTATATTGTTGCTATTAGTTATTGTAATCATTATGATTTATGAGAACTAGATTATGCATTCAAGTTCATCTGTTCCTTCACTCATATATCATCATGTATACATAGATGACCCGACACCCCTATCCTTATCCTTATCCTGATGATCTCAGACTGAGGCGGCGGCCACAACATCATCCATACGCCCATACTTGATGATCAAATTTCTTGAAGAAGGCAATCCCGCAACCACATCACTTTCAATCCCGCATTCGTTTGTCCCTCTTCTGATCTTGAAGTATCCATCCTGCCCCACCCAACAAGATCATCCTCAGTTCAATTCAATCAAGCTAGGATGCAAATTAACAACACACATCCATTCTAAAAGTCGTTATATAAAGGAAAATGATCAATCTCCTGCATTCTAAATAAATGTATACGAGGCGCTAGGTAAAGTAGGTATCATCAAGGGTTCAGCAGAGAACATACATCGCCCCAGCTTCTATTCCACTGATTTGCTAACAGCTGCAAGGATTTGTCAAAAGTTAGTGAAATTTTCAGCCAACTACAACTCTTTCTGCCCATTCTAACTGCTCATAAGAATGCCAATACATATATGATTACCCAGTAGGCCTCCCCTTCTTCAGTAGTTCCCCAGCCTATCAGCTTCACGGCATGCCCTCCCATTTCATCACCTGTTACGTGTTTGTAAACTCCCGATTTATAATGAGCAAAATCCTGCCATCAAGGAAAATGTGAAACAGTGAAGGTGGGCTTAATAAACACGATAATATGGTTAGATAATACTACCGTGATTTAGATGTTCAAGAAAAATTTATATACCAACATTTACTAGTTCAACAATGCTCATTTATACTGATGGCTGAGGTATATATGTGATCACCTAAACCAGGAATCCCAATAAGTGAAAAGATCGTAAGTAGATGATTTTACTTAATATCTGTTGACTTCTCACCACACTCAACACTACAGAACTTGGATTTTGCACTTTTACCTCATACACAGTGAAGGAGACCTCAACTGGACCATTCATGAAAATTTCTGCCATTATACTGTAAGGATCAGAATTGATTCTATATGCATTGACGCTGTAGTGCTTTGATTCTTTCCAGAGCAGGTTTTGCTTTTGGCATCTTTTCTCACATTTAGGGGTGGGGTATGCTGGCTCACAACCCGGATGTGAGCATCCACTATTGTCAAAGTATGGATCACACTGCAAGATTAGAGAATGGAATCAAGTATTTGGCACTTGTAAATGTTACAAGTGCATAATTGATGGACCGCCAGAATGAAGCAGATATATAGAGGGTTTAAGTTGTGCAATAAAAGGACACCTTTCTTCTCAACCTATAGGATTCAATTAGTATATGTCATCAGGTGCATAGCATGTAAACAACATTCATTCTAAACAAAGTGAGACTTGTTGCTCAAAACAGCAATGCTACCTCCTCAGTCACGACACCTGAACTAACAAAGTATTGCCATGCAGATATGGGGTAGCCACCATCACAACCATCGCCACACAAAAAGCCACAGCATGCTAATAGGTCATTGACTGAGAGAGAAATGTTCTACAAAAGACAAAACAAATATCACTGCTAATGCTACTCATGCCTTTTATGAATATATAACTTCTTGTGTAATAAACAGTTGAAGTCAATAGTTGTACCATGCCAAAATGAATGCAGAAGCGATCAGATAGAGCTTCAACGGCACCAAAAGCCCAACAAGAACCGCAATGTCCCTAATTAAAAGGAAAAAAAATGTAGATAAGATGACAACCTGCATATTTCATTGGGAAAAAAATATAGTATAAAGTTGTTAGATAAGAGAAGAGGTTACCTGATCTTTGATTTGTGATATGTTCAAAGAAAACAAATCAGATATAGAAGGGAAAGAGTAACAGCCATCAGCACATGATTAAAGGTACCATAACTGAGCAAGGACCAGGAAACTGACCAAGAATGTTTCCTATTGTGGTGCATTGTGGCCAAGATGTTCTTGCATCAAATGTTTTTGGCAACTTCAGACCTTTTTTATGAGCAACAACAGGAACTCCTTCTAAACCACCCTTTGGCGTTGGTCTAGCTCCAAGAAGGCGCATAAATTGGCCAACCTGAGAATCGGTTAAAGTTCAGCACATATAGATTCTATCTACATCATTTGTTTGCATCAGTTTGTGCTTGGGATTCACTAAAGAGTGGATGTGGCAGCTCATTAGGTGAACTTTAAAGATATAGAACTTACAGAATAGTTGGCAAATCGAGGGTTCATAGAAGCTTTCCACCCAGCTTGAGCATTATCATTAATCAATTTAATAGTGGATTCCTGTACGCCAAGCTTGCAGTTCAACCACACTATAAAAGGAAGTATATGTCCAGAATTTTGGTGTATAAGAATACCTGGAGAATTTTGTCATTCAATCTAAGCAAACGAAGTGGATTTCCTGTAAAGGCCTGCAGCAGCACAATTTGCAGTCAGATATGACTACTGATATGCGCACTCAAAATGATAACTGGTATACTCTGATATGCGCATTCAATAACATGTAGTATATACTCTGGCTTCATTACCATATAATAATAAGAAGAAGAAGAAATCTATAAATTGTCCTTAAAATATCCAAGATGCTTATGGTTCATATAGCCTATAGGTATGTTTAAGAAGTCCCTTTTTTTTTTTCTTTTTTGTGCTTTTGATTGTTTTGGCAATAATAAAAGTTTAGGTATGTTTATGAATTCCTTTTTTGTGTTTTTTATTGGTTTGAAAATAGTGAAATTGTTGGATAGAAAAATAATATTTGATTTGATGTAAATAGGTGGTGTGTGTGCGTGTGTGTTATTTTAAAAAACAATAATAATAATAATATTAATAATAAAAAGTTTCTAATGTAATATTTGAAATGAAAATTAGTTTTTAAATAGTAGTATTTTATAAGGGAAATTTGTTATGACAGTGGGTGCAAGGCTTTGATCTCTTTGGATTGTTCCTTTTTCAATTGTTTTTACAGCGCTATAGAAAAATAGTACTAGTAATTTTACATACAATAGGTTATGTATCCACTGTTATTTTACCCAAGAATAACAAATCAGAGGCGCACGAAAAAAAAAAAAAAAAAAACACAACCCACTGAATAAATCTTGAATCATGAGTGTGTGTGTATTGATAATAGTATATGTAGTGTATGATGGTGTGTGCTTGCTTGTATGCTGGAATCGTGTATCATACAATTCATAACCCCGGGCCGGCCAGGTATGATGATAAGGAGCATCCTTCCATCAAATTACTACTACTACTAGTAATAATCTGTAATAAATAAACAAAATCCGCAAGGAAAACAAACGATAGCGAATAGCGGAAGGTAGGTATAACTGTAACAGAGATCCTAAAGCTATGGGCAGCAAGGATGTGAGTGAGAGAACCTGAAGCTGAAGAAGGGAGGAGATCGCGAGCAGAAATAGGATGATAATCAAGGGGCAGGCCTTGGCCGGTGAAGTCAGCGCCATTCTCCCCCAAGACAGACTGACTGACTGACAGAGAAAACCGTGTTGAGGAGAGGAGAGCCGTATGCGACTGGCTGGCTGGCTCTTGTATTTTATATTGCTACTCCGTTATATAACTTCTCAATTATTGGGATTGGGATTGGGATTGGGATTGGGCAGAAAAAAGGTAAGGTGGGTCGAGGTGAAGTCACTCCGGCTCAACTCAACTCAACTCAAATCGATCAATCGAGATCATCCACGATAATGCCACTCCCTCGCCCTCGCCCATTTATTTAAAACTAGTAGTAGTGATTGTGTTTGTCTTTCTAGCTTGAAAGAAATACCAACCACATTAATTAATTCATTACTTAGGAGTTGGATTTCAATTTATTTGTCTTTATTAAAATGTAGTATTATCCTTTTTCACGTAACATCCCATCACCGCATCTTTTTTAAGGATGACTTTAATTTAGGGCATAGAGTTACAATCCATTCCACTATTATTTTAATAGACCACCCTATAATCCTCATGAAATTAAATGATTGCAAATTATTATCTTTTAATTCATGTGTTACAATTATTTCTAGAATAGTTGTTATTAACAATAAACATGGCAAACTCTTAACAAAACTAATAATTTATAACAATTCAACACCACAATAAGAATCCTTATAGTATTTATTTCGTCATAAAAAAAAAAACGAAAAACAAAACGAAAGAAATCCTTACAGTATTTTATAGCTTAGAATAGTTACAAACTTTAATTACATCAAATAAACAAATACCACCGATTACGATAGCTAATACTATTTGTAATTACTCAAAATCACACAACAGGATCCAACCTAATCTCTCAAAATAACTTGCCTAAGCCTTCTGGTTATACGACATAGCATCCATGATATTTATTCACCATAAAACACTGCATCCTCGATGACATTCACCGGTGGGCATTCAGAGGTTGCTCCAACTAAACTTAGAGCCATCTCTTCCCGTTTGTGTTGTATAGTAATTTAGTGATCTGTGCTATATATATATATCATCAATTCATCATCATGACTGTAACGAGTCTCCTTCCAATGCCACAACTACTGCTACCACGCATTCAACCAAAGTCCTCAGCCATTCCAAGTGATTCAACCAGCAACATATCACCAAACACACTCCCAAAAATCCACTCAAAGATATTGATTACTACAATTTATCCTCCACCACACTCTCTGCAGAAGAGCCTAGAATGGATGATGGCCTTGAATAATGAAAACACAAAGCACAAGTGCATGTATGAGCTATCTCCGGACTAGACGCTGTCTTTCTCGTTTCCGGAATCGTTCCAGCATGAACTCATCTGTGGCAGCTTGCCTCCGACTCGCAGCATCAGCAGGAGGCACTGAATCAGAATATCTAGCTTCCCAACCACCATCACTCACTCCCTTAGCCACTGCTGCTGCCGGAGGATTTTCTGAAAATGCGACCATATTAAATATCGCATCAACACTTTGGTAAATGAAGAACCAAGTATCCATAAAACAAATTCTGCTACCCTTCTATATAACAAACTTAAGAGGGAGATGGAATAAACACTTTGGTAAATGAACAACAAGTAATGATTCATTACAGAGATTCTGCTTATTCACAAGTAATGAAGAACGAGCAAATAGCCACGGCTGCTTCCGGAGGAATTTCTAAGCCCTCTGCTTAATCATAAACACCTGAATAAGCATAGGGCTTAGACAGAAATAATACACAAACTTAGAGGGAAATGGAATATATTTCTACATTCATGCTCAGAAATCTCCATATCATAGAGCAAAGACAAGGGTAACCATCACCCAGATAGATGTGCTATGACAGATTTATCTACACCTGACTTTCAATGTAAAGAAATTAAATTCACCTTTTTTAAGTTTTTCAGTGTAGTCCCTGCCACGTTGAAAAAAGTCTGCACTGAAACTTGAGGGAAGGCTGGACTCTGGCTTTGCACGACCAACAAACCTCTTTTCCTGTAAAAGCTTTTTGGCAGCTTCAGTTTCTTCAATATTCTTTAATTTGTACCTGCAGAGCATTGACGAAAACAAACAAGCACTCCAGTTATCGAAGAGTAACTGAAAATTTTCACACTCCCCCTTTATGATATTTCAACAGTTTTAAGAAGAAATATCATAGAGCAAATCTGAACCTTGAAGAACATATTGCCAATAGTATATATATATATATATATAGATAAAGTGCATGAAATTCACGTGTATTGAGAAGCTGCAATGAAAACACCTGTTATTCTTTATAAAGTGAACCCAATCAGTTCCACAATTTTAATGTGCTAAAACATTGACTTCAACAAAAAAATATTGCCAAAACTTCGGAGTTTCAGAAAAACATGATGTTGATTGGTTTCTTCCATGATGATGAAATTGCAGAATTTCAACCTGTATCTCTTTACACCACATAGCATACCAACCATGCTTGACATTTCTGTAGGTCTATGCATAGTTTTAATTACATCATTTAGTTTGAGCCTATCATCAAACAACTCATCCCATTATTCTTAACAAACTTTAGTCTCAATGGGTATAAAGCCGAGTTATTGAGATTTGTTTGAACTTTTTTCAACTTGGGGAAAGACAACTAACTCCTCCCCGCTACTGTGCTACTATGAGTATCAAAATTGTACCAATAAAAATCACATGGATGGTGCATGCAAATTTTGGCCCACAAAGTGAAGCTTATAGATGTTTGTATTTTGTTTCCCATGCTCCTTAAAAAAGACATTTACAAGAAAAAGAGGCACTACAATTTTCAAACTACTGAATGCACAAATGAATAACCAAAATAATCAAGCCTGCATTACTCTATAGGAAGCTGAACTTCTGCAATCCCTGTGGTCCATTGAGTAGAGTTTTCTTCTGAGTTTCGTCTCTTGACCTGAGAAAAATGAAAACAAAGTTTCATCATCTCAAATAACAATTATTTCAGCCAAAACCCTATGGCTCCTTTGTACACCCATTAAAGACGCTATCACTATGCTATTTCCTCTCAATAACAAGCCATCCCATCAACAACATATTAGTAGAACTTCAACACTACTTTTGTGGTCAATATTTCAGTCGATACCAAACCCCATGATCATAGAAGGACCATCATGATACATGATATCAGAAAATAATCTTACTAGAGAAATATAACATGCTGATGCCTACAAATTCGAAACAATAAAGTGAGAGAGAATGGAGAGAATCACTCACTCTCAGATGTTCTGGAATTTTATACAGCTCGTCCTCTGCATGCTTCACATCATTTTCAACTTGATTTTCAACATCAACACTTCTGCCCCTTTTCTTCGCTAATTCTTGTTCTACATATCTTAACCTGAATGTTAGATTTGAAAAAATGGAAATATAAGAGTACAACAATGAACACTTTCTAACACATCTATAATACTGGTTGTGTAGTTTTTAGTGCAGTGCTTCTATTTCCTTGACTATTTTTCACTTATTGGTTATCACATTTTTGCTGTCCTTAATCCCTGTTGAGCCTCCATAAACTATCAAAATCACTACAAGGGCATGGGACTAGAAATTGGTTCACCTTCTTAAAATTAAATTCAAAACAAACTTCAGATGCTTACACTAAGAATCACAGGTGAAATGTAGCATGCTGCTGTCCTTCGAAAGGAAAGATAAAGCCATTTCATAGACATTTTCTCTCTCAAGATAGAAGGATGAGGATATTTCATAGAAAAATATAACCACACCTTTTGTAAGTTTGTAACCATGGATTATGTTAAACATAAAAAGCCATCTGTGTAGCTTCTGGTTAGTTGGAAGGATTAGTCAATTGATATGTTGTTTCTAGAGCAACAAAATGTATCTCATAGCCCCTATAAGAGTAATATACTGGACAGTAATCATGAATGACTATACCAGCAAGCAAGAAAAATGAATAACCATCACATGTTTAATGCACTTAGAGACCAATGTGGAGGGAGGGCTGCTGAGACATAAGACTCAAAGTCACAGTAGTTGAATCTTATCGGGAGAGTAAAGTTTTCACCAAGGCTTCAAGTATTAAATATTGGCTAAGAAACTTAGTAGATTTGTTTTTGTGCTTGAGCAAATCTAAATTGGTGGTTCATCAAGTCAGCAAAGTTAATTGAAGCTCTAGTTAAAGACATTGCATTTTGTTAGAGAATATTTGAACTTTGCCAACTGTACCTCTCAGCGAATTTGGAGGATTGCCAACATTGGGCATTGTTTCTCATTGATACAACACCACTCTTGGTATAATCCAAAGTCGTTTATCGAGATTTGAGATTCAGACAAACAAGAAACAAGGATCTGAAATCCATAATCCACTCACTTTGCTTAGATGTCACAGCTTAAATGTTTTCCCTTAGTAACATGCAATACATAAGTTAGCCTCTATTGGTTTCTTTCTTGCAGCCTTCTATCCTCTCTCTCTCTCTCTCTTTATATATATATATATATATATATATTTTCTTCAGATTATAGTAGCCAGGAATGGTGCCTCGGTTTCTTAGAATAGTGGCATCTACAGCTCAATTTGATCTTCTTAATTTGAAGCAAAACATTTTTTTTTGTCTCCAGCACCTTTCTCAAGACTCCTTCCTCTTTCAACTCAACATACTACAAACTTGGGTTCACTCTAATCTAATAACAATAAACTAGGTATTCAGAAACATCAACAAAAGCTAATTCTAGGCAAAGATTTGAACACTGCCAATTTGAGGCATATATCTCTAAATACAACTACAATACCAAATAATAATATGAAGAAAGGTTTATAACCAATCTATCACTTCCTAGAGAAGATCGACGTTCATCCCAAACCGACCTAATATCTACATAATGTCGGATTAGATTGAAAAAGCTCGGCAATTAAGTTTATGAGAAGCAGGGGAATGAAGTTGAAATTAAACTAATATAAATTAACCACCCCATACGAAAACACAGAAGTAAATACATGTTAGGATCCTCGACCATGACAGCAGTTTCTTGAGCAAATGTGTCCTGCAAAACCAAGTCGTCCTTCTCAACATCACCGCCGTCAGTCTTATCATTAATGTTGCGAGCCAAACCAGAAGAGTTGGGTTTGGAGGCGCCACCGGCTGCAGCAGCAGCAGCAGCAGCAGAGGGGGACGGTGTTGGTAGAGCGGGCATTCCGGATTTCTTCTCTCTCTGTCTCTGGAGGAACTTCACCTCCTCCAAGGCCAAAGACAATCTGATTGAATATGCTGTTATGTTGTCATGGAAGGTCGATGTGAGGAAAGGGTTGAAAATGTGATGAGGACAGGGGTAGCGCACCTTTTTTGGCTGTCTTCGTCCTCGTCTTCACATCCGGGATCCAGGCTTCGTTTCCGAAAGTTTTTGGCCTTCATCGTTCAGACGTGCCAGAGCACAGATCAGGGGAGACTTCTCGTTCCGCTGTTGTTGTTGTTGTACGGAGGTCGTCTCGTCGACTCCGTTGGGCCGCCACCAACTAAATCCCTAAAAGTTAATTAAAGCCCTCAAATCAAATCAAAGGCGTATTGACAAGAATTTTTGGATGAAAAAGCCTTAATTTTGAGTGGTGTTATTTTTTAATTTGATAAAAAAATCAGTCTGTTAGACCTATCATCATGGGTATGTTTACTTAGATGGGTTCGGCCCAAAAAAAAAAAAAAAAAAAAAAAAAAAAAAAAAGAGGTTAAATTTGATATTAAACTCATGATATGATATTTTGTAAAAAATATATATATATTTTTAAAAAGAAATAGACTTCAAATAGTAAAAACGAATTTTGGGCAAAAGAAACATACTTTATATTTTCCATAAATATTATTAAAAAATTTTAAATATACATATACGTTAATATAATGCTCTATTTATCTATCAATTTATTTTTTCATATAATTTTAAAAATATTTAGGGTGTGTTTACTTGTAGGTTTTACACTTGATTTTTACTATTCCAATTTTTTTTTCTTAAAAAAATATTAAATCACAACATCCAATTTTTATTTATTTTAATACACTAAAATTTAATTTTATATTCAAAATATCATATCAACACATATTTATATCACATCAAACAACTATTTCAATTCAAAATTTTACTATTTAAAATCAGAACTCAAAACTAAAACCTCACGAGTATTGAAATAAACTAACCATTATTAGTATTAATACATAGATAGATGGTCTTGTTTATCTTTTTTTTTTTTTTCAAAACAATTATCTCATTTTACATTATTATTACATAATTGCAAAAAAAATTTGTTTACTTATACTATATAATATCAATATTTCTTGCATCTCTTACGCAGCTCAAATAAAACTATAGTTTTGAGAGAAAAAAGTATATTATTCACTCAAAGAAAATACTCCATATGTCTCAAAATACAATAATCTTGTTTACTATTTTTGTCCGTCTCAAAATAAAAGTCTTATTTTCATAAATAATCATATCATTATATAAATACCCTTATTTTTTCATTATTATTACACAATTGTCACTGTTTTTGTCAAAAAATATTTTTTACCAATATAAATATTTCTTAAAGAGGGCGGCTGGTACAGATAATGGAATTGCAGAGAAATAAGAATAGAGAATAGAATTAGAAAGAAATAGAATTGAGTAGAGAATGATAATTAATTCTCTTTTCTCTTTGTTTGATAAAACAGAGATTTGAGAAATAAAAAAAATGCAGATATATGAATCATCAAACAAAAATAAATGATTAACTCGATAAAAAGATAGTTTTAAAGAATGAGAATTCATAAAAAATATTTTTGGTAATTTTTTTAAAAAAATTTATAAATTATATACGATGTTTTTTAGGATTATATTTTAGTACAATTTTTTAAAATATCATAAAAATTAAATACTTTAAAAATAAATTAAGTTTTTTTTTGTAAAATTAAAATAATATAATTTTAAAAAAATTATAAAAATTAAATAGTACAAAAAAAATTAAAAATTAAAAAAAAATATATACTATTACATCATTTCTCTCCATTTCTCTGTATATGGGAGAAAAATGAAAACAAAGAAATGAAAATGATTTATTTGTCAAGTTCCATTTCTCTGACTCAAACAAATAAGAAAAATGATATAATTTCTACTTCTTTGCTCTGTACCAAACATAACCTAAATCTTTCCCGCACAACCAAAACTATAATTTCGGGACAATGGAGTAACTATTATTCACAGGTCCACACTTTCGAGCAAACACTATAAAAAAAAATAAGAATTATTATTAACGGATATAATTCTCTTTACTACGTATAAAAGAATCAGTTTATCTATAAAAATACTAAATGAGGAAACTAAATAATACATATAAGTCATAAAAATTAAGATTTTGTTTATTTGATATTTTTTAATGAGTTAATTTTTGATATATAATCCGAAAAGTTATATAAAAATATAAATTAATATGTTATTTTCAATTGAATATTTAAAAGTAATATTTAAATTTTTCTTTAATTTTTTTTTTGAATTTGTTTTTGTAAAATATAATTTATATTATTTATTATTTTTTCGAATATAAGTTTAGATAAACAAAGCCTAAAATTAAAATTAAATATAAAATAAATAAATATATAAATAAACATATTCTCATTCTCTGTCTCAACTGTCATCAAACAGGCCCTAAGTATTAACTCGAGAGTATCGACACGATGGAGTCCATAGATGTGGAGAGGATGGATGATATGGAGGAGGAGGAGGAGCAGAAAGAGGTGTCGGCGGTGGCGGCTTTCGTTCAGGATGCGGTGGAGGACTGGGATGACGAGGCCAAGAGTCGGGCGAGGTTCAAAGCCCTGAGCGGGCAGAGGTCGGATTGGGAGCCACAATACCGTTTCTGGAGAGACCTGATTCTCAAGGTTGCTCGCCACCTTCACACCTTCATCATACGCCCTTCCCGCCTCAAACGCCGCTGGTTTCGCCGCGCTGGCATCTCCCCTCTCTGCCTTGACCGCGTTCTCCTCGAAATGCACCGTGCTGGATATCTCCTCCTGTCGCCAACCGCAAAATCGACCACAACCACAGCCACAAGCCTCTCTCGGTTTCTTCGCAGTGCACTAGATTTTTTAGCTCCGGGTAACCAAGACGACGACGCCGCTCTCTCCGGAGATTGCTATATTATTGCACCTCTCTTAGAGGAGCAAGCCCTTCAAGTAGTATCGGTGCTGTCGGAGAATCACTGGACCAAGTCTTGTGTCGTCACGGTGAGAAAGTTTGAGGATATTTGTTTAGGAGCGACTGAAGCACGCGCAATATTGGGCTACTTGTCATCACGCGGTAAAGCAACGGAGTTCACCATCGATGGAGTTGGAGCCGATCCTATAGAGGTTTGCACTTCAGATTTGATTTTCAGCCACTCGCTCTTTCATTTTTATTGGTTTTTTCTTTGTCTTCTTCTTTTTTTTTTTGGGTAGTGTTCTTAGATAATCATCCATCACAATTGAGGCCGGTCTTGATGCACAATACAATATGGAGTGTAGCTGGACTAGGTTCAACTAATCATTTCTGTCTTGTTTTCTTCCTTGTGAAATCCTGGTGCGTCAATGTTATTAATTGTATTTAATTTACTTTACCTTTTACCATTCCAGGGGGTGAAAGTGAGTCTTGTTCTTGGAGCTGTTTCTAGTGTCTCAAGTATGGACCGCACTGTTCTGCACTTAATTTGGACTACAGAAAATCTTGAGCGTCGACTACATTTGATTGACCAGCAGTATATGAAGTAGGTATCTATATCGGTACCTCTTTCCCCATGTCCGGATGTCAAAATTCATGTGTGCAAGTCTGTGATCAGCCTTTAGTATGCTACTGGAACATTTGAAAACATCATATCTCACGGGTCATGATAACGTCTTTCGCTGCGAAATTGATGCTATCCCCGGATCTTTGCACAAAACAAGTTTTAGAGTGGATGTATTTATTGCACTTGGCATGCTCTAACTCCATTATTAATAATGTACTTTGATTCTTTTTATTAAACTATTGTCCTCTTTCCACTGAATTTTAGGCCCTTTGCAGAAGCAGGAACTCTGCGTTAGCCTCGCTGAAATCCGGGAACCGCGAAAATGCCTTGAGATATGTTAAAAAACTAAAGCTGGTATCTCAGAGTAGAGAAAGATGCACAGCGCTATTGGACAGGGTGGAGAAAGTTCTCAATGTTATCACAGATGCTGAGTCCTCTAGAAAGGTTGATTCATTGCAGCTAATTTGTATTTTGGCCTTTTAAGTTCAGAACTGTTTCTTGACAATGCTTGGGAAACAATAGTTGCTGGAGTGCGGTCCACCTCCATGGATTGGACTTTGGCCTAATAGACATTATATCGTTTAACTACTATGTATATGCATATCATCATATTTTTTTCTCATCTTTACTGCCTCTGATGTAGGTTTTGGAAGCAATACAAAGCAGTACACAAGCCATTCGGAAAAATCAGATCAGTGTTGAAGAAGTTGAGCTTTGTCTGCAGGAAGTTGACGAGAACGTTGATTCACTGAAACGACTTGATAATGCATTAGGTAAACTTTCATTCAATTTCTCTATTGTGTTTATTAAATTGGAACAATTAATTTTCTTAAGATGGACTAGGTTTATAGAAGTTAGTTGTTGCATCTAAGTGGATCTGCTCAAGTTCTCAAGCTATGATAGCTTTTAGCTTTGAAATGAATGAACACTGGATCTAAACTACAATGCACATGTTCAAAGATGGATTTTATTTGTAATTTGAAATGAATGAACGAACACTGGATAGAAAATACTATGCACTTATTCAAATATGGATTTTATTCGTTATATCCAAATACTATACACTTCTGGCTTATCCAAAGGTTCTACAAGATACTTTGAACTTAGGAGAGTCAATTTTCATACTTTGCCGAGTTTTTCGGTGATCAACATTTGACAAAGAAGAAAAAATAAAAGTAAGAATTTCTATAAATTATCAATGCCTATCTTGTAGAATCAACTGCTTCATATGGTGAGATAGATGGTGAAGATATAGAAGATCAGTTTAACCAACTGAAGCTGGAAATTGAACCTCCTGACACAAGCCACCAAGTGTCTACGGAAAGCGGTTTTGAGAAATCTGCAGATGTTGATAAACCTGATGCTTTGGCCCATGCTTTGGCACGTCTCACTTTTAAAGATGGTGCAGCAGCAGACTCTGTGAAGCCAAAGGCCCCCAACAGCAACAGCAGCATGTCAAAGGAGGAAAGGCTTGAAGCTGCTTGACCTTATTATATACTCATTCGTCAAGAGGATGATCGGTGTATGGTATTTTGTGTTAATTTGGAAATTATGAGGATGCTATTTATTCTTAGTCAGGTCTAATGGCATCTCTTTGTATATCAGAATGCACCCTTAAGTCCTCAGTTGGTGGATGATGATGATGATGATGTATGGCATTCATTGGCTCCATCCTGATCCCGAAATATGTTGTTATGTCTTTGGATGGTTATGGATTTTGTGGCACAAATTATTGTGATGTGGGTGGGTATGCAAGCAAGTCTTTTTTGTCTCTAACCAAATCCCATGATTACGGACATAGAGCTCCCTGAAATGCATGTATGTATCCAATTCAATCACATAATTACGCACTTTAGAAACAATGATCTTTTATCATTTCAACACAATACTGTAGTAGATCAGACCACCGCAGTGTCGCCCAGAAGCAATTAATATTCTACTTCCATACTACTTTACAAGTAGCTAGCACCAGGGCAGGGCAGTAATATTTTGATCTGGTTTCTTCCTGCATTGCATTATAGGTTTGTTGATAGACTCAGCTACTTGCCTGCTGACCAACTCCAGATGAAGACGGAGGTGGTGACACGGCAGCATTTACTTGGTCAGAAGTCCCGAGGTGGCCTCCCTTTCCATTGGCACAGCTTCTTTTTGTTCTCCACGTCTTATATTGTTTTGCTCCTACGGCAATGCTGGTTGGAATTGAGAAAATAGAGGATATACCATTCAGATATGATGCTAGCTGTGTGTGAATGGAATGTATAGGTACATTGGCATTGCTTCAAGGAATTAACACAGGAGAGGAATTTGATGGAGTTGCTATGTCAGAGTGGCTGAAGATCTAAAGCACGCCACAAATATTGGGAAAGAGGGAAAATTCAGCAGGGTGAGCATAACAAAAATGCAAAGATTCAACATTACCTGGTAATAGAATATTTCACATTTGCATTCTTATTGATTACGTATGCGGCAGTCAGTAAGACTTCTCCGCAAAAAGATGTTGGGCGACCATGATGGAAAAGAAGAGATCTGGTGGTGAATGTAAGAAGACGTTGATGTTTTCTTTCAACTCTTCTATTTTGCTCAGGTGTGTGAGGACAAGATCTTTGATGAGCAATTTCATATGTATGTAGTAGTTTCTGGAAGTTATGACTGACAAACTCTCCCCATTATCACTTCTCACCATTCTCACCTCGAAAATAAATTGTGTTTGCACCAGCTTTATGATAATGGAAAATATGGACACATCTTGAGATTTTTGTTTCAATAGATAGATCCCTAGTAGCCCTACTATGATCATCTACTATTGTAAACAAAGCATCCACTTTCATTAGAAGATGAAAGACTATAAAGACCTCAACATTTAAGTGCAACAAGTCAAAACAGCAGGAGGCATATAAAAGCGCTTATATGAAAAATGAAGTCTCATTTGCCTACCAAAATGACAGGCATCACATGACTTATATGAAAATGAAGTCTCATTAGGTTTATGTTTGATACACAAACATTTTATTAGATGAATGTCCAAGCCTCATATACTAAGGTAACTTTTTCTCAACAGCCATAATATGGCAGATTTGGTTTCTACAACAAATGATAGAGATGCCCCTTATTCTTTCTTTCACCAACTTATTTCTCAGGTCCTGAACAATGTATATGTTATCCAAAATATTCACATAGATATTAAAGTCTACAAAGCTTATGCACAAATATAAGACAATATTTGAAGTTGGGAATGAAGTAAACACCATGCAGGGCAACATAGTGATTAGAACCACATTTCATATGTGCATTGCTATTTGAACAGCTCCACTTGGCATGTGTATATTTTGCAGGTTTTCTTAATGGTTTTAAGTATTCAAAATACTCAATATTGTTATTCACATGATAGGCTCCTGAATCCAAAATTCATGATATTTTATTGTCAAAGTCAATATATATATATATATATATATTATGACATTCTTTACTTACATGTTCAGTCATATTTAGATGATTAATAGAGGTTTGATCTTTTCAAGAGTCTTTTGAACTTCCTTTCAAATAAGTTCAACAAGGTTATCAAGAGACTCAACATACCCATGAATTGGGGCAGTCTTCACATATGTAGTTTGTATTGTTGTCTTTGAGTTCAGTTCAAACTGGTCACGCCACTTCTGCCTTCTTTCTTTCTTTATACCAATCAGGTGTCTTATATAATTTAAAGCAAGTTTCTTTATTGTGCCCTACTTTCTTGCAATGCTCATTATACAATCTTTTCTTATCTGTCATTTTCTTATCAAAGATTCTAATATCTGCGGTACGTGAACTTAACAACACAGTGGATGAGCAATCCAGAGATAAATTATGTATTTCTTGTTGTTTCTCAATAAATTTTATTTAGTGAGGAAAGAAGATCTACCATTAGTATCTGATTTCTAGACTCATCATATGAGTCATCTATTCCCATTAGAAAATTCATGACATCTAGTCTGACTTACAAACTACCTTGTCTCTTGTTTGCTCACTGAAATTAGAGCCAAATAGTGAAGCTCATCATTCAACTTCTTTGTCTCTTGTTTACTTCATCCTTGTTTTACCTTACACATGGGATGAGAGGAGCAAATGCAGAGATCATCATCAGCATCATCCTCATATATATACTTAGTTGCGCCGCATGAATGAGGAATGCCACAAGACAGAAGTGTCGGGACCCCGGACTCAGGAGGGATAGATTATATTTACACACTGACATACAAAAAGGAAAATGTTTAGCTAGTTGGAAAGGTGACTGACGTACATAGAACAAAACAAGAGCTCCTGCCAACGGAAGGAAGAGAAAGCAAAACGAAGAGACAACAAAACACAATACAATTAGAATAGAATTAGAGTTAGAACTAGAATGGTGTTAGACGTCCGTCAGGCAGGCAGGCAGGCGAGATCAGTGAGTCAGGCCTCTGAAGTCGCGGGGGGCAGCGGCAGGGCAGCAACATTAGCAGCGCTGTTGTGCAGGGAGACCAGGGATGCGTAGAACCCGTCCCTGATGCCGATGAGAGCCTCGTGGCTCCCTTTCTCGACCACCGCCCCGTTCCTCACCACGGCGATCATGTGGGCCCCCTTGATGGTGGAGAGGCGGTGGGCCACCACCACCGTGGTGCGGTTCACCATCACCCGGTCCAGCGCATCCTGGACCACCCTCTCCGACTCTGCGTCCAGGGCGCTCGTCGCCTCGTCCAGCAGCACGATCTTTGGGCTCTTCATCATCGCCCGGGCGATCGCCACCCGCTGCTTCTGGCCCCCCGACAGCTGCACCCCTCGCTCGCCCACCACCGTCTCATACCCCTTCTCCAGCCCGCTGATGAACTTGTGGGCGTTGGCCAGCTCCGCCGCGCCCACGATCTCAGCCTCGCTTGCTGCTGCTTCTCCTTCTCCTTTCCCGTAGGCGATGTTGGCCCGGATGGTGTCATTGAACAGCACCGGCTCCTGGCTCACCAGTCCCATCTGCTGCCTCAGCCACTTCAGCTGGAACCTGCGGATCTCCGTCCCATCAATCGTGATCTGCCCCGAGTCCGCATCGTAGAATCTCTGCAGCAAAGAGATGACCGTTGATTTCCCACTCCCGCTCTCCCCAACCAGCGCCACCGTCTTGCCGCTGCGTATGGTCAGGGACAGATCCCTGAAAATCTCAACGTCCGGCCTGCTCGGGTACCTGAAACTCACGTGCCTCAGTTCAATTTCCCCCTTCAGACTCTCCAGCTTCAATCCCGAGTCATCGCTTGGATCGATCTTGGATTTTCTGTCGAGAATGGCGAATACGGAGGCCGCTGCGCTCTTGGCTTTGGTCGAATCTGGCGCCAGTGAGCTTGATTGTGAGATTGCCATTGCCGCCATTGTCAGGGCAAAGAAAACCTGCAGCAATGTTTTCCACCACCCAAGCCAATTACACTACACTCACTGCAGAAATAATGACCTCGAGAAAGGAAAAAGGAAAAAGGAAAAAACAAACCACACACTGGGCAGACTCGTAGTGATAGATAGACAGATACTCACACGAAACACATCTGTGAAGGTAATTTTCCCATCCTCGACAAGCCGGGCTCCCGCATAGAAGCTGGTGGCGTAGACCAGGAACAACAGCGAGAAGGACAAACCAAAGCCCACACCACTGACCAACCCTTGTTTGATCCCATTGCTCATTGGACCCTCGCACTTCTTCCTGTAGAGCCCCATCACCTTCTCTTCTGCGCAGAAGGATGCAATGGTACGTATGCTCCCCACAGCGTCATTAGCAACTTGACTTGCTTCCTCATACATCACCTGCAGCAGCAGCCGCAACAACAACAACAACACGAACGCAGCATGTCAGTCAGTCAGTCAGTCACTCACTCGCTATCTTCAGAAAACATACATACATGCATACGCACATACATAACATTTGCTCGCTCATCTAGGGTTGATTACCTTCGCATCTGCACTGAAACCCTTCATGAACATAATCTGCACATATCCACTCAATCCTATCAGAGGAATCATAGCAAGGATGATCAGTGCCAGCTGCCAACTAGCTTCAAAAGCAATAGCAAGCCCAACAATGGCAGAGGATAAATCTTGCACCATCTGCGCAAGTGAGTCGCCAACCAGAGCACGGACACTCGCAGCATCAGCAGAAAGCCTTGCTCCAATCATCCCGCTTGAATTTTCAGGCTCATCATACCAACCAACCTCCATGTTAACCAACTTCTCGAAACACATTAATCTAATCCTCCTCACCAACTTGTTCCCTGCCACACCGAAAAGATACGTCCTGGCTGGATACGCAACTAATGATGCCACTCCAAGAACCACAAACATTAAGGCCCAAAACTTTGAATCCTTTCGTAGTATATGCGGTGTCTCAAAGAAGGTTTTGATGACACTTGATATTAATATACCAAAAATAGGCATTATGGCCCCATTAAGGATGGCCGATAGGGCACCCACTATCATCACTGGAAGCTCAGGCTTGTTTAGATAGGCGAGGCGTCGAATAGGTACCTTGGGAGGCTTTTGAGATGTTTCAGGTGAGGAGGTACTGTATGCATTATGATTATCTGATGCTGAGTCGGTCGGGTTCAGTGCTGCAGGCATACCAAATGATGATGCTGATAATGAGTTACGACCACTGATGTTTCCTCTGTCAGAAGACCCTCTACTTATGGAGCGGATGAGTGACATCTTTTGGCTTGACCGCCGACCGGAACCCAGAGTGACGTCTGATTTTCCTTTGTCGTCAGCCTGGTGGTTTTCATTTACTTCTTCTTGTAAGCGTATGAGTTGAGCGTATGCCCCCTCAGAGTCCTGAAGAAGCTCAGCATGTGTACCTGGACCACAGAAGAAGAAAATAATGATCGATCAATGGCATGGCATGGCAGGTAATTCTTTTGTCCCAGGAGGCGGAAAACGATTGGGATTGCCAAAGCAAAAGCAAGCGGTGCTGCCTACCCTTCTCAACCATCTTTCCTTGATGAATGACTGCAATCATATGGGCATTCCTTACTGTGCTCAGGCGATGTGCAACTACAACGGTGGTTCTGTTCACCATAATTCTGTCCAAAGCCTCCTGCACAATTCTTTCAGACTCTGCATCTAGTGCGCTCGTTGCTTCATCTAACAGTAATATTCTTGGGTCCTTTAGAATTGCTCTGGCAATAGCAACTCTCTGCTTCTGCCCACCAGAAAGCTGAGTTCCATGCTCACCGACCATGCTATCCAGCCCCTGAAAGGAAGTTGTTAGCATCCAACACAGATATGTAAGTAAGCATCATAAGCTGGCATCTTAACTTAATTTAGTTTACAAATACGACAAATGTAAACCCAAAGGGGACCTGAGGGAACACAAATGCTGCTTCCGCAAGACTTTATCATGCAAACTCAGTATCTCTAATGGTAGTAAATTAAATATAGCTGATGCAATTACTTCAATGAATTTATGGTGAACCTGGGGCAATTTATCTATGAATTTCGCAGCATTCGCCAGTTCTGCCGCTGCTCTAATCTCCTCAGTGGTTGCACCGTCCTTTCCGTATGCAATATTATCCTTGATGCTGGCCGTGAAGAGGACGGGTTCCTGACTAACTAGACCGATTTTTGACCTGATCCACCGGAGCTGGAACTCTTTAAGATTAATCCCATCAATGAATACTTCACCAGATTGTGGGTCATAAAATCTCTCTATCAAACTAATCACAGTTGATTTCCCGCTCCCACTCTGACCAACCAAAGCTGCCGTCATGCCAGTGGGAATGATGAGGGAGAATCCTCTGAATATTTGTTCGTTTGGCCGGGCTGGATAGCTGAAATGGACATCTTTTAGCTCTATGTGTCCACGAATGTCTTCAAGCACTTTTCCCCTGGTATCATATGCGTCTATTTCAGGTTGCCTGTTTATTGTTTCAAACATCTTGAAGGCTGCAGCTTGCCCTGCTGCAAATGCGGTCATGCAAGGAGATGCTTGCCCCAGAGACCTGATTTGGTTTGGTTAGATAGACGAAGATGAAGAGAAATGTTAGCTGCCATTGGTTTAAGCTAAGAAATCAAGTAGATAATTATGGAGGGAGGGAGCGGAGCGCTCACATAGAGCCAGTCAACACAGCAATGATGACATTGAGCACCTCACCGCCGGTGTAACCCTTCTCTAAGATCATCTTCGCACCAAACCAAATGGCCAAAGCATAACTGCAGAATATGATGCACATGACGACCCCAAACCCCAGGCCACTGGCCAACCCTTCCTGAACACCTGATTGGTAAGCTTTAATGAGTGACTTCTCATAGTCAGCCACAGCTCGCTTTTCCCCGGTAAATGAGGCAACCTGGAGGGAGGGGACGGATAAGCAGTGATGGGTTGCTGAGTTATATTATATACAAACAGAAGCAGCAGCAATAATAAAGATTAAGAAAAAAAGAAAGAAAAGGGGGGCAGTATCATCGGGTTTCATGTCCTTGGCACATACGGTTCTAATGGAGCCGATTGTCTGCTCAACCACAATGGCAGCCTTAGCATATGCATTTTGACCACGGGATGCCATCTTGGATAGAACGTGGGACATGATTGCACCGGATATAACCATCAGCGGAATAGAGGAGAGCATGACAAGAGTAAGAAGCCATCCTTCGATGAACGCAATCACAAAGCCGCCCAGAAACGTGGCAACCAACTGCATAAACTTGCCAACCTGCACAAGCAATGAATGAACATCAAGACCAACAACGGATTGTAGATCCTCAATCTTTTATCATTGGGGCTGCTGCTGACTGGCGTCACAACAGATAACATCAATAATAATACCCCACCTTCTCGCCCATGGCATCTTGGATCAGTACGGTGTCGCCAGACATCCTTCCTATCACTTCCCCTGTATTGGTTTCCTTATCAAAGAAAGCCACGTCCTGTCGCAATATTGTCCTCAAGTACAGACTCCTAATCCGTGCCGCCTGCCTTTCCCCAGTGATCATCCAGCAGGCCACCTCTATCAGACAAACAAACAAACAGATATTCACTTCCGATTTGATCAGCGCCCGCCAATACAATAGCCACTCAGAGCTAACCCATCTATGCATTTATTGATTTTGGCATATTATCATTTTCCAAATTTATTTCTCAGTTAAGTACTACAGTACGATACAGTTTGGTGTACTTACGGAGAAATGCCGCCGCACCACATCCCAGCGCTAAATAGACAAACTTTAGTGCTACCTATGATGTACACGAGAAAAGCCAAACCAGATAAAAACAAAACAAAAAAAGACAAACAAACGAATGAAAGAGACTCCTCCACAGCACAGAGGCCTGAACGAGACGAGATGAGAATGATGGCTAAAGGAAAAAAAAAAAAAAAAAAAAAAAAAAGAAACGACGTTTCATTTAATAGTTACCTTTGAGACAACCGAAACAACACCCTTGCTTTGGTTTTGCCCAAAAGAATCAATCAGGTCACCAAAAAGGATTGTCATAAGAGGGAGGGACAAGCCATTCCCGATGGCACCAATCGAGCCAACGATCATCAATAGCTTGTCAGCAGAATCAGCAAAGACGAAGAGTTTATAAAAGGGCACCGAGTTGGCCGATTCCCTTTGCGACTCCTCTCTGCTTCCAGACGTGGACGATGCCTCATTCTCCGTTGGCATCGTGTCGTCCCAACGCCCGCCGGACTTGTTATCTGGAGGGACGTAAGCTCGATCGAATCAAGCCAAGAAAGAGCTAGCTTGCTAGTGAGCTAGCGACACTGCAAACCAAACATCGGAGAGCACGTAACGTAAGACGAGATCATATTTGCCAAGAATAGAAAAGAAGGGGGGGGCAAGAAAGAGAGAAACTTGTAGCTGGAGGAGAAGGGGGGTGACGATGCATACAATACACTACCCACCCACCCACCCTTCACGGAGCTAGAGAGAGAGAGAGAAAGAGATCGATGGGCAACCAAACAGGCTTCTTCTAATAAACAAACATTGCTTCGTGCTTCCGCAGCGAAAGCGATTCAGCTTGACTAATATGCATACGTGTGGGTGTGCGTGTGCGTTCCGATTGAGTGAATGAAAAATGGATTAGATCACCCCACATGCTGCTAGCTGCTGCCGCCGCCAAGAAACATGATAGAGAGATGGATCAAATAGATATGCAACTGAGGAGGGTAGCCAGTGCCACTCTAAAAGGCAAGGATAATAGCAGCAGCAGCAGCAGTATGGGGAGCAGTCAACACAAGTAGGTAACAAAGCAAAGAGAGGGCAAGGGAGGCGAAAAACCAGACGGAGAGAGATCGCAGAAGGAAAAAAGAAAAAAAATAAGAGAGAAGAGGGAAGAAAAGAATACCTGCTGTTCTGTTTATAAGATATTAGATACGTGTGATAAGTATTTGAAAGGCGGGGGGGTGAGAGAGGTGGTGGTGGGGGGATTCCTGCGGATCAACTGAAGAATAAAAAGAGGAGGAGCATGCGTGCAGGGCAAGCTGGCGGGGGATCAACCACATGGGCATTGTTGGTTGATTCACCTTTCATCCAGAGGGGAGGGGAGGCGTTGCTCTGCTTTGCTTTGCTTGGTGAGCAAGCACTCGAAGACTCTTCCTCTGGTCAAAGTCCAACTACATGAAGAGATTTTAAAAATCAATAGTACAATAGCTAGGGGGTGAGGAGGGAGGCGCCTTCACACATGCATCCCCCCTCCTCCCACGCTGACTAGTGATTGCTGGGGTTGGATTTTCGAGTTAGTTAATTAATTAATAGCAGACACCATTATAGTTATAGTACTATTATAGATTTGAAATTAATTTATTAATGCCGCACTCACTCACCCACCCACTCCACTCCACTCGCCCGTGCTCCTCTGCTTTTTACTACTACTGCTGCTACTGATTTGTGTTTCTCTTTTTATTTTGTTGTTCGTGTTTTCTCACCAACCCATGATTGCTGCTGCAATATTGTGTATATATATATATGTATGTATATACTTGTAGAAGATATCATAATGAAGGATTAGTGAGCTGTGCTCTCTCTATTTTTCCCTTTTTTTTAAAAATAAGAGCACTTAGTGTGTTGATTCATTATTATTAATCAGGGAATGGGAACGGGAACGGGAGAAGTTTGATAAGTATATACAGTAAGCAGCAGCAGCAGCAGTAAATGGGTAGATGAGAGAAGAGAGGTGGGGTGTTGGCTGTCGATGTGGAGGCGGCGGCGAGGTTAGGTGTAAAAAAGGGGACTAATTGAAGGATGGTGGTGGGGTGGGTTCCCATTAGTGATAGTATACCGTACCGTACCGAAAATATCAATATTTTAAAATACATATCGACACCGTATTGAAAAATTTCTGAATATCAATATATACGGATTATACAGAAAATATAATTTAAATTTTAAAATAATTAAAAAAATAATAAATATCACTATTTTTCACCAAGAAAAAACCAATAAATTTTTAATAATTTACATATTTTTTTTGTTATAATTTTAAAAAATATTAATAAATATTATTTATATTAATCATTAAATTATTTAATATAATATCGGTATATCATACAAAAATACCGAATTTTTCGAAAATTCATATCGATACAGTACCGAAAACTTTGGTACGAAATCCATACCGAAACTTTCGGTATACCGAAATTTTAGGTATTTTCAACCCGATACGGTACAATAAGTCGGATATGTTCGGTAAATTTATCGGTCCTTATTTCCATCGGCGTCTCATCATCTCAATATTGCATCTGTAAATCATAATAATTATTATTATTTATAATTACCAAAATCATCGTGGCTGACGGATGGCCGTTACCTAAAAGCGGTAGGTTGAATGTATGTATGTACATGATGGATCCATCGATGATCGGATCGGGTCTGGGTCAGGGTCCGGTGCGTGCACGAATTGATGAATGCAATATAATATAATACATATAAATATATGTTGTCATTGCTGTCGTCATAGAAGAGAGAGCGCCCGCAAGCCAACCGCCCGATTAATTGATTTCTAATATATACTAGTAAATACATTCTTACTAGCATTTCTTCACACCTAAGCAAAGGCTAAGCTCTATCTTATCAATATTCAAACTTCATTCTTGATTCTTGCCTAATACTGTAATAAAAATAAAAATTACTATTATTATTATCAATAGTCAGAAGAGAGAGAGGGCAGGACAGGATGAGAGTAAGGGCCACACACCTGACGAAAATGATGTCGACGTGGCCTCGCGTCGGCGGTATCAGTCAACCAATCGGCTTATAAAAATACTTTACATTACATTGCATTACAACCCGGCCCTGCACTGCAGCGGACGTCCTGCTTGGTGCTGCTTCATTTAATTGAATATATGTAGAGTAAGCAGTAGGTGTATTTAATTTTATTTAATTTAATTATATTGTACATCCAAATTAATTCAAGTCGAAAACCATTATAATAAATAAAAAATGCTGGTAAACTCCTCTTCTCTCCTATTGAGAATCAGGCCGGAGAGTTGCCTCGCCTGTACGAGTCCATTTCGACGCTGCAGATAATTTTTTTTTTTACTTTAAACATTAATTACTGTGGGTGTGTTTAGTTGTGAGGTTTTAATTTTGGGTTTTGATTTTAAATAGTAAAATTTTGAATTAAAATAGTTGTTTGATGTGATATAAATATGTGTTGATGTGATATTTTAAATGTAAAGTTAAATTTTAGTGTAATAAAATAAATAAAAATTGGGTGTTTATTTGATATTTTTTGAAAAAAAAAAAAACAGTTAGAATAGTAAAATCAGGTGTAAAACATGACAAGTAAACACACCCTGTGTGTTTTCTTCGGAAAAATAAATAAATAAAAATCTTTACAATAATTGTTGGGGCTTTTTTTGTATCTTAGTACTCCCTCCGTCCACACACAAAAGTAAATATTTATTTTTAGTTTTTAATTATAGTGAGTAGTTAAAAATAATAAAAATGACAATTTTGCTCTAGCTTTTTGGTATAAAAATAACGATGTGATATAAAGTAAATGTATTTGTGAAAAAATGAAGTATTTAATGAAATATTTGCTTTGTAATTGAACGTTTTAAAATAAAAATATATACATTTTCTAGTTAAACGGAGAAAATATTTTATATAAATATGCACTAAATGCAGATACACACAGAGACAGTAGAGAGATGGAGTTGTGGGGCTGGGCTGTCTGTGGTCTGTGAAAGAGGGGAGCGAAACCAATACCTTTCCTCTTCTGGAAGGGCGGGGCCGCGGGATTGGCTTGGCTTGGTTAATGTGCGCATGCATGCATGTTTTGGAGCTCTAATTCAAATCCAATAAAATCCTTGCATGTAGTTCACGTACTAGGTAGCTAGCTTCTGCCTGCATCCACACCCCACAGGCCACAATATACCATACTTGCGGCTGTCCAATTCCTATTAATTTTTTTTAGAGCACATTGTAGACAAAAAAAAACAGAGAGTTAATTTTATAAATATAAATTTTTCTACAGATTATATACTCTCCCCGTTCCGAATTTTTGGGATGAATTAGCCATGTCTTCTTCTTCTTGCTCGTCTCTCCTTTTAAATATTTTCTCCCTCGAATTTCTGATTGAGAGGTAAAGGATTTAATCCTTTCAAGAAAAAAGTTTTTGATCGGAATATGACCGAAAGACCCTTTAACTATTAAAGGGTTAATAAAACGAATCACACTTTTACTGCTAAACTATACCCGCTCCATTATGATTAATGTATACAAACAGGACCTTTTGTCGAACCGGAAGCGCCCAAGAGAGGAGGACGGGTCCCAATTAGAATACTATTTTTATCATTTTTGTTCGTCTCGTCTCGTATCTATTTTTTATTTTAATAAAATAATAATAAATTAATATCAAAATACATTTAATTTTTACCTAAATTATAAATATATCACTACACATAAAATTACTTTTGACCTAATTCATTGAGCCTCAATTTTGTTGGGCTAGATGGATATTATCTTTGGGCTCGCTCTTGAGGCCACAACCTCTAATTCGTGGGCTGCAACGAATTAGGTCTTTCTTCGAGTGTTGAGCTTGTCGACGCTAGATTTCGTTTGATGTTTGCTTGATCAAGCTTAACCTCGTTCAGACTTTATCGTAATAGGCCTCAACGATCCAAAAACGTTTTGAGGTGGGAGTAACATATATATATATCTCATGGGTAAATTGAATATTACTAATTTTTATTTTGTTATAAATTTATAAATATCTTATATTTTATTTATTGTGCAATTTTTTTCTATATTATTTACTGTAAGCATAAAATACTCATTCCATCCAAATGATGGTGTTTGTACATATATGATAAAATATGCAAGTATTATTCAAATAAATTGGATAAATGTCTTAAGTATCATTATTTGAATAAGATAAATAAAAATAATAATACGGTTTTTAAAATGAAGATGAGCCCTACTTGTAATTTTTACAAACTGTTAAATGAATTGTTGATCAATTTTGTCTTTATTTATTTTATTTAAAAAATAATACTTCATTTTTATTAGAATAGTTTTGTTTACTATTTTTTGTACATCCCAAAATACTTATTTTTATAAATAACCATATTATCGTAAAATTATTCCGATTTTTTTTCATTTTTATTGCACAATTGTCACTATTTTTTACATTAATACAAGGGTAAAAATATTTTTTACCCATTTTTTTTTTACCGATTACAAATATAATATCAATATTTCTTAAATTATATGCCGAATCCAACTAAGACTATCGTTTTGGGACGCGGGGAGTATTTAAGACATTTCATTCGATTTATTTGCATAATACTTGTATAATTAGACGTATATTTACAAACATCAGCGTTTGAATAAAAAGGATAAATTATACAACATTTTCTCGTATTTTAGTAAAATGCATAAAACATCATGTGTTTTATTTATTGCATAAAACCCTTTGCGTTAATGTAAGTTTGCACGAAATATCATTTTCCTTTAAAATTGATATTTGATTGTAAACTCAATAATGCAAGTTTTATAAAAATAAAATATTTTAAATAATTTTTTTGAATAAAATAAATAAATAAATGATTGATTAATCTTTCATTTTTATTATTTTTTTTGAGACAAATTGTTATCTAATTTTTACAACTATAAAAATAAATGATTGGCCAATTTATTTATTTATTTTATTCAAAAAAATTATATAAAATATTTTTTACATTTTTTTTATAAAATTTGTACAATTTAGGCATTTATTTAGAACCAAATATCAGCTTTGAACGACGAGAATGTTTTGTGCAAACTTTACCTTAATAAAGGGGATTTTACGCAATAAGTAAAATCCACGGTGTTTCGTACATTTTTAAAATAAAATGGAGTGTTATATAATTTATGCGAATCAAAATTGTGTTTCGTGCTTTCTTAATACTCATTTTGTTTCAATTCAAAGTATTCTTTTTATCATTTTCGTTTATGCTATTTTGAAGTGTCATTTTTTTTTTTTAAAAAAATAATCATACACTAATACAAAAATACCTTTAACTTTTATTTATAAATTACTAATATACCCACGTATATTTCCTAAATCCGAAACCCTATATAATAAAATCCAATTATCTACTATATATTTTTGCACCCCCTTAGGACATGTAAATCATAGGCACTAAGCATGTTAGTTGTCTATTTTAGGGCTTAGGGATATAGGATTATATAAATTTCACACTGATTAAATCCTATCACTAATTAGATAATATAATCAAATTCTTAAATATCTTCACGTTATATAATAGAATCACGTACACAAAATATTTTAACAAAAACTATACTCCCCTTATCAACTCAAAAAATAACATTTTTACTATTTTTGTCTGTCTCACTCCAAGTATTCAATTTCTATTTAATAAAAATAATCATCTACTAATACTAAAATACTTTTAATTTTGACATAAATTACATATATATCATTATACATAGAATTACTTTATACATACTTCAACTAACTAATAAAATATTATTACTTTTTAATCTATTACAAAAACCCAAAAACCTCGTTCCCTTTAAACATGAATAAATATTAGCTGAGTTGGCTTAAATATTCTCGTGAATACTACTTCCTCCGCCGTCTTAAATATTCTCGTGAATACTACTTCCTCCGCCGTCTACTAAAAAATGAAAATATTTTTGGTGGATGGAGAAAATATTAGATAAAATTAATGAAGTATTAAATTGTTGGAATAAAATTACATGAAGTTTTAGGTTCTTTTACGATTGCACCTTCTGATCAAACTACTGACTAGAGATGGAAGTCGGCTTGGACGGCCTAGCAAGTATTCCAAATAGCTTTGCTATTGTGACATCTTGGCTCACAAACCACGCAAAGTTGTGTATTTCGGAATAACAAGTGTTTCTCACTCATCCTCAAATTACTTTAGGATAATCATATTTTAGAATTTTTTCAGTAAATTCCAAAAAACATATAAGTAATCTATTCAATCTGATTAATCTCTAATTAAGTTCAAATAATCTTATACTGGCTCATACACACCCGAGAATTGGCCAAAAATCGCACTGCTTCGGAGGTATCACAGTTTCTGATTCTAAGACTTAGAAGGCCTTGAGCTACCGGGTATGACGTGTTTGCTTCCTCCATCAAAAGACCAACAAAGTATATGGAAGAATTTCGAGAGAATCTGAACTTCTACCTCAGATCTACCGAAAAATAAATGCGTTGGAATGAAATAAATTTGAATTAACAAAAAGGATAGAAATTATAAGTTAGCAGTGAAACTTACCAATAAGAACCTAACACAAACTAGATAAAGGAAAGTAAAGGATAAGTGTTTTGTAGAGTGGATAGTGTGTGCAAAATGTGTCATACTTTACTATTTAAGGAGTTAATATTCCAACTTTCCCACCTTATCTTCTTTGATTAAGCCCATTTATGTGGAAATTTTGGTGGCGTGAGGGCTGGATGGTCATGAAGACCGGATGTCCTGAGGGTCGAATCTTCTTGAGGGTCGAGTGGCTTTGAGGACTTGAGGATCGAACTGCAGCAAAGAGTCTCCATGAGGCTGGGTTTTCTTAGGGACCGGATTGTCATAAGGGCAGAACTGTCAAAAGATCTTTGCTTCTTTGAAGGTCCTAGTTGAACATGAGATCCTCTAACCCTGCAAGTCTCTCGGTTCTTTGCACTTGTAGGTCCTGATCCTCTCCATCTTTCATTCCATCCCACGGCATGGTCTTGCCTTGTGGACTTCGGACCTCTCCGTCCTCTTCGTTCTTCATTCTATCTCTTGCCATGGCCTTGCCTCGCGGACGTCGGACCTCCCAGTCCTCTTCGTTCTTCATTCTATCTCTTGGCGAGCTCTTGCTTTGTGGGCCTTAGACCCAGATCCGACGTATATATAATTAATGATGATATGGTATTGTGGTTTCTGTGTATACATATACATTGCATTTATATTGTGTTAAAAGAAAGAACTTCCAATCTAAAATGAAGAGCTGCCTATTCAATTCGCATAAAAAAAGTGAGAAATCAATTGATGCCCTTCACCTTATAAAGTAAGAGAGCTCCGACTTAAATTTTAATGTGGAACAATATTCATCGACTCTCCTGACGAGAGTTTTACGTTTGATAGCACTCGGAGATGCATATGCATTTGCAATGTGTGCAGCAGCTGCTGCTAGAACTGGACTCATTCACTCATTCACATAATATTTTCCTTTTCGTTTGGATTATAAATACATTAATGCCTTGCCTGGCCTGGCCGCCTCCTTCCATGGCCAGGCTCCAGCTATCTTCACAATATTTGAGTATTCGAAACACAGATTGTGTTTGGCTACCAGCACCAGCACCCAGGTCCATGGTTAAATTATTGGTTGCTGCTATATGCGTATCTATTACTTACATGCATATATATGCATGTGCACTGACCACCTAGCAGCAGTGATCCTAGTAAGTAGGTACATGTTATTTTGTGTATTATCTATCTATCAGGCAAGAAATTTGTCAGTCGGTCATCCTTTGTTGTTATTATCGGGAAAATCTAACAAAACATCAGCGGAGATGAGCAGTGCTAGCTATAAGAATCAATAATAATAATAATAATAATGATATGATATGATGAGGACTGCAAAGCCTGCATAGGCCAGGCCATATCTAACAAAAAGTTGTGTTGTTGTAGAGATATTCTTGTCCACCAATGCATGCAGTGTGGCTGTGCCCGTGCCCGTGCCTGTGCCCGATCCAACCAACGGATGGGCTTGCTTCCAGTTGCACCACTGCCCTCTTCCTCCCCTCCTGTTTGAGTTAGAATGTAGAGGAAGGACGAAACTCAATCATCTGCATCCCCCTTCCGGCAACTGCTATCTCATAATGATTTCTGGAGAAAGAGAGCACTCAACTATCAGTAATGGAGAAGAGTATGGGGCTTGGGCTTGGAAGCAAACAAAGCCGCCACTGCCACTCCACAGCATTAATTCCACTCACCTGCCACATGTTTTAACATCCATTGCTTCTGGCTCTGGCACACTTACGATTATATGTGCATGCTCCATGAGTCTCCCATGATCAAGGTTCCAACACCGTAGGCGCTGATCCAGTCCGACAGAAAAAACCCAGATACCATCTGTCCATACCCCTGTCCAGTACAACCAGAAAGTGAATGAAGAAAGCAAGCATGTGGCATACTGTCATATATAAAAACACACTAAATAATCAGAAAGTGTATTTGGTACACATGATAGTAATTCAAATTAACAGCACATCTTGGACCAACACCATACATCTTCGAATAAATCATATGCCAACAAGCAGACGAGTTTGTATCGATTAGCTAGACTATAGATTTTTACGAGAAAGCAAAGTTAATTACCATAAAGAAAAAAGAGCATTTAATACAAAGAAATGAAGGATGAATAAGCAATCGAAGCATCCATATACCCATTACCTTTGACAGCAGAGCTGTGAGCTGAGGCCACCTTATCCACAGACAAAAATTGCATCTGATGGTTTTGAATTAAGCAGTGGGGATTGTTGTGATTCATACCCCCTGCCAGTGTGGTGCAATTAATTATCAGAGTCCTATTTTGAAAGAGCTCCCTTTGCTGAGGATTGCTTTCCACATCACATCTAAAACAATTAATTGCCTGATCATCACCCCCACTCACAACATGGAATAACATCCCACCAGAGTCGGACTGTTTGAGGTCAGAAACAAAGAGGCAATTGACCCCAGATTGATGAACATCATCTAAGACTGAAACAGCTTCTAATACAACCTTTTCAGATGACATACCAGCTGTTTTGCTTTCGGAAGCAGATGCAGTTTGGGGTGCTTCTTGAAGAAAAACATGACTCTTACTGGAAATAGATATCTCAGATGTTTCAACTGCATGATTTTCCATTCCAAAGTCAGGTTTCCTTCCAATAGAGACTAAACCATTGTTATCTTTTTCTCTCAAATTGAAGAAAACTGGTTTATTCCTTGCATTCGTTATGGATCGCCATCTTTGACCACCTTGGCTTCCTCTACCAGTCTTTGGTCGTGTTTGGACTTTCATGCAGTTTTCCATTTCTAGTTTGGATATTTGCAGCATGAAGTCTTCAACACATTCTGTTAGATCCCAGATTGCAATACTTCCATCAGTGGATCCAGCAAAAGCCATGTAAAGACTTCCAACTTGTAGCTTTCCTGAAATGAATCAGTTGGAACACTTGAAAACAATATTGCAACTTGAAAACTAGGAGAGCATGATAATATCTAGATTAGAAGTTTCCAAGTTGAAGATACAAGTCAGTAGTCTGTATGGCAAACCCATAAGACAGCATGCAACAACTAATTATGATCTTAATCAAGGTGTCAAGAACACTCAGGAAGATAGTCAATCATTCTGCATCTAGAAGTTCAAATCCCTAGAACGCAATCATTAGAGTTTTAACAGCAGCATTCCACCACTGAAAACTTGAGCTGATGTTATAACAGATTTCAGTCTAACAACGCATTTGTTTGCTCCTCTATTTTTTATAAGAAAGATTCATGTCCCAAAAGTCCTGCATCAATGATCACGTCATATTCTTCAAAAGGTTGTACCGCATTTTCAGAAAACAGGCATTCCTGTTTTACTCTAGAAAACATATTAACCAAAAAATCATAAACTGATTCATTAAATTCTAAAATTATTAACACTTCACACATCTTCATTTTCATATAATCACTGAATTACAAAATTCCCATACATGCGGTCTTGAAGCAGAAAAAGTGTAAAACTAAGAATGCATCACATATATTCCAAATAATTATTTAGAACTAGAGCTCATCAAGTGCAGGCAAATGGCATGGAGAACGATTTCAAAGAGAATTTTCAAAAGGCACAATCAGATAAAAAGATATTTGAGATTGTCAATCACCATGTCCAAACTTTATATAATCATTTCATCAGTCCATTATAGAACAACCTTTAGTTGACAGAGGCTTAGGAATGACAACATGCTGCAAAGACAATACAGGAGATGACGATAAGGAGCACAGCAAAGCAACATCAAACCTGCCATGAAATTCAGATAGGCATTAGGCAAGGACACATATATACTGTGTGTCTGTGTGTGTCAGTGCACCCAGCATTTGAATAACAGATACTACCTCTGCCTCCAATCTTTTGTTATCATTTTTAATTTGGGATGTCCAAAAACTTTTGGGACCTTTTTTTATTTACACTCAAGTATTCCTCTTTCCTTCTAAATGTAATTTATAAAATCATTCCAAAGAAAAAGTAAAAGACAAAACTGCCAAAAAAATAACTATCAGAATTATACCACCTAAAAAGCCACGCCAAAGTAAAACTAGCAAACATTTTGGGACAGAGGAAGTAGAATACTACTTTATATAGGTAAGTGATTGAACTGCTTGTAAAATAACTATCTCTTGGGCATTATACACTCACCAAAGCCGAAAAGGTAATACAAGAGCCTTTAGTGTAACTGTAGCATCAGAACAAGCGACAAGAATAAAGCAGGTGGAAACTCTGTTGATGAAAAACTGACAGATATTAATCACAACTCGATGATAGAACTAAATAAACAATTAAGAAATTGAAAAAATACGATGACCAACAATCTATTTCTACTTGAAACATACCTGGATCCAGCCTCTTTAACATGAAAAGCAGTAATATCTAGATATCTCCAGTCATGATCAAGACTATCTTCAAGGCAGATGTTTGACTCCAAATTCCTATATCCAGACAAACATGAGTTAATAGAAATAGCATCTGATGTGGATGTGCTAGGATCATTGACTGTTTCAATAAATTCCTCAGTGTCATTCTTTTTCACAGAACTAGTGCGTTTCCCAGGAACATCAGTTGAGAGCCATTGGAAGGAAAATGGTGATTTAGATGCGGAAGAACCACTCAAAGCATCCGATATTTGACTGCTCAGTTGTTTCCATGCAGTTATAACCCTTTTAGCACCAACAGATATTAATATGGAAGGATTTTCATCCTCTGCAGCTCCATTCTGTCTGTAAGGTGCATTTGGTATGTTGGCAGAATCAAGCATGAATATATGCATCCTTGATACAGAGCATATTGATCGCACAGCTGAGCCACCCACATGTTCTCCAAGGTACTGGGAAGAAGACCAGTTGTCCATGACTGGTTCATACCTGAAATATTTTGGAAAAGCAATTGCATCAAGGCATATTATTCCAGTGCAGTGGCAGGGATCTGCGCCTGATAAATGAATCAAAAATGAAGGGAAAAAAAACCTAATCAATCGCACAGATCCATCTTCAGAACCAGTTGCAATCCAGCTAGATTCAGGAACCAAATCCTGATCTTTGTATGAATTACAAACAAAAAATTTGTTAATAAAACATAATGAGTGTATCTCCCGCCCATGACTCTGCAAATGGAGATTCTGAGGATATATCTTTCGACCTGTTCCCGGCACCCAGTGCCTGTGAATATATATGACATTGTCCTGTCAGAAGTGATAGGAGGTCATTGCATCTATGATAAGCAAATACTGAATAACATAAAAATCACAATGAGATGAACACAAAAACCCAAACTAGATTATTTGCACATAAACTTTAAAATTTGCAAGATTACAACAGCAAATCTTGAAGGAGTCTGTTCGGTTTATTCCACGGCTTAGAGAAGCAATTGACAAAGAGTTAAAAATAAAATCACCGATGGATTTCTTTCTGGAGCATAACTGAAGCTGAGAGGGTCGAAACCTTGTCATTGTGCCTTGCGGAGGACGTCACACTTGCATTTTATTCGGTATTCGAGTTGCTGTAATTTTTGGAAATGGTGGTGTATAAATATTCATAGATTGTTTTACAACTCCCAGACAGCTTATCTGGGTGCTCACACTCTTAAATATATTTTTTTTCCCTTTCGTATCTATTGTGCCTAGACTTTGTTTGCATGCTTTCCCAATTAACAATTGAGTAATTCTAGATTAAATCTGTTAGATTCCATTCCCGACTTGAAGCAGGGAAATCATTCAGACTAAAATTTCCTTACACAGGTATTCATTCCCCTTTGTTGTTTGGTCAACAAGCTTCAAGAAATCTTACATGATTTCATATGCTACTAGGGCTATATCTTAAGCAATGTGGTTGGCTCCAGAATCAGGATAGCGGAAAATTAAAACAGGCAAGTCAACTTTGGCAAATCGAGGCAAATAGATATTGGATGAGAATTCAAGATCATCTTGATCATGTCCTCCTTATTTTCACCAAATTTATTAGTATCGCCAACTCCAATGATGCAAAATTGTAGGTAGTCATCCAAGTTTTCTATTGCTTATTGGTTTGGCAATTAGGGTAACTTCCTAATATCGTTGATGAGTACACTCCAGAAATGCTTTAGGATGAATTTGATGTGCCTCAGCCCCATAGAAATTTAATTTTGATATAAATAAGCAGCGACACTCCATTTCCAGATGTCCTCTTACAAATGTTTTTGCTAAGCATGGGTGGCGAGGAGCTCTCTTTCTAGCAATATTTTTTTCATTCTGTAAAGCTCATTATATTTGCATTTATAATTCTGCAAGGTACTAAGAGGCTCTATCCTTTCATCATTGTATTTTTCGTTTCAACATGATAAAATAAAACCCTTTCACTCCAAAAATATAAATAAGTAAATGTTAGAAGAATGGGAAGCTTCACCCGAGGTTTCAATAAAGATTGCAATGCTGTTCACCGATCACTTGTCCAAGAATAGCAGGTTCAAGCAGATCTTCAATTGGAAAGAATCTTTCCAGAAGCTAAACTAGAGCCTAACAGGTGCCATGTTGTATGATACTTAACTGAATTGATTCACATGATTGCATGCTTAAAGTAAAAACTAAAAAAATTCAAATCATAGTTTGGTGCACAAAAGTGCAGAAAAAGTTGGCCAAATAACTAGAAATAGACCATGGCGAATGTTTTTTTTTTTTTCTTTTTTCTTAAGACCATAGAAAATGATGGTGGTCATTGTTCATGTTGAAGATTTCAGTTCGGCTGATGGGCTTCTGTGGCAAACTTTGAAAATAGATTTCCTTATAAATTAGGCAACTGAAATATACGAGCACTATAACAATAGAAAGGTAGAGAGATATAAAGCTGATAAATAGAAAGGTAGAGAGAGATATAAAGTTGATAAATAGAAAGGTAGAGAGAGATATAAAGCTGATAAACAGAAAGGTAGATAGAGATATAACGCTGATAGCAAATAATGCACATAAAAAAAGTTGGAGCATACCTTAACAAAAGAAAAGCAACTGTTCATCTCAGGCAACACACCAAGATAATATGAATGGGGGCGCCGCCACCCACCACATGTGATTTGAAGCACCTTTAGCAAACAACCAAATGCTTACTATAAGAGTGAAAGCTTGCAGAGTTAAACTACTCAAGAAAGAACTGTTAATAGATTGGCTACAAACCATAATTGAAGGGTTAGAATAGTACACAAGTTTGGGGCAATCCTTTAAATAAACAAACATGTTTAAAACCAAGACATCAACAGAACAATCAGTTGTCAATAGTTTGGTTGTGTTCTCATTTTCCTTTTTTGACTATGCGTCTATAGTATTTTTATTCCCACCCAAAATATCACATCATACATCAATCTTTCATTTAATATATGATATATATTTCTTTTTTCTATTCAAAACATCACATAAAATACAAATTTATGTTACGTCAAACAATTATTACAATTCAAATACTATTCTAAAACACAACAAAACACAACCAACCCCACCCAATAATTTTCATCTCAAGGAAATACCTTGGTCCCTGAAATTAAATTCCATATAATGAAATTTGTAGAGGAAAAACCAACTGCATAGTTTCCAACAGCAGAATCATCAGAATGCACACCAGTGGTGTAGACAGATCGAATTGCACTTAGTTCTTTTACTTGTTTCATTCTAATAAACTCCAGATCATGCAGCTCTCTGTCATGCTTCAGGTAACATATGCATCCATCTGCTCCTGTCTGTAGGTGAGGGAGAGCTTACTAGATTAAAAAAATACAGTATTGAGCCATTACATGCAGAGAAAAGCTGCATGATACATTTCAAGATTTCAAGCCGGCAAAATATTTTAATCTATAACAGTCTACGCAACAATTAATTACACATTTTCGTTATCTTCAGGAAAAGAATGTTAAAATTCTAAAATATTTTGAAGATGAAATTCAGAATCAGGTCATACCGAGCGGATCTCAACTTGATCAGGTGACACAGAAGATATAAAAACACTGTTCACAGTTGATACTCCATGAACACCTTTGAGATAATTTAACGTGGGTGTCTTCTTCACCTCTGTGGAAAGAAAAGAACCACAGGCTAGACTTCTGGGAAGAGAAAACAGCAGAAGATTACCCCGAATGTCCCCGCACACTATTAACTGCACATTAATAAAATCTTGAGATCATATGGGGTTCTTACTATTCAAAAGACCACTTGCATTTTTACAAGCCCTTACTGTGAATCATTAGCTTAAAATGAAACTCATGAGTAAGCAGAGAAAAAGTGCACGCTAGATAGCTGCTGTTTCAAGACTGCATATAATATTCTGGAGTATTAAGAAACAAGCTCACTGCACTACTATTAAAGATTATGTTGTTGCAGGCAACGACTCTCAGTACAAGAATAAATGCAAAGAAACAGAGAAAAAATGTGATGTGCGGATATACCTCCTGATCAAGTGACGCATCCACACACATTATCCTCATTCCAAAGCACGATGTATATTCTGCCATAAAAAATAAACCAGAATTTCCTTGAGGAATTTTAGAGTCAGAAGACATCGTGCAGCATAGCTTCCACATCTTTAATCTACCACCAGGATCAGCAGTGAAGATAAATCTGCATACAGGAATTACCAGAGAAATTTAATTTTACCATTTTCACTAATTGAGAATAATGAAGAATATAGATGCACATTTATCCTATTTAGTGGGGCTTTGAGTTCCAATAATAATAATGAAAAAGCTTAGGTTAAGCTCTAATGAACCTTTCTTACGCAAAACATCATAAATGTAACTAAATTACATGAGGAGCAAATTTGTGTACATGGCAATTCAGTAAATGGATATCATGATCTTGAATTTAATTATAGAAAGATGCTTTTCTAGTAAATTCCCAAAGCATTCTATAGAAAGATGAGTGGATTACGTTCAGCATTACTGCAGCAGCTCGAGTATTGCTTACAGGAGGAATGCTTTAATTTTTTAAATATTGTTAATGGAAAAAACACTTCAGATACACATGGTTGACACCAAGTGAAGCCTGAAATGAAACTATATGTTACCTATTTTCCAATGATTTACACCAGTAACTGCCCAAGAGATGCCTCTCCTTTTCAACTGGCCAAGTGAAAGTAACTTCAACTTTCCGATCAGAGCCAGCTCCAAGAACCTGGATGATTGTCATGATACCTTTACCATCTCCAACAGCAATCCAATCTTCACATCTACCAGCACTGTCAGGGCCTTTTGACATTATGTCCACACAAATTATTGGAGCTTCCTCACTGATGCGTCCAAGTTCAGTCCACTTAACTGGCCCGACATTATACAGAGTAGCATGGTACAGGTAGCCATTGTTTGTAGCAACATAAAGAGAATCTTCACGTGCAAAATGCAGGCAACGGACATATTCACTTTTGCTGTAGGAGTGCTTAAGAGATAAGAAACTCAAATGCAAAAAAGTGGAGTGGAAGAACAACACAGTAGATATAAAACCATACATGGCATACCGATACACATAGAACTAGGGTTTATGCATACAAACTACGAACAACTTCTCAAGACATACTTTACAAACTAGAACTACAGTTTCTACATAGAAAAGAAAACTAAACATAAGATATACACAGAAAATAATTGGCTCTCAGTTAAGTGAAATCAGTTTTTTTTCTTCATCATATTTGGTTGCTACCTCATACTCTTTCAAGAATTAAACCCAAACTGTGGAGCAACCAATTTGCCCTATCCAAAAAATAAAAATTCTGCAACACAAACTTGGGTAGAATTATATGAAAAGATGCTAGAGAACTGAACTACAAACTATTTCTTGGCATACTCCCTTCAGCGACATCTATAGCCTGCACATCTGTTCAATTGTGAAACTCGAATATTACTGCCATATGGAAACTACAACAAATGGACACTTGCATGCTCCATGAAGATATTGGAACAGCCATGGCAAGGTAAAAAACTTGTTAAACTACTTTTACTGTCTAGGAAGAAACCTTCCCAATTGCACAATATACCATTATAAAATTGCGCACACACATATACATACCACGTTACTACGTATAATCTTAAGGGCATGTTAAAATAAAATATAACAGATGTAAAGAAATTCATGCCTTGACTATTCCAATGCTGATAAATATGCCGAATACACCATTGAGTATCTGAGATACTTCATTCAGCTTCACCGTAGTAACACCCAAAAAAATGATAATGAGATGAAGGTTATGCAACTTTGGTTGGGGGATTCCCTTGATAGTTTTGCCAGCGTTTAGACTGGGTACTAGAGAATTAACCAAGGCTCTTATTTCTATAAACATTTATTATTAATAAGAGCTAGAATGCAAACTGCAAACAAAATATTAAGAATTATATAGTTTTTGTTAAAATATTTTGTGTTGGGATTCTATTATATAATCTGAAGGTATTGAAGAATTTGATTATATTATCTAATTCGTGGTAGGATTTAATTATTCTGAAATTAATTATATAATCCTATATCCCTGAGCCCTAAAATAGACTACAACTAACATGTTAGGTGCCTATGATTTACATGCCCTAACTTAAGGGGGGGGGGGGGGGTGGGTTGAAAAAATATATAGTAGATAATTGGATTTTATTATATAGTTTGATAAAAGCTTTAGGAAGTTCATTGTATTTTGAAATGAATTGTAGGGCTTGGTTATATTTTAGTTAATTGTTCATCCAATATAAATATATATTGGCGGTTCTTAATCATTAGAAACACATATATAAATTTTCTTTTACAGTAATCATGTAAATATACCTGTCCATCAGTCCACCTTCCATAGAAAAATTGGGTAGGATAAGAGAAAACACTTCCTTTCTGCCACTTAAATCCTGTGATGCAATAGTTTGTTCTGATCCTTTAGAAGATGTAAACAGCTGGTGAACCTTTATTGCAGAATCAAAACCAGCAGTGACAAGAAGTGAAGACCTTGGATCATACAAACATCGCCAGACTCCCCTCCCACTGCAAAGGTGGCGATACAGAACTGTAATTTGATACAAAAACCACAGAACACTGGCTGCAATCCAGTGATAAAAGATGATGTAAAACAAATCAAATTGCGTGTCATGAATGCTCACAAAATGAGTTTCAAAACATAAGAATCCAGTCAAACACACATTACAAATGGTAGTAGTTAAGGAATGCTATATATGAGAAAACAATGGAAAGTGGAAACAACCATAAACAGGAATCCACAACAGCCACAAGCAATTTTCGTAGCTTACGTGTGCTCCTTCATCTTAGTAAGCTCTTTTCCATCATGATCCCAAACACGGCATGTACAGTCCTCACCAGCAGTGATGATTACCTGAGTAGTTTGAAAGCAATAAGCTAATAAGATGAAAATTGAAATGTGTACAATGATTCTGTAATTGTACCTCCAGTGTAAATATAAATCCAAGTGAACATGCATAAATAATTTGAGAAACCAATTAAAGTAATCATCAAATTCAACCGCTGAAAATGGAGAATAGAGAATGATTTAGGGTGTTCAAGCATCTGATTCAAATGTCAGAATGATGGATTCAAGGCAACTGGTTGGATTGCTGGAAAATCATGTGAGCTATAATTTTTACCAATAACACAACTATATTCTTTCAAGCCCGAGGAAAAATATAAGCAGCAAGACATTTGATAAAATCAAGCTGAAGAGCATTCCATGCACAGTGGGAAAAACAAGCAAATATGAGAAAAGAAATGGAATTAAGTCATTCAGACACAACCTTGTCCTCATGCATGTTAGCATAATTTTTTATCATAATATATGCATACATGTAAGATACATTCAAAATATTTATTAGAAGAAGAAACAAACAAAAAGACAAAAAGCTACTAACACAAGCTTACAGAGTCAAATATACAGCAGTCCCAAATTCTGGCACTGTGCCCAAACAAAACAGGGCCCGCAAAATAACTGATCCCACCTTGCATGGCCTTGTATGAAACTTCTCTCTCAGTAGTAACTTCCCAAATGCGAGCACTAAAACCAATCAAGATAGAGCATACAAAAGTAGTTATGGATCTTCATAAGTCAACTAACAAAAACCAATGAATAATATAACTACCTACGATCATCAGAAACAGAAACAAGCTTTGTTCCGTTAGAGAACCATGCAATGCGGAAGATTGAACCTTCATGTCCTACAAGCCTACACATAAAAGCATCTCTGTACTTGGGATGAGCAAGGGTGTTGTCGTCCCCCTCATTAGCTAGAAAGTTGCAATATTCCTCATGACCTGTGAAGATTGTAGATTGATTCTGTAAAACCACCTTCCAAACAACAATCTGCCAAAACCCAAACAGATTACCAGCCTTGTTAAGCATCAACTTTCACCTTAGAACAAAGAGTTAAAAACTTGAGTTTTGTGGCAATGTTATCTTTAAAAATATCATTAAGAATCATAGCAGTCATGCAATACATAACGTATCAGAAAAAGAACTGAATCTCAATAAAACAGATATAATGAAAATCACAGGATCACATGCAGTACAAAAGTAGTATTGGGTGGACATACAAAGAAGTGAAGTCAACTGTAGGGAACAGAACCAGTGGAAGAACTAGAATACATCAGGGGCACATCTGAATCAAGACAAATATTACACATAAATTGTGTGCAAGATGATTTGGGAAGCTGCGGGAGAAGTGAACAACAAGAATGCAAATTACCTCATTGAAGATAGTGCCAGACGCAATGATTAGAGATTTAATTTCACTTCCCAACATCTTCATGGAGTACAATAGGCACCTCTCTATTAGAAGAAGATATGTATATTATTGCAAGGCAAGATAAATGTAAACAAAATCTCATTTTATGGATAACCCAGCCAACATAATTCAAGCCTTTTTACTGGCAATAATATTGGAAGAAGAAATTACACAGAACTGGGAAAGGGGAAAAGGGAGAGAAAAAGAGAGAGATATGCAGATGCTCACAACGAAAGCAACTGAATGAATAATAGTGAAATTGAAATATATTCATTTTACTAGCAGATGATACTGTTTGATGGACTACCTAGTATTCCATTATCCTTTTTTTTTAGTATTCCATTCTACTTGCAGCTGCAGCTCTTATACATTCTCACCTCTGATTATTTCTAGGAGAGCCATTTCTAAAACATATCATATGGGTAAAGAAATGGTGTATGAAAATAAATAAATAAACAGCTACCTGCGCACGTGACCTTAGAAAACATATTATGCGTCAAAATATTCCAGAAAGACACAGAATTGTCGCTACATCCAATGGCAAGAAAACATGCATTCTCAGTTGAAGTTGCACCATCCCTCTACAATTTAAGATTTATGAAAATAAATAAATAATGATTAAAACGAAGATAAGATGAATCTTGTAAATTAACCTAAAGTTGGAGAAAGTAAATATTAAGAAGAGCTCACACCTTCAAGAAGGATACGTCCAATACCCAATGACCAAATTTCGGCAGCGAGCAAATAAGGGACAGTTTTATATCTAGAATGGGGTTCTCTCCATTGCCTGGTAGAATTTGTAGGTTGAAAAGCTTCACAGTCCTTTCGCCGAATGAAGCAAGCCGGAAACCAAGGAAACCCTGTAGTTGTTCATTAAAATTATCCAAAGCAATCCCATGAACACGAATCCCTTCAAAGACTTCAAATGATCTTATGATCTTTTCAGACAGCAAATCGTACACCAGAATCTGCGAGCCAGTTCCTGAGGCGTGAAAGTGCTATAGTTAAAATGGATGCAAAAGGCTTAAAGATGTATATGTATGGCATACCAGCTAAAAGTAATGGAAGATTGCAGAGATGAGAAGGAAGATGGAGAAAGCAAAGGGCTGATATTTCGCCCAGATACTGCCCGCGCCGGAGATACTGGCAATGTTCGGCGGCGTTCATGGTCGCTAGGCGCTGTGGGGAGTAAGATTTCAGGCTTTGTTTACCCATGTCTGATTTTAGCACTAATTAAGGGTCTTGTTAGGTTTGGATTAAATATTTAATTTTATTAATAAATATAAATCTTTATATACAAAAAAAATAAAAATGGTTAAAGTCTGATTTAAATTTTTCAACTCACCATGTATAAATAGCAAACATTATTATTACATAATATTATATATAATAAATATACGTGTTTGTTTTTTTAACTTGAGTGGTTGGCTCTGTTGGCTGGTCTACAGTGAATTCTTTTTCTTCTGGATCTACAACTAGTTCTGAATTAAATAGATGGACCTGTAGCAGAACTTCAAGCTGCATCATCAAGTAAGTAACTCAGTTTATGCTCAGATTCAAACCAGAGTGATTGCCCATCCATCATTTACTGGTTCCTCAGATCTTTTGAGGCCTCCTGGAAGCATGAGTGGCATCAATCATTCCTCCCCGCCACCTAGTTTCTCTGAATGTGGAGTACTTGAGTCATCAAACACTGATGTTCTTCCAGGTTCAACGTTTCAGTCTCGCAAGGCTTTGATTGCTGATCAAGGATATGGGAATGTTGATAATATTCAGACAGCAAACAAATCCCTGGGTGAGAAAATGCGTGTTACTCTGGCATTTGATGAAGGGAAGTTTGCTGCTTTTACAGACATTTCCGGTGCATATCGACAGGGTTCATTTGATGCCCAAATGTATCTAGCTCCCAGAGTACTACCTGATGCTCGGAAACAGGAAGAACCAACCAGTTGAAGCCTAAAATGCTAGTATGTTATACCATTCTTCCCAAGATATTGGCTGGGTTGGTGAGGCACAGAACATATTATTTAACTCCAAAAAAGACAAAGGCAAATGCAAAAGCAAAAGCAAGTTGGCTGACGATGTTCCCCAAGGTTGTAAAGGAAGCACCATCAAGCGACAGGGGTTCAGAAGATGTTGAAGTTTTGTTGAGGGGCGGAGCAGCAGCTAATAATGCAATCAGGAAAAGTAGGCAACGAAAGAAGGAAGACCTCAAAGTTTCACCGGATCCGCCCTGGTGATACATCCCATCTTTTGAAGCAGTATTGGATTTACAAAATGCTGACCCTGATCCTGGTTTGAATCAAAAGGAGGTGGCAATGCACCGAGCACCAACTGATGGGGCCAATAAACCTGGTGAGAGTTTGCCTGTTCGGGGCGTGTGGAGAAATGGTGTAGGGCAGAAGCCCTTGGGCAGTGACTGACTTCCAGGGTATAATGAATCTGTCTGGCTGGCTGGAAAACAGTAACAGGGTCAGCTGAGCTGACATTATAAAGTGAAAGCAGTACTAGTTTGATTTGATTGCATTGTTGCACCTGTTAATATTACGATTTGAAGTAAAAATATGTATAGGGTGAGTGATGTAGAGGTAATACTTTTCTTATTTTTGGTAATGATATTGGCAATGATACCTACACTCGATGCCAATGGGGAGAAATATTGCTGTGTCTTATTTTTCTTCTCATAAAGTTTTGGCATAGCCTTGATGGATATGCTTGGGCATTGTGGATTTATTTACTATTCATTCCCATACCATCCCATACCAATACCATCCATCCCATCTCATTGAAATGTTTATGTTGGTGTTAAACACCTACCAAATTCAGAGGATTCAACATTAATTATTTCCGATTTGATCCAGCATCCCATTATCATCCATCTTCGCATAAAAGATGCTCAAAAGATACAATTAACAACTAGGCATAAAAGCCAACCCATGATCATGATCATTTGGGAGCTCACAAGATACAAATAGCAATGGGCATAAGAAAGCCATGCATCTGTCAGTTATTGCATGCATAAAGAAGGAAGGCACATTACAGCAAAGGTGACGGGGGAGATCTTTTACATATGTACACACAGATGCACGCATGATTTTCCCACATATTCAGTCAGATAAAGGTGCCGCAGCAGGTGCATCCAAAGGTCTGCTCACTACTGTAGCACATGTAGAGAAACCCATCATCGTCCTTGTATGAATCATACAGCGTCTCCATCACACTCGCTGCAGTGGAATCAAGGAGAAAATGAACAAGGGAGGGAATACAAGAAAGTATAGATATACACAGCAGAAACGAGTTACAGAGAACTTGTGTATCCTTCACACATACATACATGTTTGTGGTAATGTATCGTTCACAAATACAAAGAGAGCTTTCCCAGGAGCAAGGTGGAGCCTGCCGCTGAGGATGTGGATGTAGTGGCCAACAGACATGTCCCGAGGCACCAGGAACCTGGTTGGTTCGCAGAATTGGTTAAACCATTATATATATATGCATACCGCAATAGCTTACACCTTACAAATTCTATTCCCAAATCTGGGGACCGGGCTACAATCTCATATACGTTATAAGAAGCCAGCCAACGTGACACAAACATGGCAGACATGGGTACAGAAAAAAAGGGTAATTAGTGCTCCCTAATTTCTGTATATTTTCAACCTTTTTACGATGCTGATTATCACATTTTACAAAAAGACATGTGAACTGAAAACTTAATATTGCTATCACAAAGAATTGAAAAATCTTATAGAAACCCTAATATTCGTGTAGAGCCGGACAATTAAAGAAATGCGATTGCATTTAAAAAAGCAGCAAAAAAGGCCATAGAATTACTTACCTGAACAAGCATATACAAAAGAGATTGGAGTATAAATTGCAGGGTGTATCAATGGAAAAGTAATGACACATGATGAATGGATCAAAGAGGAGAGGGCTCATATAAGACTATACAGCACTTAAATTTCCCTCTTTAGTACCTAAGAGGCATCACATTCAAATTCTTTTTTTTTTTTTAATTTAAAATGTTACATTAAGAACTTATTAGAATGTAAAATTATTTGTGCCTGAATTCTGTTTGTTTATTTGTTGTTAGTATTCACAATACAACCAACCGAACACTCAAAAGCATATCAATCACGTCCTGTAAAGAATGTTTGGTGGTGTGAATTGTAAGTTCATCCGTTCAAATACGGTTCGCCTAATGTGAATAGAGTACCGATGCCAGTCACCTCATGTGTCTTTTTGTCTATTATATGGAAGATTACCTATGGAATATCAGCATGATCGAAAGTAAAGATGTGCTGCATATATGAATAACTCACTTCTTCTTCTCCATCTCCGGAAGATCAGATTTTGCGAATTTTTCAACGACAACCTGCAATGGATATAAGAAGCTAAATAAATGTCGAAGGTACAAGCCACCATCCAGCGTAGCTTTCCTCGTTATTCAGAAGCAAAAATGAAACCGATCAATCTAGAAAGGTCATATAACAAGTGGACAGCTTGCGGTCAAATTCTGAGAGGGCTTACAGGTACTCGATCGGGATATTTGGCTATAACTTCCTGCGATTCTTGCCGCCTTTCCTCTGTAATTTTGTATCCGGTAGGTCAATGAATCATCATCATCATAGCTATCCAGCAATAAGAGAGGATTTTGAGTTAATTACTACTATTTTACACTGAAAGGAAAGAACGAACCGAATGGAAATTCTTCCTTGAAAGCCTGGCCTTTGGCTCTGCCCATCTTCAATCGGTACCTCCTCCTCCTTAGCTATCCACGGGGAAAATCGGAAGGGGGCAGCAACAAGAAATCTCACGCTGAAAGACAATAGTGATAATAAATTGTTTTGTGACCACCCGGAAAAGATTGCAGCCATCGTATTCATACCTACAGCTGGACTTTCCTTAAATTTACGTTCGATAGGTCAATGTCGAGAGCTGTCAGTTTGAAGAGTTTTATTAAAATGGTGGCGTGTCCAATCCAAACTCACCGCAATTGGGATTTGATTCCAGTTTGTATGTTGATCTCATATATGAATAAAATCGATCAAATCCAAAACCCCGATTCAAATATATAACCAAGAGATTAGACCCGGCCCAGCTCACTTCTTTTAGCCAAAAGCCCAAAGCAAGGATTCGTCTAGCCTGTATGGCAACCTGCATGGGAAGTCAGCTCATGGGCCTAATAAAAAAGTGATATGAAAAGTATTTTTTTATAGAAAGAAAGTGGAAATTGAAGAAAAAATAAGAGAAAAAAAGCCTTACTCAAACAAAAAAAAAAAAAAAAAAAAAAAAGAAGGATGAAAAGCGACATTTCGAGGCATTTGACCATATTTTTTCACTTTTTCGAACCGGTTTATCATTGCAACAGTCCATAAAATGTAAAAATATGCAAGTTACAAATATTAAAATATTTTTTATTTTTATTTTTTTATTTATTTTTTTATTTTTATTTTTTTCGTGGTAAAGACAAAAGTTATCAAAATTACCTTATATATTTTCATTTGTATAGTTATGACCATAAATAGATACTTTTTATTGGGATAAAATAAGTATATATTATATATTTGTATATAGTTATATACAGTAAATTAAAAAATAATAATATTTTATTGGTTAATAAAAGTGCGTAAATTTTTTTGACATTTTTGTGACTTTATTTATAAAATAATTATGTCAGTAATGATATGGTAATACTTTAAATAAAAGTTAAAGTATTTTGATATTAATATATAATTATTTTTACTAAAAAATAAAAATAGATACTTTTAAATAAGACACACGAATATAAGTAGAAAAAATAGTTTAAATTATAATATAGAAAATATGTTTTAATAATATTAATTCAGAATTGTATCGATTGGATGAACACACCCTATATCAAAATAAAATTCGCCTTATTAATATTAATAATGATACAAATAAAAGCTACACAACAAACATAATTTTTGGATTTGTTCACTTTGAAATTTTAGGTAGCAAACATCACCCTCTTATTTGTTTTTTGATACTTAGTATTTATATTACTTAGACCTGATAGTCTTAGTATTGTTTGGTTGGTGTTGCCTTTGGCATATTGTCTTTGGCCTTTGATACTTAGACTACCTAGGTTTGTTTGGTTTGACTTGGACTGTATAACCTATATGTAGAATTACGCATAGTTTGATCTTAAACTGTTTAGGGTTTAGGGTTTAGGGTCTAGGGTCTAGGGTTTTTTTTTTTTTGTTTAGGGTTTAGGGTTTAGGGTTTAGGGTTTTTTTTTTTTTTTTTTTATGGCTGGGCTCAAAGAGCTGCCTACGTACCCAAACGGGATCAAGCCATACGTAGTTCTGCAAAGTTCGGTACAAGTGCTGGAAAGTAAAATAGAATTATAAAGTAAAGCTAACGGAAGCGAAAGCACGGGAGGCCCGCCGCGTCAGCATGGATGAGGCCACGAGTCCTCGCAGGGATGTCCGCCGGCTCAAGGATCCGCGTGTGAGGAAGGGCAACAGAGGTGTTCGCCAGGTTGTCCGCCACTTTATTGCCCTCGCGGAAAATATGAGAGATCCTCCACTCGATGCTGCGAAGCTGTAGGCGCAGGTGGTGGAGACAAGGCTGGAGAGTCCAGTGTCCCGTCGAGGAGGAGATGAGAGAGATACGGCTGGCCGAGTCCGTCTCGATCCAGAGAGGGAGGAGGCCGCGTGCAACCGCCAGGTCCACTCCAGATCGAATCGCTTGCAGTTCGGCCAAAGTGTTTGTCGTATTCAAAAGGGGAACTTGGAAAGCCACAAGTGGGGCGCCGGTGGCATCCCGAATGACGCCCGCGGCTCCAGTGGCGCCTGGATTCCCGAGCGATGCCCCATCAGTATTGAGTTTGAACCAGCCTAGAGACGGGGCTTCCCAACGCACCATGACCGGCGGCCGAAGAACCGGAGGCGGGAGGCGAAGGCCGAGAGTAGAGGCCAAGTGCACCTCCCCAGGCCAGTGCTGACGCTGAAGGAGGCCAGCACGGCCTAACACCTACAAATGGGAGTGAATACGCCAAATAATCCGGTCAGATGAAATCTGGATACCTCGGTGTTTGGCGTCATTCCGTGCCGTCCAGAGAAACCAGAAGGCCAGAAGTGGGATATAAGTACGGATACTCCGTGCATGAGGGGAGGACAAACGCCAAGCAGAAACCATCAGGTGGTGCGCATATGTCCGCGGAAGTTGGATACGAAATAGGTCGGCGAGATGGCGCCACACGCGCTGGGCAACCGCCGACGAGAAGAACAAGTGTTGAAACGTCTCAGATTCACTGCAGCACTGGCAGCGAGAAACAATAGGAAGACCCAGCCTCCAAAGGGCCTCATCAACAGGAATCCGACGGCGAAATAAACGCCATAGGAAAACCGACATCGTAGGCGTAAGGAGTGGCGACCAGAGGCAGCAGGAAAGCCAACTCCGAGCCCCCACTCTCCGGCTCATCTCCCAGGCTGAAGTAGTAGTAAAAGTACCTGTGTCCGAAGCCTTCCATATCGGCTGATCCGCTATCAGGGGGTCAAAAGGAATCGCAGAGACCCGCTGAACAAGGGTTGCCGGAAGGTAGGCTCGGAGGCGCGTCAAATCCCACGACCCGTTTACCCACATCTCTTTCACCCGAATCGGCGGAGGGCGGTCCTGGCGATCAGTGCAGAGAGGGCGATCGCCGCACCAAGTATCATACCAGAAGAAACAGTCCCCACGCCCCAAATTCCAAATGATCTGAGTCTGTGCCTCGTCGCGAACCTGGCAGAGGCGCTTCCAAACCGGGCTGTCGTAGCTCCTGCAGGGTGCAAGTCCTGGAAAGGAATTCCGAAAATATTTCTGTTGAAGCGCGCGAGCCCAAAGGGAGGAGCCATCTCTGAGTCGCCACCACAGTTTAAACGAGAAGGCCCGAACCGTATCGGTCAGGCGACGAATGCCAAGCCCACCCTCCTCCTGTGGCCGTGCAATATCCGCCCAGGAGATCCAATGGCGGCGGCGGTGCCCGTGATAAGAACCCCAGAAAAAACGAGCAAAAAGTTGCTCCACAGAGTGAAGTACCGCCTGGGGGGGGCAAAGTACCTGCAGCAGATAGAGGGGGAGCGAGAACAAAGTGCTCCTGATTAACTGTAATCGACCCCCGTGAGATAGAACCGATCGATCCCAACGCTGCAGATAACGACGGAGTTTTCCAAGGAGTTCCTCATAAAGAATATTGCGCCGATTGCCCACATAGAGGGGCGCGCCAAGATATGTAAGAGGGAGTTCAGCTGCGCCAAAACCAGTCACCGATTGGAGCTGTCGTTGAACACTCTCCGGGCACTGGCGGCTGAAAACAAGCTGGCTTTTCTGACAGTTCACCTTCTGGCCAGTAATCCGTGCGTAAGTCGTCAGAAAGTCGGTCAGAAGGCTGATGCGATTGCCACAGGTATTAGCGAATATGAGGACATCATCCGCATAAGCAAGGTGCGTCAGCCGGAACCGACCACGACACCGATAGTACAGATCCGGAAAACGGCTGTAGAGGCGCTCCAAACCTCGTGATAAGAGATCTGCAGCCAAGACAAAAAGGGTCGGGGACAAGGGGTCTCCCTGCCTAAGGCCTCGCGAGGAGGGGAAGAAGCCACCCAAGTCCCCATTCACAAGGATCGAGTACCAAGCATGCTCAACACAGTTCATAATCAAAGTGATGAAGTGAGCCGGGAAACCGAACCTGGAAAGGGCGTGCCGCAAGAACCGCCATGACACCCGATCGTACGCCTTGTTAAGGTCCAATTTCAGCAATAAATTGTGCGAGTCCCCTCTCAGATTAAGATCATGGACCATCTCCGATGCTAACAGGATATTGTCCGCAATCGCACGGCCTTTGACAAAGCCGCTCTGATGCGGTGATAGAAGCTGCGGTAGTAGAGGGCTAAGGCGCGTGGTGAGTAGCTTTGTGAAGATCTTACTGCTGACATTACAGAGGCTGATAGGCCGATAATCAGCCCATGCAAGTGGCCCCTCCTTCTTGGGGATAAGCACAAGAGTCGTCGCTGTATAAAACTTCAGGAGGGGGGCTCCCGAAAAGAAATCCAGTACAGCATCAAACACATCCTCCCGGATGATCTCCCAACATTTCTGGTAGAAGGCGGCAGAGAAGCCATCGGGGCCAGCCGCACTATCTTGATCAATCGAGAAGACCACAGCACGAATCTCCGCAAGTGTAGGCGGTTCGAGCAACCGAGTGCACTCGGCCGGCGGAACCTGGGGCGGTGGGTCTGCCAAGGCATCCATTTCCGATGTGTCGGCATCATCAGGCTGTCCCAACATCCCAGAGAAATAGGTAATGGCTGACTGCTTAATATCTGAGTGATCAGTGAGGGTACGAGCACCGTCAGCCATCGAGAAGATTGTCGCCCGCCGGCGTCGTTCCTTCACCATGGAATGGAACATACGGGAGTTCCGTTCTCCCTCGACCGCCCACCGACAGGCTGCTTTTTGTGTCCAGAAAGCCTCCTCCAGTGCAATCGCATGCGTCAAAGCCGTAGCGCTACGCTGACGGCGGAGGAGGTTGGCGTCAGAGGGATCCCGATCGAACTCCGCTTCACACTCCTCTGCGTCTTTTTCTGCTGCTGCCAAAACCTGAAAAACATTCCCAAATACCTGTTTGTTCCACCACTTCAGAGCCTGCTTGAGTCGTCCAAGTTTCAGTCGCAGGTTGAGGAGACCGGTGGTGCCCGTCGGGATAACCCAACTCTGGCGGACGTGGTCCTGAAAAGTGGGGTGTCTGGTCCACATGTTCTGAAACCGGAATGCAGAGGCAAGGCGGTGTCGTTCATGCGAGAACCGGACCAAGAGCGGGGCGTGGTCCGAATGCATCCGCGGGAGGTGTCTGACA